TAGAATATCTACTATATCCTCCTACGGCTAGGGTCGATACGCGCGAGAGTCTCGTTCTAGGTAGTTACTAGAGAGTTTATATTAGATTACGAGTAGTATTATTATTAATAAACTTACGGCTTTATATAAGTCTAGCCGATATATTTAAAGTACTAAAGTATTATAGTAATTATTTAGAATAGAGTCGATATTACTTATTCGTTATCGTAAATATTTACGAGAATATCGTAGTTTAGAGATAAAATAGAAGAGAAAACTAGAGAGAGTATTTATTTTTATAAATAATATTAAACTTAAAAATAACCGAGTTAGTAATAGGACGCTAGTAAGTGCTTATAAGTAGTAATAAATACTCGCGTACGTATATAAAGATATATATAGGCGCGCGAGCGCTTATTATCGCCTTTATATAGTCGCGAGTATATCCTAGTATACGCTTAGTAATTATTTATAACTAAAGTTCGTACGCTTATATACTCTCTCTATAACTTTTATATAGTTATAAGTATATTCTAGTATACGCTTAGTAATTATTTACGATTAAATTTCGTACGCTTATATACGTCTTCTACTACCCGCGTACGTTCGCGGGCATTTATTATTACTTCCGTATATTCGTTGGCGCTCGCGTTCGCTCTCGTATACTTATATATATTTATAGTTAATTAAGTATATTCTAGTATATACTAAGTAATTATTTATAAGTAAATTTCGTACGCTTATATACTCTTTCTACTACTCTCGTACACTTATAAGTACTTATTATTATATTACTATATCCGTATACGCTTATAAATATCGATATATACTCGCGTATATCTATAGTTAATAGCGGGCGCTTACGAGCGTTTATTAGTACTTAAGTACGCCCGAATCTATTTTTAGATTAGATATATAAGCTAAGTTTATAGTATCTAATAACTAGATATTTATAATTATTTATAAAGTAATACTATAAAACTACTAGCTAAGTCTTATTCGTATTATACTTAATACTTATATATATTTATAAACTAACTTAAGTACTCTTCTTTATACTAGCTTTTTCTTCTTCGCTTTCTTAAGAGTATTTACGTTCGTATATAAGTATTTAAGACTACTTACGCTATAAAATTACTATTCTTATTATCTATTACTTTCTAAGATTTATAGACGTACTCTTAAGTAATTAGCTAGATTCTTTATCGGTACGGGTACTCGCGTATACTCGCGAGAGCTTACGAGTAATCGTATATACTTATATATATTTATCTCGAAACTTAGTACGAATAGTTATAAGAAGTTTATACGAGTTACTATCTAGATAGATAGAGTAGTAAAAGACGAGAAGAATAAAGAGAAGAAGAAGTCGTATTAATCCTATATAACGTTATAAGGTAATATAAGTAAAAGTGCACGGTAGGACTAATACGGCGCTAGTCTACTCTAGGTGTATCGCCAAGTCTCGCTTAACGCGGAGTTTGTACAGCAACTTCGAGCACCTCTCGGTATCCGGTACCTAGGTATGGTTATCGTTACCAACATGTCCAATGCCTAGGTAGGTACAGCTTCAGCATACTAGCTGCGCAGACGAGGCCTACTATGTCTGGTGCCTTTTCGGTGGTTCGACGGTACGGGTACCACTGCGTGCCACCATGTCTTGTCCGCCCTCCTCTTCCAAGCAGAAGGCACGGCAGGGTGTCTTTACATGTCCAGAAACCCTTCTCAACCAATGCTCCCAAAGGTAGGTAAATACCTACTGTCAACTTATGGCTTCATAATTTGATAGTCAGAAGGTGCGGACCCATATAAATATTCTGGCGGGCAATGGCTGCGCAACAATGCAGCACATCAAGCAGCCCGTCACATTTCGTTCGACTTCGACGCTCTCTGCCGACGAGTTGTCAAATTCTGTCCCGGAGCCGATTTTGTTGCGACCTACGAGAAGAAGGAAGGTGGCTTCAACCGGGCCTTTATCTTCACCGCCGACAATGGAAGGTCGGTTGTCGCAAAACTACCCTTTTCGAATGCAGGGCCTCGACGTTTGACCACTCAATCGGAGGTTGCAACGATTGAATTCTGTTGGTAGCATCACTTCCTACCAACGAGATCCTCTTAGTCTGACTCAGTGTCCGTTCTCTCATAGTGAAGAAACATTCCAGAATACCAATACCCACAATCTATGACTGGAGTGACGATGAGAGCAACGAGGTCGGCAGCGAGTATATCATCATGGAGCCTTCCGCCGGGATTTCGCTGCACTCGAAATGGGCCGAGATGACTATCGAGCAGCGAGTCGAATGTATCAAGAACATTTGTCAATTGCTAGGCTCGATTGACGACGTTCATTTTCCAGCGTACGGAAGTTTATACTACACAACAGATGACCAGCCCGAGTCTGCGATAGTATTACCGGAGGATGACCGATTTTGCGTTGGGCCGCATGTCGCATCTCGATATTGGGATTGCAACGTCGGGGATTTTCGATACTACGACATGAAGCGGCCAAATAGAGGCCCATGTACGCACCACCAGAATCATCCTCACTTGCCGAGAGTCGTGCTAATATTTCCTCATTAGGGACGGATCTCTCATCTTGGAGTGATGGACTCATCGATGCCGGCATCTCGAGAGTTCCACCACATGACAATCATCAAGAGTGTCGGCCATCCTACTTCGGCACTCCTGTTATGCATCTTCAAGTACTTCAAGAGGGACGTCTGCTCTTGAGAACAATGTCGAAGGACCCGAGGATCCGGGTTGTCGCAGACCCGATATTGTCTCATCCAGATTTGAACAAGAGGAATATCTTCGTTGACCGCGACGATCCCACCAAAGTCGCAAGCTTCATTGACTGGCAGTCGGCCAGTTTAGATCCGGCATTCTGGGTGGTCGCCAACACAAGACCCGATTTTGCGACTCTACCTGATGACTCGACGGATGAGAGTGCTGTGATATGCGCTGAAGCATTTGATCTCTTCATGGGATCATATTGCCCACAGTGGGCTCGCGCTCATTCCTTGGACGAGCGCCTTGTCCGCCCACTCCTATATCCACACCGAACGTGGAACGATGGCGTTGTTGCTTTTCAACATGATCTGTTCATGACTGCAAGAGAATGGGGCGATCTAGGGTTTCAGGAGAAATGTCCCGTCGCAACACCAGACTCGGATCAGTTTGCTGCTCATGAGCGCGAGTATCGATACTTTCTTGCTGCCCAAAGGCTACGCAAACATGTCAAAGACTATGTCGGCATCTCATCCGACGGCTGGGTACCCGACGAGGGGTGGGATGCGATTCAATTGCAACATCAGCAATTATATTCTGATGTGGTGCAAGCCATACTAAGCGCCGCGGAGGCGGATGATGACCCGGATGAGCCGATCAAAACTGAAAGGGACTTGAAAGCGATATGGCCCTTCGACCTGTGAAATATCACCGACCAGAAAACGAGTCGGCTGGTGAGGCTTCCGCGCAATGAGAAGTATCAGTGTCCACTCTGCGATCTTGAACAGACACCAGGATTCAAGACATGGCTTCAGGACCCATGTGCCTTGGTGATGGTAAATAACATGTCCAGGCTGGAACAAGGCTGTGGGATATTGCCACCAGCTTCATCTTTGGAGCAATCCTTGGGCATCCGGCAATAGCCCTGACTCAAGGGTCATCTCAACACCCTACCTACTTGTGCCAATGACATGCGCAACTCTCAGGCTCCCGTTGAGCACCGCTTATCTCAGATAGTCGACAAGCTGTACAAGGACAAGTGGAAACTGACAACCTTCAACGAGAACGAAGTCTTCGACCAGAGGCACAAGTGCAGCCATGAAGCGACGAGTTGTCTGCAAGTCGAGGCTGGAGGATGAGACGAGCTGTGGAGCTCGACGAGAGACAGTCACTTTATTATTCCCACCACGGCGATCGAGTACCCTTGCACATTGCACCCCAAGAGTCACTGGTCAAGAAGCAAATCATAGCATGCCTGCCGTCGTTGGAGGAGATGGCACTGGCAGAGACGACTCAGTATGCTGGAGTGTATTAAGCAGAAGACACATACAACAATTCGACATAGAGTATGCCACTCTCGGAGTCGTCATCTCTATACATGATTTCCAATGTTCCCCGTGTTTCAAATCAATCACACTGCACACCTTATAATTGCTCGCCTTTCTCCCAAATCTTGAGCATGAAAAACTATCATAGCGCCTCCAAGCTACACAGTATATACGTCGTGTGCGTCCCCATCCATTATTTTTCTCCATTGAAACAAACAAGGGCAATTTGATGGGCCGAGAGACAGAGACATCAATAGCGATGTCGAGGTTCGCTGCAGTGCAGAACCTTAGATCTAATCAATTGATTTTCAGTGTTATTGTCATCTACAGTACCATCTGTCTACCCCCTTGCATGCATGCATGCTTGCTTTGATGGCCAGCGGGTCGGGCGGAAACCGTAGCCTTCCCTTCCCTTCCGGCGCGTCGCGTATGTCGCGTCTCATCCCATCGGCAAGATCAAGATTGCAAAGCAAGGAGTGGCTGCACAGTGCTGTAGCACATCAAGTTTAGTTTACCAAGGAAACGGGTTAGGGTTGCGTTGGTTGATTGATTCCCGGCCCGGCTGATCAAATCTTCCTTCTCGAAGGGACGCCCGACGCCCTGCAAGACAAGAAGACTACCCCTCGGCCCCTCCCTCCCTTCCTTGCCAGTGCCGTGTAACGTGTCAAGAACCATGGCAACAAGACAGTAATGTATTCACCGCCAAGTTGGCCCTATCGTTCAACGGACTCTGCTATTGTCACCCAGGTGACTCGTGGAGTAGGACAAGATGACAAGAGACAAAAAGCATGGCGCCACTCCCACTCCCGAGCAAGTAGCCGACCGCCTGGCCGAACCACACACACACACCACTTGTTGCGCGGATCAACCCGAGGAATGGGAACACGGACACATAGACACACATGCGTGTCTGGAGCCCTGGATACCGGGCACCTAATCCCAGTTCAAGTTTCAGGTGGTATTACGCAGTGGTCATAGCCGTTGAAGGGCGGGCGTTGCAGTGTCAGTCGCGATGACAACGCGAACCTGAACCATGAAGCCGGTGTTTGCCCGTTTCCGTGGCTGTCCACATTCCTGGCATTGCATCTCGTGCAAGGAAGGGGAGGCAGTTTCCTTGTCCTTGGTCCTATACATAGTGAAATCTCGATCCACCGAGCCTGTAATGATAATCTCGGACAATGTGTTTGAGGACAAAACGGATAAAGCTGAGACGGACTGTGCTAAAATTCGTAACGAGGGCCCCAGACAGGGCACGGCGCGCTTTCTGTTTTTGACTCGTGGCATAGCATGGCGTGGCATGGCAGGATAAAATGGACTTGACTTAAGCTCAGCTTGACAGTGAAGGGCCTCCTCCATTCACTTCACTTCGCTTCGTCCTGGCTTGCTTTTTGATTTTTTTTTTGATTTTTGCTTTCGGAGCGCCCTTCGTTGCCATATTCGACTATGGCATGATATGCCTTGGGGATCCCTCCCTCCGTATTGCGGCTATCCTGGCTCCAACAGCAGCGCAACATCACTTTAGTCTTTCGTGTTATCCAACTCGGTTGTCACTCATTCGAGCCGCACCTCGCGCTTCAACCCAGCTTCATTTGAACAAATCTTTTATTGAACTTGCCGCTTGAATCAGCTCCCTTTTTTACGACACAACACCTCGTTTCTCTTATCGTAGTATCAACCTGATGCAACCACAACCACAAACTTGCACATACCGTCGTCCATGAAACCTTTCCCACCGTGATCCCTCAACTTCCAGCTTCAACCCACCAACCTACCTCTGTACTCGACTCGTCGATGGTGTCTGTGCAAGAACTCAAGCTCGTCACAATGAAGAAATTCCGCACCGGCCGCAAGTGGCTCAAGGCCAAGCTGCGCCGCGGCTGTTCCGAGAGCCAGAAGCAGGATAGGAAGATTGTCATTGTACGTTGCTGCCGTGCCAGTACTGGTACAATGACCGACGACCACGAGTTCTGATATCTTCTATAGGGACCACCTACCAACTTCCGCCGTGAGAACATAACTCTTGGTAAAGATGTTGATGGGTATGAGCCGGCTGCAACGCCCTACCATTTGTTACCTCGGAAGACACAAGTGACGCTGACCCATTACCGCATAGAAACGCGATTCTCATCGAGCGAGCCCGAGAGGATGCCCAGGCCATGCATCGAGCTTCGCAGACGCAGCTCCGGAGCGACACAGCTTGAGCACACCCAAACATTCTAACCCATGTTAGCTGGAGCAATCACGAGTGAAGGAGTGGAGGGGCTGGACATTGGCATCAGAACATACATCATTTGGCTGTTCATCGCTTGCGATGGCTTTGCAGGCTGCTCTTGGCATGGCCTTGCGCGTGAGAAGCTCCCTGGAACAGGGATAATAGTCAGGCGGCCATGGAAGAAGCAGAACATCATATTATGAACATTGGCACTTCTTCCAAGCGCGACTTCTTCTCTTTGTCCTCCGAGTCCCGTTTCACAAGACCATTGCGGTTGACTCGGGCTGCCGACCGCGGCCTGCGTGACGCCGAGTCATATTTTCGATCTTGAGAAACAACAGACCCGTGGTCGAGTCCAGATGAAGGCGACGGAGTATTCCCTTTCGAACGCATATCGTCGGTTCGCGGTTCGGCGGGACTGTGTCTTCGCCTCGAAGCCTCGCTGTTCAGGAGCCGGGAAGAGGAGGGTCCAGCGGCAACATGGTTCTCGCGACCTCGTGGTAGATTCTGTCGAAAACCCTTCGCTAAGTCGTCTCGGTGCTCCTCTCCTTGTCCGGCGACCTCATCCCTGGCAGCGTTATCGGCCGGTTGTTTTCTTGCAAAGCCCATGCTCGCCTTCGTCTTGCTCGTGATCTTTTCAAGCCCGATCAAGGACCTCTTCTGTTGGCCACCACTTGCCATCAGCGGTGCCAGACTGGTTCCAGACCACAAGTCGACCACCTCTTCCTCTTCCTCCTCCTCCGCATTTGCGCTTTTAGAGGATGTCCCAAAAACGTTCTGTAGTGTTTCTTTCTGCTTGCTCTCCAATGCCAGTCTTTTGATTCGGTGTCTTGCCTCCTTCGACATGGGTGATGTGGGTTCAGGCAGGGCCTTGGGCGCCGCTTCGCGTGCTTGTCTAACCAACCTCTTATACTCGGCCCGGTGTAGGTGTGCAGTATACGACTGCGCGATTGTTTGAAACTCGTCTTCCACCATAATATAGATATCGTCGGCATCGTAACCTTCACGCATAGGTCTACCTCTTTGTAAGTTAAATGCTGTACAACAGGCAGCACCTACTCACTCGAAAGAAACTGACGGCGCCCGCACAGGAGAAGATGACGGCGATCTTCTTCTTGAGACTGGGTCCAGCCTTTTCGCTGTTGGGTTTGCCCTCTCAGGAGTTTCTGGTGCCTGAGCTTTGTGCACATCCGGGGTTTCTTGCTCGGTTGCTCGCGACTCCGTGTCTGGAGATGACGCCCGCTCCGCTTTTGGTCGCAGAGTCTGAGTCACCCGTTGTCTCTTCGCTGGATGGCCCTCGTCAGCGCCAGCATTCCAAGGTAAGATACGCGCCATTAGGTCCGGTTCGGTCGGTGGAAGGAAATATAGTTGGAAGCTCACGGAGGGTTGGCCCGTTGGGTGCAGTTCTCTTCGACAACCACTCTGTGCATGTCTGTCTAAAATGCGTGAAGTACAAGGCAGGAGAGATGTGGATGACTACAAAGCCAGAGAGGTTGACGTTCTGCAGTGAGAAGTCACTGACCGCGAAGTGAAGTTCGCGAGGCTTTGCTTGCACTTTCAACCAACTGCAGCAAGTGATGCAGCCGCAGGCTACAGACTCAACTCCACTACTCCAGCATTTTCACCGTTATCTCCTGCACAGCCTCTGTTTGTTCTACAGCAAAGGTTTAGATAGACGGGAATTCGACGTTCCAAATCATGTAGACAGTACTGACAAGAACAGTAGACCAGCTCTCTTGTGTTGTTTCAATTACAGTATCTGACTCTGTGACTTTTTGTAGCCTGCCAGCCAGGGGTATCATTTTGCCATTTCCTTCGTAATGCATCGACCATCTTTACGCCAATTGTTTCCGTTGCACCAAACTCCGTTGTGTTTGTCATGACCAGGATGCGGGCAACAACAGCATGCGCCTTTCTCACGGACTTGTGGCTTCTGTTTGTGGACACGACGAGGAGAAGCCTGCTTGCGCCACTATATCTCACCAGGCTTCTTGGAGTTGCAGCTCACAATTTTGACCTTATCGGCATGGAACTCCTGCCCACCATCGCTTTTGAATCTCACGTCCTTGACCAGGAAGGTCCAAACATCATCGCAGAATCGGTAGGTTTCCAGATGACCCTGATGTTCCAGTTCAGTACTGTTAACGCAAAGCAGTCTCTGCAACACTAACCTTGAACGTAAGTCTTGACTTGACCTTTTCGGCCAGCGTCTCGGCTATAGCGCGGTCGAAGTTGCTCAGGATCTTCATGGCTAACTGGGGTTCTATCCGGCCATCGTTGATCAGGTCATCGATAGTATCGATGAGCGCTTCGCCGATGCTACGGATAAAGACTAGTCAACATTCGGCCCCTCCACTCCGTTGACGAGTTCAGTAGTGCAAGACAGGAGAAAGGGCGCTGAAACAGGCGCAAAACCACAAAGCGCAACCCACCTGCTGCCCCGATAGAGTTCGTAGTACTGTTGAGCAGCCATCCTAAGAGGCCCTTCCTCGAGACCCGATCGCTCGTGCCTCACGTCGTCCTGGACGTCGAGCAGGGATCAGGGAGGGTTGTAGGCTGAGTGAGAGTGGAGGATAACTCAATATGAAGTGTGCATGTGGTAAAAGGTCGAGATATATCAAGAAGCATACCACAGTACAAGTAGGAGTTTAGTAGTGGCAGTTGTATTGTGAAGCACAGAAGTACAGCGCAGCCTGGCATGAGGCCACTAGGCCCGAATAGAGTTAGTGCCAAAAGGCCGCTAAATGGGGGACTCGGAGCGCCACTGACATTGGCCGGGGCTTGAGATCCGTATGAGGTTCGCCTGATTCGCTGAGAGCAGTGATACTTGGGCGCTGCATTACTTCATACCTCGTGCCTCACTGCAGTGACCGCAATAGCCAGTGTACATATTCCTTGATCACAGCTCCTTTCAAAGAAGGCCCTCTCGCTCACCTCCTCCTTGTAGTAGTATGTCAGAAGACAAAAGGTGTCCATAGCCGTGCATAGACTATTCTATCCATCGCAAATGAGATCCACAATGAAGACCATATCTCTTGTTTCCCGCACCTGCACCCTCCATCAACGCCCAGTCCTCCCTTTCAACAAGACCGTGAGATTACAACGATGGGCTTCTACGTCAACTTCGAAAGGTCTTACCGACTCTAAATCCGATAAAGGGTCTGATTCACAAGAGAAGCAAGACAAAATCGAAAAACTCAAGAAAGTGCACAAGAGCATGGCAGAGGCAGATGAAGAGATGCGCAGAGCCATGGAGAATCTAGCTGGCGACGGTGGAGAGGCCGGAGTCGAACTGGAAGAGGGAAAGGCAGTTGCTATGAAAAGAGGCGTCCGCGAGAACATGTTCAGATACATCTGAAAGGGCTATGGAGATCTCGGGTGTCAGCAACCAACAATTCGGGGGAGAGGAGACCTTCTGAAGCACTCGTCATTCGAGGGTATCAAAGAGGCGGCCAGTTGACAATTTCGTCGCTTTCCAAGCCGACGTTTCATATGGTCTTGTTGTACAGATGATTGATGTCGCGTACGAGGCTCTTAACCGAACTGCCTCCTGGGCAGTCATACCACTTGCCCCCATCACGAATACATCTGGTTTCGCCAGCCAGCCTCACTGTGCAGCTCTTCGTTACGTTATTTTCCTGACTCCTGAGAACGCTCTCTCGAAGCAGGCCGACACCTTCTCCTTCCTCGCTGATGCAAGTATTCAGCTTCTGAAAGTCAACCCCGTGCTCCATGGCGCAATCCTCAACCAAGTCTCGATTGGGAATGTCTGGATAATCGGATATCATGCAATTGGCAAACCCGAGCCACACCTTCACGTCGGAGTAGACATGCGCTGCACACAGGAGGATGACGTTTCCGAGACATTCAGCGGGGCCGTGTTTGCAGGTAACAGCGTCCGAGTTGGGATCGATGCTGGAACAGTGTGAGCGAGGGTGACCGGGCCAGACAGAACAGATGCAACCAATTTACCTTCCAATAAATGACATTGTGAAGTTGACTTTATCGCTAACTCGTTCCATGGTCGGTACCACCAGTTCACGTAGACAATCCCGCGCATCAGGACATTTGGACATGACATGAATCTCAAGTGGCACTTTATTTCCACCTTCTAGACTATCGCCCAAGTCGGCATCATGGGGTGACAGGCCAGGGTTGTAATGGTGGTTGCAAACGAAAACGGCGCGGAATAACGAGAAAACCGCCAGTAACGTGAGCAGAGCCGGTATAATGCGTGTGATCAAAGTCCTTCTCCATGGTCTTGACCCTGGCCGACGGCGCTCTGTGTAACAAGGCTCTTGGTAGTGGTAGAGTGCTGCCTTTTCGTCGACAGGCACGGGGCTATAAGGAGCCATGATGTGATCTCGAAGGCTCAATGCAGGGAGGTGGAGGGTCTCTATTATCAGGCTGATGGAGCCAATGCGCTCTTAAAGATGAGAATTATATGGACCAAGGGGTCATGGCATGCCAGTGCCTGTTGCGTCTGAAGTACACTTCAGCATCAAGCGGTACGAGAGAACATGCGGCCAGTGTTCAAGTCCAGTGATCGCAGACGAGCAACGTAACTGCAACGCAGCACTGACCCCCAATAATTGCGGCCACCGGCTTGGCGGCCGAAGGGGACGAACACCACGGGCAGCCTCCGAGCTGCTACTGGCAGTACATTAATAATTGTTGTAGAGCGAGACTCGGAGGCTGCACTGCAGCTCAACAAGAACTTGAAGGCGCCTGTACAATTGTACAATTGTCCAATATTATACTTGTACCTACATAGGTACTAGCTATAGACATCATGCCTCCGGTGCAAAGAAAGAAGCTCATCAAACTTTCTCCCCTTCGTCGGGGATGATCCCGTAAATCTATCGTCAACCACTCCGTTCTCGCAGCCAATTCCACGACAATACGACTGTACTTTTCCCGATAAAATAAGGGTACCACTGCACCGGGAACAATAGTCTGCCTTGCGCCCTACGACGAATACTGATGGAGCATTGTATACCGCAGCTGAGCATCTAGTACCTATCCAGGTCGGAGCAGGAGAACTCCTGCCCCATGAATGCCCGACGATGACCAACCGCACGGCGCACACAGACACACATCCACTCGAGATCCCCACCAGCCGTTATCGCAGACCCAGACACTCGTCTCGGACTTGTGCCATCCTCCCCAAGTGTCATCGAAGCCCTGAAGCCATGTGGCAGGCTGGCAGGCCCCCTCATCCACCAAGCCGGCCCAGTCGCTGTCATTCAGGGGACTCGTTGGGCTAATGAGGAGCGGCTCGATAGGCTGCAAGGCGTCAGGCTCGCTGCGATCGAAACTCTAGCTTGCCCGAGTTGGCGGGGTCTGTGCGATGCCGGAATGAAATAAATATTAATGCTCGCTCGGTCAGTGGTCCTCAAGGCGCAGGGCTGGGGAGGCCCTGGAAACCACAACTGAACCAGCATAGCGCAATACCGCTTGAGGCCGGCTTGTCCTTCTCCCATTCTCCTTCGAGACCTCGTGGTAGTCTCTTCCCCCCAGCGTCACATCCGACTTCCAGGGTCACATCTGAGCGGCGGACAAGGCAACAAACATATCTTAATCCCCGTCCACGGACTGTTTGTATGAACTATGTGGTAGCCTTCCTGAACCGATAGACTGCTGCTGTACTTGATCCTTCCAAGCACTCCGGATCTGCAAAACCACTCTCGCCAGAGTCGAGGTCGCGGAAGTAGGATTGCTGCCTTGGGAGGGTCCAATTCTGGCTTGGTTGCCTTGCACGTGAGTCAACCGACCTTGAGGACGTGTCTTGTGCAACCACTCCGATACTTCAGCTCCCACGCTTCATATCTCACGCTCACCGATTGTCATGTCGGAGCTGGCCTCGACTAGATCAGCCAGCAATGGCAGTCCGCCTCCGGATGACCTGGAGCAAGAACTTGACCAGTTTTTGCGGCCGCTGGTGATCAATGATGCCGTAGTGCATAGCCTCGCCTACCAATTCTCCAAGGTCTACGAAGAGCTAGCCTTGCATTCTGAAGAACAATTCTTGCCTACGCCGGTGACAAAACTACCCTCGGGTGGAGAAACCGGCCAATTCCTCGCCATCGATGTTGGCGGCACCAATCTTCGTGTGGCCTTCATTGAATTGCTGGGCGATACGCCTAGTGATGACCGCCTGCCGAACGCCAACGGGGCCGAGCGCTCACGTGAGACTATCAGGAATGCTCAGCGACCTCGAGTACGCCGGACGCTAGAAAAGGCATGGCCCATCGGAGAGCACCTGAAGATGGATCAGACGGAGGACTTGTTTGCATGGATTGGTGATTGCATTGCCGAGGTCGTGGGCGACCAGCTCGCTTCTGACATGGGCAAGTTTCCTGTCCCGGAAGAACTGCCAATGGGCATCACATTCAGCTTTCCCATGATGTAGGTGTTTGAATTGCCCTGAGCGCTGAGTAAAGCACGCTGACATACCCCACACAGCCAGACTGAAGTCTCCTCTGCGACATTGATGCCGATGGGAAAAGGGTTCGGCATCAGCTCGAACCTGGACCTAGGGTCGACCTTACTGCAAGGATATGCACGCCACACTCGCCGACAATCCCAAGGCTCATCCCCCCGAGCCAAGAGGAGGAAACTCGGGCCGCTTCCACGATTAAAGATTGCTGCCATCACGAACGATACCATTGCCACCTTAGCTTCGCTTGCGTACACCGTCAAGTCATTGCCCAATTCCCGGGTCGCGGCAGGGATTATCGTCGGCACTGGATGTAATGCCACGATTCCAATGCCGTTTTCCAAGCTGGGTGAGGCGAAGGTCGAGTCCATTCGAAAGATCAAACCCGATGCCACCGAGACCGTGGTCAACACCGAGATTACCATTGCTGGAGCGTGCGGGCCCTTGGAAGCCGTCACGACAGAGTGGGACCGCCAATTGGATGCCGAATGTGCCAGACCAGGGTTTCAACCGCTGGAGTACATGACCGGAGGCAGGTATATAGGCGAGCTCGTGCGGATTATCTTTCTCGATTACATGACCCGGGTCCACAAGCCGCCCATACCTCCCGCTGCACTGCCAGCGACAATCGTCCACAGCTACAGTTTTACGACAACCTTCCTCAGCGCGGTGGTTGCACGGGCACGGTCGGATTCGGAATTGGCGGGCGAACTGAAGCGGCGCATTCCACCTCCAGAGTCTTCCAACTGGGGATGGACATCGGAATCAGCAGGAGCCCTCCGCAAGATTGCGCACCTTGTTCAGGTTCGCTCCGCGGGACTGATTGCTGCGGCCACAGTGGGCCTGCTGGCAATGGTGGGTGAGATAGCCTTGGCCGAACCGGCTAGCCCTGCTTCTGGACAGGATGTAACGATGACGACGGCACCAAACAGTCGACCACCGTCACCTAAGCCCACCGGCCACCTTTGCGCTCCCGCGAATGATGCCGCAGATGGACTGTCGCCGGCGCCCGGGGCTACAGCCTGGAAGTCAGGACCGGAAGAGCTGGTTGTGGCGTATACCGGGGGAATTATTCAACATTACCCCAACTTCAAGGAGCAGTGTCAGCGGTTTATCGATCGGCTTGTTATGAAGGCTGGACCTCAAGATGGCGGCAAGAGTGTTTTCCTCCGAGAGTCTCGGGATGGCGGTATCATCGGCGCAGGCGTTTTGGCTGGAATGGAAGCAAACGAGCAGAACACCAAAGCATCGTGAGGGATTCAGCAATGGCGGCAAGACCAGTTTCCCGTTGTGTCGCACTTCGTATTTTGTTTCGGCTTGTCTTCACAGTTTGCGTCCTGGTTCATCGCATGTGTTTGGCGTTTGGGAGACTGGACGTTTCCGCAAAAGCGCAAAAGGAGCTTGATGGGATGTCCGGCCCGATTTCGTGGGATAGCTTTATGGGGTGCAAACTGAGGCTTGACTTGATGGCCGACCTTTGGAGCTACCAGTATAAACGGGGTCTTTGCGGGCGCTGCCTGGGTAGCTCTGAAATACGCCACTGCAACCTACACAAATCAGGGGTATCCCGTAACCTGCCATGCAGGACAAGGAGGACGAGGGATGGCGAGAGGTATTGTTTATTTACACCGCATGCCGCCATTCCAGGAGTGGCTACTTACGGCCGTTGGCTGTTTTTGACCCGAAGCTACCAGATGTACTACTACTAATTATATTGTAGTAGCACAGCATCTAGAGAACGTACCTAGGTACTATGTAGAGGACTGCCGTGGGACTGCAGCCAAATGTGCTAGCCATCACGTACTAGGAGAAACCCAATTGTTGAGCTGGGGTTCAAGTTGCATGTTGCAAAATGGTAGTGAGCCTGAGGCATTTCAAACTAGACCGAGGCGGGCGATTCCACCGAATCGTGCCGTAAGAGAAAAATAGGCTCCAAAGCCAAAGGGCGTTCGTTTAACCTGTGGGTATCATCTTGGTGCGGACTGCCAGTGCCGCGTTGAGCGAAGTTCTTGCTTTTTGCGTACTCCGAGTCCTGCAGTCCTGCGGCGTGGTACCGACATGTCCGTGCACCTCCTGTACAGAGTGCCCGTCAGAAAGAAGCAAAAGGACAAGATGCTCGCTCCCTTCTCGCAATACAGTGCCAGTGGTAAGAAGAGCTTCTTTTACTATTTATTGTCATTTGGCAGATCTTTTATGCTAGTACCACCTAGGCAGGTAAGCATGTGCTAGACACCCCATTATTCGGCAAGTTGTTAGACTCGGAAGCATTGTTAAACGAACACCTTGCCCGAACAATGCTAGAGCGGCGGGGCTCCTGGGGCTAAGCGCGACAACACAGGGTCACTGGCAGGAGGCCGAGGGGCGCCCATGGCATTCCCGTCACCGTTGTTTAAGGCCTGGGAGAATTGCGGAGGCCGCCTCTTGGTGCCACAAGCTTCGAGTCCAGGTTGAAAATTGCTCGCATGATCCCGGCTCTCCAGGTCCTGGTGCATTTTTTCCCCGGCCCTGGAATCACCGACCAACGCCCGCATGGACGCACATACCGCTGCACAGTAGTAGTAGTACAGTAGTCTTTTGAAGTGATCAGGAATGTGAGACCTGCCTGTTGCTGTTGCTGTTGCTGCCGCCACCTGGAGAGCTCCGGCCGGGGATCCTGTAGGATGCCACTGGATGCCACTGGCTGTACAATGTAGGGATTAGGTAGTTGTCCCGTTTTGAACCAGTGGCTGTTGGCTCCACTGACATCTCGACTCCCTTCTTCCTCCCTCCTGCCTCCCACAAATTCCGCACTTCTACCGCTGACTGGCACTGCAACAGCTACTCCTGCTACTACCATTACAACCACCACCAAGTTCTCTGCTATTAACCACTGCACTGCGTCTCATCCCTCTTATTACCCGCTGCGAGTTCAAGCCATCCATCCGCCCGTCTCCTCGACTCGTTAATGCTCTATGCTTCATGCCCACAAACGTGAACCCAGTATCCTCCCACGATTATTATTGCCGCAGCCCGTTCACCTACAGATCGACATCCTCGCGAACACATCTCTCTCAAGAAGCCTGCGCTCCTCTCTCGCTTAACTTCGATCATCTTTCAGCGCTTCGAGTCTCGGTGTCCCGATCCCTCTTCGTCTTCTCCCTCTTCGCAGCTGGTCTCGCAACCTCTACTCCCCCGTGTCCGCCAACTTCTGACCATCGCCGCGCATTCAGGTGTGGCCATGCCCACGGCTGCGAATCTTCGCTCTTGATGGGCGCGGCCTGACCTATACTCCCTCCCTTCGTCTACGCCGAGCGCTCTCTCCTCGTCCTCCTCGCAACTATGAGCCCTCTCCCCGAGACTCACCATGTTCTGCACACCTTGCTGCGACGGGAAGAGCTCGATAATCCCAACGACCGGCCCTCGGACCCCAATGGCCTTGTGCTCGAGGCCTGGGCCCAAGGATACATGGTGGGCTCGCTCATCATCATGTCGTGTATAACCCTGGCCAACATGCGACGGGGCGTCCTGCTTCATAAGTTGATTTTGCTCGAGGTATGCGCCCGCGGACTTCTCTCTTTCTTTTTCCGCTACTGCTGAACACCTCTGGCTGACATGACTTCCCCAACAGCTCGTCCTGGGTTACTGGCAAGGGTTCTTTATACTTTTCACCCCACCGGTCTATGCCTGGTGGCTTTCCGTCGCGGCAGTGCCCCTCAATATATCCTGGTCTCTCCATAACGTGATCGCATGGATGAAGTTGCGGCCATTTCTCAGCAAGACAGGCAGCCGTCTCTTCATTGGCTCGGTCATTTTGGTGCAGCCATATTGGGTGGTGGAAATATATGCCAACTTCGCCTACTTCCACAACATAAATAATATCTTCCTGAAGACGAGACCATGGGAGGCGCTGTGTCGTGATCCTTGGTGGATCCTGGCCGCTTGTCTTCTTATATACAACATCAAAACCAAATACGACCTCACCATCACCCAAATTGTGCGCATCTCCCCACGGTTCGCCGTCATGCTTGGAGCCATGGTTCTGAGTATCTGTTTCATCGTTCTCGATGTGCTCTCGGTGACCGCCGCCCTCAAATCCGTCCTCCCTGTGGGCATCAATCCTTTCTGGAAGTTAAGTTTTGTCTTCAAATGCTTGACGGATTCAGTTGTGTTGGACGACTTCAAGACCGCCCTGGACCGTCTACGAGCGTTCAAAATAAGCCGCTTGGGCAGTTTCGCCATGGATGGCGCTGATGTTCGGAATAAGAAGCATGAAGAGGAAGTAAGGAAAGCCAACGGATGGGGAAGTCCGCCATCAACCGGGGACAGGCCGCAGCCAGTCGGTACTCTGCCGTCCATGCCCAGTCCTGACGATGATTATGTTCAACCCCATTGGGAGGAGCTCAAACAGGGCCATTCCCACCATGTGGAGGACGAGCAGTTTGCCCATATTGCTAGAAACGCGTCTCGGGACCGTGACGTCGAAGAAAATGGCTTTGATGCCATCGATTATGCCGATCCACGACGAGAGGCCAGCGATACGTACATGCTGCGCCCGCAATCCGGCTGGCAAGACCGACGGTTGTCAGATGACACAACGGACGCCGACCTGGATTATGCCATGGCTGTTCGACAGGTGACCAACGAGTCCATGCAACAACAACGCATGCGAGACGCAACCACACGGCCGGCCAAGTGATTCTGCGGCAGCTTGAGCGCAAGGGCCAGTACCAGGATCTGTCCATGACTATTTTTGGCATGTTGGTGGATCTAGGATGACAGTACAGCCCGGCGCCCAGATCCATTGGAGGCTACGCTGGACGCAAGCTTAGAGGCCCTGATATATATACACGAACGTCTAAAGACCGGATATTGTCTACCACTGCGAGATCTGGGTTTGGTCTGGTGACACAAATGGATGGTTATGATTAATTGCTTCACCAATGCAGGCTGTGAGGGCGCAGGCCTGGGCTGACACAGCATACCTCGACGGATAATATCCATGTCCATACTCATGCGTGTTATGTTGTTATGCCGAAATGATGGAATCATTGAGCTATTTCGGGGGCGATTGGGCAAGATTGGGCAAGCTATTCAGAAAGGAGCCACTGCCAATATGAAGCGATACGATACCAAACATTGAGACATATGTAAAAACGTAATGGGAGCCCTGTGATATGACAATCCTCGAATCAACCTGAATGACACATGTCCTGAATATTGATGATTCAAGTTGGAAACGTGACTAGGAGATCAAGGTTGTTCGACTCGGAGCCTTGTCCAGGCGCCATTTGAGAATCTCAGTGACTGTGATTGTGGGCTTTGAAGTAATACCTGTTTAGTAGTTGTTGCGCCAGGTTAGGAGGATCTACAACAGTGTAGGGACGTTGCGGGCCGTTTAGATGGAGACTTGGGGTGTGCAGTGGTGCCAGTGGAAGGGACTGCGGTGTTCCAGTACAACGTTGTAAGTAGAACGGCGGTCGGTGTTAATTCCACGGCTTGGCGACTCCAGCAGCGCCAGAAACGCGTCTCCCCCTGCGCGAGGCAAGTTTACATGTACAAATTTGGGTTTAGGTGTCGGCCTATTCGAACAGACACAGACTCCCCATACAACTGAATCTCCGTCATCCACGCAGTGGCATCACCATCAATCGTGCGCCGGTGCCTGCATGATTCCGATATGTTGGCAGATGTCGTGTCTACGGAACTGTCGCCGATCTGATAACTGCACTGCGCCCTCATGGATGTCCTATCGCCCAACGCTCCCAACGGGGCGCACAGTCCTGCCACGTTGGAGCCCGTCGACCCCCTCCACGTCCTCGAGCACATCGCCAGTCTGATCGAAACCACCCTCGGTGCGGCCCGACGAGAACTCGAGGCGGTCGGCAGCTTGTTGTCCAAAGCGAGCCATGCCGACTCTCTCAGCAAATGCGCCCAGTTTGCGGAGGATCCTCAGGCTACCCTGTATGCCCAGAAGGATGTTACAGAAGAGCTGGTAAACGGGCATGATGACACAGAAAGTCAGTCAATTCGCACCATTCTTCGTGAAGGTACTGACACCATAGGTCCAGAAATCGAACATGTTTACACTCTCTCGACCGAGTTGTCCCCTAACCCGACAACCGTGGCCTCGATTGCCTTCCTCAAGCTGTCAGGGCCTTTGAACGCTCGAAAGTCGATTGCTAGTCAGATACAGGTTTTCCACCTTCCAGGATCCTACAGCGCCGTCGATGGAGAGAACAATCGCCGCGCGGAGGGCACTTCCCCTTACGAAGTTCTCTACTCTCTCCTGCACAATGTCCTGGCCCCCTACTTCGATGCTTATACCAGGGCAAACGGCCCTATCGACCGCAATTGGTATGATTCTCAGGCCAAGAGCGGTGTTCCCGGAGCGAAGCGACGGATGAAGGAGTTGGAAATGAGTCTGCTGCATTTGCAGCACAATACCGACATACCCCTGGTCCATCTGCCTATGCATGAGGTCGTCATGGGAGCTCTACACGACGCGGCTGCTCAGGGTTTATCGCCCTCTGTCCAGCTAATACCGGCTCACGTTCTGGAGAACACCACTGTCCTCAACAGTATACAGAACCACGTCATTGGCTGGATCAAATCCATCCAAGGCGTAACTAAACTGGCCAAGGACGGGCCTTCGACACAATATTCTGCCGCCCAGGAGATCAACTTTTGGCTGTCCCTTGAGTCGGCTTTGAACAAGTTGGACGACGAACGTCATTCAGATGGCGTTGTACTGACCCTCGATATTCTGAAAAAGGCCAAACGACAGCAAGCCGTGGTCAGTTTTGAAACCGATACTGGGCTGAAAGATGCTCTGGAGACGGTTCGAAACTACAACACGCTCATGCGGGACTTCCCACTAGACGAATTGTCTTCTGCTACATCGTTAGGAAAAGTGGCCGAGGCGATAGTGTTAATCTTCAATCACTTGAACAAGAAATGGAGGGTCTGCAATTATCCTATCCGTCGTGCTCTGAAGTTGGTGGAAGGCATCTCCGAGGACATGAATGAACAGATCCACAACTTATTGAGGGGTCGATCAATCATGTCCTTGAGTTATGACGACTTCAGTGAGCTGATGAGATCTGTCGATCTCATCTGGGAAACATGGGATGACCAGATCAAGAGCTTCACCGCTGTTGCGCGAGAAATAACGAGGAAGAAGAACACAGACTTTGTACCGGTCAAAGTGATTCCCAGACATGCTAAGACCCAGGAGCGGCTTCGATATATCGCTCAGTTCCGACACAACCATGAGCAGCTGCAGAAAACTATCGTCACCGTCCTCGGGAATAAAGACGGCACCGATGGCGCCTCCTCTGACAAAGGCGGTGCCGCGATTGTGGAAGAGCTCGGGGATGTGGATGCTGTGGAGGAAGTCTCGGCTGCATATGAAGTTGTCCGCCATGTTGATGTCTTGGATGTTTCAACCAAAGGCACCGACGTCTGGATTCAGGCCGAAAAGGAATACACAGAGCGCACATCTCGTGTGGAAGACTCGATCATTACCCGGCTAAGGGACCGCCTGGGGAAAGCGAAGACCGCGAATGAAATGTTTCGCGTTTTCGAAAAGTTCAATCCCTTGTTGGTTCGACCCAAAGTTCGCGGAGCGATAACAGCCTATCAGACTCAACTGCTTGACAATGTCAAGAACGCGATAGCATCTCTCCATGAACGATTTAAGCAGCAGTACGGCGGCTCTGAGGCGCAGATGATGGCTCAGCTTCGAGACATCCCCCCGGTCGCAGGCGCCATACTCTGGGTTCGCCAGATTGAGACGCAATTGGATAATTACATGTCAAAGGTGCACGCCGTGCTGGGCGAAGAATGGATGTTTCATGCCGATGGGGAGAAGTTGCAGATCGAGAGTAATATGTTTCGAAAGAAGCTCTCCACGAGAGAGATCTACCAGGCGTGGGTTCAGGATGTTCAGTCTCGGGACATCTCAGTGAGTGGGAGGCTTTTTGCCATTCTACGGAGCCGCGGTGCAAATGGAGCATTGGAGTTGAGCGTCAACTTCGACAATCATGCCATCTCGTTGTTCAAGGAGGTCAGGAACCTGACTTGGTTGAATTTTCAAGTCCCTCACCGCATCACCACCACGGCCAAGCAGGCCCAACGGGTGTATCCATATGCCTTGAGTCTGATGGAAAGTGTTGCGGGATACTTCTCCGCCGTTCGAGCGATTCAGGAAACACCTAGTGTTGCACCGTTGATGGCAAGCTACGAGAAAGAGGTACAGAACCTGTTCGCCACCGGCGTGCGGCTCCGCTGGGAGTCCTTCATCAATTCATACGAGCTTCACATTAAAGGAAAGTCGACGGGCACCGACTCCGCACATGTACAGTATGTACGCGATGTGGTGACGGCGGTTACAACTCTCCAGAATAAGACTGCAACTGTGAAAGCGCTCGATCAAACCATCCAACATGCGTTGTCAGAGATGAAGACGTGCCATTACTCTGTGCAGAACTTCGAAACACAGATGGATATCATCCAAAACGCCGTGGATAAGATGAACCTAGAGAACTATTCGAACCTCTCCAGCTGGGTGTCCGAACTGAACGTTCAGATTCGGCAGCTCTTCGAAGAACGACTTCATCAGGCGCTGGTGCAATGGACAAGCTCTTTCTCCTCCTTGGATGCAGAGGATGCAGCTCAAGCAAGCTATACAGAAGTCGAGGATAATGTCTATCAAGTGCACTTTCCTGAGTTGCAGATCGAGATCATGATGAACAACCAAATTGTTTTCGTCGATCCCCCGCTGAATTATGTCAAAGCATCTTGGGTCCAGCATTTGGAGGACTGGTTGGATGTATTATGCCATCTGCCTCAAATCAGAGCGTCTCGGTATCAAGTGACGGCTGATGCGAACTCGGCACAGTCCTTGCCTACATTTGCAGATTTGCCCTTGCAGAAGGTAGAAACTCTTCAAAAAGCATATAATGGGATTGACAAGAGAATCGAGGTCATGGCCGCATATCTTGGAGAATGGTACACGTACCAAAATCTCTGGGATCTGCGCAGCGAACAACTACACGAACGTCTTGGTGATGATCTTGCGCAATGGCACCAATTGCTTCAGGAAGTCCGACACGCCCGTTCAACGTTTGACACGTCCGAAGGACGGAAAACCTTTGGAAGTGTCACCTTCGATTATGAACAGGTCCAGGCTAAGATCGCCCAAAAGTACGATCAATGGCAGCACGAAGTTACAAGCAAGTTCGGCAGTATTCTCGGCAACCGCATGTCAGAAGTGTTCGCCGATATGCGTCGGGCTCGTCTTGAACTCGAGAACCAGTCTCTTGAAGCATCTTCCACGGCGCAAGCTGTGACATTCATCACAACCGTGCAGCAATGTCGCCGGAACGCCGCCCTGTGGGGCCCTGAAGTGGAAATATTCAAACAAGGACAGACTGCTCTTTCCAGACAACGCTATAATTTTGGCAATGATTGGCTTTCGGCAAATCAAGTGAGTGACGAGTGGGAGGCGTTCGAGGAAATCCTCAGCCGCAAGAGTAAGGTCATCGAGGACCAGACAGACGCTCTGCGGGCAAACATCATTGCTGAAGATCGCGTCATTACTGCACGCATCACGGATGTTGTCGCTCAATGGTCTGAAGAGAAGCCTGTCTCAGGAACTGTCCCTCCGGACGAGGCAGCGGAGCTCTTGCGATCATATCAGCTACGGATGGAGAAACTCCAAAGTGAGGCTGAGACAGTCTTCAAAGCCAAGGAAGCCCTCGCCTTGCCGGTAACAAAGGACAATACTCTTGAAGCAGCCCTTGAGGAGGTTGGCGACTTCAAATCCGTATGGTCAGCGCTTTCTACTATCTGGCAGAGCATTAACGAATTGCGTGACACGTTATGGACGAGCGTTCAGCCTAGAAAACTTCGCCAATCGCTGGAGGGTCTTATGAAGATGACGAAGGAAATGCCCAGTCGAATGCGACAGTACGCTGCCTTCGAGCACGTCCAGAACGTCCTGCGGCAGCTAATCAAGGCAAACTCACTGCTAAGCGATCTCAAGTCCGATGCGATCCGAGAGCGACATTGGCAAAAGATCTACAAGGCTCTAAGACCGAACAAACGATATTCTGAAGCGTCGATGACTTTGGGAGACGTGTGGGACCTCCAGTTGGTTTCCAGCGAAGCAACCATTCGTGATATCATCACCCAGGCAAGAGGAGAGCTGGCTCTCGAAGAATTCATCCGACAAGTGCGTGAAACATGGCAGAGCTACCCGCTCGAGCTTGTCAATTATCAGAATAAATGCCGGTTGATTCGAGGCTGGGATGAACTCTTCACAAAATGCAGCGAGAACCTCAACTCTCTGCAAGCTATGCGCCACTCACCCTACTACAAGGAGTTTGAAGAGGAAGCCTCTGCATGGGAGGACAAGCTCAACAGAGTCCATGTACTATTCGATGTCTGGATAGACGTCCAACGACAGTGGGTCTACCTGGAAGGCGTCTTCACTGGTAACAACGACATCAAGCATCTGCTACCTACAGAGTCCAGCAGATTTTCAAACATTAACACCGAGTTCTCCGCCGTCATGAAGAAGGTCTACAAATCTCCGTTCGTTATGGATGTCCTTGCGATTCCTGGCGTACAGAAGTCCTTGGAACGCTTGGCCGAGCTCCTGAGCAAGATCCAGAAGGCTCTTGGTGAATATCTTGAGCGAGAGCGCATGTCGTTCCCTCGATTCTATTTTGTTGGAGACGAAGATCTGCTTGAAATCATCGGAAACAGCAACGACATCACGCGTGTTGCAAAACACTTCAAGAAAATGTTTGCTGGTATCTCCGGCGCCGAAGTTAGCGACAATAACTCCATTACCGCGGTGACTTCGAAGGAAGGCGAGGTTGTGCAGCTCAAGAAAGAGGTTTCTCTGATCAAGCTGCCGAAGATCAACGATTGGCTTACCGCGCTCGACAACAGTGTCAAGCAGACACTAGCTGAGCTGCTGGCAGAGGCCGTCAGTGCTTTCCGTCCACTCTTCACTGCATCCGATCTGGATACAGCTCAGTTTCAGGAGTACATGGCCAGTTACCCGGCTCAAATAATGATCCTCGCTGCCCAAGTCGTCTGGACAGATCTCGTCCGTGAGGCGCTCGAGGCGGCAGGCGAAGGGCTGTCAAAACTGCACGAGTACGAAGTGAGGTTGCTCGAACTACTCGCCGGAAGTGTTCTGCAAGATCTTCCGGTATTGATTCGTAGGAAATGTGAACATCTCATCACGGAAGCTGTCCATCAACGAGATGTGATCGCGAAGCTATTGAAGGCCGAAGCCAAGTCTCCAGGCCACTACATGTGGCTGCTTCAGATGCGTTATGTGTACGATCCAAACGCAGAACTCATGAATCGACTGCGCGTCGAGATGGCCAACGCCATCCTGGATTATGGCTATGAATACCTAGGCGTGCCAGATCGGCTCGTACGGACTCCGCTGACTGATCGTTGTTTCCTGACATTGACACAGGCGCTTTGCCAGAGGTTGGGTGGGTCTCCTTATGGTCCTGCCGGTACAGGAAAGACCGAATCGGTAAAGGCTTTGGGTCTTCAGTTGGGGAGATTTACTCTGGTCTTCTGCTGCGACGATACTTTCGACTTCCAGGCCATGGGTCGCATTTTCCTCGGGCTGTGTCAGGTGGGAGCATGGGGCTGTTTTGACGAGTTCAACCGTCTTGAAGAGCGCATTCTTTCCGCGGTGTCGCAACAAATTCAAAATATCCAGATTGGTCTTAAAAACACTACCCATGAGCAGAAGGCTCAGATCGATCTGGTGGGCCGCAGCTTCAAGGTCAATCCCAATACTGGACTCTTTATCACCATGAACCCAGGGTATGCTGGACGTTCCAACCTACCTGACAATTTGAAAAAGCTGTTCAGAAGCGTGGCCATGTCCAAACCAGACAAGGAGTTGATTGCTGAGGTGATGCTATTTTCGCAAGGATTCAAGCAAGCCAAAGCGCTTTCTTCGCAGGTGGTGCCTTTCTTCGACCATTGCGCCCAGCGACTCTCCAAACAACCGCACTACGACTTCGGCTTGCGAGCTCTGAAAAGTGTTCTCGTCAGTTCTGGCGGGTTGAAGAGAATCAGGATTCAGACGTCAGAGGGGAGTCTCGATGATGAACGCACTCTCGAACCACAGATAATCGTGCAGAGTATCCGGGAAACCGTCTCGCCCAAGCTCATCAAGCAGGATGTGGAAACTCTCATTGAGCTGCAAGCCCAAGACTTCCCGGGGGTCGAATATGTGCCTGCAAACATGACCAAGCTCTTTGGCGCCATCCGGGAGGTCATGAAGGAAGAACATCTGACCGAGAGCGAGGCATGGATGACCAAGATTCTGCAGCTTTACCAGATTCAAAACATCCATCACGGCGTAATGATGGTTGGCCAATCTGCCTCCGGCAAGTCAGCAATATGGAAAGTTCTTCTGCAGGCCCTTCAAAAAGTGGAAGGAGTCGAGGGGGTGCAGCATGTCATTGACCCGAAGGTCATGTCCAAGGAAGCCCTCTACGGAAGCCTTGACAGTACCACTCGGGAATGGACCGATGGGTTGTTTACCGCAATTTTGAGAAAGGTCGTCGACAATCTACGTGGTGAGGACAACAAACGACACTGGATTGTCTTTGATGGCGACGTGGATCCGGAATGGGTCGAAAATCTCAACAGTGTGCTGGATGATAATAAGCTTCTCACGCTGCCGAATGGTGAACGATTGAATTTGCCGCCAAACGTGCGCATCATGTTTGAGGTGGAGAGCTTGAAACACGCCACTCTGGCCACTGTCAGTCGCTGTGGGATGGTTTGGTTCTCTGATGATACTGTCAGCCCATCTTTGATGGTGGATCACTATTTACAAAACCTCGCCAGCCGGACCTTCGAGGATCTTGACGACGAACTCAAAGCAGCAGGCTTGACCGCCAAAGCCGAAGGAACACAGCGCCACATCGTCGAGACACTCAGAGCCCTGATTAATCGGGACGACTTTCTACTTAAGGCCCTCTCGACAGCAGGCAATTACAAGCACATTATGGAGTTCACGTCTGCCAGAGCTCTGGAAAGCTTATTCAGCTTGTTGGCAAAAGCATGTCGGAGCGTGTTGGAGTACAACATTTACCACACCGAATTCCCGCTCGACCTTGAACAGAGCGAGGCGTTTATCTCGAAGAAACTCCTGTTGGCAACGGTATGGAGCTTTGTAGGTGACGCAGCGTTGAGCATCCGAAAAGAATTTGGAGACTTCCTGGCGACTATGACCAACATCGACCTCCCCAATATTGACAGTTCGACGTCTCTCATTGATTACGACGTGACGTTGCCCCATGCCCAATGGGTTCCGTGGCAGTCGCAGGTCCCTACGATTGATCTGAACACTCACTCGATCACCCAAACGGATGTCATCATCCCGACCGTCGACACCGTCCGCCACGAGGATGTTTTGTATTCTTGGCTGTCTGAACACAAGCCGCTGATGCTGTGCGGTCCACCAGGATCTGGAAAAACGATGACACTGTTCAGTGCGCTTCGAAAACTCCCGGATATGGAAGTCGTTGGCCTCAACTTCTCCAGTGCAACACAGCCCGAACTCATCATCAAGACATTCGAGCAGTATTGCGAGTACAAAAAGACACTCAATGGGATGGTCCTGTCACCGACTCAGCTGGGCCGGTGGTTGGTGATCTTCTGCGACGAAATCAATCTTCCCGCTCCTGACAAGTACGCAACCCAGCGCGCGATCAGCTTCCTCCGCCAGCTTGTGGAGCAGAATGGGTTCTGGCGTGCTTCGGATAGGGTTTGGGTGTCCCTCGAACGCATTCAGTTCGTTGGGGCGTGTAACCCCCCAGAAGACGTCGGCCGTCACCCTCTGGGAGCACGCTTCCTGCGGCACGCGCCGGTAGTTATGGTCGACTATCCTGGCGAAGTCTCGCTGAATCAGATCTACGGAACCTTCAATAATGCCGCCCTCAAGGTCATACCGACGTTGCGAGGATTCGCCGACCCCTTGACCCGCGCAATGGTCGAATTCTACTTGAAATCTCAAGCTCGTTTCACCCCAGACATACAGCCGCATTATGTGTACTCACCCAGAGAACTGACTCGGTGGGTCCGTGGCATATACGAAGCGATTGCCCCGCTCGAACACCTGTCAGTGGAAGGGTTGGTCCGTATCTGGGCCCACGAGGCTTTGCGGCTTTTCCAAGATCGACTTGTTGAGCCGGAAGAACGAGCGTGGACTGCTGACATGGTCAGACAGACTGCGTTGGAACACTTCCCAACAGCCAATATTGACCAAGCGCTCCAAGGTCCGATATTGTTCTCGAACTGGCTCTCCAAGCACTATGTGTCAGTTGAGCAAGAGCAACTTCGAGAATTCGTGAAAGCTCGCCTCAAGACGTTCTGTGAAGAAGAGGTGGATGTCCCACTTGTCCTGTTCAATGATGTCCTAGAGCACGCTCTACGGATCGACAGGGTCTTCCGCCAACCACAGGGTCATCTCATATTGATCGGTACGAGTGGTAGTGGCAAAACCACGTTGTCGAGGTTTGTGGCTTGGATGAATGGCTTGACCATATTCCAGATCAAGGTCCATGGCCGATACTCGGCTGAAGACTTTGACGATGATCTTCGAGGCGTCCTAAGAGCCTGCGGCTGCCGTGGCCAAAAGATCTGCTTTATCATGGATGAATCCAACGTGCTGGACTCTGGCTTCCTTGAGCGCATGAACACATTGCTCGCCAACGGTGAAGTTCCTGGGCTGTTCGAAGGCGACGAGTACTCGGCGCTCATGACAGCTTGCAAAGAAGGCGCTCAACGACAAGGGCTTCTTTTGGACTCACAAGAAGAGCTGTACAAATGGTTCACCCAGCAGATAGTCCGCAATTTGCACGTTGTCTTCACGATGAACCCTCCGCAAGAAGGGTTGTCGTCGAAGGCTGCCACTAGTCCGGCGCTCTTCAATCGTTGCGTGCTCAACTGGATGGGCGACTGGTCTGATCAGGCTCTCTTCCAAGTTGGGTATGAGCTCACTCAGTCGATCGATCTGGACAAAGCGAACTTCACTGCTCCTGACAGCCTCCCGATCGCATACCGGGACCTCTCCCTTCCTGCATCGCACCGTGACACCGTCATCAATGCAATGGTGCATATCCATTATTCGGTACAAAAGACCAATGACCGGTTGGAAGCACAACATGGCGTAACCACATATCTTACCCCTCGACACTACCTGGATTTTGTGACACAGTTCCGGAGATTGTTCCGAGAGAAGCGGGAAGACCTCGAGGAACAGCAACGACATCTCAATGTGGGTCTGGAGAAGCTCCGGGACACCGTTGACAAAGTACGGGATCTTAGAGCAAGTTTGGCCTCGAAAAAACAGCAGCTCGAACTCAAAGATGCGGAAGCCAACGAGAAGCTCCAGCGTATGGTTGCTGATCAGCGGGAAGCTGAATCAAGAAAGACTGCTTCCATCGAGATACAGACGGCGTTGGAGAAACAGGAGAAGGAGATCGCCAGCCGCAAGGAAATTGTGCTTGGTGATCTTGCCAAAGCCGAGCCTGCAGTCCTTGAGGCTCAGCGAAGTGTCAGCAATATCAAAAGACAGCATCTCACTGAGGTCCGGTCAATGGCCAATCCACCTGCTGGCGTCAAACTCGCTCTAGAATCGGTCTGTACCCTGCTTGGCCACAAGGTTGACAGCTGGAAGAGTATCCAGGCCGTAGTGCGGAAAGATGATTTCATTGCCAACATCGTCAACTATGACAATGAACAGCACATGACACCTGCTTTGCGGCAAAAGATGCGCCACGACTATCTGTCCAACGACGACTTCACATTCGAGAAAGTCAATCGTGCGAGTAAAGCGTGTGGTCCACTTGTGCAGTGGGTCGAGGCTCAAGTCAACTATTCTGAGATCCTAGACCGCGTTGGTCCACTACGTGCCGAAGTCGAGCAACTCGAGGACGAAGCTCTTCAAACCAAGGCCGAAGCCAAAGCCATTGAAAATACAATCATCAAGCTTGAAGAGAGCATTGCGACTTACAAGACCGAATACGCGGCTCTCATTAGCGAGACTCAGGCAATCAAAAGCGAGATGGCTCGAGTACAAACCAAAGTCGAACGCAGCCTTCGGCTTCTGGACAGCCTTTCGTCTGAACGTGTGAGATGGGAAGCTGCCAGCAAGTCGTTCGAGATTCAGATCCAGACCCTGGTGGGAGACGTGGTCATCGCCTCGGCGTTCCTGGCATACGCTGGGCTCTACGATCAACAATTCCGAAAAACTATGGTGGACGATTGGCTGCATCATATGTCTCAATCTGGTATTTCGTGCAAGACCGACGGGTCGGTGCTTGGGTATCTGTCCTCAGCAGATGAACGCCTCCAATGGCAGCGACATTCCCTTCCGGCTGATGACCTGTGCATGGAAAACGCGATCATGCTGAAACGCTTCAATCGATATCCCTTGATCATCGATCCGCCTGGACGCGTGACGGAGTTTTTGAGGCAGGAACATCAAGGACGAAAGTTAACCGTCACCAGTTTCCTTGACGATGCCTTTACCAAGCAGCTCGAGAGTGCCTTGCGTTTCGGTAACCCAATTCTAATTCAGGATGCGGAGTATTTGGATCCCATCCTGACGCATGTTTTGAATAAGGAATACCAGAAAACCGGTGGACGCGTCCTTATCCAGCTGGGCAAGCAAGAGATCGACTTTTCCGAACACTTCCAGTTGTATCTCTCTACCCGGGATCCGTCGGCTGCATTTGCGCCCGACGTCTGCAGCAGGACCACTTTCATCAATTTCACTGTCACACGAAGCAGCTTGCAGACGCAGTCGTTGAACGAAGTTCTCAAAGCCGAGCGGCCAGACGTTGACAAACGTCGTACCAACCTGGTCAAGATGCAAGGAGAATTCGACACAAACCTCCGACAATTGGAGAAGAGCCTCTTGCAAGCTCTCAATGAATCTCGCGGGAACATTCTCGACGACGACAATGTCATCCATACCCTCGAGACGCTGAAGAAAGAGGCAGCTGTCATCACCAAGAAGGTTGCTGAAACAGAAGGCGTCATGGCAGAAGTGGAACGCATCACTCAAAGCTACAGCCGCATTGCAAATGCATGCAGTGCCATCTTTGCTCTCCTTGAACAGCTTCACCACCTGAACCACAGTTACCGATTTTCGCTCCAGTACTTTATCGACATATTCGACTCGGTCCTCCATCATAACCCCCATCTGGCCGGCCAGACAGACCACAATGTACGTGGCGAGATCATCCTCAAGGACATCTTCGTGGAGACGTATCGACGAACTTCGCTGTCGATGCTACAGAAGGACCGGATCACCCTTGCTTTGCTACTTGTCCGCGCCACACCGTATGAGTTCGATCGCTTTGCCATGGACCTCGTTTTCGATGATCGGCCACACTCGCAGGGCGGTGTTCCTGCGGACGCTAGCAAGGAAGACATCCTGGCTGCCGTAAAGCGAATTCCAATATTCGATGAGAACAAGTTGAATGCCGAGAGTGAGGGCTGGAGCCAATTCTTGGCTGCCGACCGAGCGGAGCAATATGTGCCGGAGGTCTGGAACCACACCGACAATGTCATCGACCAGAGTCTGTACAAGCTACTACTTGTCAAACTCGCCAGACCAGACAGATTCTTGCCTGCAGCCGAAAGTCTGGTCGCCAGTGTTTTTGGACCGGAGGTCTTCCAAGCCTCGGATGACTTGGGAACAATTGTCAAGCAAGTCACTGCTTCTGTTCCGATCGCTCTTTGCTCCAATCCCGGATTTGACGCAAGCTACAAAGTGGATGCTCTGGTAGAGAAGCAGCACGCCACGTGCGCCAACGTCGCGATGGGATCGGACGAGAGTGCTGCAAGTGCGGACAAGGCAATCACGAGTGCTGCGGCGAATGGAAGCTGGGTATTGATCAAGAATGTTCATCTGGCACCGCAATGGCTACAAAGCCTCGAGAAGCGACTTTCGGCGCTGAAGCCTCATCAAGACTTCAGACTGTTCCTGTCAATGGAATCGAGTCCTAAGATACCTGTCAATCTGATTCAAGCTTCGAGAACTCTCGTGTACGAACAGCCGGCTGGCATGAGAGCCAATATGAAGGACACGTTGACAGTACTATCTGACCGAGGCGCAAGAACCCCTGTCGAACGTGGACGACTGTATCTTCTGCTTTGCTTCCTACATGCCGTCCTCCAAGAGCGGCTGAGATATGCGCCTTCTCTGGGATGGAAGGGGCTTTGGGAGTTCAACGACAGCGACTACGAATGCTGCTCGTTCATTATTGACTCGTGGATCGATGCTGTTGCCCAAGGTCGATCAAACATTGCCCCTGTCAAACTTCCTTGGGATCTAATCCGCACGTTGATCACCGAGATGTACGGCGGCAAGATTGACGATGAGCAAGATTTCTCGCTGCTTGGCCAAATGGTGGCCAAAGTGTTTGATGCTGCTGCTTTTGAAAACGACCATGAGTTGGTGTCTGATACTGAAGGGCATGTACTCAAAGTCCCATCTGGAACCACCATGCGTGACTTTTTGAGCTGGGTGGACAGTCTTCCTGAACGTGAACCACCAGCATATTTGGGCCTTCCTGCTAACGCCGAAAAACTGTTACTTATGGGTCAAGGACGCGAGACTATCAGCAATCTGGCGCGGATTACGGATCTGCTGGAAGAAGGCGAGCAGTCATTACCATCGAATGAAGACCGGGGCCAGGCAAGTCAAGCATAGGGGTAAAATAGAGAGTCTTTGGTAGACTTGGAACATTCTGGGCGTTGCAGATGTCCATGATAGAGTTGGTTCGTCTGAGATGTTTAGCTTGATTGGATGGGCGGATGGCGTTGGGTCTGGTGTACAGGCTTTCATTGTCTACAACTACTTGAGCGATTGGCGTTTGGGGCACCGAGGGGAGTGTTGTGTGTGGGTACATAGCATAGCATAGGATACTTTTTTCATTGTGTTAGACTTTGTAATAAACTGCATTGAGCCGTACTCGAGATAATGACAGAAGTACAGAGTAGAAGTTCTGATTGATAAAGCCATGTTCGAGGTTGATGAACCCCTGAATTACGCGGAGTCGGGAAACCTTCCCGCAGTGTCTGCAGCGCGGAATGCCATCAACACGGTGACACCGACTGCATGACATGCTGTGAGTGCTGAAATGACTGCAATGGTCCAGTTTGAGGCATCTACGTCTTGTCGGAGGGATAATTGACACGTATCTGCAGCGGTAGAGTCGTGGTATCTGTGTCGCAGTATCCACGCCGTTCGCCCATCCACCAGCCGCGGAAACTTGAAGGACACGTCTCTGCTGCGCCCATCATGAACAAGAACATCTTGCGAGCGGTAGACAACTAACCTCTGAACCGCCCTTCAAATCGAACCATCCTCCACCTGTCAGCCTGCCATGAGCACGTACACGAGTGCGAGTGCTCACAATGTAGAGGAGAGCATAGACGTTTCAGGTCTCAACTCCGGCGGCCCTCGTCCTGGCTCCGAGTCCTTGCCCAAATCATCTCCGCTACCGTTACCGTCGTTCGCTCCTTTTGCTGTCGATATGACCACAGACTACACGACCCCAGCGATTGCGATCGATCCCGTTGCGCTCATAACGACAGAATGTATCACCATCACCTCTGCCATGCGCAAGCATGCCCGGTGGGCACAGTCGTCGGTATCGGCCATCCTGGGAGGAGCATCGAGGCCTCAAGAGCAGGATCTACAACGACGGTTGTCGTCGCAAAGTGGTCGAAAGGGCCCTACGATTTCCGACCCGGGCAAGACCAAACTCAACGTCACCAACAGTGCGACCTCGGACGACGACGAGAATGCCAGTCTGGCCAGTCGGTGGGGCCTGCGTGGGAAGAAGGGCAAGCCCACGCCGGACAACCCTCTGCTTTCGGCGTTTGCACGCTTGAGAAGGGATCTGGCGGGTTGCAAGGACGTGCGTAGCGTCGATGCACCGGAACTGCTTCATCCTTTCTTACAGGTCATCCGAAGCTCTTCGACCAGTGCGGCGATTACGAGTCTGGCGGTAATCTCGGTCACCAAGTTCTTTGCCTACAATATCATCACGACGAAAAGTCCACGGATCGCCTTGGCCATGCATTTGCTGAGTGCTGCTATAACGCATTGTCGGTTCGAAGCTAGTGACACTGCTGCGGATGAGGTGGTTCTCCTACGCATTCTACGGCTCATGGAACTCATTATTTCCCGACCAGAGGGTCTCCTGCTTGGAGACGAGAGTATCTGCGAAATGATGAGCACGGGGTTAAGCATGTGTTGTCAATCCCGGCTCTCAGAGGTTCTCAGGAGGTCGGCCGAGATGGCCATGGTCATCATGTGTCAAGTCGTCTTTAGCCGGTTGAAGACGCTCAAAATCGAACAAGTTCCCAAGGTCGAAGGAGGGAGGAGTCGTTCTAATACCAAGACGGCCGCCGCCGATGGTGATCTCAAAATTGAGCCGCCCATGACGGGAAGCGTCATGGGCAACGGCGAGCTGGCGGATCGTCCGAGTGTCGATGTCGAAGGAGGCTCCTCCTCGACTGCTGAAGACGCCGGGGCCGGCGCCGAATCCAAGGCCGCTTCCTCGTCGGAACCTCAGCATTCAACCGTTCCGACGCATGCTAATGGGTTAGAGAATGTCGAGCCATATGCATTGCCGTCGATAAAAGAGCTGTTTCGAGTTTTGATCGACCTCTTGGATCCCCATGACAAAACCCATACCGATCCCATGCGTATCATGGCTCTGAGGATTATAGACATTGCCCTGGAGGTCTCAGGGCCCTGGATCGCCAGACAACCCGCGTTAGCTGCCCTTGTGCAGGATGATCTCTGCCGCCATTTATTCCAGCTCGTCCGATCCGACAATATGGTGCTTCTGAACAGCTCCTTGCGTGTTGCCGGGACTCTGTTGGCCACGTGTCGACAACTACTGAAACTACAGCAGGAACTGTTCCTGTCATATTTGGTGGCGTGTCTGCATCCGCGGGTTGACATTCCGCAAGAACCGGGAATTGATCCGTCGCTATACGAAGGGGTGCCGCAAGCTCCAAAACTGGTCAAGCCGGCCCCATCCCAAGCCAGCAGTGGCCGATCCACGCCGGTGCCTATCAAGGACAGGCAGAAGCTGGGGCTAGAAGGAGGGGCCAGGAGGCCCGAGGCCAGAGAGGCCATGGTGGAAAACATTGGGACTTTGGTCCGCATGCCGAGTTTCATGGCCGAACTCTTTGTCAACTATGATTGCGAGGTGGACAGACAGGATCTTTGCGAAGACATGGTTGGTCTCTTGTCACGGAATGCTTTTCCTGACGCAGCCACCTGGAGCACCACGAATGTGCCACCTTTGTGTCTGGATTCCCTGTTGACCTTTATCCAATTTATGGCCGAACGGCTGGACCAGGAACCCCCTCCAGGCACTGAAGAACGAATTGAAAAGATGAGGATGCAAAGAATTCGGAAGCGCATCATCAAAAGCGGCGCATCCAAGTTCAACGACGACCCCAAAGCTGGCGTGGCTTACCTGGTGAGAAACGGCATCATCCAGGATCCGGACGACCCTCGCCAGGTAGCCCAGTTTCTCAAGGGCACGTCGCATGTTTCTAAGAAAGTTCTCGGCGAGTTCCTGACGAAACGAAACAACGAACGGCTGTTGACCGCGTTCATTGACCTGTTCAACTTCCAGGGCATGCGCATCGACGAGGCCCTGCGAGAAATGCTGGGTACTTTCCGTCTTCCCGGCGAGTCGGCCCTCATCGAACGTATAGTCAATACATTTACCGAAAAGTACTGTGCGACAGTCTCGACGGACGAGATTGCCGACAAGGACGCGGCCTTTGTGCTCACGTATGCCATCATCATGCTCAACACCGAGCTGTACAACCCCAATCTCAAGTCACAGAAACGCATGTCTTATGAAGGGTTCGCGCGCAACTTGAGGGGAGTCAATGCCGGCCAGGATTTCCCGCCGGACTTGCTTCAAGAAATCTACGACGCCATCAAACAGAACGAGATCATCCTGCCGGATGAGCACGACAACAAACATGCATTTGAGTATGCGTGGAAAGAGTTGTTGATGAAGACGGCCGAGGCCGGCCCCTTGGAGCTATGTGACAGCAATGCCTTTGACGCCGAAATGTTCAAGGCCACCTGGAAACCCATGGTCGCCACGCTCTGCTATGTCTTTATCTCGGCCTCGGACGACGCCGTCTTTTCTCGTGTCGTGGTGGGTTTCGACCAATGCGCGCAGATTGCCGCAAAATATGGAATCACCGAAGCTTTTGACAGGATCGTGTATAGCGTGAGCCAGATCACCGGTCTGGCCGCCGAGGTGCCCCCCAGCACCGCATTGAACACCGAGGTACAGGTTGGCAAGAAGAGAATCATGGTCAGCGAGCTGGCCGTGCGGCTAGGCAGGGACTTCCGAGCCCAGTTGGCAACCGTGCTGCTCTTCAGGATCCTGTCGAACCGTGAAACCGCCGTGGGCGACACATGGAGCTACCTGGTGCGCATCCTGAGGAACCTGTTCGTCAACTCATTGATTACCTTGCCGAAAGTCGAAGAGACTCGGCTCGCCGACTTGGGCCCTATCCCCCTTCAGCCGCCTTCACAGGTCATCGATCGAGATGGCCGGTTGGGTGATAGTGGCATTTTTTCTACTTTTACTTCCTACCTGTCGAGTTACGCCGCCGACGACCCGCCGGAGCCGTCCGAGGAAGAGCTAGACAATACCTTGAGTGCAGTCGACTGCGTCAAGGCGTGTCAGCCCGATGTGGTCCTCAAGCGCATGGCTGCCTTGCCGCCTGAGCAGATCAAATCTCTGGTGTCCGCCATTTTGTCCCAGATGGAGGAGCTGTCTCCGGTCGTGGCTGTCAAGCCTGAACGTCCTATGCCCGTCACTGTCCGGGTCAACGGACACCGAATGCAAAAGTCTGGTCCAGAGTATGACCCTGGCACCGTTTTCTTGCTTGAGTTGGCAACTCTACTTACCTTGAGAGATGACGAAACCATCGCGGCCGCTGGTGAGGTGTTGACAGGTGCACTGCAGAACGCGGTCCGAGATGCATCCAACTTTCATCCTCTGGCCGCGGCCAGGGTGGTGCATTATCTTCTGGAGCTGCTACGGTACAGCTATGTGAGTTTGACTCCATAAAAATCAATATGACTGTACGTGCCAACTAACTTTTGTTCTATAGACACACGATTTCATGCGTGCCCCAGTTGTGCTTCATGCCATCTCCAGCTTTGACGACACTGTTCTGGACCGCACCGCCGAGGCCGTCACCAGGGGCCTCGCCAACGCCATCGCCGAGCCTGGCCCGTTGCGCAACGAAGTGACCAAATCCCCGGACTTTTGGTCGATATTGCAACGACTACACCAACACAAGAGCGAAGGCGAATCCGTGTTTGAGATACTCACCACCTTGGCCACGTCGCAGCCGACGGCGGTGACGGCGGACAACTTCGAGTCGGCGATTGCATTGGCCAACGACTTTGCCACGGCCGGATCGATAGGGTCGATCCAGGAGAAACGGCGCGACTTTGCGGCCAAGCGAGGCCACCAGGCGAAACCGGCGCGCGATGAGGATATCGTGGTTGTCCAGCGGGCCGTCAAGGCTATTGGTCTTATCTACCAGCTCAGCGACCGCGTGCCGAGTCTGATTGCGCAATCACATCTTGAACGCCACGAGGCCTGGGCGGCGTACTGGTCACCCGTGTTTCGGGCGCTGTGTTCACAGTGCGTCAACCCTTGTAGGGAAGTGCGGCATCGTGCGCTCTCGGCGCTTCAACGTACTTTGCTGGCTGAAGCTGTGGCTGCAGGGTTGGAGACAACAGATGAACATAATGGCAAAGATGAGGTTTCTCAGGATGATGACGAACAGAGACAGGGGGTGGAAAAGCAGCATGCTGAATGGACGGCCATTTTCGACGAGGTTCTGTTCCCCTTGACTTTGCGACTCCTCAAACCCGAAATCTACCAGCTTGACCCGCTGGGGATGAATGATACCAGGGCCCAGATCGCCTCGTTGTTGTGTAAGGTGTTTCTACGGTACTTGGACCGTCTGGTCGAAGTCCACCGCATGGCTGATGTCTGGGTTAAAATTCTGGAGCTGTTGGATCGCCTGATGAATGCGGGTACGGAGGGAGCTGATGCCCTTGCCGAGGCCGTGTTGGAGGGCGTTAAGAATGTTTTGTTAGTTATGGATGGGACGGGGTATTTGGAGAGAAGTGGCGAGAACAAACTTGTTCGAGCACCACGCAAGAAAATAGCGGTCCGTGGCAAGCAGCGACGTCCGCCACAACGTCAGGGACATGGACGAAGTCAAAGCAGTGCAGGAACAGATAATGAGGAAACCAAGGATGGACAGACCAGGTCGTCGTCCGACGCTGGTGCACGGGATCCAGAAACCGGGTTCCAAGAACAAGAGACTGAAGAAGACGGCAACGAGAGCGAGGAGCGACGACCTGTGGAGGAAGGAGAAGATGAAGACAACGACGAAACGGGGATGGAGGAAGAAGAGCAACAAGAAGAAGAAGAAGAAGAAGAAATCCAAGTCTGGCCCGAGACCGTGACTCGGTTGAATCGGTTTTTGCCCGGATTGGTCGACGAGTTGTTTCCTACACCACCACCTCCTCAGCCTGAACCGGCTTCTGCTCAAGCGGGTGAAGTGAACAGCGGTGGTGGCGGTGCTACTTCTGATGAGAATCGGAAGCTTGCTGCTGGTGGTGGTGATGGATCAAGACCACAGACGAGAGATGGGGGTGGCGGAGCGGAAAAAAGATGAGATAGCTAGGTAGATACGTAGCTGATTGTACGCATCACCCACCCCGTAGGCTATGATCTTGACTGGTGAAGGTCAGAGCTTGTAAGAAGCAGTCTGCAAGCAGCAATATAACGGTATGTCATTTTGATGGCGATTGTGATAGGTGATATAAATTAGGTACTTATGCTATATTATGGTATGTCATCGTAGAATTTTGGAGGCTGCTGGTCCTACAGTACCAACCTGTGAGAAATCAATCACCTTACTAGAAGAGCAGGCAGGCCATGGACGGTCTAGGCAGCTTATTTACATAAGTGTGAGTCGATAGTGATAGGACCTAGTTGGCTACACTATTTTTCCAAAAAGTCCAAGGTCTCTTTGGGCACGGATCGTTCTCCTTCATTTTAGTATCGATGGAGAGAAGGAGACACGCGCACACACGTATATATTTACATAGATAGATAGATAGATATGGTAATATGTAGATATACAGGTAGGTACCTATATGTGGCTCTTTCTGCGGTAGTGACCCCGGACCTCAGACCGGACCCAAGATCAGACCCGACTCGATTGCCCTTAATACCCAGCGCCATCCTACGCCGCTCGGACTAGCATGCATAGGAACAAGTCGCTGACACAGCCCAGATCAAGACGAGGAGTAATATGCTCGAGTGCGGCAGCGGGAACGGCAGCGGCATGTACTTCAACACCAGGGCTGACATGCCAGTGAAGCGCGCCGAGGACGGGACGATTTTGATTGTGTCAGATGGATAACTGCTGCTGAGCTGAGCGTCGGTATCAGCGTCGGCAACAGCATCAGTAACATCGTCCTGGACACATGTCTGTATCTCTGTCTGCGTCTGTGTCTGTGTCTCTGACTCGTTCTCTGCAGGAGCCTCAGTTCCACAATCAGACACATGTCTCAAGGGCACCGACGGGTTCAAGCTTTGCTTGTCATTTTTGCACGAGTGCTCGTGCGCATCCCCAGCTTTGTCTGTTGCCGTCCCTAGGCAACCTTGGGCGGAACTGATCGACAGGCCACAATCTTTCAAGGGCGTCCGGTTTGAGTTTTTGCCGTCGGCAAGATTAGTCCCCATGCCCACGCCCAAGCCCATCACCGACCAAGTCTCATGGACATCAATTGATGATATTGATGATGACCGAGATGAGACAACCACACCATTGTTACCATTCTGCCTCAACAACGAGCGCGTGAGCGTCTCCTTTCTCAAAACCGAACTCATGGCCGTCTTGACCTCTGCCAATTCCGTCTGCAGGGACTCAGTTGAAGCAGCGACTTGGTTCTTCATGTCGAGCAGTTGACGTTGAAGATCGCGGATCTCGTCCATGGCATGGGATAGACGTTTCTGCCACACTAGGTCTGGGTTGGGATTGTTGGAAGTCGTCACCCCAAGGGCTTGCGAAGACTGTGTGGTAACAATGGCAGCAGTAGCTGCAGCAGGACAATTTGAACAAGTATTATATGCTGGGGGAGGTGTTCCGTTGCCCTGACCCTGACCCTGGCCATGAGCTTGATCTACCTGTGAAAGCCTGCGGTGCTGATGAAACGAAGTGGTGGTAGGAGTCCGCAATTGTGAGGGCGCGTAGACGCCAGAAAAGGATGTGGAAATCGGAGTCGGAGGACGCATCCGCCGCGGCGGATATGCAACGTTGGAAAAACTGAAGCTCGATCGACCCGACACAATTCCGTCTTCAGACCCAAAAGTCATGGCCGTGGCAGTGAGCGGACTGCCCCAGCTGGCGGTACTGCTGCTGACGGGCGTGAACTCGTCGTCCTCGAACCTCCAGGGGATATTGTCAAATGTCGTTTTTAGAGATTTGATCAGCGTATCGTTGGTGACAGAGGCTTGAGCGCCAGTGTCTAGAGTCAGTTTCGCCGCCGCAGCCACGGCAACAGCCGAAGTTGAAGCTGACGCAGCCGGTGGTGTCGGCGGCGGCGTGTCTCTTTGCGACCGTAAGCGGCCAAGAGCCGTCTTGACCATGGGCAACAGATGAGCCAGGGCCCATTTGCCGATGGCATCGACCCAGACGAGAAACGAGTGGAAATGCTCATCCTTGCTCAAGTCGAACTTGCACAATGGAGACATACAGTACGCTTGACCATGGTCGATCCAATGGATATTCAGGACGGCGAATGCGTTGTCAATGACGCAGGAAAAGGCCACTGGAAGTTCTGGCATCAATTGGCCCTTCCATGCCTTTGCGTACAGCATGTGAAGAGCGCGCACGCAACATGCCCCGCCGACGGCGCTTTGGTTGTTGGCGGCTTCGAAGCGTTTTTCCTTTTCGCCGTATGCCCGCTCGAAAATCAGGAAGGGACAGTAGAGTGCGGCGCCCGGAGAGATGTAGCCGGTGTCGAAGTGGACGATGGTGCCGGTCGCCACTAGCCAGGGTGGGAGAACGGCTGTCTCTTCGGCACTCAGGGCAGACGATGAAAATCCACATCCGAGTCCAGACCGTGGCACTTGGAGCTCGTAGAAGGGGCCCATCTGGTTCAGGGCCCGTTCGGGAAGTGTCTCGCGGCTGAAGCAGGGGATCATACAGCGTGCAAGTCTGGCCTCGTCATCAATGGATGGGAGGAGATTTGGTGGGAAAATAGGGGACGGGCCGAATCCGCGACCGGTCTTGACTTGTTCCCGGAAGGCGTGCTTGAGCTCAATGTACCTCGAAGCATTTGGCAGGTCTGCTTCGACCAACTCGACCAGTGATGCTGGGATCTTTTCTCCAGGTGCAGATTCCATGATCCGGATGCGGTGGGGTCCTAAGACTTGTTGACGGAATTGTCTCCAGGAGAGATGGCTCCCATCGTAGCAGAAGGGAGGCAAGTCGGAAGCAGCGGTGGTCTTAGCAGCAGCCATACAGTCACCTGCCGACGTCGACAGAGGTTCCGATGATGTGTACTTTATGGTGATGGTTTCCTTGTCAGGCTCAATGGCGATATCCATCGTGTCTGTGAGTAGACTACCTGTTTCTCTGTTCTGTAACTGATATCAACGAGCTTCGAAGTTGCTGTGGCAGTGAGGGACGACTCTTCTGGCAAGTAGGAAGTGTCCTGGCAGTGGTAGCGTGTCGAGAGCGAGGAATGCAGTATATGGGTACCACTGTGGCCGCGGTTTGCACGCATGGCAGTTCAACACGGGGCATTATCTCCGTACCCCATACTAGCATCACATGGGAACATCCGAACTCACTGTTTCTGTGGCGTAGCCGCCCATTAGAAGACGGTGCTAGCAGCCCGGAACTTACCTGAATTGTATACGGAAAGGAGAAAGCTTTGGTTGCACAGGCGGCTGCAGAGGACGGACCACTTACCTGGCTTAACCGTGGTAGAACTTTGTGCTGAACCATACCAGATATGCCTTATCAACGGCGCTACCAGAACAAAGTCCGAAGCTTGTTTGGCGGTTCGGACAGGGATTGGATGTGGCCGGGGTATTTTAAAACCACCCTCGTTGTGGTCGACCTCCGGTCCCAGGACGATCCAGGGGTGTGGAACGGGAGACGCTCTCACAAATAAGTCGCGGCACCTGGGTCCTTGAGTCGGTCTCGTCACAGTTGCGGATTAAGAGTCGCTGCGGGTGGACGAATGACTGGACAGATCCAGAGATTGCGAAACATTTCGGCGCTTATGCTTGAAGCTCGATAGGCTGACCGGCTTTCCGAGGCTGAAACGTGTAACTGTGCTGAACCGACTGTCCAAGTGGAATGTGAACCATACACACTGTCAGAGGTTTAGGCGTCCCATAAACAGAAATGGCTGGGAGAGGTAGTGTGTAGTTTCCAGGCGGGATTCGTGAAGATGGAGGAGGCATGAGAAGTCTGCCCCTGAGCAGAAGCCGATATGATTGGCCAGCCTTGCGGACAGAGCCCATCAAAACCTTGATCAGCGCGCACATGATGCGGTGACCGGCGCTGCCGCTTGCTTATATCACACCTTCCGAGCCGGCATATCACTGAGCCGAACAAAGATCTGATAGAGGTACAGTTTGGTTGATCTAATCTTAGGGACAACTCTGCTCCTCGACCGAGCTGTCGGATCTTCACCGCTGGTTTGGAAAACAGTCCCTAAGCCCAGCCATTCTCAACCACCCTCCCTCACGTTGCAACACCCCGTCATTGAGCGCCACATGCATCATAGTGTATGCAGCCCACTACACCAGAATTGTACAATGTTTGTAGGACACACCAACCATGGCACTGTTTCTGCAGCTTGCAATGCTGGCTGTTGCCATCAAAATTCCCGTGCCCAGCGCGGTAAACTATCGACAATCACATTTCTGATCACGCCGCGTCTCTTCCTTGATGGCTGGCTACGCATTTCGAGTTGCGGAGGTACATAGACCTCTTGCGTCACCATCACAGAGTCCTTTGCCAGCTCAACTCTCTTGTCAAAACCTTGCAATAAGTCAAGTATAGATTGTAGCCTGCAGTTCTCGGCCCATATCAGTATGCTCCGTATCCGGGCTGCCATGGCTTCGACATCTCTCTCATCATCGAGTCGGTACGTTCTGATGGTAGCCATCCCATGAGGCAGACAACCTTCTGAATTATGTGTATTGAGACACGCAGTCTTGCCGTTGATAGCAAGGGAGAATGACTGGGCCGCCTTGCTTAAGCCCCAAAGGAAATCCAGGTCATGGTAACGTTTCGCCGGCTGTTGGACGGCAGCTGCAAAGACCATCGGCGCGTTGTTGCAAGCCGCCGCAGAATCAGCGCAGGCATTCCTTGCGGCGGCCATAGATCCTTCGTGGCTCTCCAGCACCAGGAACGGCCAGAAAACATCGGGCACAGGCTGTGAAAGCTTGTCAAGGTCACAAGGTTCGTTTCGGCTGTTGGCAATGATCCCGCGTTGTAACTCAAGCTCGTGAGATGTAAAGGCGTCGGACGAGTACCCGAAGGTAAAGGTAGGTTTGGGTGTCGGGAGTTTAGTTCTCCAGGATCCTTCCATCTCAAAGCCGGGCAAGCCGTGAGGAACGCTGTCCTGGTGGAAGGCACTGTTGGTGCCAAAGTTGATGATTCCGTGTTTCCGGGACACTTGTAGAAGCAAGGGTGCAATGAGACGCGTTATGCCTTTGCTGCTTATATGCTTCTGAGCTCGTACCCGCTGGACGAGCTTGGCGGACTCTGGGCTGTGATGCCTGACTTCACCGTAAGGCATGCCTAAGGCGAAAGCCAAGCGACACCACCTCTCATCATCCATCTGCTCGTGCTCAACACTAATGTTGCTTGTTTCAAGGGTAGTGGATCGGTAGGTAGACGAGCCGAATGAGCTTGTAGGACTTCGAGATTCATTGCTGCTGATTGTGGAAGACGTTTGCCGACGGTGACGGGAAAGGCTGATAGGAGATCGCGTCGAGGAGGGCATTTTCGGCACCCTGATTGATATTAAGGTGAGATTGTGGGGGATCGTCCAAGTGAGGTTGACAGCCGGCTCAAGTATGAATGCTCAAGGGCTTTTGTAGGCCAGCAAGTACCGCCTCCAGAAGGAATGTTGGACTTGGACATCTTATTGCCCTCTTCTCCTTGTGGGACGCGCCGTGAAGCCATTTGACGGTCAACAACTTGATATTTCTATTTTGAGGCATGGCTACTGCAGAGCTGCAGCAAAGATAGATGGTTCTAGGCGCCATCGTCGAAGGGCGCCAGAACTGGGCTGCAGGTCTGCCTCCATTGGATGAGAAGGCGTCAAACGAGCCGCGAGGGCTGGAGTTTCATGCCCTACTACCTCGGGCACGCAGGAGGCGGTCAGCGTGCTTACCTTCATTTGCCTACCTTAGGAACTGAAGCTTTCAAACACCCACCTTTAAAATCTGTCCTTGCGTGGGTGGAAGATCTCACGACGAACTAGACGGTTGTGGGAGGTTGTTGGGCTCCACCCCTCCGGAGACTGAAGGAGGAGTTGCTGAGTAATATCTTCTGCAAGACCTCTTCCCCGCGACGACAACCACCATCCTTCTCTATCACGTTCAACATCATCAGCAGCAGCCTTCAAGTTGGAGACACAAGAGTCGAGTACCTTTTATGCCAGCTGGCCCCTTTTACCCGTGCTCTGAATCTCCAATGTTCGACCAGGACATCGCGTGACCAACAGACGAAGATCCTGGATACTGCTTATACTATCTCTCATACTTCACAGCCAGCCCTGTCGGGCCCGAGATGGGAGTGCCATGAGACGAGCACCAAGTTGGCTCAAGTCCACAGGGAGCAAGGGCACCACCAGCACTGTTCGTCTGGCTCTGAACCCATATCGACCCACCTCCCAGGTTCGAAGGGCCATCTCCTCACCAAGTATAGCAGCCGTTACTGTCAGACCTAAGTCAGGGGTGCGATCATTCATCTCATCTGTATCCGTACAACGGAATACCACAATGGCCCAACAACCAGGGGCAAAGGACACGGGGACTCCCGAGCAGTCACACCCACGACCGCCTCCTCCCATCACGCATATCCTCGAAACATGTCTACAGGTCAAAGACCTGAAAGCATCCACGGCATTCTACAGAGACATTTTGAATGTCCAGCCTTTTCTTGATACTGTAAGTCATGTACTGTAACTGATCGCACCCACCCACTGCATTCAAGCAATGTCAATACCAGTCAACGACATGTCCTCCAAGTCATTCATTGCTGCCTCAACCTCTTTGCTAAACCATAAGAGACCATGTGGACAAACATGCATTTCCCGAGCATCAAAGTTGCCATTCACTCTATAACCATTTCAGTCTAAATCACTTCCCGCCTGAAAATTCATCAATGTCGACCGAATTTATGTGTGTGTTCCTACGCATTTCCCATTCATACCATCAAGACATCGACCCCTTCAATTCTTTAATGCCCAACTAATCATGTCACCTTTAATTCTCCCCAAAAAGCCACGAATGTCCGGCTTCTCCTTCGCTCAAACCACCCTCCTCCTATTCCAGCTCGGCGCCACTGCAGCAGACTCACACATGCCCGACAACCGTGGCACGATCCCCGGTCACGGGCCGACGCAGAATATTCTTGATTTACTACTGCCCGCCTACAACACTACCACCTCCATTTCTGCCTCCGAGGAAGATTCCAAAGTATCATCTTCTCCTTCTCCGTCGACCCCCGGAAGCCTACATCAGCACTTTTGTTTCGCAGTCCCGTCGCCAGATGACGTGAGCGCATGGGAACAATGGTTCAAAGAGAAGAAGGTCAAAGTCCTCGGCAAAGTCGAGTGGCCGAGGGGTGGACGGAGTGTGTATTTTGCCGATTTGGATGGGAATGTTGGGGAGGTGGCTAGTCGGGGGATTTGGGGACATTATTGAGAGAAAGAGACATTCCGCCAATGCTACTGACCCACGATGAATGAGCCACGGAGAGGGAATCGAAGAGATTTGGGATCTCAGCCAAGGAAAATATGAGACGATAACGAGACGATGCTAAGGGTGGGTGGACATGAAAAGAATGAAAACACAACATTTGATTTGCGTTCTCGGCTGGATTCCTTGTTTCTATTGCAGGTGAAACGACACTTTTTGCTCTATTCCCTTTCTTCTCAGCTCTTCCCGAGCAATCAACTGCCATACCCTACTGTGGTTTCTGAGCATGCACGCATAAGTCATAAACAGATGGACTGTTTGAAAGCTGACCGAGACCAACAACCAACTACCTAGCTGCCAACTTCGTTCAAGACGCCACCATCCAACTTCAGCACCTCACCATTGACATAACCACATTTGGACAAGAAGATGACGCCCATGGCCATTTCCTCATCACTGCCTGCACGACCAGCCGGCACACTGTGGCCCTTTTCCTCGACCTTTTCCTTGGGCATATGGGCCTTGTTATCCTCGTCGGATCCCTTCATGGTCATTTCGGACGGGAAATAGCCCGGCGCGATACTGTTGACGCGGATTCCGGTCTTTGCAAACTCCTTGCTCATCATGCGCGAAAGATGAGCAGTGGCCGCCTTGGCGGCGTTATAGCTGAAGTGAGCCTGCGAGTCTCGCATCATGCCGGACATGCTGGAAATCACAATGACGCTGCTGGTTTGGCCCTTCGGTGCCCGTTGCAAGAGTGGCAGGAATGAAACCACCGAGAAGAACACACCCGTCACGTTGGTGTTGTACGTCGAGTTCCATGCTTCGGGGTCTTCCTCCCACAGCTTGGCCTTGAGTTCGTGGGCGTCGCTGGTGTCGGGTCTTCCCTTGGGTCCGGAGACACCTGCGGCCGCGACGACCAGCGACAAATACTTCTCCTTGGACTCTAACTCGGCCGTAATCCGTTCAAGGTCTTCCTTCTTGGTCACATCGCATGGGCCGATCGGGATGATTTCCCCGTTGAGACTGCTGTCGCGAGACTGTGGGCTGTGCTTTTGCGCCGCGTTTTCCAGCACTTCCTTTCTTCGTCCGGTGATGTACACTTTGGCGCCTGTGAGGGGAACGTGGTCAGATGGGAGTTCTGAGTAGAGAGGTTTGTTGACACATTACCATTTGCTGCGAGCGCTTGGGTGGCCATGAGGCCAATCCCGGTTCCTGATCGACTGTCGTTAGCCCAACAAGCGGCAAAATGTAGATCATAGGTCCGTACCTCCTCCAGTCACGAGACAGACATAGCCTTTGAGCGAGAACAAATTGGCAATGTGGAGGTCTTCAGTGGATGCCATATTGAGTGGAAGTTTAGGTGAACTGGACGCGGATGCTTGACAGTTTGCAGAAGGGTTACAATGAGAAAAACTGGAAGTGGTTTCGTGCCAGTGAGGTAGAAAAAGTACAGATTATATTGAGGCCAAGGTTCAAGTTGTGGGCGAGTGTCGCGTGCAATCGTCAAGTTCGCACCTGCAGTGATTGAATCGCACTCAGTGACCGTCTATGACGTCAGTAAGGCAACGGCGGACCCCTGCAAAAAGGGGCAATTGAACTGCGGATATCATTTCCGCAAGGAGTTTGCTTCCATCCACAGCCTCGCGTCGCGGCCCTGGTCTTCCTCTAAATCTCAGCCTCTACTAGGATTGTCCCTTTGCTATTCCTCCAACAAACCACATATGCCTGGGTGTTCGAAACATATCGCTCCGTACTGGCACCGGTTGTGCCTAGGATCTGATCCCGTAATGTCATGCTGGAGGGCACCGGCCGCGATCTTTCTCTGTGAGATGTATGATGGGCCTGAGAATGCAATGTGCCACTTCCCAATTTGATCGGGGGCTGCGAACAAATTCAATGCTCGGAAACTGGCTCGACCGAATGGGTACCAGACGCCGCAGTATCCAGATGTTGACTCGATCATTGCCCTAGGAAATCTCGTAAAGGTAACATGGTGGACGTACACTTCCTGCTCACGACGCCAGTGCCAAAGCCGCCATGGAACGAACACCAGCCTCCGTCTTGTGACCTCCAATAAAGCCGCTTGCATGCACGAAAACGGCACCATCCTCGACGTTATCCCCCAAGAGAGCATCCAGCTCTGCATCTCTCACACCACGCCAGGATTCCGGCAGACTCTTGCGGTTCTCAAAGCTTGACAGGTCTTTGCTGACAGCCTGAATCCTCCATTTTGATCCTGGCTCTTCTTTCTCCGGGTATATCACGTACAGAATCTTCTTTTCCGCTGGCAAGCCCGCCTCCTCCTCTATGTTGTAAAGATGTTCCTTCCACGGAATTCCAGCGCGGGGCAAGACCAAGAGCTGTCCAGAAGGATGCGCACTCTCACGCGCTGCGAAGGCTTCCTTGACAATGGCTCGAGCGGGAAGCCACGCGGTGGCCGCGCCGTGGAGTTTGCGGAGAAATGCCTTACCCATAAGAGCAGAAGCTTGAGAGAAACGGTAGTCCTCTTCTGCTTGCGGCTCTTCCTCGGTGTTCCTCGAAGGCGTCCCCAGCGCCAGGGGATCCTCATGATTCATGTCGTTGACCAGACTTGGAAGAGTGATGCCACCATCTTTGAATCTCTTTTCAATGCCTGCTTTCTCTAACAAAGCGTCGTCGTACTTGGAAATGCCGTTATCATTGGCGTCGATCGCCTCGACGAAATCGTCGTACAACTTCCGGTAGAGGAGGTCCACGTCAGGATGATCAATCGGAAGTCCGGTATGCTGAGCAATGATGGCTTCACCGAAATGCATGTAGACAAGTCCAGCGGAAGACAGTTTGGTCTTGTGGTCCGGGAAGGCTGTATCGAATGTGCGCTGGTGGTGGTCGTAGCGATTTAGGGACACGTCGTACTCCCCACCAACATCAACGACTGTATGGCAAGTGTCAAGCAGGCCAGGATCGCGCGTTCTGATCAGGCTGGCAGAGGCATATTCCGGAAGAAGACGTAGCATGTACACGGCCAGGGCTTCGTCGGCGTGGAAATGGCCATTGTGAGTCCCAATGAGGCGAGGAGCAGTCTTGACCCTCTTGACCGCTGTTTCCGCCGCCATCTTGAACTTGAGCAGGTTACGAAACATACAACAGAGTCAAGTGGCGGTCTTGAAGGAATTCTCTGTGCTTTGGGCCTGGGCCTATGAACGATGCGACATTATTTTGCACGGCAACGACCGCAGCCAAGAAGCGGAATCTGGGGATCTTTCGGAATAATATTTCGCCGAACCAACGGCTGCGCTGCGATTCAAGTTCAATTGCTCTTTCCCAACAGGAGGAAATTGGAACACCAAGATACAGTATTATCCTACGATACTCACCTTGACATTTTTATCCGGTCAAAAAGTCTGCCTGAAGCTCTTCTTGAGTTTGTTCAGCTTGCCATCTTCCAGCAAAAATACGTCTTGACGCCATCTTCGACCGGGTCCCCACGTGTGTTGGTCCTCTACTACATAGTAGTAACGCACCGCCCAGACAAGGGTCCTGTCATACCAAACTCCATCGAGGTATAGTCGCAAACCAGGGATGTCTTCGGCAAGGAGGCTAGGAGTGATCAAGTTAGGCGGGCGCAAGAAGAGAGACTCTGTTTGGTCGCTTGTTTTCTTGCGGTGAGAAGGGAAAATTGTTCGACACCGATTATTATAGGAGAGCCAGGCGAGTGATGCCTGGGCTGCTAGTAGTATAGCATCAAGTAGTATCTCTGGCATGAAAACAATTGTTTTTATTTTCATCCCTTGCTCACACTGTAAAGCCTACAACGTACAAGTAACAAGCTGAAGATAGGCCATTGCGACTGGCTGTGACGAAGTGGCCAGGCCCATTTCTCTTCAGGGATAGATTTCTGCTGCCCTGTTTTTGTCCTGCACCGCAGCTGGCGGCCGCCCAACCAACAAGCAAAGACGCCTTCGCTGCACCAGCACTGCACGAACTTTGCAGTGAATCCCGGACCTCACTGCAACTTGAAAACTGCGACTCGCTCGCTCGGCGTATGCAGCACCAACAAGTGCCAGTCAAGCACGCGACATTCTGCCCACTTCCAACCTGCATTTTGTCCCTTGTTTCTCTTGATCCCGTCCTATCCTCGACACCTTTCCTCGACACCTTTCCTCGCTTGTCACCAACAGCAAGCCATATCTCTCCCATCTTCTCCAGAGCCTCCTCGTGTCTATCACTGTCGGAATGACATGTGAAAATTGTGGCAGCGACACCACCGCGACTTTGATCAGCGCTGTCTAACCAGCCGCATAAGACGGAGATAGACAACCCATCACAACTGCAGCTTGCGCGCTTATGACAACTACAGACATCGTCACTGTCCTATCCGTATCTCGTCCACTTGTCGTCGCCGGCAATTACTCTCGAGTCACAGCTCCGACACTTCTCATACCGGCCGAATGTTTTTCTTCCGTGCACTTTCGGCGTTGCTCTTCCTGACACTCATTATCCTGTTAATACCCCTCACCTTCGACATTGGCGGGCGCGATGCCGGTCTCGCATTCTCGCTATCGATAGCCTCTTTCTACTTCGCCCTTTCGTTACTCCGAATCACCACGCCTGATGGATCAAGAGTTAGGAGGACAATCATAAACCTGCTACGGGGTCTGCAATGGCTCATCCTGCCCGGTCTATGCATCTGGGCGCTGGGCAGATTCTCGGTTGACGCAAACAACAGCGGAGGCTGGGTTGAGCGGACTTTCCGGGCAAAGAAGAGCAGCATCTTGAACACTCATTCCAGTTTCCGTGACTCTATCTTCGGTCCCGGAGGGTTGGTCGAGAACGTCGCCATTGGAGGCTGGGACCTGCTCCTGCGCTGGTCCTCGCCAGTCTTTCAACTGCTCGAAGGCTTCTGCAGCTTGCTGGTTATCCAAGCCGTCGGACAACTTTCGAGATGGCTTGTGAACAGAAGTGAATGGAGCGATGCCTGGCTGTTGACGCTTCTAGTTACGTCCGCAGGAGTCGTGTCGAGCTCTGTCTACTTCCTCTGGCGAGTCTTGCAGTTTCCAGACATCTCCAACCTCGACTCCACGCTCATCGGCATTGCCATTGCGTCGGCCATTTTTCTATGTGCATACGGTGTGGTCTCGGGCCGCGGCACGGCAGTGGAATCATCCCTTCTTTTCGCCTACATCGTGCTATGCATTTACCAAATCTTCACCGACTACAAACCCAACACTAGCGGCTCCGAGGCCGGTACGGCAACTTCAGCACCCGACTTTCCTCCCTTCCCGCCCATCATCATGTCGTCTTACACTGCCATCATGCACGCATTGTCCTCCCTCCCAGGGGTCCTTGTCAACGCTCTGGATTTCACAGCGGCCGCCTTCAAAGCCGTCACGCCATCGGTGCTCATTTCCCTCGGATACCGTTTGTTCGTGTTCTACGCCTCGACTCGCATCATCCCAGCCATCAACGAGAGCGGCGCCAGGGTTCTCAGCATGGAGCCGTCTCTCGACGACACAAACGCCGGCAATCAGTTCCTTGCTTTCCTCTCTTGGTTTTCCCCCAGTATCCTGATTGCAGTGTACACCAGCCTACTCATGCAGCACTTTGCAACCACAATGGGCGGATACGCTCCAGGTTTGACCGAAACCATTGAGGCGTGGTGGAGTGGCAATGGCCAGCCAGGAATGAATGGAAACCTGTGGAAGTGGGTGAATCTGGTTGGTACCATGGGGCTGTATGCCGTCGAACTGTATCTCGGCCAGGAAGATGATATTGATGGTGGGCATTGGAAGGTGGATTGAAAGTTCGGTCTAGAGCCAAAATTGAATTATCCTTCTTGTTTGACATTACGCCCAAGCATGCAAGCAGAGCATTGGTCCATCAAACAAGAGACTATCAAGCCTGCTTCCAGTCCGGTCAATCGACCAAGAAATCGCAAGGATGAGATTTTGTTCCGCCTTGCCCCCCGTGTCCGCCGCCAACACTGAGAAGACGAGTTAGATGGCGTGGTTCTGCCGCCATTTTATGCCGGAAACCAGAAGTGGAATAAAGGCTCGTCTTGTGCGACAGGCGAACCTAGACTAGAGATGTCTTTTTGTTGCTGTGCTTTCTCTTTTTGGCCGATAGGAAGCCGGTTGGGGAGCCAATGCATTATCCTCCAGGCACTGAAAGAACGAACCCCTACTACTACCAGTGCAGTGGTAGTAGATATTGGAGTGGCACAACGTGTTTTCGACCACGACCAACCACGAATGAAAACCGGGGAAACGGCCTCGAATAGACGATCCATCTGATTGGGCCGACCATCAAGAAGGGAGCGAGCTGAATGACTGAAATGGATGGACGAGGGATGGATAACTGGATAAAACGAACGGGATGACTGGATGGATGCAGCGAGCGACATCCACCTATACTCCCTGTTCCTACCCAAGGTAGGTATGAATGGCAGACCTACTGGACTTACTGTACGTGCCTGGGTTCGGAAGGTTGCGCATTAGAGAAACGAATGAAATTGGTCCAAATATGAAAAGTGTTTGGAATCTCGTGTTGCTACGTAGTCTTGTCCGTGAGGCTTTGGCCTGTCACGGAAGTATTGACAGGATGAGGACCCTGGCGACTTCAAGCTCTTACCACGAGCTGGCGACGGAAACCTCTCTCCCTGACAGCTCAAGCTGTGGACATAACGCGGAGACGTGGCAATTGACAGATACAGCAAAAGCAAAAACGCCACCGTCCCATTCGATAAACTTCGCAGCTCCTGTTCGTGAACATCACACATAACAACAAAAGCATAGCATAAGGTAGCATAGCATAGCTTGGTACCAGAACCGGGCCCGTAACGAATGCTTTCCGGCGGCGAGCCATGTCATTTCTGCAATATTGGCGCAGTTTCACCCGAAAGACAAAGCAAAGATCGGCTCTCGCCCCCAGTCTCCGCCTCAACCGCCGACATCAGCTAACGGCTCACCGATGCACAAGTTGGCTGAGCTGAGCATGCACCTTCGTAGATGGCAGCGTAGCGGTGCTAAGCCATCATGACCTGTCTCAATCGCCATAATACCGGCCCTGCCGGGTTTAAGACGTGCATAGATCGTGATCATCTTCGGATAGGGATTCCCTCCTTCACAGCCGGCGGGCTGATGCTCCCTTCTAGGTTGCTTCCTGCATTGTCGCCGGTTTGGGTGTCGTTCCCGTCGCTTTCGACAATACTTGCGCTCCTGGCCAGAAAGCTGCTCTCTTTGACGGGGCTGCGGCCGGTGGCACCAGGGAGGCTACTACCAGGGATTCCGTTGATACTTCCGCGGTGGAAGCCTGCGGGGGGCAGCATGTGCTGACCATCCGGAGATCCCGCTACTCCCGAGACTGAGTCGTTGCGCGAGATAGTATGCATGAGAGGGCTGGTGTGTGGGATCTCCTCTGCCTTGGGATGCTCGGTACCGATGGTTGTTACGCCAGTATCGGAGGCCTTTCCGGCTTTTGACAGAGCATAGTCACCGGAGTCAAAATACTTGCGTTCCTGGCTCTGAGATCAGTAATTGGGACAGGAAGGACCACAACAATGACAACCCGTTACCTTCAACTTGTTCTGCAAGAGATCCTTCTTGTTTGGCAGCTTGCCATACAGCCTGAACAGACGCTGCTCATCCGCCGATAGTTTCTACTTCTGTCAGCGACGGCCGAGGTAGAAACGGGGGTATAAGCCAACATACACTGAGGTCAATCTTGTTCTTCTGGTGTGGGTTCATGTTGGCTTCTCTTTCCTCCCTAACACTTCTAAGATTCCCACAAGACTTGAGGTCCAATACCAGCTAGATTGTGTACAGGTCTGCTCGTTAATCCGAGAGAAGAACAACCACTTTCAACCGTTTCGTGAAATAGGCAATTGCGTTTCGGAACTCAGGTTCGGACAATGGGTGGGAAGGGTTCCTTTGTTGCGAAGATGTCCAAGGACAACCCAGTAGGTCGATGAGGTGATCGTTGCAACTGAATCGTTCGGTTCACCGCAATTTTCAGGTCTCGTGTAGATGAATGTGGTGATGAGGGAGGGGTTTGTCAAAGAAGGGCCCGAGCGCCGTCTTGTTGGTGACCAGCGAAAGATGATAAGACTTGGGTCTCGGCGATTGTTTCCGTGGCGTGTGCGGACTCTGAAGTAGAGGTCGAAATAAGTACTGCTTCGAAATTGAGGGAAGAAAGTTATGGCAGCGGCAATGACTTTTTTCGGGCAAGGGTGCGTGAAAGGAGGGGTGCGGTTGAGCAGTTCAGTTGGAGGAGTGACGGAGTGGGAGGAAGAGGTGCGCAATGCGAGAGAAGGAGTGATGCCAGTGGTAGACGTCGTTGCACAGTTAAGGCCTAAGACGCGCTAGTGGTAGTCCGGGGAATGGCCCAAGCTACTGCAGCCTATAGAAGACCGCATTTGGTGCTTGATTGCAGTAGGGGCCACGGCTAATAATATAGCCTGGCTCTAGTGCCGCTTGACTACATCCCGAATGGCGCTAGCTGTTAGAGGCATGGTTGACCAATTAGACTTTCGTCTGATTGATTGGCGCGTCATCGACGACTAAAACCTCGCCTGCAATTTGTTTGCTTCTATACTGCTGGTTTTGCTAGGAGACAACCTGTGTCCTATATTACTATAGACGTCTGGTCTGAGCAGAGACAATAGTAAGTATTAATACCAGACAGAATGTCCAATCAACCCTTTATCTTCGTGGTCGAGCATTTGGACCCGGAACTTGGCCCATGGTCTGCTTTGGAATACAAGACTATTGCCAAAGAATCCAAAGAACATGGCTGCCGGTTCATCCTATCTTCGGTGCCTGCGTCTTTGCTTCAATCCGAACAAATGAGTGAGCTCCAAAAGTGGGGCGCCGAGGCTAGAAACGACAGTATCGAAACCTATTTTGACAGCAATAAGGACAAAATTTGTCTGCTTGATCCTGCGGCTGAGCAGGAATTGGACCCTGCCGACTCCAACGTCTTCGATGTCTTCTTATTTGGGGGAATATTAGGTATGAGACTGTCACTGTCTATATGAACTCTCTGACCGAATATACAGGAGACGATCCGCCAAGAGGTAACCTACAAGACGGTGCCTTTTTTTTGTACCCGAGATGCTGACATGACCAGATCGCACCAGCGAGTTGCGGAAGAAAGGCTTTATTGGACGGCGACTAGGGCCTAAACAGATGACCACAGACACAGCTGTGCGAGTCACACGAACTGTCATCCTTGATAAGGGTAAGACAACTCACTGGGCAGGTTACGTTGGTTATGCGCGATACTGACCCTGTCAATAGTCCATCTGGACAAGATTCCATATGTGGACTACCCGGAGTTGAAGTTGAACGAGCACGAAACTACCGAGATGCCGTTCCGATATGTTGCTGACGAGTCGGGAAATCCTATCATGCCAGAAGTCAGTATAAACTTCATCGGGAGTGGGCCGTGCAATGGACTGACCTTGGGCAGGGCATGATAGATCTCATCAAAGCTGATGCGGATAAGGCGTTCGATAGCCTCGAGTTTGCCGACGAAGTGCAAGGTCTGGACGACCTGAAGGTCAACGACTCGTGATATAAGTTATATCAAACTCCTCGGCGAGTGGGTAAAGAAGCACCCTGCAATAGTAGGCTCTCTGGGGAAGTTGTGCTCATCGGTCCTTGAACTGTCCAGCGCCATGAGCCGAGTACATCTAGGGGTCTGTAGCGCGGCGAGTCCATATCATCGACAGCTTCGCAGTCCCGACGTACGTTCTGTCTTGCAGTGGAAGGCACGTCACCGCCGGGGGAAGGAGGACTTGTTGCCAGCGGCTATGCCCTTGCATCATTCGTACCGTCAACCGGAAGCTACACCCAAGGACGGAGGACGTGATGGGATGAGCAGCAAACTCCGGGGTCGAAACCATCCAACACCAGTCGTCTTCCATTCTCAGAAGGTCCTTTTCCCTTAGGGAGGTTACAGGTCGGTGAATGAAAGAACGGTCCGGCCCTTCAAGTTGTCCAATCCTGGCGAAGTCAACTCTTTATGAAGATGATGGGCTTGGTTTAACTGGTACATCACCATTGAATCAACTAAGCCGAATATTCCGATGAAATGGACTGACACTATTCTCGCGTCCGCTGTCCTGTTACCAACGTACCTATCGGCGTCTCTGACATGCGCACCAACTCCAATATCCTTTGCCACAGCCAGCAATAACAAATCATTTGATTTCAGGACAAGGTTCGAGATAATATGTAAAAAGTTCGGATTGGGTCCGATCTATCCGCGTGTGTTGTTGAAAAGGTATTATGGCGAAGCTTCTGACCGCCCGGATCCATCTACACGCCGTAGGGGGACTATGAGAGAACAAATACCGCTTAGATGGCATGATCAACCTGCTTACTTGAGTCTAAGTACTGGCCAATCCCATAACCTCTCCACGCCTGCGCGATCCGCTGGAGTTTTGGCGAGCAATACTGCGAAACTGGACAGATATCCTCTTATGGACGGTTCCGCCGGCCTCGTTTCCATATTCGGTGGAGCCGACTGCCATGCATCATCCATCCACGGCTGATCCCCGGGCAGACGAGCCTGTTGCCAAAGTCATAATCCTGTGCTTCTTTTGGCCTCATTTGCTCTTTGGGCCTCGCTGAGTTACATGCGACGTGATCAATCAAGAAGGGAGGAGTACCAAGTGAAATTGAGGATTGTTTATATACGAGAACCCTTCCACTTGCTCGTGGCCGTATCGCCTCTCTGCAGCGTCAAAGACATCCACGATGGACTTATGTGACTGTTTAAACTGATTAAGGAACTACTGGCGAGCCGCCACCATCGACTGACATTCTCCTTGCTCTCCCACGTATAGCTCTGAGAGACCTTGCAACAGTGCCTTTGTCCCACTGTCAGAGCTCGATTGTTTGACTGAACGCCAGCATTTCCAGTATTCTCCATGCAGACCATTACTTCCTCCTCGGGCGGCGGCAGCTCTACCATTGTTATTGAAATGCCCTCAAAGTCGAATCCTCAAGAAAGGCGGTCCCAAGAACTGCGCTCGACTTTCGAGGACACCACGGCCGCTGGGGCTTTGCCGCCTCCTTCAACCTCAACTCCCCAACTACAGAAATGGAACTCGCCCCAGATCAACATGTGGCGTTGTTTCAGCACCTTTTACGCCTTCATCATCCTCGGAGCCAACGATGCCGCCTACGGCGCCCTGATCCCTTACCTCGAGACCTGGTATAAAGTCAATTACACGGTCATTTCTTTGGTCTTTCTCAGCCCCATCGTCGGCTATACACTTTCAGCAGCGTTGAACAACCGCCTACATACCCTATATGGGCAACGGGGAATTGCCCTAATCATGAGCGTCTCCCATGTTCTTGCATACAGTAAGAGATGTCCCAAAAGCCAAGATAGAGGCGTTGGATATTGCTGACACGACTAAACAGCGGCCATTAGCCTACATCCACCGTATCCTGTCTTGGTGGTTGTGTTCATTCTTGCCGGATTTGGAAATGGCTTGGGTGACAGTGCATGGTGTGTCTGTCAAAGATCTAACCTTGATTCTCACAAAGGACAAACTGACTCGATATTGCAGGAATGCCTGGATCGGCGACATGGCCAATGCAAATGAAGTGCTTGGTTTCCTTCATGGCTTCTATGGCCTCGGAGCAACCATATCGCCGCTTCTAGCGACCACGTTAGTCACCAAAGCCGGCTGGCGCTGGTACGAGTTCTATTATCTCATGATTGGCGCAGCAGCCCTGGAGGTTGTCATTCTAGTCAGCGCTTTCTGGAAAGCTGATGCTCGGGCCTACAACGCGGAGCATCCCCAGACTGCCGACTCCGAAATATCCGAGTCGAACTCACCCACTACAACTACCTTTGAGCGTGACGGTAGTCAGCAAGTACACACACGAGGTATCTTGTCCAAACTCAATCCGCTTGGTAAAGTGTCCAACGGCAAGCGCAAAAGTACGAGCAAGAGCAAGAGCAAGACGGCCGAAGCGGTCAAGAACAAAGTGACGCTGCTAGGCGCGTTGTTCCTACTCATCTATGTTGGCGCCGAAGTGAGCATCGGAGGCTGGATCGTGACCTTCATGTTGCGGGTGAGAAAGGGGTCCGCATTTGCATCCGGGTTGACTTCGACCGGATTCTGGCTTGGGATCACCGTCGGACGACTTGTGCTGGGTTTTGTCACCGCCCGCGTGTTCCGAAGCGAGAAACATGCCGTGGCGGTCTACCTGGGCTGTAGCGTGGCTCTGCAACTGATGTTTTGGCTGATTCCGAATTTCGTGGTCAGCGCGCTCATGGTGGGATTCCTCGGCTTCTTCCTAGGACCCTTGTTTCCGGCCGTCGTCGTGGCCCTGACCAAGCTGCTGCCCAAGAAGCTGCACGTTGCCGCGGTGGGGTTCGCGGCCGCATTTGGCGCCAGCGGTGCCTGCGTATTGCCGTTCGCCGTGGGAGCCATCGCAAACGCAAAGGGCGTCAAGGTCTTGCAACCTATCATCTTGGCTGCGTTGGTAGGTTGCTTCGTGGTCTGGATGATGATCCCCAAACTGCCCAAGCAGAGAATGGCATGATCTTTGGCGGCTGGAAGGATTACGCATGTGGTCAACACAATGCGTGCTCGTGCTTGCTGCCTCGCAATTCATCCACGGTAATTTCGTGGCAGAGGCTGAAGGCAACTCGGATTATGTCCCTGACGGCCTCATTGGCAGCAAGACGCTCGACCTCGCCTTGCAGCTCGGGATGTAGGCAGTTCGATCTGAACCCGTTGACAGTTGGAACGAAGTTCCTCCAACGAGAATTACTGGCCAACCGGACCAGTCAGGAACCTGTCACAAAGCAGCGTGACGGCCGAATGATCGTTCATGACTGCGGGCCTCTTTTCTGGGGAGGTGGCCGAAATCATATAATTATTATATTGCCATATAATATAGACCACTCGCAGAATGTGGTTGATAAACCAAGCTGTCAGTCAAGCCGGACAGCTGTCCAATGGACGCTACCTTATTTATAGCACTACAATGTTGTATCTTGAATGCCCAGAAAAGGGGGAGGGGAGGGGACTGAGATCTTTCAATGCGCTCTCCCCCGTATCCCAGCGAAACAAGCTTCGAGAAGCAAGGCTTCGATTTCCACGTGTCACAGATCGGAGTATGGCGCTCAGCCGACTCGGTTCCCCGACAAATGCATTGCTATTGCAAAAATGTGTCCTCTTACCAGTTAGTTGCCTCATTATACCACATTTTCTAGGGCTGAAGGGTGAGAAGCGAAAACAGGAGCGGCAGCCGAGAACGTTATTCGGGAAGCAGGCTAAAGCCGAATCGAGAATAGGCTGCACAATAGCGGCAAGGGATGTGGGGTGGAGCCTTGTTCCTTTTTGTCGAAGACCAATCAGAACCCTGGAGGGAGGGGGTCCGAAGGACAAAATTGGCGGGCAAGGGGTCTCGCCCTTGATTCAGCCGCACATCCACCACGCCCGCTCATTGATCAATCACTCCTCGCTTCTCGCTCATGAGCCACTGCCATTGCCACGGTCAGTCAGCCATTCTGCCACCCACTTTACTAGGTACTGTCGCGTCTCGGCCCTGACAGGATGGATGGCTCCCTGATGCCTGTCACGGGGTGGTGATCTCTCAGTGTGGCACTCACTTGAAAGTTGTCCCTGTGTCTTTTTGAAAAGTCCCCTCCCCTTTTGATAGGAGTTTCTTTTCCTTCTCTCAGCCCATCCCATCTCATTCCAATCCATCATTCATTCATTTTCAGGATCATCATCATTTATTAAAATCTATATGGATGTAATGTCTATCTGTACAACTGTTACCATCATCCCCGCAGTTTAGGGCGAGCTACTGTTCTTCCGACCGATTGGAAATCCCATCCGACTCTTTTTGAGACCCCCTTGTCGCGTCAGGAACGCGCAGTCAGTGCATGGTGGCCACCTCGCATATTAATCAACACCATCTCCCTTCTTGATTATTGACTGGGGGTTTTCAGGCTGCCATAATTTTTGTTCGATTTTCAATAATCTCTCGGTACACAAGACAGTGCCTGACCGCAGGGTCGGTGTACCTTTTTATTCTTTTTCTCGACTTTACTTTCCCCGCGTATGCGGGTTCCTTCAGGAGGCATGTTTACTCCACGGCATGCGCCATTGAAGGAGGGCCGTTCTTTTCCCGGTCTACCATATGGCGGGTCTGCGAGACGGGGTCTTCGATCACGGCAGGGGGCGCTGTTGCTCATTATCCTCATCTGTGTGCCGTTGGTGTATTTCTTGACATCGACGGGTCCTTCAAGCATAACAAGCGTGCCAATTCCAGACAATATAAGACCGCCACCCAACAATCCGCGCGATGCAGAAGTGGTGTTGAAACCGAATCCGAACGCGGATCCCAATGGTGTCCCTCGACCGCCACCACCGCAACAGGAGCGCCCGGTCATGGACTCTGAGAGACCAGCTCCTCCACCAGCCAACAATGGGCCATCGGAAGGCGGCCGGTTCGAAGCACCCCCGGCAGCAGTCGACGAGTCTCGTGAGTCGTCGCAAAAGCAGCACATTACTCCCATCGACCCAGTCGAGGCCGACGATGAGGAGACATCTGGTCGAGACGGCTACGGAAGACCTAACAAGTCGCCTTCTCTTCCCCAGCAAGGTGGTTCAGTCAAGGGCGGCAACCGCCAGGGCGGGCCCAAACCGCCACAGGCGCCCAAGTTCGCTGAACGGCCGCAATTCGAGCGGGCGCTGGAGCGAGTCATCAATCTCCTACCCGGTGAAATGGAGGGTCGCGATCTTCTTCGACAAGTCGAAGGGACAGGCAAGGAGAAGCTGCGCGAAATGGGCCTCCGGGTCCGCGAGTACAAGAAGTTCTTTGAGGCCTGGGAAGCACTGCATTTGGTTCAAGACGAGGAAGGCGGCAGCTACGTCCGCGACGACGTGATCCAGTACCTCCGCCACCATGTGCATAAGCAGACATCTGCACGATCAGCATCTTCTTCTTCATCCTCATCAGAAGACGACGACATGGACCTGGCCGCCGAAGAAGAGGCCAGCAAATTCGCCCAGACGGTGCACTCGTACGAAGCGTACCGATACTTTCTGGTCAAGTTTGGCCAACTACTATTTCCGTGGACGGCGCCTTACTTCCCGGACCACATGACTCTCCACTCGCACTTCAAGCGTGGCGGACGGGGCATTGTATTGACAGCCGGCGACGACCAGGCTCCGTTTCTGCTGACCACGATCCCGACGTTCCGCAAACTCGGCTGCAACCTGCCCATCGAGGTCATGTACCTTGGCGATTCGGATTTGAGCGAGGACTACCGCGCCGACCTCGAGGCTCTCGACGGTGTCATCACGCGCGACATTGCCCAAATGGTCAATGACGAGGGGTGGAAACTCGCCGGTTGGGCCGCCAAACCATTTGCCATTTTGTTTTCGAGCTTCCGCGAGGTCATTTTCATTGATGCCGATTCTCTGTTCTTCCGCAACCCGGAGGTTCTGTTCGATGATCCTGGATACCGTAAGACCGGCGCCCTGTTTTTCAAAGATCGCTTGATTATGCCAGAGAACAAGAAACGCTGGCTCCAGCAGATCCTCCCGAAACCTATCTCCCGACAGGTCAAGCAGAGTCGTTTCTGGACCGGCGACAGTGGGCACATGCAGGAATCGGGTGTTATTGTGGTTGACAAGTGGCGCCATTTTATTGCTTTGTTGTTGGTGACTCGTATGAACGGACCCGACCGGGACGGTAACAAGGATGAAGGTAGAGTTGGTGTTTATGACATGGTTTATGGTGAGCTCCACACACCCCTCTGTGATTGAAAACTATAGTTTACTAATTGATTTTGTTGCACAGGTGACAAAGAGACATTCTGGATCGGCTGGGAACTCGTCGGCGACCAAGACTATTCATTCCACCAAGGCGACGCCGGCACCATGGGCGTGATCCAGGAACCCAAAGAGGACGACAAAGATAAAGACAAGAAGAAAGACGACGACAAAAAAGAAAAAGAGAAGGAAAAGGAAAAGAAGCCCGAAAAGCCGAAAAAGGAACAGAAACTTCCCGTCGTGGTGCTCGACGAGAACGGCCAAGTCGTCGAACAAAAGGCCGAAGAAGGCCAAGGCCAAGGCGATGGTCAAGAAGAGGAAGAAGACCAGGAAGCAGGTGTCGAAGCCACACAAACAGAAAAAGAACCCGACGAGCCAGAACCTACCAGCTACACCATGTGTGCACCCCAGCTGCTCCATCTCGATCTCGAGGGTAAACCGCTCTGGTTCAACGGATGGCTGCTCGACAACAAGTTTGCCGACAAGAAACAGAAGAAGTTTGGCAAGTTTGAACATTATCTTATTGAGCCGCGTGACGTCCGCGACCCGGGCGCCTGGCAGCTCGAGGAGAGCAATATGTGCTGTTTGACTACGGACCCGCATCTGAAGCGAGAATTCACGGCGGAAGAAAAGGCGATTTTGGATATGATGATCAAACAGGCTCGAGAGGTTGGGATCTCGGGGTGATACAGTCAAAATATAAGACAGTGAGGTGGTATTGTGGATGACTCAGGCTAGTGAGAAGTCCATTGGGTTGGATGGGACGGAGAAATGAACCCAGATCAGATGTGTCTATCTTTGTGTCAGGTCTACTCGGGTGCCGGCCTGGGCCGTCTGTTTCTCTCTGTCGGATTCTGTCCTATTATGCCATATCAGAAATATCCAGATATCGAATCGGGATTGGAGTTTGAGGGCGGCGTCCGGACTGGTTTGAATGTGATATTATGGCATATTAGTGCCGTGGGAGAAAAGATCAGCTGTGACGATGTCATTTAGAAAATAAACAAGTCAATTTATCTTCATAACCTTCCGACTGTCGTAGTGTAAGTAACTCCCTGTATCCTCCTCTATCCTTCGAGAGACGGTCCTTAAGCAAAATAGTAACAGCGCTGGGTGGCTCCTTTTAAAGAGTGCTCAGGGACGCCGCCGCAGCAAAGGAACAGGAAACAGGGCAGGGCTTGCATCGACTTGGGGCGTCAATATATCCAAGGCAGTACAAGAGGTACAGAGGAGTCTTGAACACTCACCCCTTCTGTGAAGAAGTAGTGGATGTGTCGCTGTCTTTCAAAAGCCATCGATCCACATGGCTCCTACCTCAGCATGGCACAGGCCGTTTTTTGGGACGACAAAAGACTGCCGAGTTCTCATTGGAACATGGTATGGATATTCAAAAGAACGTGCCCCACGGATCGCAAAATCTCGTAGCAATGCACACCGCTCGCCATGTGTCGGCACCATACCTACTCAGCCTGGCATGTTTTGGGGTCCAGCCCATTAAAAAGGCAAGTATCTAGCCACTCTTCCTGGACCGAGTCATCGTATTTCGATACAGAGCTGCTACCTGGAACAAGATTCAAAGTCGAGAATCTGCCCACTCGTATTATGGCACATTGGAGCTTCTCGCATGAATTGGAGGAGCTGGAGGAAGGGCTGGGAGGCCAAGGCTGGAAGATGATACCTGTGGGGGACCATCGCTGCGGCTGTTTTGAAAGCATAGTGACCGTATGCTGAGCCGTCACTGCCCCAGTAATGTAAGCTGTCCATGTCGATTTGAGGTGATATTGAATACTAAAATACTGTCCGCCGAATTGCTGGTTGAGAGTGATAGTGTAGAATCGGGATTGCTGTTCAGGTCGTCACGGTGTCGCTTTACTCGCTCGGTGCACCTTCCCTGCATTTTGTGCACTGTAGATTCCATCCAACACCAGAACTTGACGGTTCCGTATACTATGGGTTCACTGATGCATGCTTCTAGGTGATTGATTACCTTGGCTATGCGGAGCTCAAAGGACGCCGGCTCAGCCCACCATCTACAATCAGATTGTCGGACTTGTCCATGGACGGAGGAAATGCTGACGGCACCAGGCCGCCGCGGCAACACATTCGACCAAAGAAAAAGAAACCTATAACCAACCCCCTAGTCAAGGGCATCCATGCTTTCTGCAAGAAACATGATGACCTGGTTCAGATCATTGAAGAAGATTCGGATTCGGACACGCTCTTAACTGGCAGTCCCTTGAGATCGTTACAGCGCCCCTTCTCCCTCTCATGCCGTGATTTTCCAAAACGCTACACCATCTATGCCCCATTGGTTCTCCTCCCAGCTAATTTCTCTACACATAACCCCCGATGGAGAGAGTTCTACAATGGTCTACTATCTGAGTCCGAGAAGGCCGACTTGTTTGAATGCATTGCCGAGAAAGGCTTTGCAGGGTCCAGCCCTGGACTGAGAGCGGAGGATATCCGAATCGCAATTAGTGCACCGATTGCCGCCGAGGAAGATGATGTTGGACACGAAGTCGAAGCCGAAGACCAAAAATTGTCAGAGACTGTCGGACCTGACTCTGCAAAACTGAGTTCGGCCAGTTCCGTTGGGGACTTGGAAACAACGGCAACGAGGCAGGAGGCTATAGCAGTGCAAAAGCAACAGCAACCTCCAAGGCCTGCGCGCAAACAGAATGTTATTCGCAGTCCCTCTGGCCTAGTCCCCGTTTACGGCGACTGGGGTCCGATGCTTGGACCCGCAACATCATTACAATCCTGTAATTCGGACAGGACACGCATGACAAACCAAAGCAATCCAACCCGCCGGGATTTTGATGAGGCGTTCTGGACATCGGTGTCACAACATCGAGGAATCACACAGTGCTGGGCACCGCTGTACACGATGTTCAGTAGGGGGAATGTTTCTGAAAAGGCGCGGATTCTGGGACTTGACACATCTCCCTCAACGGCAGAGTCAACACCGGCAACGAAATCAGCTTCTCAGAGCCAGATCCAATGCCATTTCCCGGGCCTCACATCCGCCGAACTCGGTCAACCGCTCTCCACAATCGATGTCATGGACTTTTATGTGGGAATCGGCTATTTCGCATTCTGCTACCTTGCGAGGGGCGTCCGACGTGTTTGGGGCTGGGATATCAATCCCTGGAGTATTGAGGGGCTGAGACGAGGCTGTGAGAAGAACGGATGGAGTTGCCTAGTTGTCCAGGTTGACGACGACAGTGGAAATCTCTCACTTGTGGAAGCGGAAGGCAGCAACAGCAACCCTAAAAGCTGTGGACAGCCTGAGAATGTGGCCAGGGAAATAGCTGTAAGAATTCTTCAGGGCGATCGAACTTGTACCAGCACCCGGGACAGTTCGTGTAGATCCAAGATGCGCTCGACAGCGCAAAATCAAAATCCCGAGATCAGGTGTATCGCCTTTTTAGGTGACAACAAATGGTCAGCCAAGGTCATGGCTGAGATTGGGCGGGAGCTTGATGTTCTCCGCCAGGATAGACTGGACTCGGGCGTGAATCTGAATGTCCGACATGCTAATCTAGGCTTGCTGCCCACTTCTCAAGGCAGTTGGGAGAATGCTGTCAGGGTTCTGATCAAGAACGACAGCAATGGCAAGGGGGCAAAAGACGAGGAAAGCAATGAGAGCAATGATGACAAGACGAGGGGAGGATGGTTGCATGTGCATGAAAATGTTGACATTCGCGAAATTGAGGCCATGAAGGAAAAGGTTGTTCTCGACCTCCAAAGCATTGTTGAGCAGCTTTCCAAGTGTGAACAGGCAGCTGAAGAAGAGACTGCCACTGGATCGGAGACCACACCTTTGGCATGGTCTGTCTCGTGTGTCCATATTCACCAAGTCAAGACCTATGCGCCGGGCGTCATGCACTGTGTGTTTGATATCCATATCTTCCCAGACAGCAATGAAAACCCCAATGGATGAATCCCAGCTCTAAGTATGATCGAAGACAGCTTGTTCGAAAGCAGTCCTCCAGTCTTCTTTACCCTCAGTCCCCTTTGGTTCCGATGAGTGTCGTCAATGTTAGTAGTACAATTGTTTTTGAAATGCGGCAACTGCTGACCACTGTGTCCTGAACCCGTTCTATCGTATTTCTCATGTCTGGATAGTTTACCCAATCCAGATCCTAGTAGTAATACACTGTGTCCCATACACCGGCACCTCCCCAAGAACATAGATGCCAGATCATACAGATGCCCTCCCATCCAATCTTCGTGTAGCGTAATTACAATTCTTGCTGAGCTTCTTCTTTCTCAGGCTTGGGTCTTTGAGTTTATTGTCTCCTAAACTTGGCCGGGATATTTCTCTCGACAATATTTTGTTTCTGCTCCCTCGAGATCCGCTCGGCCTCGTCCTCCATTCGGTCATGTTTCCTGAAATGCTCGATATCCTCGGGGTGCGTGAGGTCTTCTTCTCTCGTATTCTCATCGTGATATTTCTCAAAATGGTGGATCTCATATTCATATTCGTCATCTCCATGGTGACCCGGCCCGAGACCTGAATCGGGCAGCTTCTTGCCCGCCTGGATCCCCTTCAACCATTGATCTCGGGTGATGATGCCCGTGCCCGCCGGGTCAAACAGTTTGAACACATTCATCACCACCCGGTCTTTCGTGTCTGAAGGTACGTCCTTGAGAGACTCGTCGTCCAGGCCGTAACTCCACCGCACCTCGTCGGGCGTCCAGGCGCCGTCGTTGTTGAAGTCGTGCAGGGTAAAGAATGAGGTTGGGTCCATATTGGAGATGTCTGGTGAGCAGTCATTAGCGTTGAACAGACATTATCACATGGCTATCTGGATCTATTGCGTACGATGTTCTTCTTGCATATGATACAGAGCCCAGTCGTCGGCTGGGTTCGCTAGATCTTCTTGTGAATGCGAGCCGTGGGCATGCGCAAATGTGAAGAACCAAGCAGTGGCGGCCGCTGCTGCGGCGAATATGGGTTTCATTTCGACAACTAGGGATATCGTTGATGTTTTGTACTAGTATCACATTAAGATGAAGTGAATGAGACTGAGAAAATGCGACTGGCAGAATGGGACAAACAGATGTTCAATGCGAGAGTCCTGGAATGCTATATCACGACAGACTTGTGGTTGGTTGTCCAATCGCAGCCTCACGCAGTTCGCCCCTGTCACTAGGACCCTGCACATATAGTACAGTACAACTACTATTACCGATGTGTATTTTTTAACTACTCCATTCTTTTCCCCATCGCGACATAGCTTCACTGGAAACCAATGTGACGGTTGGACGCGTGCGGTGAATATGGAGGAGAACGGCGTCTGAGGTAGGCGAGAGGCGGTGACAGTGTCGGCTGGTGCCATGTTTTCCTTGTCGTTTGCCATCTGTGTCTTCCCGCGACCGCATCTCCTTGTCACTACTTTCTTTTTAACTAGAGTGTGGCTCTCTGTTTTCAAGATGTCTCTTGTTTGAAAGCCTGGGGATGTAATGCGTCCTTTCCCATGTACACGCCCTCCGCGTCCTCTTCTCTGTCGACATGGCTGTTCATGACAATCCCGCGATTGCTGGAGCCATTTCCACCTCCACCTCTGTCGAGATCGGTCAGCAAGACCCAGACTATCTCAAGGACTCCGAAGATGAATCTCTGCCAGAGTCACCTACCGCAGACGACGGGGCCATCGACGCCTTTCGGGAGGCCAACGTTGCGGCCTTGAATGACTATGTCCTTGCCAAATCCAACGACGACAATTCGACCGACCACTCCGTGTCAATCGGAAATGTCAAAGAACAGGAATCCGACAGGATCATTGACCAGGCACGCGAGTATCAGGAGGAACTATTTGAACGGGCAAAGGATGAAAACGTCATTGCTGTGCTCGACACGGGGAGTGGGAAGACGTTGATCGCCGCCTTGTTGATCCGGCATTTTCTGCAACAGGAGCTCATTGACCGCAGTCAGGGCAAACCGCCTAAGACCATCTTCTTTCTCGTCAACAGCGTGCCTCTTGCCAATCAGCAGGCTCGGTTCCTCAACGCCAACCTGCCTCAGAAGGTGATTGCGCTCTACGGAGACTCAAAAGTCGATCTGTGGAGGAGAGCGGAATGGAACAGAATCTGTGCCGAGAACAATGTTGTTGTCTGTACGGCTCCTGTGCTGGACCAATGTCTGATGCATGGCTACTTGAACATGGGACAGATCTCACTGATTGTCTTTGACGAAGCCCACCATTGCAAGAAGAATCACCCGTATTCGAGGATCATCCGCGACTACTATCTCAAGTGGCAAGACAACAGACCACGAATTTTCGGCATGACTGCCTCCCCAGTCGACGAATCCAGAAAAGACATCAAGCAAGTTGTTGCTGACCTTGAGTCAATGTTGCAGAGCAAGATCATCACAACAAATGATCTCTCGGTCTTCGGTTTTGCTCCGCGACCAGCGGATGAATACTGGATATATCCACCACCCTTGGTAGGAGAGTACGAGACGGCTTTACATGCCCAGTTGCACCCACTGTGCGGTTTCATTGAGGATCTGAAGCAGCATTTTTCCTTTTCGAAACAGGCGTCTCGCGACCTTGGGGCCTGGGTAGCTGACCGCGTTTGGAAGTATGCTCTTCCCACGTCAGAACATGGAATCACGGCTATCATCTCCAAGCTCGAACGGAGCTCTACCTACATTCACGCGATAGACGATGCGGGACGAGAGGCGGCCCTGAAATCTGTTCGCGAGGCAATCTCCGTCATTGAGAATCACGATTTTGGTGCTCCGTGTCTCGAGAAAGACAATGAGCTGTCCCCAAAAGTGGCATACCTCCGTCAACGGCTCAAAGAGCGCTATTCCTCATTTCCAAACACCCGTGCGATTGTGTTTGTCGAGCAGAGATTGACGGCTTTCGCTCTTTGCGATCTGTTCAGAGTGCTCGATTTGCCGAATGTACGTCCAGGGCTCCTTGTCGGTATCAGCCAAAAGGGAATTGACTCGAGTTCGTGGAAAGACCAAGAAGTAGCTTTGGAAAAGTTCCGAGTGGGCACCATCAATCTCATCTTTGCAACTAGCGTGGCGGAAGAAGGCATTGACATCCCTCAGTGTAACTTGGTGGTCAGATTCGATCTGTACAAGACACCAATACAATACATGCAGAGCCGTGGTCGCGCTCGCATGAAAGGTTCTGTCTATGCGCATATGATGGAAGAAGGAAAACAGAGCCACCAATCCGAAGTCGACTACGCCATAAGCCAGGACGACTACATCCGACGGTATTGTCAAGAGCTCCCTCCGGATCGACTGCTGGGTCGCGGGACACGGTTGAGGCAGATCATCGCCCGCGACATGAGCTGTCAAAGCTTCAAGACGTCCGCCGGAGTGGTTGCCAATTACAGCAACTCTCTGATGCTCCTCAACAGATATGCCGAGTCATTGGCCAGGATTGGAGCAGTGTCGGCAGAGGTGTATGAAGAACTGATCGATGTGGAAGAAAACATGTTCAGATATAAGGTCATCCTCCCTCCTACGGATGATGAGCGTGCGGCTGCAGTCAAAGGTGCTCGAGGAGACGCCCGGATGAACAAGGTGCTCGCCAAGCGGTCCGCCGCCTTCTGGTGCTTGGTCAAGCTGCGCCGGGCACATCTTCTGGACGAGAATCTCGATAGCATCTTCAGCAAGGTCAAGCCGCACAATTTGAATGCGCGAGAAGCCGTTTCGGACAAGAAGGACATCTACGAGAAGAAGCTCAAGCCGGATTTTTGGGTCAACAGCGGTGTCGGATCGCCAGATCTACCCACGGAATTATTCATCACGCACGTGCGGCTCGAGCCTCGCACACCAGACTGGACCACAGCTGGCATATTGTTACTGACGCGGTCGCCACTTCCGGAGCTGCCATCTTTTCCGGTATATGTCGATGACAATGTTGAAAAACATGTCATCCTCGAACGGCTTGACCGGCCAGTGGTCGTCTCTCCCGAGCAAATTGAAGCCTTGACCAGATTCACCTTATGTGGAGTGTTCGAAGACGTATTCAATAAGTCTTTTGCCCCTGAGTCTCAGTCCATGAGCTACTGGCTGGCGCCGCCGGGAGAACAGAGTGGGAAGTGGACTTTTGAAGATGTTATCAATGTGCCTGAGCTTCATGTTGGTGGCTCAGGAGAACGACAGCGATGGCAACCAGCTGCGACTCCGGACACTACGATCGACAATGCGAGAAAGTGGTGTAACGCATTTCTAGTTGATCCTGGTAGTGGTAAATTCCACTATTTCACCAGAGATATTGTCCCGGCAACAACGATCTGGGATGCCATACCCGATAGCGCGAAGGATGTCCAGAAGAAACATAAGGATACTATCATCGAGTTCACAGACAGTACCTGGCGGAAGAAGGGTAAAGATTTGGGATCCCTGGCACACAAGTACGACCCGCATCAACCTGTCCTCCAAGCCAAGCTGGTCATGGCTGGCCGGAACTTTCTGGAGAAATGCCCAAAAGAAGAACAACGATACGCCATGTGTGAGATCGCGCCGCAGCCCTTGGAGATTGCTCGAGTGTCGTATTCAGTCGCACAGATTTGTCAGTTGTGGCCCTCCATTTTACACCGATTGGAAGCCTACCTTATCGTTGGCGAGGCATTCGACAAGCTGGACCTACGTCAAATTCCCTACAACCTGGCTCTGGAGGCCTTTACAAAAGACATCAATGCCGACGATGAAATGGGGGAGATGGGAATACATAGTGAACTGGACGGAACGGCCGAGCCAACATCGTCAGTGAACTATGAAAGACTCGAATTCATTGGCGACTCATTGCTCAAAATGATGACGACCATCACCGTGTTCAACCGAACTACGTGCAACGAAGAAGGCATGCATTGCAAGCGCATGGAAATGATTTCGAACAAGCGACTCTGTTCCGTTGCATCGTCGCCCGAGTACGAACTGTACCGCTACATCCGTGCAGGAACCGGTGATCGCTGGCGGGACACTTGGTATCCTGAATTTCTACGGCAGCTCAAGAAAGGCCGAGTGATTAAACTGACTGACAAACATCGCACGCACGCCCTCGGTAAGAAGACTATTGCCGACGTATGTGAAGCCACAATCGGGGCTTGTATCATGACGACCCAGGATCTCCCGACGTCCACCCGGTTCGACCTTGGAATCAAAGCCATCACGAAATTGGTGGGACACGAAGACCACGCCATTACTTCCTGGCGGGAAATTCTGCCCATGTACAAGGCCCCCAGATGGTCTCTGGCCATGAACGACCCAGTTGCCAATGACCTGGCACGCAAAGTGTACCATGTTACAGGTTACCGGTTCAAGAATCCGTGTCTGCTCCGGTCAGCATTCACACATTCCTCGGACCAGAACTCCCCGGTGCCGGATCTGCAACGCCTCGAGTTTTTGGGTGATGCATGTCTCGACTGGGTGTGTATCTGGTGGTTATTCCGCAACAACCCGACGCGTGGCCCGCAGTGGCTGACCGAACACAAGATGGCCATGGTATCGAATCGATTCCTTGCTGCTTTGGCCGTAATTTTGGGATTCAACAGGCTCATCTCTGCCTCCAGCCCCGCGCTGTACGCAGAGATTGGGACCTACGCGGCCAAAGTTCTAGAACTGTACGAGCAGGAAGACGTTAAGCCCGATTTCTGGACCCGGGTCACGTCGGGCTCCGCCCCGCCGAAAGCCCTTGCCGATCTGGTCGAGAGTTATCTCGGGGCCGTGCTGGTCGACTCCGGTTTCGATTTTGCCGAGATTGAAAAGTTCTTCGACACCCATGTCGAATGGTTCTTCAGAGATATCGAGGCATATGACACATTCGCCAATCGACATCCCACGACGCATCTGTTCCGCTTGTTGACAGAGGAGTTTCGCTGCCGGAAGTCCAGACCAGAAGTCATCGTCCAGCCAGTTGAACCCACGACAGCCAACACGGCAAAAGGAGGGGCGAGAAATGACGCGGTGGGTGACGAAGACGATGGCGCAGGCGACGAAGCCGTCACGGGAATTGTGATACATGTCGCCTGGTTTGTTCATGGCCGCATGGTCGCAGTCAGTCACGGCCAGGGCGCAAAATATGCCAAAGTGCGCGCGAGCAAGGCCGCTCTGAAGATTCTGGGGAAATTGAAGGTTGACGAGTTCCGCAAGCAATGGGGGTGTGATTGCGCTCAGAGCCAGGCGAAGGATGGTAGGGACAGCACTGGTGGCAATGGTAAAGTCAACGGCAATGTTGATGGTACTGCTACCGCTACTGGTACTGTTACTGCTACTGCCCATGTCGGTACCAATGGAATCGCAAATCCCGGTACCAATGACAGCTACGTCAGCCCGAATGGAATTGCTAATCATGATGCTCACACCAATGCAAATGGTCAACAGAAAGCCAATCTCCCGATGATGAACGGACATGGACATGCGGATGGATGAACGTGAGATGGCTAAGATGGCTATGGATGGACCAGTGAATTATTGATGGATTGACGATTCGCAGTGTTGTGAACGACAACCACAGTGGTGGTTGTTGGTCTCCTGGTTCTGCTTGCGACTTATGATATTGGCGGCATCAGCTCAGCTGAGCGCTATTGGCATTGCCCTAGTCATAAATTGGGAGCGTCAAGCAATTGACATTGGTAAGTAGAAAAACTACATCTCAGACAGTCATCGATGGATACCTTAGGCGATAGCCAGAGAATGGGAATATAACCAGAGAATTGTCTAATTGATTACCAGTATACTTTCGTCCCAGCTCGAATAGGAGGGTACGAACCCAGCCGGGTCAGATATGAACGCTTATAAATCTATGTATATATGCGTCGCTAAAAAAACAAATCTCGAGAATAAATGCCACGCCCACGCCAAGAAGGTAGGTATGTCATATGGACAGTATGTATATGCTCATATAGCTCAGTCGCGCCAGACATGAAAAACGCTAAAGAAACGTGACACTCGGACAAACAGACAGGCCGGAAACAAGTGGCGGAAGCGAATCACAGGGGGTTAAAAGGCTTGCCGCGAAATAATACGCTGTATATATATCTCCAACGAAGCACAACACAAAGTAGTCGTATATGCTGTTGGACAGAGGAAAGGGCCATTGCATGTGGACTGAAATCCGCCTCCTTTTTCCAAGCCGGGTGGAGTTTGTCCGCGGTAGATTGGAGTTCGAGCGACATATGCAGCAACGTTCCGCAGACTGAGTGGGAGGAGATCGGTCAACTCGATGGAAGGTGGTCCAGGTACTGTGCTTATGTCCGTGTGGCTGTTGCGGCTTTGCACGGTGGTTTCGTCTCATCGTGTGCTCGTGAAAGATGAAGCGAGAAGGATGAAGCTGCCAATCTCGCTCTGACATTACAGCTCCACAGAGACATTTTGTTTGCGCAATAAAATCATGACATCGGTTCCAAGCGCCAGAACCAAGGATGGAGAATGTGCCATCTAAGGTATTCCTGTCGGCGGCCAGGTGCTTTAGCTGAGGACGTTGTTGCCGCTCTGCTTTCAGGATCGTCACACTGGGACTTCGCCTGTATATTCCGGGAACAGGAAAAGGTGGTCCTGATTCGGCTTGCGCGTGCCACACAGCTGAGACCATTCGCTTGCATTCCTGGCGGGCCTGAGACTAACTCACGGATTGATCGTTCGAACAGGCTCATCATCTCCAGCACACTGCGCCAGTACCGGGACGTGGAGCCCAAGGTGTCGTCAATAATCATCAACATTAAGCCCTTTCTCCCGTCTAGCCCGTTTCCTCTCACGAATCTTCTTCTCCGTATTCATAAACTCGCGAATCCCAACGGGGATACCCTCAAAAATCAAATCCTCATCAATAATCGGAGTAGAAGAAGATGATGCCGACGAACGCGAAGACGGTGTCGTCCAAAGACCTTCGCTCCCACCCCCATCGTCATCCATACTACTAGAAGCAGCATGGACTTCGGGTCTATTGACTTGAATCTTTGGCTCAGAGAGCGTTGACTTCTTCTGCGCCTTTGCTTGCGCCTCTTTAACCCGCGCTGCCCATTCCTCCAAATCGTCGCGATAGTCGTCCCACACGCAATGCACACATCCGCTCATACAGCAATTGTCGGGCTCGAGGGGCCGAGGAGGAACCGGAACACCGTTGATGGTCCTCCATTTGCTCTCTGGAATCTCCGGTAGCCTTCGCTCATACCCCGAGCCTCGAAGTGCGCCGAAGATTTGTTTCGCTCTTTCTTCTCGGGTCTTGTCACCCTTGGGCACCCATTCTGGTAACGAGGTGGTGTCTGCTTCGGACCCTTTCGGGAGAGGTGAGCTCAGGAGTTCGGTGTAGAAGTCGCCTAGGGGCACGGCTTGTCGGTGGTGGTCGACTGGTTTGTGGGAAGTCTGACTGCTGCCGTGGAAGGATCTGAGTTGCTGTCTGGGCAGCGCTTGTCCTGTGCTGCTGTTGCTGCTGTCGTTTGAAGCTCGTCCTCTGAGGTCAGGATCGCGTGCAGAGCTGCTTATGCGACGACGAGTTGTCCGTGGACCATCAGGTTCAAGTCGCGTGCGCACGAGGCACGAGATACAGGTCCAGGTCCAGCTTCGGCTGGTGTTTGATATGAGATTTATTAGCGGCCTCGGGACCGCCATGTTTGTTATAAAATCTTGAGGTACGGGAAATGCATAGTCTGGCAAAAGCAAGACGATGCTTAGCTTCTTAATACTGGACGACGGCGAGAATTCTTGTCCCAGTGTGGCACTGAAATATACAACGCTGTAGATAGATTTGTTGCTATCAGACGCAGAGAAACCTCGCAGGCGAATTGCTTAGTAACGCATCCCATATGATGTCATTTGTGAGCGGACTTGAACCCGACCGCTTCAAGTTGACCTCTTTGCTGGCTACAATGTCACAGCTCCCCGTATCAGGAGGACGTCCGTGTCGGCCAGTTCTCATTTGGGAGGAGGGTGAAGAGTGTCTCATGTTGAAAGGTTCTATGTCGGCAAGCATGAGCTTCGGGTTCTAACTTTTATGATCTACTACGGTCTATGTGTCGAAGCCAATCAACACCAGGCATATTGCTCATTCGCAACCCAGACAACCTCCTCATTTCCACCCGCAGCCCACCGTAGACTGCAGATATGATCCATGTCTCGGGTAACAATCTTGACTTCTTCATGTTCTTCCCTCTTCAGCTTTTTGGCCGCAGCAATTACCAGATCAGAAGGATTCCAGACTTCAACGCCGACAGGTAGGTCCCACTCATGCGCCTCACGTTGCGCCCTCGCCAGAAGTGCTGCCATTACGGCCTGGGTATCTGGTGAGTTTTCAACAGAAGGAGGTAGCACGGTGTGGAGGATGTAGAGCCTCCACTCCTTCGGGTCGGCTGCATACTTGCGAAGCCAGACCAACCCCAGACCCGTGTCCCGATGTATGGCACCTTTGATTTTAGGTTCTGCTTTCCCAAGTACCTCGTGATAGTATTCTTCTCGAGCAAAATGCCACTGGAAATGTTCTGAATCGGGACGGACGGCAACATGGACAGTGCCGGTTCTGGATCCTGACAACTGCTGCAGACGTTGTTCCAGGTAGTCGATCGTTGGAATCTGCTTCAATTCTGCCGCTGACAGGTCTTCAACTGCGGGAAGGGAGCCTCGAGCGGCCTCGTACTCCGCTGGGGGCAGGGGAGCGAAGTGAATATGTGTGCTGGGGTAGGCTTTCCAGCCATGTTGTGCATAGAAGTTGCGTCCGATGTCGCTGTACAGCACAGAAAATGGGTTGATCTGTCCATCCACCTGTTGCCAGGTCTCCAGTCTCTTCCCCAAGTCTGCCATCATCCTTCCTGCATAGCCTTTCCCACGATATTCCGGGCGTGTGAACACAGAGCCGATCCCATGTGCCTGGACCTTGTCAACCTTGCCATCTTTGGCCACGTAACCATGTTTCGGGTATGTCTCGCAAGAGGCAAATATAGGTCGGGTTCCGTCTTCATTGGCGGGCAGACTTGTAGAGGTCAGAATCCAGCCTGTAATTCGCCCATCTTTTGTCAGATCAACAGATTGTAAAATGGCTTCTCGCCGCAAGTATTGCTCCAATGTCAGAGGACCCTTCCACTCCTCGTTGTTGAGAAGGTCCGCTTGAACACCTTCAGTCGGCGTAGCAGGCACCAACACCAGGTCGGGCGAGTTTGCGGGGGGTTGGAGCTGGGGTTCAACGGCAGGGGGCTTCGAGGTCTCGATCTTGGGAGTGCCGCTTGCCTGCGGAGTGGTTGAGGCCATGTTGCTGAGGGTGTTTCGGCTGGTGGTAGGGAACTGAGAAGATGTGTCAATAACCAATTCCGTAGTTACGACGGAATCATGGGGTGGACGAAAGACATGGGGCCAAGGATGTGAGTCTCATTAGTCACGGCAGTCTGATGCCTACGCTCCCGAGGTTCAAAGTTACGGAAGTCGAGACAGCGGCATAATCCGCACTGTAACAGCTCTGCAAAGTGCAAACAGGACTCTTCGAACTGTGGAAAGCACCTAGTTATTGATCTCAACCTAGAAACCATCAGTCTTGAGCCTGGTCAGGCAGCGAGCATGGAGGGACAGCCAGGGCTCAAGGGCGGACAGCGACCAACGTACGACCGCATCAGTCCAGCAACTGCGGGCCGATCGGGCTTCTCGGACGAGAGGTGTAATTGTCACACGGCCTACAGGTACTCGAAACAGCTCAGCAAAAGCTCAAACTGCAATTCTTTCATCCAAGTAAGAGACCTGGGACTGTTGGTGCGCGGTCAACTTGTTGAAGGCAGACAAGGTTCACGGTCCGGTCTGAGGCGCGCATCCTGAGAGATAAGCGACCGTATTCGAGGCGTAAATGACCGGGAGTGCTGGTGCCGTACACTGCCATCGCCCACAGAATCTGGAGTAAGATGCCTGTATTATGCCTGTATTATGCCTGTATCACGCCTGTAACTCTCGCTCGGCATCCACACGGCGCGTCGGGCACCTTATTCCAACTTCATCCTCACCCCCGGACGCCTTTCACTACTCGAAAACGAAGTGAAACTCTGACAATATAAAGTCCTACGCGATAGTGTTCTGCATATAGACTCAATTTTTCATATTCACTCACAGACATCCCATATGTATCCTTCCAGCGCAGTCGATCCTTCACCGCATCGCGGTTGACCTGTATTACTCCTGACCCTACCACCACTGCACTCCTTGCAGAAGTCACTGCCTCACTGGTAACCACGTCTGGCCTTCCCGCGACTGCCCCTGTCCAAAGCCGAATATTTGAACTCGTGCCTACTTACCAGTGTGCTCCCGCATCCCCATGGTCCTCGAGCTTCTCCTTCCACGATACAGATCAAAACCACATAGACCCTTTTTAACAAGCACATCGTTCTGACCTACACAAGCCTTATGCTTCTTCGGACCACCTTGAATTGCCTCGAGCTGTGGATGAGAGCAAGTCATGAGGGTCATGTCTTTGAGAAGCAGGTAAGAAAACATTTCTAATCAGTCTCAGATTGCACCCCCCGGCAAGGACTGCCAAATTGAGGAACGATATCGTACGAAGTCGCGTTGTGAAGAAGGTGTTTGAGGTGACATCTTCCCAACCCTATATGGGACTGATCTATCTCTCTTCCAGGAACGTTGAGCGGGTTCTCCATGGCCGACGGCGGGTGGGCACGCTCTCCCTCAGCAACCATGATGTGCAAACTTCAACCACGACCGGTCCTATAATAATCATATCATCGGATGATGATGATGATAGCGATGATCATGATGATGATAGTGATGACGATTCCACCAAGGCAGGCAAGACTAATTTAGAGCCAACGTGGCTACCATCGCCAGGACGGCGTAACATTTCTTATCACTCTCGCAGAGGCAACGACAAACGTCAGAGCATGGCAGGTGAAACGTCGTATCGTTCCCATCCTCTTGGAAATAGGAAACGGAGAAAATTGGGCACTCCTGAGCCCACCGAACGCAGAAAGGTAGACTTTGGACCTGGATTTCCCGAAGAACCTACCCCATCTGATCCTGCAAAAAATACAACTCGAGGAAACATATCAGTTTCGCCGCCCATGTCCCGCACCAATAGATTTGACCGTTTCATCAATCATGGAGCAGATCAACCCCGCCACTCACGAAGGCGCTCTACATCTCTGTCTTATACTTTTGACATCTCACCTATTGGCTCACCCTCGCATCCAAAGACAAGGCGCGACTCGGGATTGTTCGCCAAAGCCCCTTACTATGATGACATTCAACTTCAGGTGACAATGTACCGGGGTCCTGGCTATGAACGCTTTCCAGTGGTTCTGGGCACTGTGGCAGGCCACCAAGAGCTCTGTGATAAATGGGACGCCGAGCAGCACCTGAGCCTGTACAGGAGTCCGTCCGACCCGAGGCAAAGAAGCATCTCGCCGCTCTTGATTGAAAGGACAAATTCGAAGTCAAGCAATGGATCCGGCACAGGAGCTGACGGTAGCAGGCTACGTGAAGAGGAATGTCTAGCAAGCATCCGGAACATCCTCCCGGATATTGATCGCGAATTTGTCCGGAAAAAGCTCCAAAAATACTCTGCCTTCCTAAACCACAATGATGATGACTGCCAAGTCATGCATCAAGCAGATGATATTGCGCAGGAAATCATTGAGGAGATTCTGGAAATGGACAGCTACCCCAAGGAAACAGCGAAGGCATCTGACGATGCTCAAGGTGTGGAGGCTGAAGATGGTACAGGCGTCACTATAAGATGGGATCAACAATTGCCCAAGAGCGAGACCTACGCGAAAGATGCGGTTATAATGCTTGCAAGAACATTCGACCACGTTCCTACTGTCTATATCGCCAAAGTTGTGGCCGAAAAAGGCTCCATATTTGCGGCGTATGTTTGTATTCACGAACACGAGGATGTCGACTCTCCATCGGATCGGCCATATTCGCGACTTCGTCGTGCGAGGACTAGGATCGAGAGAAAGTACCAACTCACGTACAGTGATGAGGATCACCATCACTCTGCTGCTTATGCCAATCAAGTCAACGAACTACAAGCCGCCAAACAACATGTCGCTCGACGAGCAATACGAGCCGCAGAGGAAAAAGCCAAATCCGAACATGAAGCCGACAATCTTGCCAAACACAAGGCAAGTGGCGCAGTGATGGAATGTCAGTGCTGCTTTGACGACGAGGTCCCGTTGAATCGGCTCGTGTCGTGTACGGCGGAAGTGTCTCACTTCTTTTGCTACGCATGCGTTCGAAATCTGGCCGATACTCAAATCGGCTTAATGCGATATGAACTGCAATGTATGGACGGGAGTGGGTGCACTTCTGAGTTGTCTGAACCCGAGGTCCGCAACGCCATTCCAACAAAGACATTCGATCGCCTACAGTGGGCTAAACAACAGGCCGAGATCATCGCGGCTGGGATTGAAGGCCTCGAGGAATGTCCTTTCTGCGATTACAAGGCGGTATGTGGCGATATCAGTATACAGCCGTCCTTTGAGTGCAAGAACCCAGATTGCAGTCGTGTCAGCTGTCGAAAGTGCCATAAGGACGACCACGCACCGAAGACATGTGAAGAGATGCGCAACGACAATATTTTATCGGCCCGACATCTTGTGGAAGAGGCAATGTCCGAAGCGGTCATGCGAACCTGTCCAACCTGCAAGGTCAAGATCATCAAAGAGTATGGGTGTAACAAAATGGTCTGCACCAAGTGTCGCACCATGATTTGCTATGTGTGCAAAGCCAATCTTTCCCAGCTCAAAGACCCGTACCAGCATTTCCACACCGTGCCCCCGGGAGGCGGGAAAGTATGTACTCTACACGACCGGTCAGGGGTGGATCGACATGAGACGGAAGCAAACGAGGCGGAAACCGAAGCCATCAAACAGGCCAAAGAAAAGGATGCCGAAGTGGATCCTTCCAAGTTGCGCATTACAACTGATGACACTGGCAAACGAAGACAGCCGGCTTCAGCAGCACAGCCTGCTGGCCCTGTACGTTACCCTTTCTTGGCAGGTCTTGGTCCGCCTGAATACCAGAACTTTGAGCGGCTTCTGGTGGAACAGGACGGCCTGGCGCATCCTAATGTATGGGCTGAGGTTGTTGCAAACGCCGGTCTACCAGAGCTGTTAAATCATCCAATCAACAACGAACGGGACGACGCCATCGGCGGAAACTTGTTTCCCGCGGCAGTGCCCGTTGGACTGGATCGACCACCTTTTGATGTTCGAAAGGAGTATCCTGGATTGTTCAGAAGAGACCCTGCAGGTCCAGCTGCAAATCTCGATCCGTGGCCCTTTGATGCAGCTCGAGAGAGATGGCGTCAAATGGGCAACGGCAACCTGGGCGTAGGAATGGACTTGAATGGTCCTCCAGGAAACAACTACGGGCAACAACCAAACAGAGGAGCAGTACGTCCGATTATAACTTACACTGGGCCGGGCCCTCTAGGGGCTGCAGCATTTCAGAACATGCCATTGCCAATGCCAGCCGCCCACAACGCCGCACAACAGGCACAAGGTCTGAATATGTATCCTCAGGTCCCACACATTCAACCACCACGGATAGGGCCCATTCCTCCGTATTTCAACGGCCTCCCTCTCCCTGGCCGTGATAATATGAGGGATCATCTTCGGATTCCTCGAACGCTTCCTGGGCCTCCTGTGGCAGGTCACAGACGGACTAGTGCTGCAGCTGGCCTTCCACCCTTTGGTGGTCAGGTGTAGTCGGTTACGATTCATGAACCGGAGGAGTGGATACAATACGATTTCGTATTGTCTTTCTACCAGGGCAATGGCAGCACACCACAGCACAATCACCATTCAAGTCGTCCTGACCTCTTTACATTCTGGATTTGAGCGTTTGAGATTCACGAGAATTTCGGAAGTAAGGTGTCCTTCACCCTCGAAGTTCAACATCAGGATTCAACATTTATGGCAGCTGCTTCACGGCCGAGGACGAGACTTTTCCTTTCAGTTTTGTTCCCGTTAGGAGCACGTCTACGAAGAGAAGCCACGCAGCCAGGAGTGCCAAGAGAGACAGGCGTGTGAGGCACGTCAGAAACTGGCACGGTGATGGCGGCGACTGTGGTGGCCAGATCTTTTCGTTCATGGGTCTCTTCTCATTACTAGTACCGTCCCATTCTTCTAGAAGGTATTCCGAATGCTCACAGATAGAAGCCAGCTTTTTTTCTTCTTCTCGGTCAGCTGGTTCTTTTAGTCGTTGCAGAGCTTCTTTCAGTCAGTTAAATGCAGATCAGGTCATAATGAGGTTTCAATGCTGTCTCGTCCGGGTTGTTGATATTTTCTTGTTTGTGTCTTTTAGTCTGCAATTATGGAATATGGCAGGTAGCCCCCCGGAAAACCCGCCAATTCTATATCATCATCCGCGCTGATAATCCGTGGTCGCGCCCCCCTGCGGTTTGCGATTGATATCCGGGGGTTCGAGATCGAAGCCATCACCTAACCCTAGTCCGTCTTGGTCGATGCCGACGTCGAGGTCTTCATTTCCATTTGGTGGTACTCCAGGATCGAACCTCTCCGTTCCTGCGCCGTAAGACATTAATTTTGTTCGAATTTCTGCACGTGAGAGGGGTTGGTTGGTATTGCCCTGGTTGTTGTTGTTGTTGCTGTTGTTGCTGCCGTCGTGGTTATACTCGAATTTCGCCGCCGATTCTTCCACCCAGACTTCGATGCGGAGTTCACCTGCTTCTAGGCGACGAACGGGGTGGGTTCGACCATGAATTTGACACTGGGGCGTTTGAGTCTGATTTTGTGTCTTGGGGTTTGAATTGTCGTTGGTAGTCGTAGTGTGGTTGTTGGTCTCTGGGTGAGGGTGTCCAAGTTGTCCTTCAACCTCGGGCTCCAGCTCTGTCTCCGGGCTCGCCTTCGGCTTCGCCTCCGGCTCCGCAGCCATCCACTTCCGTTCCATTTTGTCCAACCGGCCCACAGGTCGATCAGCGTTGTCTTTGACCTCGATCGCCATGGTAAAAGACGTCTCTGTCTCTTCGGGCAATGGTGCGAGTCGTGCTGCGGCAGTGCTGATGCGGGACAGGGTGGCGCGGAAGTGGGCTTCTAGGTCTGCTATATTGATGGAATTCGCAAATATTGAACTGATGGTAGTGGCGGTGGTCGTGCTGTCGATAGTGACGAACGCAATATCACGATCCCTCTTCGCAACCACAGGAAACGAATGCAAATCAAACGTCCAGCGCTCCAGGACACGATTGGTGTCCACTGCAAAAATACACAGGGCGATTTTTTCGACTGTGTTTCTCTCCAGTTGGTCGCGTACGGCGGCTATGGCGTCGAGAATCCAGTTGCAAACTAGGGGATGGCGGTTCTGGCGGACGGGGTAGTTGTATGCTCGGGTCGAGAGGAATGATATTGGTGGATATATTCGGCGAAGGAATAATATGTGGTGGGTGGCGACGGTTAGGAATGAGGCGAGGGTTTCGACTATGGCGCGGTGCGTGGACAGGAGATTAGGGTTGGTGGTTGTGGTGGTGGTACCTGTGGTGGTGTTGGTGGTGTCGGGTGGGTGGTCGGCCATGGTGGTGAAAGAAATGTATCATGCGTCCTGGAAAGAGGGAGACTGCTGGTGACTTGGTAGATCTGTATGTCTAGTATGCTAGAACAGCGGCCGGTGGGACAGTTGTGGACATCTGATGAGGCAATGGGCATTCCGTTCACGTAAGGTAGTATCGTGTAGGCATCAAGCGTTGGTATGCACCCCGGTAGGTTGTGTCAGAAAATAGTAGGGGCACCACGGCACTACTAGTACGTGAAGCTTGAAGTGTTGCTCGAATCGTAATGTAATTGTAGTTGTAATTTGGCTTGGTACAGTACTGAAGGCCCAACTGGAGCGTTCCTGGGGCCCCAGCGAGCGCTCTTCAAGTCCAATTGAGCCTTCGAACCCTGTGGTGTGTCAGAAGTTGAACCGTCGCGTGCACGGGTTTATGAGACTGGGCTGTTTAACATGGTAGTGGCGGGCTCCTTGACCTGTGGGTTTCATGTGTCTGAGAACCAGGAGAGGACCTTGTTGACTTCTTGATTTGTCGGCGAACTGAAGCAATGGAGGGACAATGTTGAAAGGGTGAATTGTAGTTGAAAGAGGGCCAATCACGACGCGTCAGGCGGTTAGTCAGCCCGGTTCCACTCGCTCGCTGCTATACAGTGTACAACTATGAACGCTACACTACTACATGGACGTATGAATATAGGTGGACAATTTTTATCTGAATTGCTACGGGCACAATTGGATCTACCTCACTGCGTCCTGCATCAAACCCAGCCTCCGTATTGGCGACAAAGACAGTCACAGCCGGTGGCTCGTCTCGGAGATGGACAGGCACAAGAGGACGGACACCGTACATCAGATTCAAAACTAGTCCGTCTGCTACCTAGCACCTAGGCTGGTTGATCCCGCTTTTTTCTCCAGCGTTGCTTGCTTATTTCACGTTCTTCATAAACCGGATGTGCCTTGTTATCTTCAAGGTGAATAGATAATGAGCCGAGATCGGGACACACCCGCCGACCAAGTAATAGCATCCTTTGTTTTGCCCAATCTCTCCTAGCTTCCATCCTTGATGCACCTCCCTTTCCCAAACGGAATGGCTCATTCTGATAAGAGCGTTGTCCTTCCTGTCTTCCAGTCCACCGTCACCATGATATCTGAGATGTCATTCTTCTTCTTGCCATTGCAAAACAATGCTTGTTCGCAGCCGAGCTAGGCCATCGCATTGCTGGGCACCAAAAAGGTTCATTTCGTTCGTGAGCGATTCAAAGCATACGTCCAATGGTAGACGGCATAGAAAGTCCAATCCTAGGTGAACATCCAACTGGAGCGACGGCTTCTCGCAGGACTTTTGCTCTTCTCTCTGACGACGTACATCTTGTCGCCCCCCTTCTTGACAAACTCATTGGGACTGAGCTTCGTCACGATCTTGGTTTCTTTGACGTAGGGTCCCGTAATCAGTTTGCGTTCTTTCAGCCGACGTGTGTGCTCGAATAGCTCATCTTGAAGATCATGATCGATGTATCGCTTGATAATGATATACTCGTCGTCGCGCTGCAAGTGGCCATAGCACAACGGTCAGTAGCCATATTTGAGGCGGTAGAGCTTGAGGCAACTTCAGAGGTGAAAGATGTACAGGACTCAAAGGAACTTGTGTATGGTATAATTGGGAATATAGATACTTACCGCGTCCCATTCCCAGGGCAAATTATACGCATCCAAGGTGTCAGGGTGCAGGTACTTGCGGTTGACCTTGATATACGTCGGGCGTTGGAGGTCAATGGCCAGGGTGGCCTGTTCGGCTTTCTTCTTGTGTAGCACTTCTTCGATATACTCAATGCTGTAGCCTGTTGCGCATCAGAGGCGGTGGGACAAAGGTTAGCCTCATGAACAAATAGTCATCAATCATGGCGGGAGTAACACAGTAAAGAAAAGACTAAGCCAAACACCGAACAAACGCGCCCTTACGGACGATAATGAGAAATCATGCCACCAGCACCGTCACCGAGGAATACAACACCAATACTCCGCATCAACGACATGAAATAATCTCCCACACACCCAGCTTACTAGTTAATAATAGTGAACGAATCTTTGCGTACCAGCTTTCAGGAATTTTTCCTTGACCTTGCGTTCAAACTCTTCCTCCTCCGCCTTTTTCTTTTCCTTTTCCTTCTCCTGGCGTTCTTTCTCGTCCTTGAGAATCTTCTGTCTCAATTCCTCGGCCTCCTTTTTCTTACGCTCCTCCTCGAGTTTGGCCTCTAGAAGAATGGCCTCGCGTTCCTTCTTTTTACGAGCATTCTCCTCCTCCTCTTCCTCTTTCCATCGCTTCCTCTCGGCTTCACGATCTTTCTTGATCCGTTCTTGAATTCTGCGTTCCTCTTCCTCTTTCCGTTGCTGGCGTGCGTAATCGAGATCTCGTCGGATATGGTAGGGTAAATCGTCTTCATAGAGCTGCCGTGTCGGTCGACCATCATCGTACACTGGTCGTTTACCGTGCCGGCCCCTGCTGCTACGATGTCGCGACCTCGATCGCGACCGTGACGTGGAATACTCCGAACTCGACGACCCGCTGCGGTGATGTCGGTAACGGCTGCGACTGCGGGAGCCGCGACGTCCGTGCTCTGAAGCCCCAGCCGCCCCGACCTGCAGCGGCACCCCGCCGATATTGACGATCGTAGGCGCCGGCCCGTTCCCTTGGCTGGATGCGCGTGGTCGTGCACCTTGCGGCACCCCCAGGTAATTGTTTACCACGACCTCGTCAGGCGACCGGGCGCGGCGAGATCGGCCTTCACTTGCAGGCTTGGTGCGCACAGGCAGTGTAGGCATGTAGATGTACTCATGTTCTGAGCCGGACGAGTACCGAGAGTACGGCATGTTGAGTGTTCAATCGCCTGGTAGGGCAGCTGGTTCGTAAGGGTGTTGGGATGTGCCTGCGACCGGCCCCAAAACAAATAAACAATGAGATCTGCTCTGGTGACGGAGATCCCGGTTCAGCCCTGTCGGTGGATTTCCAGGCGGATCTCGAGGTGGAAGCGTGTTGGATGCGGGTGATAGGCGGTGGGGTACAAGAAGGCAGCGCCCGACAGCGACCTAATGCTGGGCGCAGCCTCGAATCTCCAGGTACAATCTGTGTCTCGGGCGCAACGATGCAGGTGATACTGGAGAGAGAGAAACAAGAGTCGCAGCAGGGAAGCCTGAGAAGGTTCCGCACCAGCCTTTTTGTAGGGTTTCCTGTGCTGCAGCAGACGGAGGTCAAACGCAAGGGTGTTCGTTCTCTTTCAGCTTGGTGGGGGATGGCGGGCGATCGAGGGGTTCTTAACGGATCTCGACAGGCTTACAGTATTCTTGGAGGCAAACCGACAGCCAACGTGCAGTCCATGGGAAATGAATGATCCAAGGACTTTTGGGGGCCAATACCAGCCACTGCAGGATATTGTACTAGCCAGGCAGCGTATCCCGACACCTGCTGCCTGCAGGTGGCCCAGGTCTGATTAATCTGCGCCTGGTACTGCAGCAGCCGGCGGTGAGGTCGAGTTGATTGCCAATAATGCGCACCCAGACCCGCCGCAGGGATGGCTGGCCTTCCGCCCTACGAGGTACTATCTTGTCGACTGATCAGGAGGTCAATGGGCGCGCAAGATGCTATACTAGTCTGCAAGCGCAGAAACACAAACAGTGGTCTCGAAAAGTGCTGCTAGGGACAACTTCAAGTGCTTCACAATCGTCTCGTTTGCCGGACGACCTTGACGGTCACCACAATTAGCAGCACTGTGTCAGCGCCCCTTGATACTGTGTTACCACTTGCACAGCATCTACAACAGACAGACGCCCGTTTCAGCACGAGATCGAAACATCTCCCGCGGCCCGTCATGGTATGCGCTGTCTGTGGGCCGTTGGGCGCCTGACTCTTACTAGCAGTACCTTAGGTAGGCTTCCTGGTTGCGATCGCCCTCGTGTCATCGATGGCCGTTTGTCGCCTAAGGTACTGTCTGCACCCAAGGTCGACGGCCACCTGATTTCATGCCTAGCACAAATCCAACAACCGCTTGTGTATCCTCCAAAGATTGGGGTGCTCCTTTGGGCACACACTGCAAGGTTGCACCCAGCGCACCGTCCATGATTTGGTACAACTTCCTTCTCAGGATAGTGCCGGGAGGTAGTTTGTACCATCCTTCTTCTCGAGGCCCTCATAAGCAAGGCATGGCGCACGCTTGACGTGTGCAATCATGGTCGAGCTGGACATGAACAGGGACCGTCTGCAAATATCTCGCAGGTACCTCGGGTAAACAAGCAGTATTCAGTCAAGTCAATCGCCGCTTGTGTTGAACCCCCCGGTAGGAAAATGCAGATAGCCAGTCCTCTGCCAAACGGCTCCGGAGTGTCCCTCTGAAGAACCAGCAAACACCTCCTGTCTGTTCACTACGGGGGATTGGGGTACGGAAAAACAACCAATTCCCGAGTCGACGCCCTCAAACACACCCTCTTCGGGAGCAATGCATGCTAATTGTGCGACGACGGCGCAGGCATACACGGCTCCAAGTGTGACACTGGTGTTACAACAAGCTGGTGTAGGTACACTGATCAGGCAGATCCGGACTGTAGGATCTTCTCGATGTGTTGCCGGCTATTTTTGTAGGTCGTCTCCTGGTAGTGCAGTCTCTTTTCCAGCTCTGAAATGTCTTTGTTCAAGGCGTTGGCTTCGGAAGCCAGCCGCTCGCTCATTGTCGAGATAGGCACCGCTACGAACCTGGTAGAAAGAACCCGTGTCAACCATCCGTATGATATCTCTCCAAGCAATCAGTTCACGTACATCTTGCCAACACCCTCATAGACCTTAGTGTCATTGGACAGAGACTTGAGCTCATTGGACGTAAGCTGGTTCAAGCGAGCATCGCGTCGTTTGGCGCCGAGTTCTGCCTGGGTTTGGGTGATTTTCTGCTGCGAGAGCAAAGCCTGCGCTTCGACTTCTTGGAGCAACTGCACATCATCAGCATGGCCAGGCAGACATCAAGTTGGCAGAGAAACAGACCTTCTGAAGGGCTGCGTTGGGAAGCGACATGTTGACTACGACAGATGCTGGCAGACAGTAAGGATGAGGAACTTGAATGAGGTTATACCGTCTGCGTATGAGCCGGTCAAGAGTAGGTACAAATCGGGTGCCAGTGGTTCACCTGGAAAGCAACACAGGGCAGTGGTGCAGTGGAGGGGTTAGGGAGTACACTTTAGGCTTTCGGACTCAGGCAAGCCGCTAAACAAGCTTATTTCGAGTCATCTGTTCAAGTTCATCATGGCTCTCTTCGGGGGCGAGTTTTTCACGTGTCAGGCACTGTCTGCCGCCCAAAAGACCGCCTGCAGGCTCCGAGTCGTCGGCAACTCTCAGCGTCCGCCGGAACAACAATTGAAACCGATGTCATGCTCGCGACCAAATCGTACATGGACAGTATCCGACCTGGATCTTGATTTGCAACCGCAGCTTCATCAGTCGTCCTACCACTTGTACTATTTCAATCCCGGATCTCGAGGGAACTTGCTGCTCCACACCCGCGCAGGCGTTTGTCCTTTCTCATCCGCGTACTTGAAGAGCGAAACCCAACCGCGCAGTGCAACTCCGAGTCCCACGGGTCCACCGTTCCATCCACATCCGAGAACGTGAACTCCCTTATAATCACCAACAGTACCTTCGAGCGCTCAATAAATGCAAGCAAGATCCTGACAATATGATCTGCCCCTGAACCATATACCCCTCCGTCTCATCCGGAACAGTCACTCGTTTGCTGCATCGCAAGGATGCCCTCCTGGTTACCATCGATTCCGTACCCTCCTCCAGGGCAGCCTGGCTACTGGCACCCAGTGACTTCCACTCTCCAATGGTGTGAAGAGGTATGTATGGATATTGAAACCGTCTCTCTCCTTTTTCTTGAGTATGCATTCTGACGGACTCGATTTCCCATAGGATTACTACGCAACCTATTACTCGGCCGAGATCGTCAACACATTGACCAACTTGATCTTCATCTACCTCGCGTACAAGGGCGTCAAGAGCTGTCGAAAACATGGGCACGATACAGTGTTTGAAGTTGCATATTTTGGGTATTTCCTGGTCGGGTTTGGAAGTTTCATGTTTCATTCCACGCTGAAATGTACACAATGCACACCCGCCCGGTTTTACTACCAATTGCATGATGACAATTTCTAACGTCCACAGATCCCTGGCAACTAGTTGACGAGCTAAACATGATCTACACCACATGTCTCATGGCCTACGCAAGTCTGTCCTATTCACGTTCATCTCAAGTCCAAGTCGGCCTCGGGGTGTTTTTCGTGCTGTTTTGCGCCTTCATCACCGTCTACTACCACTACATTCAAGACCCAACTTTCCACCAGACCGTCTACGCCGCCTTGACCGTCTTCATTGTCTTCCGAAGCATCTATAGCATGGAGTACACACTGCGTCCGTCACTGCGCCAGAGCGAAGAAAGACACCGACTCGAACGCCAGAGACAGAACAAGCCGGCACTATCAAAACAACAGCAAGAATACGAGAATCAACGAGACATGCAGATCCTCAAGTCTATGTGGTTGCTTGTTGGCTTCGGCGTGTCCATCTTTTTGGGAGGGTTTGCCATCTGGGGTATAGACAACCAGTACTGTTCGACGTTGAGACGGTGGCGCAGAGCCATTGGCATGCCGTGGGGTTTCTTCTTGGAGGGTCACGGCTGGTGGCATCTGATGACGGGAATCGGCGCTTATTGTTATATTGTCTGGGGCATTCATCTGCGACACATTCTCAATGGCGATCAGGAGCATTATCGTATGGTTTGGCCGAGTTTTTGGAGATTGCCTGAGATTGTCAAGGTTTCGGAGCCACCCGCGCGGGATAGCACTGGCAAGGCTGCCAATGGCGCCGTGGCGGACGGCGAAGTGAATAGTGGGCATCTCAACGGCGACGCAAAGAAGTTGAACTGAGTACAATGGGGATGATTCGGGCATTATTAGATCAGATATTGATGTATTTATACATTTGCGTTACAACACCTCCATTGCTCCTCCGCCAAAGGCTTTGGTTGTACGTGTCCTTTCACCTTGTCTGCCTAGAAGCTCCCGAGCAGGTAATACTTGGCACTGGGGCTACGATGCCGAGACCAGTCCTGACTTGAATGTCTTGAGTAGCGGCTTGCTGATACACTGACTGCAGTAGTACTGGCAGTGATCAGAGAGTAGTACCTAAGTGGCTGATGCAGGTGAGCCGCACCGCACTGAGCACTACCACTGTAGTTGTATGCACGTCGGCACTGCAGCGCTGGCTTGCAATGCACACGTACCTCATCCAAGCCAGACGGTTGGTTGGTTCAGCCTGAAGTTTGGGTGGCGATTCTCGCGTTGCTGGTGCATCAACTTGTGCGCAACATGCCTTGTTAGGCAGGCAGTTTGCCGGATTGGGTATAGATACCTAGGGATGCAACCCGTGGCGGAGAATGGGGGCGAAAGAGGACAGCAGGCTATACTACCTACTAGCAGTACTACTACCAGTAGGGCTCCTTCAGTGGTACGATTCGAATAATCATAATATAGTACTGCGCATCTGAGGCCATATGAACTTCAGAGAAAAGAGAGACAGGAAAAGCAAAAACGAAGCAAGGTTCACAACTTGAAGGATATCTGATATCCGGCTACTAATTGTAGTATCTCATAACTCATGATGGATTATTTAGGTATGTTCATAGTGTTTTCTGCCTCTTTGTAGATTCTTCTCGTCAGCATCGGCATGGAGAGACCCCTGAATTGCTGTGTTTACTGCCACGCCACGAGCAACCAACTCATTTCCTATAATCAAGATAAGACAAGTCGGCAATATGCAAATCTCTTGGGTTGCTGCTGCTGCTGCTGTCATTGCCTGCCAGGTGTGCCAGTGGGTGAGGTTGTTTCTTCTTGTCCAAGATTGCTCGATTGATCGGCTCCGCTCGTTCCTAGAGAGCTTGACCGTGGGTGATTGCAGGGTGATGCGCCAGATCCGGTCTGCTAATGTGTCGCTCACTCCGTGGGCTTTGGCTGTACTTTGAGCTAGAGGCGCCAGGACTCTTTGTAAGTTGTTGGTTGTCCTGAGGGAACGGATTTGAGATGGCGAGGTGCATTTTCGGCGTTTGTGACCTAGACTGGGCCATGTCGGTGTTGTTCTTGCGAGAGTAATACGATGGGAGGGAGTCGCGTTTGCTGCCCAGGAAGAATGAGCGATAGTGGCTGCGGCGACTGGGCAGTTTGGGCGTCGATGCTTCCACGTCGGCTTTGTGGGATGCCACGGCTCCATGGGATCGGACTTGTCGAGCCGTGAGATGAGCGCGCGTGTCCCTGAAGATGTAGCTCTGTAGAAATCAAGATTAGAGGACGCTGCAGAGTGAAAAAAAGGTGTGTCTTACTGCCATGATGTTGATCGATCCCATCACAAGGAGTACGATCCCAGATCCGATTACCAGCCGCCAAAATGGCAGTCCTAGACTCTTCTGGCTGGTTGCTTCTTTGTTCAGATTGCCCAGGATGCTGTTTCCGAGGAAAACCATGCACACGCCCAGTATGATGAAGCTGGATCGAGCACTGAAGAGAGGCCAGTTTCGGGAAATGTATGACTTGAAAAAGGGGAGTTCGGTGAGAATGAGAAACCCTGAACTTCTTTTAGTATTTGATTCGTTATGATATAGAAGACCATCTTACCGCTGATGAAGCACCGAATGACGTGCTCACAGGCGTCGAAGAAGAAAAACTTGGAAACGATGAAAGTCTTGACCAGCATGACTGAGCTTGCAGCGACCACGGCCAGGAGCGCGATGATGTTCATCACTCGGATCACATTGAGCACGACGTATCCGGCGCCGGCCAGCGACTTGCCGAAGAGAAACATCGTGGATGAGGGCGTTGCTCTCGTATTAGTTTTGGGTAAAAGTGTTGAAGTTGGTGTACAAGTGGACAGATACGAGGAAGAAAGAAATCGATGGGCGAAAGGACTAGGAGAGCATCAGGAAGATCGTGCGAAGGCAGGGCGCAGTGAAATTTCTTAGATCTGAGCAGTGGTTTGGGATTGAATGTAAAGTACAATAAGATTGTTGAGGTTATTGTGCGAAGCAGTGGCAGTGGCATGAATAAGATAAGGACTGAATAGAACACAACTTGAAGGGGAACAATATGAATGATGAAAGAGACACAATTGAAGCGGGTTCGGCTTCTGGAGGCGACAATTCTTCTATTGTATTTTTGGCCATGTTGCGCGACGCTGTCCCAATGCAGAGCTCCAAGATGATGCTCACAATGGCGATAAGCGCGCCGGGCGCGAGATGAGGCTGTAGTGAATATATCGGGTAGTCCACGAGCTGAACGTGTTCATTGGCGAGATCCAGACAGTCAAATAGCTTACGGTTTCAGGCACGGCGCATACCTCACTCGACTTCAGTTGAGACACAATGCAGACGGCAAACGCCTGCCTCAGCAGCGTCGAGAGATATTGCAGAGTTCCCGTCCTCGTCAAAGATCGAAGTGGCCAAGGGAGGGAGTGGCTGTTGTTGATCGGACATCTCGAACGCAGGAACATGAAACACACTTGAGGTCGCCCGATTGTTGGCCCCTTGACGCCTGATCAAGTTACCGCAGTTTTGCACGAAACAAGCAGCATCACGATGCGACATTCGCGTGACAAGTCATATGGCGTCCGAGGAAGAATAACAACTTCACCTGCGAGCAAAAGAAGCCCAAAACATGGGGCAAAGGACGAGGTGGTCAGATCTGGCGGTGTACTGTATTATGTAATCCTACAATACAGTGATTTGGAGGTTGCCCAAAACGGACTGAACTTCTGACTGCGTCTTTGATCGTCGATCTCGATCTCGATCTTGGTTCCGGACTCTCCATAACTTGGACTTGAGGACAAAACAATTCTTCTTCCGCACTTATTTATTGTCTGCAATCGCCACTGTCCACGTTCGACGCCATCATCACTCATCTCTGTCCCGCGCGCCGATTCTCCAAACCTCCTACAGCCCTCCAGCAGTCGGCAAACATGGCGCGCGGCAACCAGAGAGAAAAGGCTCGTGAGAAGAACCTCAAGGAGCAAGCCTCTCAAGTATGTGTGCACCCTCTGACGAGCAGATTGTAATTCTGCAATTCTTCTGCCTGGCTCTCGCCCCGAGCTTACGGCCGGCCTCCGCCGCTCCGTCACGAGCGTTATCCGATTTGGCGAACTGACAATGCATGATAATGTAGAAGAAGAAGAACACACTGTCTGGTACCGAGTTTCAACGTACGAAAGAGCAACAAGCCGCCATCATGCGCGAGAAACAGGCAAAAGGTGGGCTCTTGACAAACACCCTCAGTTTCTGTCTAGTCAAGCAGATGTCTGATTGTCGCATACAGCCGAGGCCGCCAAAGCAGCAGCCGCTGGGGGAAAGAAGTAACCGTCATCCTCATTGCAATCGTCCACTGTCGAGTTCAGCACATTCCCAGAGCAACAGAAATCGCCGGCAAGAGTTGAGCTGCACAATGCTAAGGATTAGCGAAGGAGTTTTGTATATGGCGTAGTGTTTCCTACACGTAATACCGTTGGTTGGACCTGGAGTTGACAAAGATTGGCTATGGGCTTTTCGAAAGCCTGCTTTGAATTGACCATATCATTCAATCTACTAGAAAGTCTATCAATATGGTCGTTGTCCCCAGTTCAATTGGCGAGTACTATGCGTCTGCTGCGTGGCGCTCCTCAGCCGAACTCGCGATGCGCAGGGCTTGTATTCCGTCCAGGCGATCAATACTTGCAACAACGGCAATAGATCCTCGACAAGCGGCCTGAATGTTGTTGCCAGTGCTATACCGCGTAGGATCTGCCCTGTGTTTGCCTACAACCATGACATATGACATACTACCAGGCAGTAGAGATGACTGAGTCAGGCTCGGGATGGAGGATTTTCCGTTCCGCAGACTGGACTTCAAGGCTGAACCTCCGGCTTGAACTCCCAAAGTCGTTACAACAACCACATTGCCTCGACGCTCTCGGGGCTACAGATATGCACGACCGGATCGAGGTCCTTCCGTAAGACTCGAACCATACACTCTTTTTGTTTGGGAATATGACTTTGCTAGAAAGGTGCAGTACCGCCTATGCGCCCGCTCTCGCATTGACGCCGCGTTTCCAATCCCAACTTGAACCCTTGACCACCGCTCCTTACAAGAATAAACACTGACCCAAACTTACAGCATCAAGCCTTTCTGGCCTGTGCTATTCACCTTCGTCCTGCCCCGTGCAATCAACTATTACAGGGTGATCAAGACCGCCATCCGAACGCGGCCACCGCCACGCCCGCTGCCCGCCGAAACAGGGCGAGGCCTCAACGCGCTATTCGTCTCAATCTGTGTCTTTCTGTACTTGTCACTACCGTCCTTTTTGGTGAGAAGCGATCTCACGGATCACAATGTGTTCCAAATCACGCAGTCGCGTCTGTCGACGGCAACGGACACGCTATTCGCGCGGCTGGCACTGTTGCGCGAGGATGGCATCCTGACGGCCACCGACGAGGCTTTGCGCGCAAAGTTGGGCTCTCAAGCGTAAGTAACCCTCTCCTTTTAGTCAAACGTGCTCGTTACGCCCTATGTCTTCCCTGTGTGCACTCTGCAAAGACAAATTTGGCACACATGGTAGGGAAATCGAATTACACCAAGCAACCAACCAACCAACCTTGGTTACCCGCCTCGCCCTTTGTCATAATCTACAAGGCTACACAGTACCCTCTCCCAGAATATTCGTCGTACTCCCCACTGCATCTCAATCCAAGACCCAGCAAATATCATGCCCCCTCGAAAGTTGATTCAATGCTAACACCTCGTCGTCACTCGTAGTCTCCGACAAATCTATCTTCGCTTCGGGCCATCCACTCTCCTCAACTGCACATTCTGCACCGCCGACGACGCCTTCTCCTTCCTCTTATACCACCTACCAATCAATATAATATTACCACACCTCTTCCACATTCTATGCATTGGCCTCGCGACATCCGAGCCCGTCGCCGGCTTCGAAGCCAGTCGCTGGCGATCACGGGCTCTACTGGGCGCCACCATCCTAGCCAGCATTGACATCGGCTTGACCAGCACCTACACCGGCCCATCACTACACACAAATCCACGAACACATACACAGACACCGCCCTTGGGAATCTTCTGGATCGCCTCGACACTACGATATCTGGTTCTCTCTCTATTCGATGCCGCGTTGGCCTTTTTCATCTACGCCTCTGCCATATACCGATTCTTGCTGTTCAGCAACAACGATTCAACGGACCCGGAAGTCGCCCGCCGGCGAACGGAGGAATTGCTCGCCAAAACCAATCTCGCACTGCAAATGTCTCAAACGAATCTGCGCGCTTACTCGGTCGCGAGGAACACTGTCGTGCGGAAACCGGACTTGAAAGCCGCTGAGGACGAGTACTGGCGTAGAGTGGTGGATGTGGAAAGCCTTGACGATGAGAGTCTGTTGGATGATGAGGAGGTCCAGGCTGCGGTGTCGAGAGCGTATGGCTCGGGTGCTGTGGATGTTGCTGCTATGAGGAGGGAGGCTGAGATGTTTGTTAAGCATGCTACTAAAATCTTGGATTAGAATTGATTAAACGCTGATCAAAAGCTACGGTATAAATAAATCCGGAAACGAATAGAATGGAGTTTTCCTTTTTCTTATCCCTGTTTCCTTTCGATTTGACCTTCGACGCGCAAATTGACGTGCTCTGGCAGTGCTGCCGAATTGGGCTTTGTATTGTACATAAGCACATCCATAAAGCTCACGCCGAGCCTGAGCCAGTCCATTGCTTCGTTGTCGTACATAATACATCTACACTGCAGTATATATCTAGGTCGTGCGGTATTATACATATACATTTCAATCATGCACGCTTTCGTTTCTAAACCAGGAAAAGCCAGTGTGGGCTTCTACTGCTAGCTCTGATTTGCTCAACCCTCAGGCTCATCCTTGATAATAACACAATCATCATCTTTATCTTCTTCTTCTTGCTTGATGGGAAACTCCTTCTCAGGGACTCTTCGGCCATTCTTGCCCAAGACTTCGGAAGCGAAAATGACCGTCTCCACGCCAGCAGGAACCCTCTCCTCCTCGCCCTCGGGCAAGGCATCGATGTCAATGTCCATTCCCAACAAACTCTTGAGAATGACCTCGGCGCCAGCCTTGCTCATAATCATGTTCCTCTCCTTACACCGTTCGTCACAGATACATTCGGTGCAACCCTCAAGACAATGGCAGGCGGCGACGCGCTGGACAGCCCGTTCGAGCAGGATATCGATAAACTCAAACGCTTTGGCCGCGATGCCCGATCCTGCCGCGCCGCCCTTGGCATCGTAAAAGGTCAGGCGGGCAGGCCGTTTGCGCTGGGTCTCTCGCTTGGCGAATTCCTTGAGGGCGTTTTTGCACTCGGTCCGGACGTCGCCGGGCATGCTGACGACAAACTGCGGCATCAGGCTCATGAGGGCGTGTTCGGCGGCGTGGATGCCCGCGGCGAGATTGAGCCTCTTCAGTTGAAAGATCTCGAGCGCCGATTTCGGGATGTCGAGCCACAGGCCGCGCGAAAAGATGTCGATGGGCGGGTTGTCGACGGCGACGGCGTCAAGAATTCTTCGCTTCTGGTCGACCTTGAAAAAGCCAAACACCACGGCGTGGACTTTGATGCGGCCGAAAAACGCCTTGGTCAACGAGTTCGCGGATACCCGACGCACTTGTTCTGTTTCGATCGGGTCCACGTCGGTAAAGTCGCGTTGTTGCGTGGTCCAGTCGACCTTGACGAGTTGCACGCGCGCCATTTTGCGTTCGGGCGAAAACTCTTTCACCATGAACGTCTTGCCTTGGTGCAAGAAGATGCCGCCATCGTATAATGTAAAAAACGCTCTTGATGCCTCGACTTCTTCGAGCACCACGTTGCGCCCGTGGGTGATGTCGATTACGGCGAAATGGTCTTCTTCCGTGTCGCGGATGGCTACGCATCGAGATGGGAGTGGGCGGAATCTTTCATTGCAGTGGTAGAACCCCATTGCGTCCTTGGACAGTCTCTCCTCGCAGATATCGCGCAACATTTTACCCAAAAATTTGGCATCTTCATCCGGTTGAATGGGTAGCTCGAATGCTGCGCATTGCACGTGTCCTTCCACCACCAGCTCGTTTTGCAGGTCCACCTGGAGCTCGCAGTTGGGCTTGGTAAAGATCTCATCTGGGTTTTGCATGTAATACTGATCCACCGCGAAGCTGTCGCCAACAAGCACAGACAACGAGTCTCGGTTCCTGCGTCCAGCACGACCGCTCTGCTGTCTCAGGTTGGCAATCGTGTACGGAAACCCCATTGTGATGACGGCGTCGAGAGACCCGATATCCACCCCTAGCTCCAGGGCCGTCGTGGCCACGATGCCCATCAACTTGCCGCCAAACATCTCGGCTTCGATCCGTCGTCGATCCTGGGCGGAGTACCCGCCACGGTACCCCATCACCAGTGCCGCGCATTCGGGTCGCTCAAGGTTCGTGAACTCGGCTTTGACGGCCGCCAAGAGCACTTCGCACTGCTTACGCACGCGGCAGAAAGCTATAGTGCGAACACCTCGCAGAATGAGTTGACAAATCAACCTTGCAGTCTCGGCAAATGTGTCGGCACGACCCGATGAGGGATCTCCAGGATCCTTGTATGGCGTGTTCCAACAAATGAACTCCTTTCGTCCGGACGGTGAGCCGTCGAAGTCGGTCAGTTTGACATTGTCGACGCCAAAGATGGTCTTCATGTGCTCTTCAGGGTTGGCGACCGTTGCGGAACACGATATGAATTTGACCTTGCGATTGCCCAAAGCCGCACATATACGTCGTAGGCGGCGCATGATGAAGGCCACGTGTGCTCCAAAGAGGCCGTTGTAGACGTGCAGCTCATCGACAACCACATATTTCAGATTGCGAAGGAATGTTCTCCATCCACTTTCTTGCGGAAGGATAGTAATGTGGAGCATGTCTGGATTCGTGAAGATGATCCGACCCTCGTCCCGGATCATGTTTCTCTCCTTCATCGGCGTGTCGCCATCAAAAGTTTCCACCAGGATATTCTCGAATCCAGGAATGTACTGCAGTAGTTCCTTCATGCTTCGTCTTTGATCCTGCGCGAGTGCTTTCGTGGGGAAAATGTACATGCCGCGACTTTCAGGGTCTTTTTCCAGTTCGTGTAACATTGGGATTTGGTAGATCAAAGACTTTCCGGAGCTTGTCGATGTGGAAACAATCACGTTATGCCCGTCATGTAAGTTGTTGATGGCTTCGGCTTGATGAGAATAAAGTTGGGTGATTCCTCTGCTGTTGTAGAGAGCATTCACCAAGTTTTGCGAGAGTGGAAAGCTGAGGTCACCATATATGGCCGGTTGCGGATCGAATACCCGATGACCATCAGGAACAATCTGACCGGTATACCATTCCAACGAGGTGATCTCTTTGACGATCTCGGAAATCGCGTTGCGTTCTTTGGGAATAGACTTGGGCAGTCCGATGGATTCGGGTGCAGGTGTGGTGGAACGACTCGATGATGGAACGGGAATGTACTGCTGCTTGAGATCTAGGATCCTTTCAACTGGATCTTTACCCTCTTGAGCGCACTCGTTGAGAAAAGCATTTATCGCCGAAGTAAACTTGACATTGCGCTTCTCGATCAGCTTCAACATTGACTTTTGACTGAACACCGGCATCTTGAGATCCTCCTTGCGCAGCTTTTGAGTGGCTTTAGTGGGTTCGCCTGTCTTTGGATCAACCACCTGTCTCTTCAAATCGCCGTCAATGAATTCGAAAAGCAGCAGCTCCTTGGGCGTCCCGGAGTTGTCATTGCGAGCACTCTCATCTTCTGCTAGTGACCTGAAATGGTCCGCTCTGCCTCCTTTGATGCCGTCATCTTCACCCATTATCGTGACCATCAAATGCTCCTCGTCGACATAGGCAAAATTGATAGCCCGAGGCACCAAGGCCTTTACCTGCGCCACATCTTCCTCAACGAGTGGCCTTTTGATATGTCCTTCTACCGTGGACTTGATGTTATCCCATGTCGTCGCGAAATGCTTCCGGGTGCAGCAGAATGTGTATACGACATTGAGAGCCTTGTGTAGTTGCAAGAGGTATTTGAAATGATCTGGCCAAGGGATGTCGGACTCAACGAGGTTCGTGGATGAACTCCGCCGAAGCAGTGCTGGTTTCGCAGTGGACTTTGCCCTTCTGGGTTTGACGCCTCCATCATGTGTCTTGGTAGGAACCGATGTAGTTGTTGTCACTGTTGTTGCTTCGGCAGCGCTAGGTTCGGGCGTCGTCGTCGTTGTCTCGGAGTCGCCATTGTCTTTGGTCTGGCGCTTTCGTTTACGGTTGACTGGTTGACGCGAGACGGTCGCGCCTTGGAGCCTGACCATCAGGCATGCGATGTGAGGAAAGGCACATTAAACACACTACGCCTGATGCAGGGCTTCCCAGAAGATGCGGATCGTAGAGTGAACTCGGAGTCTGTCGACTTTCTTTGGCCACCGGAATAGGTACAAATCTGTCAACCAATCAATGACGTCGACCATGGAAGCGCGTAAAGTGGTTTTTGACGCGTTGTCATGTGAGCAACTACAGTGGTATATTCTTTGTGTCCCTTGAATAAGCTGACCTCGAGAAGGGCGAGATCTGACAAAGAAGCGTATAGAACAAGTAAGTTCCGGCTACAGTAGGCAATGCTTTCAGTTCTCGTGCTGGTGGTACAGCACAGCTTGTGGGCCTTGCCTTTTGAAGGCTTATGCAGCTACTCGTTGCGAGATCAATACGGCAAAACTAAAAGTTCACATACCATTGTTGTTCACGGCGGCCTCCTCAAAGCAGTTCTGTCTTTGCACTGCTTTCTTTAATTGCCGTGCGCCGACTTCGACGCCGCAGAGTAGGGCAGAGTCACTCGACCCACGAATCAAAACACCAAAAAGAATCAAAAAGCCTTCTGTCCAAAGTGCCAAAAACTTTTTCCTCGAAGGCCCCGCCTTTCGAAGGGTGCATTCTGTGGTACTTTTTTGGTACTTTTTGGTACTTTTTTGCTTTGCGTCCTGCAGAGCGCTCAGCTGGGCGTTCGAGGGAAGTGAAACCCCGTTCTTGCGAGGTTTTTCCCGGGAATTTTACCCATTCAGAGGAAGCCTGCCATTTCTATGATGGTCCTTGTACCTGGTGTCGACGAAGTTTCAGCCAAGAGGGTCCCAGAGACGAGTCGGTTAGACTCTATGATGGGCCATTGTCACGCTAGCTAAACCAGGGGTTCCCAGAGACGAGCCGGCAAACTGCTCTCTGAATGTTGGGGATAATTCTGCGACAATAAACTATTAAGTGCAGATGTACTAGTCAGGTAAGCTGGTGCCGGACAGTGAAGTTGAAGTGAAACGAAGGGCGCCATTGGCCAGCCCTGTCATTATTCACTCGGCCACGAGGCTGTATTCACTACTCGACCCACCCCTTTGGCCTATCAGCCGTCCCATTGTGCTCAGCAGAGCCTTGTTCCAAATGACCCCTTTGTCTATCACTTTGTTCTGCATCTGCATTGTCGGGCGCCTTGTTTGGCACTCTTTGCATCGCCCTTTACCGAGTGACAATGACGACCTAAGAAATGTCACATTCTCTGCTTCTGGTACTCGTTTGGTCTATGACTCCTGAATCCAGGCATCTTGCCATTCCTCTTGCTTTCAGTTCCGTAAGTTATACCTTTCCTTTCCAGAACTGCGCCCCTCGAACATATACTCGGGCCTGAGAGCGACCAAGAACCATATTCTCTCTATCTGTTTGATATGACCTCTAACATAGTCTTGCCGCTGCTGGTCAGCGCCATTCTGCGAGTCTCCAACGCACAGGAAGCTTCAACGACATCCTACCAACTGGTGAAGAAATACACAGGCCAGAACTTCTTCGACAATTTTGCCTTTTTCTCCGATCGTGACCCTACGAACGGGTTTGTCAAATACGTCGACTTGGAGACGGCCAATCAGACTGGACTGGCAGGCTTCGCCTCTAGTGACTCATTCGATAACGCGATCTACCTGGGGGTTGACTGGTGGTCTTTGAATGTCACCCCGGATGGCCGCCCTTCTACTCGCGTTGAGAGCAAAGATACGTTCAACCACTCTTTGTGGATCGCCGACATTAAACACATGCCTGGTGGGATATGTGGGAGCTGGCCTGCGTACTGGCTGCTGGGGGAAGGTGCTCGCTGGCCACAGGCGGGGGAGATTGACATTATGGAGGGAATCAACAAACAGACGGTCAACAAAATGGTCTTACACGCCGACACCGGTGTTAGCATCTTCAACGTGACGGGAGCAACATCATCCAATCAAACTCAGATGCGAGGGACATTATCTAGTCTCGACTGCAGCCTCGATACTGCAGGAAGCACGGGCTGTGTCGCAGAAGGCTCGTGGAATGATTTCGGCACCGATTACAATGCAGCAGGAGGTAGCGTGCTTGCGACCGAGTTCACCAGCGATGCCATCAGGATCTGGAATTTCCAGCGTGGCAGTGTGCCCAGTGACATTGCTGCCGGATCTCCCGATCCCGAGGCCGCTGCCGACAGCTGGGGGCCTCCGGATGCCATGTTCGTCAGCAGTGGCAACGGGACTTTTGACGAGCATTTTTTCAACCTCAAGATCATCTTCAACACTGCGCTCTGTGGCGACTGGATCGACAAGACATGGAATACTTCAGAGTGCGCTTCGGTCGCCCCAACATGTCAGGACTATGTGACCAACAATCCGGCCGTGTTCAAAGATGCATACTGGGCCATTGGCGGTGTCCAAGTGTATCAGCAAGCCGACCCATCTTGCACGGGCATGTCTACGCCCTTGCCGAGCAACCGGTTCCAACCATGCTCCCGCGCTCAAGGCACAGACGCAGTTCGCGACGCTTCAGGTCTTATTGAAGGCGGAAACGGAAATCACAACCACTCGTGATGCCAGTCGGGAGTGTGGAAGTGCCCGACGAAACGCGGCCCATCTCCTGCTTATTATGATTATTCAGATGAGGTTGGTCGTCACACCTTTTTAAATACCTTTAGCAAAGAGTTGTATCCCTGAGAGCCCTTATAGAAATGTACCAATACTTTTCATACCTTGTATCTTGCATGCTTACGAGTACCCTTTCAAAATAACAAGAGACGTATATGGCTTCGCAGTCGTGTCATGCGTGGAACATCGACGCTAATAAATCGAATCCAAGCTGCATCGTGAACTTGTCATCGTGAACAGTGGCGGTTCATAGTATTAGCTCGACTAATTCATGTTTGCCTCATAGGGAGGCAGCCTCGCCCCGACGTCGTTGGTATCCCTGTACTCGGTTTCTCCATCGGTGCCTCGCCGCTCGGCTTAGGCATTCCTGGACCTCATATGCTTCTTTTCATTCTTGACAGTGTTCGACCGGTTCCTGGCAAAATAGACTAACGAACTGCCTTCAGTATCCCTTACTGCCTGGAAGTATAGCACTCGAGATGTTTATCTCTGTGCTCTATATCGAAATTGACTATGTAGGCATATACTAGTACGCTGTAGTATGGGACCTTTTCCACAGGGCCATGGCGCCTACCAACCAATTGTAGTGTCTAACCACGCCAAGCCTACATTCACTATTACTGTAAGTAGACTAGAGTGCCTTTCTGCGACGCCGTGCACTCACTGCAGCTACAGCGTACCTTAGTACCGTTGGCCCAACTGGCTCTGTTTACGTACTCGGCTAACGCAAAGTCGAGGGGGCTATCCCGTATGAGATCACATCGAGCACAGGTGGACTTATCATCTGTCTTTACGACCTGGAGCTTCCATCTAAGCCTTGCTTGAACAGTTCGTTCTTCCTCTTGTTCGGCTTTCAACCTCAGTTTGACCCCAAACAGCGCTAAGGGCTCTTTGAGGGCCACCACCACTGGCACTGGGATATTGGCCACTGTTCTACTTTCCTCCAGCGCGGCAAATTCAAGGACAGATCGCCGTGGCTTCCAAAGGTTGGCAAACCTTTTAGGTACCTGTTCTCAGCGCATGAAGGTCCTCGAAGGCTTGGCGTTGACTCACCCTTCGCTAAATGGTTCTCTTATAAAGAGACACTACCGACTTCGTCACCCTCTCGTCACATTCCCTTCACCATCCCATCAAACGTGTGCCTTACCGGTCCCACCAAGTTCTAGCTATTTCCGTGGTCACCTCACCCGACAATGGATTCCAGTACTGCCAACACGATCTCCCAAACATCGCACGCCATCCTGCGTGACTTAGACCTTCAACCTTCAACCACCACCTCAGGTCATGTCAGACTGAGACGAGGGGTCCTACGGGACTCGAGTGATGATGCAAGTTGGGAGGAGGAGGTTGACATCCCTGTCTTTCTGGACAGTGTGGAGTCCCTTCGCTTTTGTGGGTTCAAGAAAAGTGCGGCTGCCACGATCCTATCCAATTTTCGGAACTACTACTCCCCGCACGGCCATCCTATCGAACCTTTGGCAACTTCAATCTACACTCTTGTAGAATTTGCGCTGGGTTTCCTCGAAGGCAAGCCGGATGCTTTCAGTGAGGATGAAGACTGGCTGGTCGCTCTGAAGGACATGGGTATCAAGAGATCGTTACGGGAGGCAATTTGTGACCCCACCTTCGTTGACATTCGTCCCACCAAGAGTGCGAAAGGTTGGGCAACGGAAACCATCTCAGAGTCTTGGGCGTTTCTTTGCGCAGTCGACGGTAGGATAAAAAAGAATGCCCCGACAATGCGGTCCAGAATGCATAGGCGGACCGAATCCGGACAGTCTTCTTCCCAGATTGTCGGACCAACATCTTCCAGCAACAACTCAGCTTCGACGAACATTTCTCCAACTGTCATCAGCTCCGAAGCCACCATCCCTCAAGAGTACAAAGCTGGTATTTTCTGCAGAGGTGGTTACATTTCCAGGTTTCTCGAAATCAAGGACCCCAACATTAAATGTCTCATCATGGATACCCTGCTTTCGATGCCACCTGGTGATTTCGAGAAAGCCCGTCCTGTGCTGTATCTGACGAAGCAACGCCAAGTTGCTTGGAAATATGCCAATTACGCAAAGGCCAGAAGTCCCGCTGTGGCCTGTGGGGTGCTCTACATTAGCATCCCACCAGAACTGGTGGAAAACGTGTATTATATGACAGATGAGGATTTCCGCAACCTGGTGTGGGCTTGTCGTGGGCCCTCCTACGATCCTCGCCCCGGGGCTGCAGTTGACGCAGTTAGGGAGAGGTTTGCGAGGTACGACTGGCTGGTGGGAAAGACTTGCGGCCAATGCTCAGATGTCATCAAGCGCCTCGCAAGTAAAGAACAATTGGAAGTCCTGAGAACTGTTGACGGTGAGAGGGCGTTTCAGTGGGCGGTCATGCGGGAGGCGGTATGGAATCAGATTGCTTTGGCTTGCTACGAACGGGTATGGATTGAAGTTACGCACGAACAGAGCAGCTAGCAGTCATCTCTTTGAATCCATTCTCCCTTCCTACTCAGCATCATTTCCCTGGTGAATAGATCATTTGGCCGTCCAACACTCCAATGATAAGAGTATAGCGTGACACGCGCATCTTGCGCCCATGCTCCTACGTATATAAACTCGGTTGGCGTATAGTGACCCTCAAGCGCAATAAACCACTTTACGCGTCCACTGTTGTTGTACGCGACGCGCAGACAAACTGAATGTGATGCAACAATCTGGTAGGGCACAACAACAAGATATTTTATCAGCAACCAAAGTCCGCATTGATCCAAAGTGCGCCAACTTGAACTCGAGTTATGCCAGCCTCCTCCGCCATCCAGCAGTCCCTCAGTCTCCTTCTACCCAGCCACTCGGCGAAACTGCCACCGCAACTAGTCCACCTGTCCGAGTCGCTGCTTGCCCAATCCCGCCAACGGGCATCTCATCTGAAACCCGAGGAAGAAATCGCCCGAACCTACGCATGCTGCGAGATAGCATGTAAGCGACTCCGGTCGCAATGTCGCTTGCCCGCCGTCAAGGCCGGGAGTGCGCCGTGCAAGCCGGCAGTGTACAAAAAGCTGGTGACGTTTTTAGAAAGAGTGCTGGAAGATACGACGAGTACAAGTCAGACGCCGATCAAGGCAAAAGCGACGCCAACACCCACACCCACACGGGCAAATACGAGGACGTCAACGGCAAAGGCAAAGGCAAACACCGACAATAAAACTACAAGTACCGCGGCTACAAAGAAACGGACGGCAAGCGAGGCCGGGCTTGATGATGATTCGGGGTCTGAAGCAGCAGAAAACGATGAACTCGCCACGCCCTCCAAGAAGCAAAAGACTCCATCGAGAACTCCAGCCAAGAACCACAAAACTGCATTTCTCAAGGCGGTTGGAGACAAGAACAAAAAGCCCTCGGAAGACATCGACTCGGACAGGGCGGCCCCGGCGTTCGTCATGCCCTCGATTCGCAAACTGTGCAAAACGTTCAGGACGCCTCTGCTCGCTCCGCACGTCTATACTGGCACTTGTATCGTGCTGCAACTTACGGGGTTATGGCCGCAGGGGAAAGCGCAGGACACAGCAGCAGCAGATGGTGATCATGATTATCATGACGGTCATGACAATTCCGATGGCGGTGCTGGCGATGCTGGCGATGCTGGCGATGCTGATACAGGTTCTTCGTTCCAAGAGACCGTCACAGGCCTCCTGATCGCAATATACCTATTGACCCTGACCCGGATGCAAACGGCCAAGATGACCACATCGGTCTACAAAGCGACATGCTCGAAAAGTGTGCAAGAACTAGGCTACAGCCCCGGCACCGAGGGCGTCGAGGCCTGGATCCGCAGGATTAATCGCGAAGGATACTGTCGCGGCCAGGAGTGGTGGGCGAGCGTGCCTGAATCGGTGTTTGACTTTGAGCCCAACAAACGGGTTCCTGCAGATGCCGATGCCGTACTCGATGTTGACAGCGGAGATGAAGATGATGACGAAGATCGCATCATCTCAGCGGCAGCAGCGACCCGCAGACGGCACAGAGCAACGAACGAAGCCGAACAAGAAAAAAACCATGACGAAGACGAGGAAGAACAAGAAGATCCTCCGTACATTTTACTGCCCGGCCTGGCTACGATGATGCAACCCGCCGTCGACTTTACGAGCGATGAGCGAACACGAGATTTTGAGATTTGGAAACGTGCCCTTTTGAGGAAGCTGGATAGACTCGAGAAGGCGGCCTCGAACACTAGACGGTCGACGGGGAGGGCAGTCGGTGCAAGAACAGGAACAGCTACTAGGACTGGCAGGGCCAAAGCCGTGACTGTGGGATAAATTCTAGTAGTACATGTGTAACCCACTTCTGAAAGCCGGATTTATATGCGTACAAGTGTCGTAGGTCTCTCCTGAGGTAATTTGTCCTTTTTCTGATCTTCCATCTTCCATTCAAATCGTCTCCTCTATTTTATGATGCTAAACTGTGCTCGTCCGGTTCCTTGGGCCAAACGAAAAGAATAAGAACCTACGATACTAGTATCCTTCAGAGTCGAAGCAGGATGGAATGAATTGAGTGTTTTGTCGTCGATGTAAAACAACCCTAGGTTTTCTCTTGCTCCGGCGGCGTGGCTGCAGTAGATGCATGTACCAGCGGTAAACGTGAGTTGTCGTGCCTAGGAACCTATGTAAGTATCTCATCATACAATCAAAGCAGGGCATCAGACCACAAATTCTGTGCATGGTCTGTTGGAAGCATAGGTAAGCATCGCAGCAAAGTGCAGCGCGTCGCTGCTCCACTCCGCACTGTCTGCAAAATAAAAACCAAGGCAGGCAATGAATGCAATGCAAGAAGAAGCCCGTGCGGAAAACATCAGAGACACAAACCAATGAATGGTCAAGATGATGGCTGGGCAAGCAGAAATCGGCTGCACAGAGCAGAAAAGTGTATTCGCATTCGATCCGCGTGTGCACTAGGCATGCGAATATGCATGGCATGGTATGCGCTTGTTCCTGTGTCTGTGTCCGGTCCCAGGAGCGGGCGTTGCTGTAGACCAAAGGAGATGCAATTGATACAACTTCCAAGTTGTGAGGAGGAGGAGGAGGAGGTGGTGGTGGTGAGTTTGGCATTGCATTGTGGTACATGGCAAATCACACCTTGATTGTTGCATCGTCGAGCCTTACCGCCTCACCAACCACCACCACGACCCCGTCCTCTACCGTGACCACCACCTCCACGGCCACCTCCACGGCCCCGGCCGCCATAGCCTCCTCGACCGGCACCACCACCACCACCACCTCGGCCTCCGCCACGACCTCGACCACCACCTCCACGTCCTTCATGGCTACCATGTCGACCTCCAGCCCGACGGCCTGACCGACTCTCATAATTGACGTACTCCGGCCGATCTGGTCTCGGACCCTGCTCCATGCGCCTATCACGCTCCTGCTCACTGATGTCGAACTTATTCTCAATTCCAATCAAGTCACAGTACATGCTTGTCTGAGGATTGGTGACTTCGCGGGGCATGGAGGTGGAAGCAACAGGTTGATTCGGCTTCGGATCATAGACCGGCGCAGTGATGGTGAAATTGTTCGGAACGCCAAGTTTGCCAGTTTTGACGACATGCTCGTGGATCCATGCTTCCTCTTTAACAATCTGCTCACGATAGAATGTGTCGCCACGGTGAGGTGGTGCTCTATCATTCGGAGATCCGCCGAGGACGAGTTCAGGTGCAAAAACACGCTGGATAGCAAGCCATTCGGGATCATAGGATAGTGTGAATGGACGACGAACATTCTCCTCCTGTGCTGAACTCGAGTTGATAGACTTGATTTCAAGAAGCTGTAGAAACTCCTGATATGGTTCGCATTTGCCCAGGGCCAAGAACTCTGTTTTCTGGTTCGTGATGCCTTCTGGGAATGGCAGGCTGGGCGAGGCTTCGATCTTGACTTTGTCTCCCTTCTTGGCGAAAGTGTTTGAAAGAACAGCCAATTGGTCGCGGAGCTCGTCTGAAACGTCGTTTGCGGTGGGTTGGGACACAGCGATGGCGGCTTGCGGCTGGTCAATAGAAGACGGTTTTGGTAGCGGAGTCATTCCTTGATGCTGCTGAGATGGGCTTTCCTTGACGTCGTTTCCAGTCGCTGCGGGATGCGGTAGGGGGGTCATGCCATGCTGCTCCTCGGTCAAGCTCTGCTGGATGGTATTCCCTTTCGAAGACGGTTGCGGAAGTGCCACGACAGCTTTCTGCTGGACTGAATTCTTCTCGATTTCTTCACGCGACGAATGTGGCTGTGGCAGTGCGACAACCGGCGGCAGAGTGGAGGTCTTTCCGGCGTTGATTCCACCTGAGAATCGCCGTGGTAGGACTGCCTCTGGTGCCTGCCGAGTTGAGCCTGGACCCTTTCTGACATTGCGACTCTTGGACATTGGGTCAGGTACTGCCACAACTGCATTGGGGGGTGTCGAGTCGACCTGGTCATGGGTCACCAGTGGAGTTGGCTGCGGAAGTGCTACTACAGCTTGCGGTGGACCAAAAGCTTCTGAGATCTCGTCTTGGGGCCATTTATCGAGATCAGGGACAAGGTTTGCCGAAGAGGGGTCGGATTTAGAGCTTGGCGCAGTGGGCTGGAATGACGGTGTTGCGGTCGACACACCCTGTGAGTTCAGGGCCGGTGCTGGAGAGTCGACGTCCATGGACTCCGGATACTGTTGAATTGCTGGAGTGGGCACCGCTGGCGCAGCCGTAGCCGCAGCCTTTGACGACGATATGTCTGCATTGTTAAGTCTGACACCGCCGTCTTCACTTGCCTCCGAGTTGGGCAGAGAGAACACTCTTGGCTCACGGGCGATGCCTCCAGTGTCTGGCCGGAGGGACGTCGCTACAGGAATAGGAATAGGAGCTGTAGAAAAGCTGCCAGAGCCGTTTCGGCCGGTTGCAACTGGTTCATCGTCGTCAGTCATGTCGATATCAATGGCGTCAGGGTTGTCGACAACAATCTCTGGAGCACCAGCCGGACGACTAGCATTCGTGCCATCAAGCTGGTCATTCGATGAGGCGAATCCACGCTCCGAGGCCGTAGGATGAGGACGAGCCGGCTCGAGGGCATCGGACTCGGTTCGTTGTCTCTTTGACGGTCTTGAAACAAAGCAGCCATCAAGATTGGGGATAGCTTGGTCCTGTTCTCCAGGTTTGATCTCCGTCTTGGTGGTGGAAGTGACATGCCTGTCGAACCCGGCGTTCGAATCGACTTGTTTGAATGTCTCCTGAAAGGTGTACGAGGGGCCTTGTCGAATGCCAGTTCTCGCTTCTTCTTGACGTCGAGCCTCTTGCTCTTGCAGAGCCCTGTCCCTGTCCGCTGCATCCTCGCGCTGAGCAACCGCATGAAATCCTTGCCATGCCGAGACCCTCTGTGAGTTTTGCTGGGGTGACAATCCAGCCGGATTCGCAGTGCTCACACCTGGTGTAGCCCGCGGCAGTGAAGATCCATCGTTCTGGCCATGCTCGACAATGGCTGCATATCGGGTGTGCAGATGGGCCGAAAACCAATATGGAGGCCTCAAGCGATCCAGACACTGTCGGGCAGCCGGGTTTCCCAACTTTCCATTCTTCGAATCAACTCCAAATCCAGGCTTTGATCGAAACAACCATTCAAAATTTCCGTGCATCTCCACTCGCTGAGGCCAGTCGTGTGAAAGACCGATATCGACCTGAGTACGGATGGCCAGCAACTTTCTGACATCGAGTTCGCGCACATGGTAAATGGTGGACATCTCCTCCCGATTGTACGGCAATCTTTCGAAGTGAGCTTTAGGATAATCGTAACCCTTCCAGATTCCGCTAAGTCCCGCAATCCTCAAGGGACCGAATTGAATGACGTTGGCGGCACCCAGGTAGTAGATGTTTGGGGCGACCCATCCACCATAGTAAAGCTCGAACAAATGATTGCTAGCCTCGTGATTGCCTCCGATGAAGATGGTCAGGTAGGGAGCAGCCCTCGCGCCACTGTAGTACTCATGAAAATCTGCCATTCGGCGGTACTTCTCTGGCATCGCCGTGACGTTGAGATCGTATTGATTTCTCACGGCCTAGAGAGCAATTCTTTAGCAAATCTGGCCAGGTCTGAGGTGTTTGGAGTTCAACGCACCTGAAAGTCGCCGCCAATGATGACGAGGTCAACGCTGTCCCATCCTTTCACACGGCAGGCTTCCTCGACAGAGGCATAAATGGAGTTTAGGGTGCCATGAGCCTGTAGGACATTAGCCAGGATCAGGCCAGGGGATGAGAATAGTCCCAGGATCAACTTACACAGCCCTCGATGGCCACTCTGACGCCTTCTTTGTTTTGGCCTGTGGTCACCGACGCAATGCCACCAGGCTCTTGCTCTTCAGACATCGTGTTCCTCTCCAGGACTGTCAGATCCTTTGCATCTGTGGTCCTGTGGTGGAAAATCACTATTCAAAAGCCGAAGAATTTGCGCAGATCGTGAAAATGAAATCATCGGCGCAATTATGAAGAGAAGATGCGAGGAGACATAATTGACAATAACAATGAAACAGCCAAGCGCAGAAATAAATCGCAGTGAAGCGCAGTGAAGCGTAAAGAGACCAGCCGCAGTGAATACCCTGTCAGTCGCCATCAACTTCAACATGGCGACGTGGTGTAGTAGTGAGGTTCGATAATCTGTAACAGGACTAGCTCTATACTAGTTGCTGCTAGTCACCTACTAGCGGCTGGATATGCGCAAGATTCCCGCGAAGCATTAGTGACCAGTGCAGATAGTGGCAGACTGTCACTAACTCAATATCATCCTGCTTCAGTCTGCTGGTGATATACACAGGTACCTGGCACTGTATGTCTGGTGCAAAACTTTAAATCGGCATTGTACACTGCGTACTTGGCCCCTCAGATACTTCGAAGGCGGCCTACTAGTATCCTGGTAACGCTTTTTGATCGCTTCATATGAAAAAGATACAAGAAAACTCCTAACAGTCATGCTCTCATCAGTTGCCATCTGCGTCCCTCGCTTAAACCATCCCATTCAACTCCATGTTGACCCAGGATCCTGCCAGGGGTTCGGGAACTCCTTGAGTCGATCGGAAAAGGACAGGGCGGCTAGATATGCCATATCAGACTTCCGCCCCAAATCAAAGAGCCCCCCAACACAGTGGGCACAGTTATTGTAAAGCGTCTGGCAATCATCAGGCCCAACCCAGTGAGAAAGATTCCCAGAGCGGCAGTCGGAAAGCCATTTGAGGAAGTGGTCCGCACTCCTTGCAAAACAACGGATCAGGATCTCTGTCCACGGCTCTGTCAAAATGGCTCCCTCGTTGACAGTGGTGTGGAAATCATTTGACTGGTGGAAGCTCGAATTGTAGCGGGGTCTGCCCACTCTACAGACTTCGGCAACTTGGAAGGCACTGGTCTTCCTGATCTCAAAGACCAATCTGCAGGACTGTCGCAGAGCACCATAGACTTTGTCTCCCTTGTGATGGCGATCAATCAACTCCAGGCAGTCGGAAAGAAGGAAGGCTGCCAGGTGCCAATGACCTAAAAGGACTGTATACCATGACTGTATGCGGGGAGAAAGCTCATCATGGTGTTTCAAGCACGTAAACATAAAGTCGCCGTAAGTTTTGTTCCAATGTTCGTACACTGTCAGAGCTTGAACGATCCCTGCCTCGACTTTTCGGGGTGGAGCTCGTCGAAACAAAAGGTTCCGCAACCGTTTTACTCGGCGATAGAGGAGGACTTTGATAGGAGTGGCGTCCGAGAGGAGGTTACTGGCGTGGTCGTTGGAAAATGGCCACTGCGAGCAGTTTCCAGGTTTGGTGAGGCCGTCCCTTCGCAGGAAAAATGTGCCCCAAGGGGTAGTTTCCAGATTTTCGTCTTGAATCAGTGTGGAGGCAGGCCAACCCGTCCCGGTCTGCTCTTCCTCGGCCGTGCCTAGCGATGCGCAACTCGGGGAATGACTGGATTCTTCGGCCCCAAGAATGAGCGAATCTTCATCTGAGACAACGAAAGACCGCCCCTGGAGGGCAGCGACCAGCGTATCGCACATCATCACCATCCAAAACAATAGATTGAAAGTCTTGCGGTCCGAAACAGACACAGGATGAGCAGCTCCTAGTCGAGACCCGCCACCGAGCTGTTCCAGACGCGCTCTTTTATCGGATAGCCGCATCAATGCAGTTTCAAGATAAATTGGAGGGCCCTGGAGCTTCAAAAGTTCTTTGAGTTCTTCAAGCTCGCCCACTTCGCTGTCAACCCCATAATTCGCCGCCAAAACTGCAGAACCTCTGGCGGACATATCACCCTGCATATACTGTGTCCCGCCTACATCAGGACTCGCGTGGATACTGTTTCCTCGCTTAGCACGCAGTCTTGTGATCCTTTCGTGATCCTCCCGCGGAAGTGGCTTCTGGGTGAATGAGAACACAAGCTGTGCGAACACAACTCGAAAGGAGTCAAGCCCCGCTGTCTCCTGCAAAATGTGACGTGCCTCATTCCACAGGCGTTCTTGGAGTGAGCGATTGAAAGTGGGTGAGCGCTGACCAACACTGCCGCTGGTTGTTGCTTCAGTACCGGTACCACTTGTCATGGCTGCCATTCGATCACATGTGCTTGGCGCCCACTGCGCAGCAAACGCCATGATGGCAGCTTTGAGAGCACGAGATGCTGCTTGGTTCTCACGAGGTGTTAAAGGTCGTTCGCGGAGTATAGAATTTGGCCGATCCAGTTGACAGATCCGCGACACCACAGGCGTTTTGAATGTCGTAGAGCCTTCCACAGCCGTGTTGCAGTTGTTCGAGATCTGGTGGTCCACAATCCCTTCATAAGTATATGGGCAAGTTCGTTCCGTGAGCCAGCAGGACAGGGCATTCTCCATCGTGTCATGGTATATGCGTGTCAGGCTATCCAGTATCAAGGATTTATTCGTCTTCTCCGCCAGACGATAAAGCATGGTATCTGAGGACGGGTCTGGAAAAGATGATGATGATGATGACGATCGACGTGAAGAAGGGAGTTCAAACCCGGATGTGCCTCCCAGTTGCATGTCAATGGGATCGTCGTTATGGATTGCACCGGCCACGGAAAAGATGCTGCTGTCGGTGTCCTCCAGATCCTGGTCGCCCAGATCTAATGGATTGAGCTCTGCAGCATTGAAGACAGATCCAGCATCTAGCGTGGAGGTGTCAAAAGGCTGCCCAAGACCGCTTTCGGCCGGAGTTGGAAGCGCTGGGGGAGCCCACGACTCGCTGGATTCAGATGCAGACCTGTCTTCCTTGCCGACAGATTTGCGGTCGGGTGCAGAGAAGTAAGCCGCGATTTCCATAAAATCCTCATTTGAGCACGATACCGTCTGATCAAAGGAGGATTGGCGGGACCCGAACAGGACTTCGACAGGAAATACAGGCGTCTGAGCTGTTGCTGCCCGCTTCTCTGGACTTGCATGGTCATTGACAGGGCTTTTGTAAGGCGTCGCCTCCTTGACACCCTGTTTTGAGGTAATCTGGGCCACGGTGCGCCGGAGCTTCTCAAATGTGCAGACTTTGCCCGTCCTGGCACAATTTGAACAAACTTCGGCGACGGCACGGCCAGTTGCATCGCAAGCCCGCTTGCTACGGCGACATTGGTCGCAGCAGTGATTCTGGCGACGGCGAGGTTTGGTGATTGCTTTGACGGACACTCCTGGACTGCGGGCGCCGGGGGGCATGTTGACGAAGACGTCTTTGAAAGCCCAACGTTACGCTCAACGATGGCGAAGATGTGGGCTCTGGCGGCCCTGTCTGTGTTTGGAAAGCGACAGAAAAAAAGAAAATTGCCACCTGGTAAGATTCGCGTGTGGATGGAGGAAGCGTAAGCAGTGAGAAATAGTGGATGATGACGGTTAATTCAGCGGTCAGCCAGACTGGCGGGCGGGTGAACGGCGAAAGGCGAGAGGAGGCGAAGAGAGGTGCGATGTCGTGCCAGTGGCAGTCCACGGTGTTGAAGTTGAGGAGAGGTTTTGGTGGGGGTGGATGCTTCAGCCTGGGGGAGCAAGCAATTCCTTATTTCCTGCAAAATCGGCCAAAGTACTTAGCAGCCGCTAGTGGCAGCTAGTCGGTCGCCCAAGATTGGGGAAGGAACGGCGGACTGTGTGCTCCTTCTCGTGCCCATCTGCCAAGACCAGCCATTTGACTCTTTACAGATGCTCCAAGCTCAATTGGTCCTAGTCACATCCTAAATTCTTCATCCCCAGACTGCCGCCGCCAATCAGACCTGGTGCCCCGCGGTTGCGTCTTTGCGCCTCCCGGTCAGCTGGAACTTGACCCATGACCACCTCATGTCCCTCATCGGGGCTGAGGATGCCAGTGCCACAGCTGAGGCAGGCAGACGTCGAAGGCACACATACTATGTGCATTGCACTACAGTAACTGTTGCAGTAGTATCATGTAAATCAGGTACCTGCCAGTATTACTGCTGGTGTATCTCCATGCCCTACAAGTCATAGTAATCACTCTCCTCCGCAAATTAAGATTGGCGTTCGTCGAATCTTCACGCTTCAAAAAAGATGTGTCTGTTCGTCGCATGTAGTGATTTGCACCGCCAGGGTTGGAACGACCAGGACGAATCCAGCCAGCCCCTTACGGTCTGGGGAACGCCCAAGTATCTTACAGCAGGCTCCAATGTTGACGGGTGAAGAAGCTTACCTGTCACGGCGTAGATCTCGGTCAAAAAGCTGTCCAAGAGCATGTTGAATCGATCCGGAGCTAGGTAGCCAGGTAGGAACAGCGCCACCACCACCCATAAATGCGAGTGCCTTGACCCAGAGGAGCAGCATTAGACTGCGTTGGCCATCGGGATAATTAGGCCATACGACAAGCGAGGTTGCAAGCTCCCCTGATCTGCGCCGCTGGGGTGTCAACTCATACCCCAGATTCCTCGATCTACGTAAAATCAGATCGTCGAGTGAACACATCTAGGGCATCAGGCTGAGTAGGCAAGAGTTCTGCCTGTGAAACTATTCGATCCGAAATGAGCGCGGAGATCGAGAAGAGTCTATGCATATGGATCTTCGACAGCTGTATAGCTCCCCCTTCGACCTACAGTACAACAACTGCTCCCTACCACAGCTTCAAATCTCTGTTCAAGCGACAACAGTATCGCACCGCTTGTATTATCCTTGCATTTGAATAAGGTACAATGATATCTGGACAAATCAGATGTAGTCCACAACCACTTTTCCACATAAAGCACCTTTACATGAATACCGGATGCAGATGAACGCGCGCCCGCCTGATTACAGTATCTACCAAGCAGGTACCTAGATGTATGCTTTGCACCTATACTCTATGGAGTTGTCAGGCTCAGGCTGTACATTTTATTATTGTACGTGCCACTGGCAGTGTCAGCCACAACAATTCAGCTTCTGGAGTCAGGCTTCACACTGGATTGGGTCCAAAAGCTGGGAGCCGCCGGTTCTCGCAAAGCTTACTCTCCACGGCACCAATCAAAGGGGCATATACAAATAAAATCCTCTTTAGCCTCAGAAGGGGAGGTACCCAGGTAGCTGCCAGCTCTACTTTCACTAATGGATCTTCAAGTTTTAACTAATAACACAAACAGTCTATTTCATGATGGACAAACATCAAGCCCAGCAACATCACCTGTCATAACTTCAAGTTGGACAAGCACCGCAGTGGTTGTACAGTTTCCATCCAAAACTGCCCGTCATTCTACAACCTGGCTGTGGCAATATATATCCCCGCTTGACTACCATGGTGCAGAATCACTCCGACAGTAAGTTACGCGCATCGCTGCACCTCGCAAAAAATCCGAACCAGGTGAGCCACGGGTCCCAAGAGCGATGTTGGTGTACTAGTACGCGAGCCATTCAACTGTGCACTCAAAATGAGTCTGCGTCCGCACTGAAACGCAGATCACATTCATGTGGTGTCGAGCATCCAGTGGACGGATTCGAGGTATTCGTTTGTTCAGCCAGTCATGCAACTGCTTGTGCGCACTCACAGCCAGGTCCTTTTGGTTCCAACCCAACACTTCGGAGCAGTCTTCAATGGCATCACCAATAGGCTTTGACGCAGAAGTACACTTTACGAAAACAGACTTTCCTTTTGTCGATCACCATGCTCTTTGTGTTCGGTCGCCATCTCTGTCCTTTTCATGTCCTTGTCATGTATTGGCCCTTTTCCACAAAGCTACCCCTTCACAGTTCCTCAAACCGCTGGTTCTTACTTCTAGTGAGACTCATGAGTGCAAACAAGCCTTTTCGGTTTGAACAATCACTTGGAACTTGGACATGGGCAGTGACTGGGTCACGTCTTGCCAGATGTGGCGTCTTCGCAGGCCCCCTGAAGAACTACTTAATGCATAAATATCCCAAGCCCAGTCCTCCCTCCAAAGATCTCATACATCCTCCCTCCAAAGATCTCATACATCCTCCCTCCAAAGGTTTTATACATACCTAGAATTTATCCACGCTCGAACGACTACTCGCAGGTCTTGTGCTTCTCATTCCAATTACACCACGAAACTCTACCAGCCTACATCATGGCCACACCTCTCGGAGATCTAGAACAGCTGCCAGGAGAGCTCAGAAACATAATTTACGAGGCATTAATCCAGCAGCGGGGCACACAGCTAGCCTACACAAGCAAGCAAATTTACAACGAAATCATCCCCTACCTGGAGGAAAAGTTCGTGCTGGGCTTCCACATTGACCCTGCAGACTACTCATCAGTTGTCCGCATCATCAATCAAAGCGGGCGACCATGGGGTACGGGAAACCAAAACACCTTTGATGCACGGTCCCCCCACATCAATCGATCACTCGAAATGCCACCCATCGACAAGTTCAAGCAAGTACAATTTATCATCGACGCACCCAATCCCAAAGATCCTGGACAGCTCGTGCGGGCTTGGTACCAGGTCACTAGGTTGCTGGACGCTATGTTGCCTCGGTGGTGTAACCCGAGCGAGTTGCCACAAGACCAAAGCGACATCGAGGTGCCCAAAGGTCGCCGAGGCTCCAACTTGCCGGCGATAGAAATCACTTTCCGAGAAAGCGGGGAAAGAACATGGGGTGGCCATGGAATGTTGAACCACAGTGTTCCCAGCTACGAGGACTGGGTCGAGAACACGCACTCAGTACAAATTTCACCGGACAGCCGAGACTCCGATCTGGCCGTGATTTTAACACCATTTCTACGGATTCGAAATGCTGCATCCTTACAGGTACGCCTACCTGCTGCAGCTAGCTCTGATCTTCATATCCGTTTCATCATGAATCTTCTGGAGGAGAGGGCGGGTTCAGATATTCCTTTCGGGATGGATCTTCATGGACAGGATGATATCGCTGACGCCGAGTGTCTAACCATGCAGAACACTTTGCACGTTTGGCTTGACTGCCTCCTCGATGACTTGAGAGGCCCCACCGCCAATCTCTTGAGAAGGGACAGATTCCAATATTTTTGTCCCGAGTACGAATATAAACTGGGCACATGCCTCCAGGGGTTCGAAGACTCTCGGGGGCGACATGGGATAGGAGGATTGAGGTCCATAGACGAGGACCTTTGGCACCATGTGGTCGGACAATACTTCAGCCGATTAGCTGCCGCGTATAAGCATCAGCAAATGGCTCATGCAAGATACGGAAAGTGGAACAACTTTGCAAAGCGGAACGAGTCTCAACCGGAAGAAAGTTTCGCATCGGGACTCTGGGAAAAATGGTATCCCAGAGGAATTGCGGCCAAATCTTTGAATATTGGCTGGAAGGATCATGAGACACTGCCGTGGTTCTGGAGAGCGTTCCCCGTTGCCGATCGGCGTCAGGCCACGGCGTGTACGATACTGGGCGACTTCAATGCGGGATGCAGTGATTGCGTCGGAAATTCACGTCGCGAGGACAGGATGAGCTCAGTTTTGCAGTGGCGTCTGTGGGCTTATATGAACGGGACTCTTGTTGCTGCTGAGGAGGAGGATTGACCTACTAGTTGTGGGACACAACTTGAATGGTTCGGTTTGTGTGAGGTTCAAGTTCTATATGGTATCTTATGTTGGTGTGGTCTGAAATTCGCACGTATGTGCTGGTCTATATCATAGTACCACAAATGAAAACAACCGAACACTGAGATTGATTTCTTGTACATCGTAGGACATCTTAAGCTGCCAGTGTGCTTCGAACTTCAAGACCCTTTCGTTGCGCTAACTGTATCTGGATAGTCCACGGCCGTTCTTAATCACGTGAATCTGGCCGCCCTCCCAGGAAAATGTCCCGTCCTAGATTGACCAGTTCAAGTTCAGAGTCGTAATTCAGGACATAGAAGGCCGTTTCTGCTTGTCGAAGCCTTGGAGCTTACGCCCGAACAGTCCATCTTACGATCATTATTCAACGTTTATGGCCTGGAAACAATGGCAGACGCGCAAGAACTGCGCACAAAATTCCTGCATAACTCCGCTCGAATGATTCTTCTGTCCAGTCCGTCGACCTCGAGATACCTGGCACATCAAAGCGTTGAACTCGACTATGCCCAGTCTACGAAGAGCTCAAGCTCTGCAGAGACTGTGTGTGCGGCGTGCGGCAACTTGCTCTTGCCGGGATGGACAGCATCTACACGCATCGTGACTCGAACTACCGCTACCACATCCAAAACAACGTCTCGGAGCAACAATCGAAAGAAGATATTATCACGCAGATGCGCTACATGCCAGAGAATCTCCAAGCAAGTGGCAGATATCTCAGTGGATGCTCGACGGCGCAGGCGAACGCCTGCTGCCAGTGTTTCTGAGCATCGCCACATGGACGTGGTGCCAGCAGAGTCGCCTGCCGAAAGCGCGCCAGAAAAGACCACCAAAACCAGCAGCAAAAAGAGAGCTAAGGCGAGGAAGGACCGCGAAGGGCTGCAGGCGTTACTCAACAAAAGCGCACAGAACAAAACTGGTCCAAGTCTCAACCTGATGGATCTCATGAGGCAACCATGAGATGGCTCAACTTGAATTCCGATGCCCGCCGTCTACAACGGTACAACTTGAACAACGATCGAACACCGGTCGAGTGCCACAAATCAACCAAACACTCGGAAATAAAGTTGGTGCTATAAATTAGGTTGCATTAGCTGCCGCGCTCCCGCAGACTAGGCTCGGCTATTGCTTGGCGGAGCGATGACATTCCGCGTCATTCGAAATCCCGAAATTTTGTGGTTCGAGAAGGCTCTGGGTGGCCGTCTAGTCGACTCGCCTGGATAAAAGTACCTTTTGCGATTCCCATCTGTATCACTTATTGGTGAATTTGATACATTTGCAGCAATCAATAATTGAACCGACAAACATCACAACAACCGTCAAAATATCAGCAACAAAAATGTCAGAAATCGAAGCTCCAACTGTGGTCCACGTTGACCCCAATGAAGCCGGCATCTACGAGATACCCAGTTTATGCATGAACTGTCGCGATGAGGTATGTAGCAACATATCGTGCGCCTGCACGCAGCTTACTAACTTGGAATCAGGGTATCACGAGGATTCTTCCCATTAAGATCCCGTACTTTAAAGACATCCTTCTCGAATCCTTCTACTGCGAGCACTGCGGGTGGGAGAATAAGACGGTCAAGAGCGCAGGACAGATTCAAGAGGCGGGATCAAAATACACCTTCAGACTAGACGAACCAAAGGATCTCCAACGGCAAATAGTCCGGAGCGACACCGGTGTTTTCCGCATCGAGGATCTAGACCTCGAAATGCCTCCTGGCCCCGGCCAATTGACCAACCTCGAGGGAATCATCACGAAAATCAAAACCGATCTCGAGTATGACCAGCCAGAGAGAAAGCAAACGAACCCGGAACTCTATAATGCGCTTCAAGGCATCATTCAAAAATTGGATGATATGTTGCAGGGCAAAGCATTTCCATTTGTCGTCACGGTGGACGATCCTTCGGGCAATTCATTTATCGAACCTTCTCCCGAAGAAGACAAAGGCAACAAATACAAGCGGCTGGACTATATCCGGACGCGCGCGCAGAATGCGCAGCTGGGACTCATCGCAGACGACGAGGTGGAGAAGGATGGCGTGGGAATGGACGACGTCGACATTGTGGACAACCAAGTTTACGAACTGCACTCGGAGTGTCCCGCTTGCTCGAAACCCTGTACCGTCAACATGAAGAAGACCAACATTCCGCACTTCAAGGATGTTATTATCATGGCCACGGTGTGCGACTACTGTGGATACAAGACCAACGACGTCAAGACCGGGGGAGAAATCCCGGAGAAAGGAAGACGGATAACTTTGGATGTCAAGAACATCGAAGACATGTCTCGAGACATTCTGAAGTCGGAGACTTGCGTCTTGAAGAGTGATGACCTCGGCTTGGAAGTGCAGCCTGGCACACTCGGCGGGCGATTCACCACTGTCGAAGGCTTGCTTACGCAAGTGCGGGATCAATTGCACAGCCAGATATTTGACCTTGGCGACTCAGACCTGGCTCCAGGAGATTCTATGCCGGCCGAAACCAAGGAGAGGTGGGACAAGTTCTTTGACAAGCTGGATCGCGCAATCAAGGCCGAGTTCCCTTACTCGATCACGCTGGAGGATCCCTTGGCCAATTCATACGTGCAGAAGAATGTGGATTCGGGCGATGATCCTCAGATACGGACGGAAGAATATGAGAGAACCGACGAGGAGAATGAGGATCTTGGTTTGAAGGACATGAAGGTGGAGGGTTACGAGAACGACAACGCGACTACCAATGGAACTGCATCATGATGGGTGGACATTTGCCTCGACCATAAAGATTATCAGTTGAATGCAGAAGGCCGACCAGTCATGACGTGTTCATGGACTAGCGTTCCTGCTACTCTGCATTCAGTCCGCAGACTCGCTCACCCGAGTCTCGCTTTCATCCCACCTTCGAGGCCAGACAACGAGACCGGGCAATGGAGACGAGAATTTCAGTTCGTGGTGAAAGGAGAAAGAAGCTACGATGTGGTTAATAACTTGTATCTTTTCAGACAGTCGAGGAGCTGGTCTCCAGGAGGAATGGCAGGCATGATTCTCTCGAGAAGAGGTGTTCTGTGATATGTTTTAGGATGATAGGTACTGGGCGGTGTCCCTCATACGTTGTGTCAAGCAATCTGTATCTGATGAATTTGTGAAAATTAGCACAAGCCTATCGAACGAAAGTCTTCTGATGGCAGTAATATCGATGATGTACAGTGGGGTCTCAGAAATAATGGCACACCACGCGTTATTTCGCGTTCACGCGTCTACACCCTCAATCCTTCTTCCTATTCAACACGCAATATCTCAACAACGGAGGCCTTTACAGGCTATATCTCCTAATAGGGTACCCTTCAAGGAGTTAACTCCCTATAAACGCGCGCAAATCATAGGCGCGAGAGCTATTGGCGGCTCCTGGCGCCAGATAAGTGCAGGTCTCAATATTCCAATGCGTACGGTACGCAACACTATTGCGCAGGCTCCTCTTCGAAACGAGTCTATCTCACAACCACGCTCTGGACGCCCTTCTATATATACTGAGCGTAACGAGCGGGCAATTCTACGTATAGTACGACTTAAACCAAAGATCACTTACGCGCGACTCGCCGCGGAGTGCGGATTAAGTTTCTCGAGGTCTACGCTACGTCGAATACTCAAAAAACACGGTATTACGAACTAGATAGCGAAGAAGAGACCTCTCTTAACCCAGAATAACGCGAACGTACGCAAGTTATAGGCTGAGACGCGAGAAAACTAGACCCTAGCCGAGTAGACTACTATTATTTTCAGCGACGAGTGTTCTCTCGAAAGAGGCTCTAGAAAGAGACCTACTTAGGTATTCCGTACGCCCGCGGAAAAGTAGAAAAAAGAGATAATCGAGCCTCACCTTAAAGGAAGAGATATCTCTATTATAGTATAGGGCGCTATTTAGATAGGCGGCAGATCAGATCTCGTTATTATAGTACGAGATAGTAATACGAAGCGAAATAGCTTCTCGGCTCGCTCCTATTAGGCCGTACTCGACGAGCAAATCTAGAGATACTGGCAACCGGGTATAACTTTCATACAGGATAACGCACCTATTCATACTGCCAACGTTATCGAGGAATAGTTCGAGGAAAACTCAGTACCTCGACTTAAATGGCCACCGTACTCGCCAGATCTCAACCCAATTAAGAACGTCTAGGCGATACTAAAATAGAAGCTAATCGAGAACCACCCACACCTACTGGACGGCGGTAGGAGTAAAGAGGACCTTAGAGCACTTAAGAGAGCAATTATCACAGAATGGGATAACCTGCCGCAAGAGTCAATCGATAACGCGATCAAGAGTATGGATAGCAGGATAAATACAGTGAAACTTGCTAAAGGTTGGTATACACGGCACTGAGAGACTCAACACCACTTAATATATATATCGTATGAAAGAGGAGCCAATTGCGAGTATTTCTATATATATAACGTATGAATACCCCTAGAGATGCAGGATACAGGTCAATTTGCGTGTATCACGCATTGTTGAGGGATTATCGAGAATGCGGGGGTGTGCCGTTTTTTTTGAACATTTACTGTAGAATGACCTCTACTTGTACTGTGCAGAAGGGAGTTGGAAGACACCTACTACCTACTTAGGTAGGTACTAGTCTTGATATTAGTCGTTGTGGGACCTGCCGCCTGTACGCTGGGGATCTACTGTATATCTTCCTGCGATATTACATCCTCTTCATGTTTACAACTTGAACGCTACGACTCTTACCCCAGCCCCAATTCCAGTACCCACAGCATCGTTGGCACTCGTCTAGGGATGCAGATTCATTTACTGTACCTTGACTCGGCTATTTTGGCACTTATTAGCACCCAAGGAGACCTGAACTCGGTGACTCCATTTCCCCTTGACTTCATAACTCTGGTGGCCTTACTCAGGGCATCCTTGATGTGAAAATTAGCTTTTCGCAAGGGAGGCAGACCCGTCTCCGCGCCCTAAACCGCTGGTTGTGTGCTGATTCGAAGACAGTCCTGTTCGTAGGTGGACTTCGGCCACTGTTCTCGGACGATGGCAGACTCGTAAGAGATTGAGTCGCCCTCGGGCCGGTCCTTACGTTCAAGCCTACCCCTGCAATACAAGGTATGGTGCACATGCGCCGCCTCAGCAGTACTTTGAATCATTGTCTCGAGAGGCACATCTGGAATGATGCAGGTTGCTGCGTACCTGGTAAATACGGGTTCTTGGGTGAGAACTTCATCAAATTTCAGCTGCACCACATGGGCATTTCTCTCTATCCAGTCAACTCGATCTAAGCACGTCTGAAAGACAGGGTCATTAGCCTGATTGACTGTCGGCTATGGCCGGTGGAAGAGTGCTTCTGAATGGTTTTTCCTACTGTCTCGTTTTGCTCGATTTTCGGCCCCCATCTAGAGCCGCCCAAGGGGCCAAAGCTGGTCACCGTCCTGGTGGCCTTGAAACATCGTTCTGTGCGGATACACTTTCTCAGTTAACCTTCCTTCCACATCGCGCATGGGTATTTGGCCAGGAAGGGTGGCCGCCTGCGCCCTTCGCATTCAATCATGCTCCTGATAACGAGGGGTTTTCCATGCTCCCATTCCAGATCCCTTCTGTCAATTGCAACCGCGGTCCAACCTTGTGTGTTGAATCAAACGGGGAGCCAGCATCTCGAGGACAACCACGCAAAATGGCGACCCAGTATGCGCGAGTCTCTTCTCTCGACACTTATTTTGATGATTCCGCAAACGAAGTGGATAGGCAGCACCAACACGTGAGGGAGCGAACATCGACAAGCCAATTGCCATCTCTGGACGCCGAAGACCGCGAGAGAAAGGCGGCTTTATCCCACCCATATAAGGTCGCTACTGATAGTCGACCTCCGATTTCATCGACTGGGGAGGATCACGATCCTGCCGACCCTCGCTCGGCAGCTGATTTGTGTCCAAGGAGATCTTGGGCGAGCACCCTCTACAACTCCTGGTTCTGGGAGGTGACGTTGCTTTTTGTGAGTACTGTGGCTCTTGCCGCAGTCGTTATTTTGCTCTTTCATTGGAACGAAAAACCGCTATCTCGGTGGCCAAGCATCTTTGAACACTTCGGTGTCTACGTTGGGAACTATACCCAAATCTGGACTGGCCTTGTTCATTGGAGCTTGCTTTGGCCAACAAAAGTGGACCTGGTTCGCACAACATACGGATACCCTCAAAGTCCTGGATACCTTCGACGCCGCGAGTCGAGGTCCTCTAGGAAGCACCCACCTCGCTTATCAGCTCTTCCCCCGATGGTATGTCTCCTTCTTAACTAATATCTTCGATCGAACTCTGATTCCTCATGTAGGAGTTGGTCTTCCTTCACCTGTTTTGTCCTCCTGATTAGCCCTCGCTTTCGACGCCTTCCTTCAAGCGACCATTCCTCTTGGTGGCTCCATTGAACTTACTACAGACCTTTACAGTGCTCCTACGATCGGCCGAAGCGCACAAGCTGATGTTGGGAGCATAATACAGTACATAGTCTCTGGGAACTGTGTGATTGCCGAAAACCCTGCGCTTATCACTGCTAATACCTCGCTTGCGTATCCCAGTTTGGGGTTGATTAGCGCTATATTCAACGGACTGGACGATTCTGCTGCGGCACAGCCGGACAAAGTGGCCTTCTCTTGCCAAACAAGTAACTGCACCTGGCCAGTGTTTACGTCCGCTGCAGTTTGTAGCTCTTGCAACGACGTTTCCAAGCACATGTCCAATACAAGTGACAATTTTTATCAGTCCATTCAACCATTCATAGATGGCTCATCTCCCTCCGGAGTAAACTATACCACCTTCAAGGTATCATACAACAGCATCGAGAATGCCAACGGCCCGAGATTCCTAGGTTCTACTACGAATCGAAAACTCCGGAATCCATACGATTCCTTACTCACCGTCAATGTCACAGCGGACTATTTGCAATCTGTTAGCTATCAAGATGCAAACACCACGTTCCTTACATTTCTGATCATGGAAGCCGACCCCAACTGGGCGAACGGAAGCCTTGCCTGGGAAGATTCCCTTGTGAAGGCTACTGAATGTGGACTTTCTCTATGTGTCAATGCCTACAATTCCAGCGCGAAGAATGGCAGTCTGATGGAAGAGAAAGTGGCTTCCTGGCAGGATAGACAGTCCGACTCATGGCGACTGACCGGTGGTCATGAGGGTATGTTGGAGGAAGGGTGGGAGGAGAGAAATCCCTCATTCAGCGTCAAGTACAACTTTAACAGAAGCGACCTGCAACTTACGATACCTGACTCGGATTTGGCGCGAGATTTAAGTCTCAACACCACCGAGCGGTTCAACATCACCCAAGGCACCATTGCGAGTATTCAGTCCTGGATTATGACTTGGGGGTTCGGTGCCGCAGAAACAGGCTGCGGCATTGGAACACCGGCCGTCATCGTGTATCCCACGAATGCTGACAATCCGCATCCCCTGGCAGATGTCCTTCAGAATTCCAACGACCTGAAGGCCACATTCGCGAATCTTTCCAGCAGCATCACAAGCTACATCCGTGACAGTTCCGGCATCAGAGTCTCAGGAGACACCTACGAGTATGTCATCAAATTCCGAGTCCGGTGGGCGTTCTTCGCAGTCCCTGCGCTCCACATCCTAGGGGGCATTACCTATGTCCTAGCCATCTTGTGGCAAACTAAGAAGTCTGGACTCCCCGTGTGGAAAAACAGTCTTATTCCCACCCTTGCCTATGGCTTGGACACTCCCGCGCAAGACAGACTGCGCTCCTCGCATGGACATCTTGACCTTGCGAGCGAAGCCGTCAGAAGTAAGATGATGGTGACCTTTGATACCAGGGAAGTTCGGCCGCGGCTTCGCTTGTTTACTCCCGACGACGAAAAATAATTTTGTTCGATAGCGATAGTGAGATCAGACGTATGGCAAGTTGAAGATAAGTGCTTTCGATGACCGCTATAAGTTACGGCGGCGGAGATACAATCGAAACGAGAGGAGGACGGGTCATGGAACTCTCTACGCGGTATAGCTCGAGATGCCGAAGCGATATCTTACGATTGACCTGGAACACAGTTTGTTCGGGACAAAGCCACGATATCTCGTCAATCATTTATCTATTAATGAAGAACACGATACAACGACAATCAACCAGGCTGCTACCCCAAGAAATGAAGTAATCCTAAAATGTATACATATGTCAACGCCCGAGTCTCACTGACAAGCTTCAATCACCGTCTCAGTCTCAGCCCGGCATCAAACATCTAACTCGAAATGCGGTAAAACTGCAACCAGTAGAGATGTCACCGAACTTGGCATGCCTGAATTCCAAGAGGTACGGTAGTCTCCAGGGTGGAAGCCAAAACCCCTGACAGCGTCGCAATCTTACTTTTGTATTAATACTTTGCGTATAAGGCCCAAAGGCGGTACAACGATAATGGTCGTGCGTTGTAGTATGTAGGTTGATCTCTCACCCAGCTCACGCGAGGCTGCCTGTGGGTGAGCACAAGGCGGCATCACCGGTAACCCGAAGCAGAGCAGTTCTTAGTCATCTTGGCAACACGTTGCTTCAATGGCTCTCAAGGTACGTTGTACGTACTCCAACTCCAAGTCGAACGTCCATCTGAATACCAGCTCGGCTTGCGGAGATTTTAACCAGCGTCGAGAGTTACAGTATCTCTCATCTCAATCAGAATCCTATTTTGCACACTACGGTATCGACCATCAATCATCATGGCGCGAAAGCCATCCTCTCACTTGGCCGCGGCCAAAACACCCACTCCCGTGGCCGCAGCGAAACCACCGCCAGCAGCACGAACCCCCTCCGGCTCTATAATAGCCACTCCTTCCACTCCGGCCGCCGCGAAGCCCGTGTCGCAGAGTTCGTTATCATCCCGGTCCTCGGCGCAGGAGATCATCGTCCATGTGTGGAACAGATACTTGCAAGATACACCGTCCCGGACCATGCTATTAGACGTCTTTATGGCCTTTTTGGTCGTCATTGGCGGCGTCCAGTTTTTGTATTGTGTTGTTGCTGGCAACTACGTACGTAGCATACCAAAGTGAAGGTGTTCAGAACTAGTTGCTAACCGTTCTGATATCCAGCCTTTCAATGCTTTCTTGTCCGGCTTCTGCGCCGCTGTCGGCCAGTTCGTCCTTACTGCGTCCCTGCGAATGCAGACTTCAGAACGACCTCCTTCTGGGGCAGCACACACGCCGGCTGCAAAGAAGAGTACGAGTACAACTACCACCACCAAGACTGGGGACGGCACCGTGAGCGCTGAGCTTGTGGAGGGGGGCAATGTCAGCTCCGAGCGGGCGTTTGCGGACTATGTCTTTGGCAGTCTTATTTTACATGGGTTCTGTGTCAATTTTATCAATTAGACGAGACGAATAAGGTACTATTGTGACCACAAAAGTTGGAGGTTTGGCTGATAGAAGTGATTTCGATGGAAAGGTTTAAATTAGACGGGCTTGCTGTACATGAGAGGCGCGCTGCTGCTGACGCCCGGGCTGGAGTCGGCCATTGCCGCTGCTGCTGAAGGGCAGGATGGGATGCAGCTGTTGAAAGCCAGGTCCTATAAGAGGTGCCGCAAATACCTTCGGACATGGTCCATATCATATCACAGCACTGCAGGAGTGTTTGGCACTGTCTACGAAGCGGTGGAGCGAAAAGGTCCGCCGCATACTCGCCCAATTCCGTTCTCAGGTGGTGACCATATTCTGATGGAGATTGGAGATCCCGTAGCAGAGATCACCCGTCCAAAATACTACGCCAGACTCGTTAAAACTCAACAGGGTCAAAGTATCTGGCAGATCCGAATGAATGTTGGTGACTCTGACTGTAGTGAACTGGATAAATGGACTGTCTGACACAAAATGTCCATAAATGGTACACCATTGGCCTTGTCAGACGCTCCCTATAAATCCAACCACTCCTCTTCCGCTCAGACTGTGGGCTGCCTTTCTTTATTTCTCAATTCAATCATCCCTAAGTCTTATCACGTCCAGGTTGTGCATTTCAACTCGAGATGTTGCGGGACGAGAAATGCAGTACTATTAGGCCAGCAGCGAAGAATACGTACCGGGTTGGCTTAAAGTTCCTTTCCCTTATGCCCTGTTTCACCAAGGAGACAGGAGGCCACAATATGAAACGCGCGCCTCAGCAGCAACCGTTTCAAGATCCAGATCCGCCAACCTCGATATCAGGGAGTACTACATGCCTATCTATACCTACAGATTTTCCTGTCTCTTGTCATTCTGGTCTTTCAAGTTTCTCGTTGCTTTCATTTTTCAGCCTTGTGTCTTTTTTTTTCGGGTTTTGCAACAATGAAGAACGAGCTGGTCTCGACGCTTGCGCTTTTGTTTCTGTTATATTTTATCGCCTCGGGGCGTACCTCTGGTCTGAATCAAGGCCAGCAGTCTATCATTTCTGCCGAAGACCCAGTTGACATTGACGTCCAGTCCGGGGTCAAGCAGTCATCAGAAGACAATTTTAAATTCCGACCTGCCAGTGTTGAAGAGCAGACTCCAGGATCTGAGTCACCTGACGACTTGCATGGCTTTCCAGCTGCCAATGAACCTGCTTATATTCATGAAGATGACGATGACACAGACATTGCGCAATCATCAGCTGCCGGCGTGACCCAAACCCATCGTCCCAATCTTCTTCCAGAGCCCGACTCGGACGGTGATGTTGCTGTCCAAACCATCGACCAAACCATCGACACCGATACCAATAACGAAGAATTTTTTTTTTCTACCTGGACCCACAAACCAATATGCACCGACTATTTCGAGGTTCTCCAAGCCCCCTTATGCGTCTTCACCAACGCCAGTTTCGCCAGCGGCCGAGGCATCTCCATCTTCACGACCCCAGCCATCGCGGCCGAAATGGCCAGCTTGCTACCATTCCACAATCCCACGGCCTTGACAAGTCGAGGGATCAACCATGGTTACCCACCACAGGCATCGTCGACGTCCACGTCCAAGTCTGAGTCCCAGAGTCAAACTCAGACACCATGGTACACCGCCCCAATCCCCGGAAAGGGAACAGGCATGCTCGCAAGCCAGCAACTTCACCGAGGCGACCTGATTCTCGCCACCACGCCCTATCTGCTGTCTTACATGGAGAACCTACTCTCAACCGTCGACAGGGAACACTATCTACGAATTGCTATCGAGCAGCTTCCCGAGCGGAGTAAAGAACATTATCTCAGTCTAGCCAAGATCTACGGCGATCCCAGGGTCGTCGTGCAGGATGTGGTCAAGGCCAATGCGTTTGAGATGCAGGTTGGGGGAAGGATGCATTTGGCTGTGTTTCCGGAGGCGTCGAGGATCAATCATGCTTGTGGGCCGAAGTAAGTCTGCACTTGGTGGATCTTTTATGTCCAGGAACAAGGCAAGAGGGAACATCTCAAAAAGGAAATTGCTAACGATCCACCACCTTTTTTTGTTGTATAGTGCCCAATACCACCTCCAACCCACCCTCTTAACACACTACGTCTACGCCGCCCGAAGCATCTCACCAGACGAAGAAATCACAATCGCCTACGCGCCGCCCTTGAAGTTTCGGTCCGATCGCATGGCGTATCTCGAGTCAACTTTTCATTTTAGATGTACTTGTTCGAGGTGTGCGGCCGCCGACGAGCGAAGCGAGGAGCGCGGCGAGGACGACGACAACAACAACAAATCCAAATCCAAATCCAACTCCGACGCCAATTCCAACGACAGATCCAACACCAACTCCAACTACAAACCCAACTCCAACGACAACTCACACACCGACGCCTATGCCAACAACCACCTCAGTACCGCAGACGATGCCGCCGTCGCCGACATCCACGCCCTCCAATGGTCCCTTTCCAACTGGGAGTCCAACAGCACAGCGAGCGTGAAAAAAGCCGAAATGTTGATCCGACTTTATCAGAAACTCGGGTTAGACGCCTTTATGGATACTCCGTACGGTCATGCGGCGTTGATATATAATGCTGTGGGCAGTGTGGGGGGGGCACAAAAGTACGCGAGACTTGCGGCGGAAGCTGCTTTGTTGAAATATGGTCCGGACGTAGATGGGGATATGGATGCGGCGAGGTCTATGGAGACGTGGCGAGAGTTGATGCGGAATCCGATGGGGCATTCGAGTTGGAGGAGGAGGAAGCAGACATAGGAAAACAAAGAAAAGCAACGACTTGACCTACCTTACTTACTGTATATGTAATATATGGATCTGGAATACAGTTAGATAGGTACCCATGGCAAAAGAAAAGACCCACAGACCAGAGTTATAAGAGAGCTGTGATACCGTCATCTAGAGTAGTAGTCCCTATTTGTAGGTAGGAGATGCAAGGGCTACAGAAAGACGGATTTCCGGGATAGTCACCAGAATCACCATCAACAACTGAGAGTAAGTTGAGCAATTCGACGCAACGTTCCGGAGTATATAGTACCTAAAGGCACATTGTACAAAAGACCTCAAACTCGTCACTGTGCATGCGTGTATAGACGTCGTGTAAGTAGTACTAATAGCTAACTAGTTACTAGTAGAAATGCAATGTAACGGGTATGCCACAGTAACTGACCACGATGACAACAACACACAACACAGCCGGCAACAACGGCGACCAAAGTCGGGAACCCGGTTGCTGAAAGTAGCCATTCGACGTTTCTCAGATTCCAATTGCGCATTCCAGAACCCTAGCGAATGTATATGACCTAGTAGGCCACCGTAGAACTGATTCATAACCCATGAGCCAAAAACAAAAAGAAGCAAAATCAACAGCCAACGTGACAAAAGTCACAACAGAGAGGGTATCAGATAGCCGCCCAAAAGCCAAAACAAAATCATCAAAATTGAAATAAAACAGAACGACACCGGGGAAATACCAGAAGCCAAAGGCATCCCTTTCACAGAAGTCTGTGGTGAGTCGACAAATCCATCCAAACGAGGAGACTCCAACAACCAAAGATATCATGAGGTCGTCATGCAAGAACGGATCCAAAATATCAAAACCATAGAGTGAGAACGTGTTCAATCTGTCGGCCGCGCGTTGCATGTGTAGAGTTGAACATACCACACCATAGGAGGCTTTGGGAGCTCGCCCCCAGGAATGTCAAGCGACCAAGATGAATCTTCTCCTCTAGAATCGTCAAAAGGGGGGTCGCGGGGAGAAGAAATACTGTAGTCTCGATATTGTCGCCTTTATTGATCAAACCCTTGCTGCATTGGCCACTGTCATATGGTCCCTGCTGTTGTGACGGGAATGGCCAGAGTAATTGTGATGTCCTTTCCAATGACCATGACTTTTGAAAAGCCCATGAGCAAGCTCGAGGTCATCACTGCTGGGACCGGCAAAGAACTCAGAGTCGACACCTCGTAGCTTCAAGCAGGCATTGCCCAACAGTCCTGCAGCTTCATGCGTCAATTCCCATCTCGTGCTCTCAAACGACTCCTTGAGAATCATCAACAGGCCCAGACATCGATTCTTGCCTTTGACATTCTCAAGATCATCAGGGGCTCGAACACCTCCCACATGGTTGAGATAATCCCGCATATCTGCCTCTTTTTGTCGGTATGTTGCAAAATCTTCCTCCTTAGGCGCAGGTTTAATGGGACCTTCGAGAGCAAATCCATAGCACCAGACCACCAATGCCGAAATGTAAAGCACCCAGGGGCGGTTCAATAGAAAGTCGTCTCGAGCAACATATTGATTCTGATCAAATGCTTGAGGTAGAATGGGACTGGCGTGGCCATATAATCGACTGTTGACACCGTCAATCCCATCATCTGGCGGGATGAGCACCTGGACGATAAACTTGAGGGCGTAAAATGCGGCGTCCCTAGCTGATGCTTTGAGGGCCCATTTTTGAATCTTCTCACGAATCACACTATAATCTTTGGGCGTGATTGAGCGGCCCAGGAGGCGATTGGCCCCTGCAAAGACTTGACAGTCTACGACATCCACGTGGGCAGCAATGTGAGCGAGGTGGTGTAGAACGGTACGTGACTCAAATATGTTTTCGTCATCCACAGGGCGAAGGAGACCGTGGAGGGGTGCTGCCGGCGTTCGGAGCGGAGACGTCGGGGTGGGAGCTGCTTCCGCAAGAGCCTCGTCGAAATCCCGCTTCCAGTTGTCGAATGCTCGTAACAAAACTCCCTTCCATTTATCGGGGCCGCCAAATGAAGTGGCAGTTCGAGCACCGAGGGAAGATATTTGCAGATCGCGTTGAGTCATATGCCAGGATACTGAGAGGAGACCGGCCATGATGATGGTGCGGCCGAAAGAATTGGTCCGCACTGGTTCCCCATTCAGAGTCCTCTTGAGCCCGTCAAGGAACATGGTGGGCTTGATACCATTGGTCTGCAATGCCAACTGTACGCGGCTGGCCTCTGCTGCAGAAATTGCCGACCATAGACCTTCATCACATGGCAATTGCATTCGCATTTCATGCGCGACCATCTTGGCGGCATGGCCAAACATTGTAGCATGGATTGAGTCAATGACGAACGCCGCGAAAGCAGCTCGGCGGGTTGCCTCCGTGGTGATCCAACGTTGCCATGCGTCTTCAGATTTAGTGGCTTCACTGCCAGAGAATGGCACCGACAATCTCCCGTTGTCTTGTTCGCCACGAAGACTCGGTGGCGAATCGGCGGCGGATCGACCCAGCAATGAACTACCCCGGCGCATCAGGGTAAGGGTGGAATCGTGGTGAATGTGGGCTCTTTCATGTAGAGCCCTAGTCGCGTACATCTTCTCGTACACTTCGATGAGCAACAAAGTCTGAAAGACCCACAACTTGGCAGGCGGTCTGAAGTCCTCATCCCGCACGATTTCCCATCTAACATGCCAGGCCACAAAATTGGCGAATTCCGCCGCAGAATCAGTCAAAGATGTGCCATACGCTTTGTCCAGTGTAGCAGCGCCAATGGCAATGACTGCAAGGAGCAATAGGTTGGGCGTACGGTCGGCCGAGAAGGTAGGCTTATGCAATATAGGCAGTTGTGCATGTTGATGATACCAATAAGAGCCGATGTACGTTTTCATCATACCGAGACTCAAAATGTGTCCGTCGCTTTGGAGATCACCTTCGAATACTGAATCTTTGCGTTTCTTAACAGCATCATGAGGGCGTTCAATAAACTGGGTCTGCATCAGGTGGAGAAGTTCTTGTCGTTTCGACTCGGACATGATGTACTGCCCGGTATCCGTTGTATCGAGAATACTCGTGACGCTCATTGGATGAGGAGCAGCGTGCGGTAGATAGCTGTTGGTCGACGTGGGACTCTGGGAAAAGTAAGGTGCTTGTATTTGCAGGGGTTCTTGGCCGCTGTAACTGGGTGCGTAGTTTGGAGACGAGAAGGTGTTGTTGGACCCGGGCTGGTTGTCGTTGAAAAGGCCCTGGGTGAAGTCACCTGCGACTGTGTAAGGGATGTTTGCATATTCGTCTATGCCAAAGGAAGAATATCCGTAGCCAGTGGTCAATTCAACGGAAGATATACCGCCGTTCATGACGGAGTAGGGGTAGGGATCGCCGTGGATGAGCGCATGGGATAGGGCTGCTGTAAAGGAGGCCTCTTCTGTACGAGATACTTCTGTAGCCTGGTAGGCGGCGGAGGTGTAGGTGGGTCCCGTTTCGGCTTGCTTGAAAAAGCCATTAGGAGCCGACTTTTCCAACCCTTCGAGGGAATCAGAACTGCCCTGGTCAAATGCGGGCGCCGAGGACGACGAGTATTGGCGAACGGGAGAAAGCGGATTGAGCGATCCTGAGGCTGCATCTCTTGTATGTGCTTGATTGTATGCGAAATCAGGGCGACTGAGGTCTCGCGGATTGAAGCTCTGCCTACGTATCTCAACCGGCCATGGTGCAATCTCTTGTTTCTGCACGGGACTCAATGGTTTCTCTCCCGTGCTGCTACTTCGGTTAAGGGGGCCATCAGGGCGAGGAACAATTGCTTGCGGTGTCGCAGGATGATAGCGTGCTTCTGTCGATAGCTCCGATGGAGAGACAGCATTATTGAGTATAGCAGAATGCGGCTTGAATCCAGGGGTTCCATTGGAACGCACCGGTGAGCCAGCAGTTGGCGTTCCTTGCTGCCCAGGCCCCTTTACTTTCGGCGCCGAAGTGGGATAGTTTTGTGCCCGATGGAGTTGACTCTGGAGGTCCTGTGACGGAGTATCCTGATTGCCCTGAGCGAAGGTATCGCGCTTGGATAGTTGAGATCCATGAGTGGTGTGGCGCTCCCTGTGACGAATGCAGAGGTCTTGTCTAACAAAATGCCTGCTACACTCTGGGTAGTCGCAGCGATAGATAGTCTTTGGAGTGTCTATGCCAAATTAGGAAAATGAAACAGTACACGCCGGCGAAGGACTCACGATTGAGTTGATGTCTGTAGAGGTGCTCTGCCCGGGAGTAACTTTTCCCACAGCCAGGGTGCCTACACTCGAACTTCTTGTCCGGATTTGGCTTGACAACTTTTCTCTTTTTCTTTGGAGGCTCTGCGGAGGCGTTGCCAGTCGAGTTCTGATGAAGAACATCATTATCTGGAGATGTTTTATCTGGCGCCTCCGGCTTTTGTTTCTCAGCTGATGCCGTGTCTGTATCCGCCATAGCCGCAAATATTCCGCAGACCTTTGTACCTCCGTTTCAGGAACTCAAAGGGGGAACAGCCTTGTCAGACAGTCGGTGAAGCAGGCGGCATCTTTAGAGAGGATCGGCAAAGAAGGGCCCCTGTTGTTGTGCACAGCAGGAAGGTCAGGCAAGTCTGGAAGCGCACATTGAGCACAGCTTCGATGACTGTCGAGAAGCTCGCTTCGTGTGACTGGGCCACTAGTAGTGAGCACAACACAGGATCACACTTGTATGGCAGCACTGCGCTTCTCCTACCTCTCGTTTCTAGCGTCGATAAGCCCCAAACTTGGCCAAGGACACCGGTCTATCAACGAGCTTGACGCGAGTCGAGTGCCGTGATGTGGGAGAGATGCGGGTTACAGATTGAAGCGATGTTGGCCAGGCTCACTTAATGCAGGTACAAGCACACCGACGACTGATTGAACTCAGGTGATCTCTGCGGGCAAGGCTGGCGCAGAGTGCGAAGAGAAGTGATTGCTTTTGCTGCTCTTCATGACCTGTGGCGAGAACGGAGCGTCCGATGCTGGCGAAGGCCTTCGACTTGTGCTGTGACCGCTTCTGGAGGAGGGTTCAAGTTGGCGATGTCAAGCTACGGGTCTCGGTTGTGGTCGTGCCTCACTGGAGTGAGATGCAATGCAGATGGCGGAGAAGATGGCTCACGAAATCAATCTGGTAATGCAGTGTCCATTGAGCGAGGTAATGCAGGGCGGCATGCATCAGCCATTCAGCAACCACAACGACGGGGGGTGTAGAAGGGAGACGGGCTGCGTGGGATGGAAGAATGTGTAGATTGAGTCAACGACCTGAAGGTTGGATTCAAGTGCAAGAGAAGAGGGATGGAGGGGGGGTTCTGGTGTAGGTGCCCAGTGGTCATGCAGGCAAAGTACTATACACGAACGTGTGCCCATGGTATACCCTGCAGTCACGGAAAGTGAGGTAGAACTAGTAGTTGTACCAGTGGTGGTAGTGATGGTGGTGGTGTGCGCAGGGCATCGGTGAGTCGGGCTGTCAGTCGCTGTAGCGGGAAGCCACGAAAATGACAGGACGAGGCCCGAGGCGCCCCAACGGGGCTTGCAGCCTAAGCACGGCTAAATTGCAACACCACTACACTGGCTAACGCGGTAGGGTTAAGGTGATGTTCTCTTGGGCATCTTCACGCGTCCCTAGGCGGGACATTGCAGCTGCAGTAAGCGGGGGAGCTGCAGAACCAACCCCGAACGGCTGAACCACTGCACTGAAGATGCCTGTGGCAGAATTAGGCGAGATGTACAATGTGATGCCGGTGAGAATTGCTTGTTATGTGGAAGCCTAGAATTGATATCAGCGCAATGCCATTACCTTGCCATGATTTGGCCAGCACGTTGATGCTTTGGATCTCGATGAAAACTGTACAACATTGACGTTCAAGTTGGCCATCAGCGCTACGCATAGTAACTCCACTGCCAGATCTTAGTACTGGTGTATGATCAACAGTGATGCGCCTGACTTCCCGTCTCTTCCCGCACGGCACGCGTTTTAGCGACCGAGTCCCCGAAAACCTTCAAGTTAGCTGCGTGTGCCTGTGTTGGTCACCGCCCGTAGCCTCAGAGGACAATAGGTATGGCTAGGTACCCTCAGCTTGAGGTTCAAGTTCTGCTCCCGATACTTGTTCTGATGCAGTTAGGGAGGGCAAGTGCAGCCCCCAATAGAAACCAATGAAAGTCCGCCGTGTACTACTTCTCTAGACTGCGGTGTAGTGCATCACAATCTGAACACTAAGATATGGCACCGACCTGGTCTCATCATCAATCGAGCTCAGTTCAGCCTCACCACTGAAGACGCCCAACGGGCAAATGCACCCCACGCTTCCTTCTATCCTTGTCCTTGTTGCTCAAGCCTTGCTGGCCAAGGAGATTTGCACTTGCTCACTGGGCGTTTTCCGAAGAGCCAACCATTTGGTCGGAACGACTCATTTACGAGCAACTCGGGCGCGTATTCGTTCGCAAATGCCGGATCATCGCAGCCTTTGAGGCGTCGACCACCTCATGGTGTAACACCCTTCCATCTTGTGCTACCACATCGGCGGCATCCGGCTGCTCAACGACGCTCGCTTAAACGCGGACGGTGCAGGCTGGCAGACCGGTATCCCGACACCCGATCCCTTCGACGAATTCTGATACCTCATGCAACATTTGCCAGAAGCTAGTACTCGGTGACAAGGTCATCTCTATGGCTCTGTGACCGAGCATGTCATATCCAAGATCCCTTGCACCATTCTTCTGGGAACAATTTCGAAGAATACATGGCCGAGCGACGGGATGACATGATCGTGCACAACTCGTCAAGCCACCATATGCCACTATGGCCAGGCTGTTTGTGACTTATCAGCAGCATTCAAGAAAGACGAAGGAAGAGTCTCCAAGTTCATGGTAGAAGCTAGGGACTTTCTCTGCAGCCCTTGACGCGTCGTTCAAGTTCTATCCTTCACCCGATCTCCGCGTTCTGTGCCGGATGCCCCAAGCAACGATCAATGTTGGAGAAATGCGAAGCTAACGCACGCAGATTTCTAAAACCATGCGGCTGGGCACGAACTCGGGGTTACGCACAGTGCAGTACAGTACATCCCAGGAAGCTTCCTGGAAGTTGGGGTCCAGTGGCTGCCTGATCTTGAGGGGAAGCCACCAGCACACACATCAATCCTGCACTGCAGGACTCAATCACTGCGTCCTGTTACCATCTGTAAGGCAATTCAGTCCCAGACTACCCTTGCACTTGCACGAAGGCCAGGTTGTCATCCGTTTAGCTCATTCGACACGGCGTGCGTCGAAAGCAGATAATACTTACTATCCGTGATTGAAGCAAGAGGCAGAGGTGAGTGAGTTTCAGTGCGGGGCGACTTTAGAATCCAGGGTAGCCATTCTGTGTACACATTATTGCATCGACAAATTGAACAGCCTCAAAAAAGCACTCGACTCTACATTCCCGTCTGACAATGGTGGCCAACAAGTGGTTGTGAGAAGATACCGCAAACAAGAATGTCCAGTCCGACAAAACCAAAGTCAAAGACTTATAATGGTTCGTGCCATTGCGGGAGAGTCAAGTAAGTCAGGATCGAAAAGATATCGTCGAGATATGCAACTTGCTGACGTTCGGCAGATTCACCATGAAGCTCTCCCCTCCGGTTGAAGATGGACCAGTCACGAATTGCAACTGTCAGTCAGCCTGAACCTGAACCTGAACATGCATGCTTCACGTGCTTCATTTTAATGCGCATCCTACTCTTCCACAACTATAGCCTCGGCGCCATGCTTACTGTCTTACACGGGCACAGGCTCGATCTGCCATATTAACGGCGCCCTGATGGTTTACCCACTCGAATCGAACATCACCTGGGAGAGCGGTTTCGACGAGATGAAGACCTACACATTCGGCCAGAAGAGGATTGCTCATACATTCTGCCCAACATGCGGGACCAGCATTAGCGGGAAGAGTACTGATCCCAACTTCTTCGCCCACAATCGGGCTATCAATGTTAGTCAACCTCACGAGCTCCTGTGTCATTTCTCCTATTTCACGGGTCCACCAGGCTCGATCCACGTTGCCTAAGGTTCTCAGAACCCTGCATCATGGGCTCTTACCAAGGCTATTTTCCTCTATCAATACTGGCCTGGAGCCTTTCTTCACATTTGGCCCTCCCCCCTGATGCTCTCTCCCATTCAATTTTGTCAAATATGGAGACAAGAAGGATGCATCTGTCCAAAGACCACTTCAGGCTAACATACCATGCCGAATCTAGGTGCGGGTACTGAAAGACGTCGACATTGACAAGTTGAATCTCAGGAAAGTAGACGGCCGTTCTCTTTAGTACCCTTACTAGGGAAATCCGGTTGCCTCGGGTTTTCAAACTTCACTTTTCCGATGTTATCGTACATTGCCTTCAGGGTTTGTTTTGCTCCTCGGCGAACTGACACTGCGCCATTTCGTCCCTTCCCTTCGTACCCATCCATCACAATTGACCACTGCAATGACCTATACCTGCCTACCTAGACAGCTCAAATGTCATCTCATCGCCGCGGAAAGAAAAAAAAAACGTCTCTTTTCATGGCAGCTCAAAATAAACCCCCTCCATAACCCATGAACCAAACAAACACGCACACGCTGGAGCACTCTACCCTCCCCTGATCTCGCCCTCGTGATGCGAGAGAAGAAACTAACGTCCTGGTTGAAAACCCCTCATACTAATCTTTCTCTTCGTGCGGCGCAGGAAAGTCAACGGTCGCCAGATTGCGACACCATCCAAAGAGGAACTCTCCAAACCTGGCGTGTATCTGAATTGACGTGTACAACGAAAGCCATGCATACAGTGGATCTTTGGGGTTACCCAGACTTCTGCTTTCACACTGCAGTTCGCATCACAGAACTGGCAGACTGTATGCGTGGCAACGGCTGAAGTACCCTGCAGTGCGGTGGATGATGACTAGACTAGAAAGTTCTCCAGTGGAGGACAGCGGATGAAAAGGATACAGTGCCTACCTAGGTAAGGCGGCCACTGCATGTCGCCGAGAGCCATGTCAATGAGTGACCGCTACTAGTATTCGCTACTAGGTAGATACCCGACACCTACTGTAGGTACATGAGCTATTAGTACCACCAGATTTGACCTGTTTTCCCGTGCAGCACACCAGCGCAAGAGTTGAGTCCTGGCTTCTGTGTGCAGTTCAGCATACTAGTAGAGCCCTCTAAACCATTCTTTTGGCCCGTCGTGCATCCTTGCACGTTGTCCAACAGCCGTTGGGCAATCCCAATGCAACCCAACCTCGGAACACCTTGCAGTCCGACTGTGTTGCAGGCCATGCATTCTGTGGTCATTCAATGTCTGGAATCTTTCTCCTGACGCACCATGATGTGCCTGAACTCCATTACCAGTATTGGCCCCCGTAAGGCCGTAAAATGCAGATTCAAATCTCTGAACGCCCATCCCTTCTATAATGCGCCGCGCCTCGCCATCCGAATCCAATCCCCCCTGGTACTCCAGGGACCCATGTCGCTCGAACAAGAGGCGTGTTTGACCAGAATACCTCTCGATGCAGTGTAACAGATGCAAAACCCAACCAATACCACTCCTAGACCCAGACTCCTCAGTTATTCCCATGCTTCTCCTTCAAACCCTCAGCGAAGAGAACGCCACATTTTGCAAACCTCGACCGATTATTAAGTAGATGTCGGCAACATATACAGCGCCGTCCCCAGAGCAGTCAGGCCCACCCCGGCCCACCACCAACGATCCGGGTTAACTGGGTCCCTGGGTTTAAAAACGGTATTCTTGTTCATGGGCGCCACCAGTCTTTGCTGTTCTTGGGTGTCTGTATCTGTGGCCCTATCTCCTCCCTCGGAAGATCTCTTGACGCGGCTCTTTCCCGTGGCGGTCGGGGCGCCTGATGTGGGATTCAGGGTCTGGGTGGGCAGCATCTGTGGCGGCGTTGCGGCAAGGTACATGGGCTGCATGGGCGAGCCGTCGAATTTGAACAGGTTCAACCGTTTCACGTTGTGGTAAGGGTCCGTCAGGACTTCGTACGATTTAAAAAGTTCGGGCTGCTCGTAGCGAATGTAGATGGAATGATCGTAGGAACAGGGGGTCGAGGTCAGTTGCCGCCCGTCGACGCCAAACGGTTCGAGGACAATGCTCCCGTTACCGGGAAGCGAGTAGGTGCCGTGTTGCCATTGCATGATTCCTGATGGGCAGTTTGGGGCCGCCGCTGTGAAAATGGGTTAGTTTTTCTGGAATGCAGGGACTGTCATATCATTATGATCTCGAGAAGATCGTCGACTCGTCTGTCTTGCTTGACGAGGGAATGGAATAAAAACGCGGACGTACGATTGGAAATGGCCCTGTAATACGCCTCTTCATAGTATCCATCGCTTGTAAAAGAGTAGGATATTCCCGTCAATTCGGGCTCGATTAATCGGTCGGCGACGGGGTTGTAGAAGCCCTGCAAAACATGAAATTTAGAATGGTGTTGGTCTTAATTGTTTCGAGACCATGGAGAAAAGGTGTGCTTTAGGTGTGTAGGTAGGTAGGTGGCCTTACCGGTCCGGTCATGACCTTCTTCGATTTCGTGGTCCATGTTCCAACGAGGTCGGTATCGTATTGTGCTGCCGCCAGCGACGCGAGAGCCAGGGCCAGCGAGAGGGTAACAACTGCTCTTTCTATCGAGGAGGCCATTATTATCCTTGTCTTCCGTGGTGTAAAGATCGCAGGTGGTGTTGACGGAAGGATGCACTCCGTGCTGAAAGGAGCGAGAATATCTGATTAGGTGTAGGGAAAAAGGGACCAGGATAGAGAGAGGCGCGTTGGCGAGACTACTACTTGGTGTGGTTCGTTTCAGGTTGGGGATCTGGGCTGGGCTGCTTGTTTGCGGACCCTGCCAGTGGATCGACGCGGACACTACTACAACTACAACTACCGTCGCGGTACTACTACTACGGGCACCGCAGTTCTGGCAAACTGAACTGAACTGTCCGTTTGTCCCTCGCCTCAGGCTTTACTTTGGTTCAAGTTCAAGTTAGTGATGATTGCCGTTTACTGACACTGCACTGCACTGCACGGGACGCGACAGAAAACTGCTGGTTCGCATTGACTGTACCGCTCACTGCGACCGCGGAGCCTGCGCCTTGATTCGGTCTCCCACAGTTTGCCTTCAGGCCAAGCCCCGACATGTGCACAAAAATAGACAATGATTTAGCATCATCTCCGCTGGCCAGATAGACGAGAAGACTATTATCATCATCATCAGCATCACCACCTCCTCTACGTACCCTCCAGCTTGCATTCACCACGGGACTTTCTGTTCTCGACCCGGCCTGTCGGTGCACCATGTGCCAATGCAACCAGTCAAAGGACAAGGTCTAGGTTCGATGAGGCTAAAGTCTCTTTTGTATACATGTACGTTGCGGGCGATGTCCTCAACCACCAGCAGTCTCGGTGAACAGAAGGACCTGCTACGAAAGAGAGTGGCGGAGCAAATCAAGAAACTCGACCCGCAGGAGATCGAAAGACAGTGTAGGATATCATTGCCCGCAAAGTAGTAGGTCCGACACTGACGGGAAAAAAGCGAGGATCATCACCGAGCATGTCTTGCAGCTGCCGGCCTACCAAGATGCGACATCTATAGCAGTATTTTTGTCCATGCCTGCAAGGGAAGTCTCAACTCGTGATATCGTGTTGCAAGCCTTTGACGATGGAAAATCCGTATTCGTCCCGTATCTACATGCGGGAGATGCTCCCAAATCCAGAGTCATGACCATGTTGCAGTTGCATGACCAGGCCGATTTCGAATCCTTGAAACCAGATGCCTGGGGAATTCCTTCCATTTCCAAAGACTCGGTAGAGAGAAGAAGAAACGCTCTCGGTGGCATTGGTATCTCGAATGCGCCTTTAGAAGGTCAAGATCACTACCCGCTTCTGGATCTCATCCTCACACCGTCGGTCGCCTTCGACCAGCACCACCGCCGTCTGGGCCATGGCAAAGGTTTCTATGACCGCTATCTCCAAACTTATAAGAACGCGCTCGACTCCAGCAAGGCTGCACGGAAAATGCCACACTTGGGTAAGCATAACATCTCCACCTCTTCCAGATCCACCAACTCATCCTTTTCCCTGCAGTTGGAGTTGCCTTGCGCGAGCAATTATTGCCGCCAGGCGAGGAAGTCCCTGTCACTGAGCATGACTGGCCAGTCGATGAGGTCGTCGTAGCCGAGAATTGATGGCGGGCGACGGGGCCTCCTCCATTTTCCACATCATCGTACCCATGAACAGCAGGTTGCAGTCTCTGCACGTTTCCCGAGTAGATAGAATTGTAGCTGGGTGCACCGCAAAGATAATGCTCGATCCGTTGGCGGCGTTCAGCTCAGGGATTGAATCAGGGAAACATTGTCTCCCTTGAGTAGAATTTGTCCTAAAGCCGATTAGCCATGCGTCCCTTCTTACAGACCTCATTTCACCCTTACCAAGCTGCCGTCTCTTTTCAGGGCTATCTCTGGTGGCTAATTGTACTTCGACCGCATCGTCGATCACCAGGTTCATGAACTCGTCGAAACCCTACAATTCGTCAGCTGAGATCCTCCACTATCTCCTTTCGCTGCATACCCGGATCTTTCCCTCAATTCGCGTGCGCAGGTTCTCGTAGAGCCATATCGACACCGTGGAGCGCTTTTGTAGCAGGCTGAAGATGAAATGAATAGGCGCAAGAAGCGTTTTGCGACCTCCTCCTTGGCCGCGACCCGCCATTGTGAAATAAGCTGGAAGTCGGAGTCGTGTTGATTAGGGATATTCGGGCGGATGATCTTTCTCTCGAGAAGATTGTAAGGACGCAGGCTCGTCGAAAAGGCGGTGCGTTTGTAAGTACTACAATGTAGTATCGTCGACGATATTTTGCTGCTAGTCCAGTCGCCGACGTGCAGTGCCAGTAGTAGTAGTAGTGCTGGTCAAATGCGGAGGAAACTTGAAGGCGGCGGCAGAAAAGTGGGCGAAGTTTCGGCGCCGTACAGTGTCAAAGAAAGCGCAGGCCTTTTCAAACTGAGGTCATTTACAAAACACCATTACGGGCAATCAGTCACTTTGGCTTCTGACCACTGCAACAGACAACGATCCCCAAACATTCATTTTGCAAGATCATCTGCGACTTAACCCACGGCTCCCTCTCCTCCGTCTACCACTTACATATAGTAGCCGGATCACTTCGACACTGCATGACAACGACCGCCATCCTCTCCTGACCCCCAGGCTAAGAGCCTCTGGCTTCCACCCCCAAATCATTCCACCATGGCCGATAGAACAGACGCAGCCAGCCACTATGCGCCGGTGCTTACGGCGCTGGCAACGATGCAAAGTAACGTTGCGGGCAAACAAAAGACGGAAGCCCACGAGTATCTCGAAAAGTTCCAGAAATCGGTGGGTGGACATCATGATGCCGCATCTTGAGCGTACACTCATCTTGTCACAGTCGGAAGCGTGGACTACTACGCATGCCATTTTACGAGACACGTCGGCACCGGTCGAAGCAAGATTGTTTGCCGCAACGACTTTGAAGGGAAAGGTTCGCAAGGCCACCGATCCAGCGACCTCAGTTGCTGACTACTCTAGATCACCTATGACCTTCACCAGCTTCCAGACGACGCCTGGACACCCCTCCGGGATTCGCTTCTTTCTTTGCTTCAGTCCTATATTTCTGGTCCACGACCGATCCGAACGCAGCTCTGCGTGTGCATCGCCCGGTTAGCCATCCAACTGACATCCTGGAAGGACGTTCTCGGAACAGTTGGGTCAGCGGTCGGTACAAGTAGTGATGGCGGAGATTGTCTGCTCGACTTCCTGCGAATCCTACCAGAAGAGGTCACAGAAGGCCGCAAGATCAACCTTTCAGTATGTTCGACTGCGCAGCCTTTGATATTCGGCTTGACGGCAACACCATCTTTGGCCACCGATCACAGTCTAATTCAGCATTTCAATCTAGGAAGAGGAACTTGCCGATAGGACGAAGGAACTGCTTGAGGATAATGCCGCTCAGGTTCTCAACCTTCTTGTGTCATACGCTGGCTCATCAGGTAGGATACTGTCGGCCCATATCTGATGCATGCTGTAATACTGACTTTGGGCCAGCGCAAGCAACTCACAACCCTCGCTTGTACTCGTGTATAGCCTCATGGCTCCGCGAGATCCCGATCATCGACGTCGTGAACTCGCCTTTGCTAAACAACATCATCGAAGCTCTCAACGACAATGACTCCTTCGAGGCTGCTGTGGATTGCCTGTGCGCCATGTTCAGGGACACTCGAGACGTCGATGAATCACAAAGCGTCATTCGAGTGCTCTACCCCCGGATTGTTAACCTCCGACCGATGATTCTACAAGCCGCCTCTATGGAAGACCAGGATCTCATGAAGGGCATCACAAGACTCTTCGCGGAAGCTGGAGAAGCCTGGGTGGTCCTTATTGCACGAATGCCTGATCAATTCCGAGCACTTGTCGAATGTGTGCTGGAATGCTGTATCCGCGATCGAGATCGAGAGGCCATATCTGTCACTTTTATCTTCTGGTACGAGCTCAAACAGTGTCTCACACTGGAGAAATACATGCCGGCTCGAGCGTCGCTGGCTGATCTGTACTCGAAATTGGTCGATGTTATGATCAAGCACCTAGAATACCCCACGCCAGAAGATGGGGATGAATCAGACTTGTTCGACGGCGACCGGGAGCAGGAAGACAAATTCCGCAGTTTCCGACACAGCATGGGTGATGTTCTGAAGGACTGTTGTGAAGTTATCGGTGTCACACAGTGTCTCAGTAAAGCCTTTGCTCTGATACAGAGTTGGGGACAGAAGTACGCCTCACTGGTGTCCGGAACCAATGTACCTCATTGGCAAGAACTCGAGGCGCCTCTGTTCAGTTTAAGAGCGATGGGACGCATGGTCAGCCCTGAAGAAAATTCCGTGCTTCCACAGGTCATACCTCTTCTCACCACTGTGCCCGACCATGAAAAGCTTAAATTCCAGGCGATTATGGCGCTCGCCCGGTACACCGAATGGACGGCCCAGCATCCAGAGACACTTGAAGCACAACTGAATTATGTCATCTCGGGCTTCAGTCACAATTCTCAGGAGGTTGTTCAAGCGGCAGCTCTAGCCTTCCGCTTTTTGGGGACTGACTGCTCCAAGCTCCTTGGTGATCACATTCCTCAGCTTCACCAGTTCTACGAAAGCGTCATCGACAAGCTGAAGCCATCGAGTCAGGAAGAGGTTACAGAAGGCGTGGCTGCAGTGGTGGCCGTGCAACCGGTCAACAAGACGTATGAGACTTTGAAAATGTTCTGCGACCCGGTCATGAACCGAGTGGTTTCATTTGCGTCCCATGCCAAAGATGAAAATGCCGAAAAGGTCGTTGCTGACTATCTAGGGCTGGTGACGATCTTTTTTGACTGTGTTCAACCCTACGTCTCGCCATCGGAGCAAAATCCGGCTGTGAAATACTGTCAAGAAATCCTGCCTGCTCTTTCCGGCATCGCAAAGCACTTCACACGCTCAATACCGATTCTGGAACGAGTGTGCAAATGCTACCGCACCATGGTCATCTCCTACCGAACCGCCACTGCTCCTCTTCTTCCTACACTAGCCACGAGCATCGCCGAAGGATTCCAAGCATCAAGACAAGGATGTTTCCTCTGGGCCACGGACGCAGTTATTCGAGAATTTTCCTACGGGGCCGAGTTCGTTGACGAAGCGACCAGCGAGAACGTGTTCCAGTTCTTTGCACAGCAGGCGACAGTGTTTTTCAAGATCCTGAACGAACTGCAGCCTGTTGAGCTTCCCGATGTGATCGAGGACTTTTTCCGGCTGGCTTCGGACGCCGTTCGATTCTACCCTACCAAAACCATTACTTCTCATCTGGCCCTTCCCATGGTCCAGGCATCTTTGACCGCTCTGACCTTGCAATCGATGGAACCTATTCAAGCAGCCTTGCTTTTCTTGCGCGACTTTCTTGATTTCGGGTTTGAAAATCCTCCCGTGTCCAACCTCAGCAGTCCTGACGGACAACCTCCGGCTCCCACACCTCCAGAAGTCCGGACTGCGGTGAAACAAGTTCTCAACTCGACTGGTCAACAGCTGGTCCACCGAGTCTTGACCGGGATGATGTTTAGTTTCCCCGAGGATTGCTTCCCGGATGCTTCCGCCATTTTATTGACGCTGTTCAATCTCGATCCCCCGGCCGCCGCTCAGTGGGTGCAAGGAACGTTACAGCTCTTGCCCGCTGGCACGTTGAAGCCTGCTGAGGCCAATAAACTGATGAAGGGCATCAGTGACAAGCTACAGCAGAATGAGCCGCGCAAAGTCAGGGTTTTGCTTCAGGACTTTACCAACTCCTACCGCCGGCGGAATGTGGCGCCGCGAGAAGGTTTGGGCAGATTGGAGGCGACCAGGTTCAGATTTAGCGGTTGAAGATTGCACAACTTCGGATGAATTACTAGATGGGGACCAGATCGTAGTAGAGTGTACTAGCTAGGGGGGCGGAGATGATACGAAGAGCCTGAATGGATGCCATCAAAGAGAGCTCCCATGCCAGTTGAGCCCCATACGAACAACATCCTCCGAGCATCACCATTATCATTTCGAGCAGATCCTACGAGAGTGAGGGCGCAACTCATTCCAAGGGGTAGCAGAGCCTCTGAGTGGATCTTGACACTGCATGTCTGGTCATGTTTCTTGCTTGGTCGAAAAAGATCTCCCTGTCGACAGAAGCAAGATCAAAGGTCAACATCGCCCTCAACCCTGCTAGTGTCTTCTCAGTGTCAGTCCTTACCTCGGAAGGCCAGGCAGGTTGACTCGGTTCTGCAGGTTCAGCCCACACAGATCCTGAAGGCCGATCGAGCGTGACAGGACACTTACCACAGGTGCTGAGGCACAGAGCATCTAGCTACACGGCTTGCTGAGGGGAGGCGGGCGAGCGGTGGACTGTTTGATTCAGTGAGAGGGAGTGTTTGGCTGCAGTAGGCCAGCAATTGAGATACTGTTCCTACCTACCTAGATATCACAACCTAGTTGCCGTGAATCCGATGTTTGCCCAAAATATTCATCAAGCTAGTACAACGGGGATTTGGGCAGGTCTGGATGGCATTTGATTGCTAGTACATCACAATGCCCGCGAATCACATCTGTTTTCTCTCTTTCCTGTGCCTCGACAGCAAAGACAATACCTAGGTAGATACACTACAGTACAAACGGAGAGCTTGGACACGAGAACACATAAGATGTACAGCGCGACTGAACTTCAACTTTGTTCAACTCACTACTGAACCATTCTCACACTCACGTACTCACTCAGAACTCCCTTAGGTAGCCATGGCGAAGCCATGCAATACAGTTCCAGCACTTGAAGATATCAATCAGACTCATTAACTCCTAGCTCTTATCAAGTTTTGCCGAATTTCCATTTCCATTTCCCTCCTTCTGGCGACAAACGCCAACAACAACCGAGATATCATCCAACTTGCCCCCCTCGGCAGCAATACCTTCATCAAACGCACGTTCCATATACGGCGACTCGGCATTCGGATCCTGGGCAATCTCACGAGCGGCATTCATAAGGGAACGAGCGACATAGACGGGTCCATCCTTTACGGCCTCCTGGTCTTCGCCTTCGATCCATTTGGAGACACTAGTGGTGACATTTTGACAGATTTCATGTTCCCACAGGTTATCGGTGACGCCGTCGCTGAGCACAAGAACCACGTCGCCGACTTCAATGTCGACGGTGTCGGTGACTGCGTTTTTCAAGGGGGTGTCGGGTGAGTTTGTGCCCAGTTGGCGTGGACAGTCGAACCAGTGCCATTGCTCTTTGGAGTGGTAGAGGACTTTGTTGGTCGAGGGGCGGACGACGAGTACTTTACAGTCGCCGAGGGTTGTGGCTAGGATCACGGGTATTGGTTTTGAATCTCGTTGCTGCGCATCACTCGCATTACTGCCACCACCGCTGCTGCTGCCGCGCCGGTAGTGCAGTAGAGCCGACGAGGCCGTCGTGGTGCCTAGAATGTCGTTGGCATCTGACTCCTTGTCTTTGGCTGACTTTTTGTCAGATTTGTCAGATTTGTTGGAAGATGAGGACGAGGAAGAAGACTGGTGGACAGTGGTGCTTTTGTTGGCATCACCGTCACTTTGTTTCTCGTCGTTATTGTTATTCTGTTGCCTCGCCTCTTGTCCATCTTCCTTCAACAACCCACCCTTCAACGCCGCCTTGGTCTGACTGTATGCGTCCTGCAGGTTCTGGATGGGATTGAGATCTTCTAGAGCAACGTCGCCTCCTTTTTCGAATGATTTTTCCACCTCGAGAGCCCAAAAGTGCGCAATTAGTCGTGACCACAATGCCGCGTGGCCTCTGTCTTTCAGGGCCCAGGCGCCCACGCCGTCATTGACAGCGATGAAATTCTTGTCTGCGATGATGATGGCGTCGTCGCCGTTGGTGATTCCTCGCACTGGCTGGCCGTTAACGTACGGTCGCCGGCCCCGCGAGACGTTGTGGGTGGTCAATGGGTCGGAAAATGAGCCGGATGGCAATGACACAAATGGCGGAGGAAACGGTCGGGATGCTCGTTTCGCAAAAATCGAGTACCCTGTCTCGAGGTAGAATGGACACGATCGTAGAGAGGCAGGTTCGTGTTCATCTTCGACTTCGCCTGAGGACTCGGGCGTCGTCGTGCGCCCTTCCGAGATGAGGTATCGGCGGTGAAGCGGGGTTGACACACTGAGTGTCCGAGTATATTGTAGAGAAGATGGTGAGGACCACCTTGAACCTAGCTGCTGATAGTGGTGGCGGTGAGGACTATGGATGCGGTGTGAGAAATGTGTCCCTTTCGGTGTCGACAATGCCACCACCACCATCCCCTTCGCCCCTGCGGCGCTTGCACATGACGAAGACAGTCTACATCGTCTGTGTCCCGTGCTGAGATCGAGGCCTCCAATTCGCAAAAAGCTGACGATGGCCGGACGGAGGAGGGCTGTTTGTCGTGTTACTGCTGCTCCCGCTACCACTATAGCATGCCTGGAGGATCGGGCCACGTGGGTGAGCATGGAAGGAAACAGAGCGCTCTCATAATGAGAGACGCTGTGCCTGATGGAACGGCAGGGTGAGGGACCAGATTCGACCGACAATGGACGCGGATGCTCTGACAAAGGCGGTAGTAGTACGAGGAGGTAGAAGTCTCATTAGAGTCAGGTACTACTACTGGGAGTAGTCACTGGTTGTTGGTGGTTAGTAATGATGCCTTGACAGTGCTGCCCACTGGCATGGGGATGGTATGATGTCGGGACGGGTGCGGATGCGGCTGCGGCTGCGGTCACCGATAAGGTCTTGATATCGTTATTTTGTCCCCGTTATCGTAGCTCAAGACTTCCAAAAGTCCCCCGGCTTCAGGTTTAGCCGCCGTGCATTCCCGGCCCATTTTCTCCTTCGGCTACCCCTTACTTATTACAGTCCCTAGTAGGAGCATATTGACTGATCAGATTTATTAGCAGTCTGCTCCGTACAAGCATGAGCATGACTACAAACTTCAATGTCGCTGCTGGCCTCCTGATCTGAAGCAATCTGCATAACCTTCTGGGTTCCAAGCCGATCGTCAGGTGACCGTATCATCTTTTGGGGTGGAAAAAGCCGACGAGGCTGTTCAGATATTGGAATGCGTGGATTGTCCAGTTTGCTCCCAGTAAGTCACTGAAGGAATATGGATTCCACAGTGCCCAACCAGAACAGCACGCACCTCTGGACCATGGATATGGCTGTACTGGTACATGATTATGGGTGCTATATATCCATAATATCCCCTATCAATATTGAACATGATTGTGCAAACGGACGAGTAGTGGTACATGAGGGGTAGACAGTAGTCGAAAGCTCTGTCAATCCGTCAGACTCAACGCCTGAGTGGAGGGTGGCTCGCTGGTATGAGATACGGTATGATCATTCCAACAACTCAGCCTTGTTTGGGTGAATTTTTGGGTGAGTGGAAAATGTAAAGAGAGCCATAACATCCCGAGATTTTCAGGATGCCGCCGCAAGGTTTCAATTCCTGACTTCCTCTTTGCTTGAAATCGTGGTGTTCGCCCGATATAGAAAGACGCCGTGGGGCTAGGTGTATCTCCATGGCTTCTCGATGTCCGTTGTGATGGCAAAGAAGTATATCCATTAGGCTGTTTGTAGAGTGAACTGCTGCGGTGACAAATGTGTTCAGACAGCCCCCTGTCGGTTAGCTTCCTCGATAATCTGGGCTTTCGTTCGTAACCCATTCAACTCAATATCAGAGGTCTTATCACACCACAGCCTTCTTTTCCTCACTTCGTGCCACGAACCGTTCTGCCCGTCCGATCAAGTCTTCGTATACCGTCCAGGCCAGTGCTGAACTCACAGCCTTTCTCCCGATTCTGAGCCCCAAGCCGTCAAAGAAACTCTTGAAACCGTCCTCTTTTATCATCAATCTGATTGCTTTCAGCATATTTCCGTACTTCTGCGGCATGAGTTGGAGCCTCGTCTTGACCGCATCAAAGGGGTTCGTCAACGTCGTGGCCAGGCCCGCCGCCAGAACACCACTCGAGGCATTAATGGTAGCCGAGGTCGCGGACGACGCATGATCCGCGGTCCCGTAGAGTAATTTGTTCAAGTCTTTCTTGCAGACCTCGTAGAAAAGGACGTAAAGGCCGGCATATGGCGCGTCCCGGACTGCAGTCGCGCCAAAGCCCGAAAAAAAGCCTTTAATCCCTTCCTGGGCGTAGATCGAGCGCGCAGCCGAGGCGATCGATTTGTAGGCATACAAGTCCGATTCGTAGCGAACCTTGATCACCGTCACTGGCATGAGAATGAAGCCCGCAAAGACGCGCGCCGTCGCCCCAGTGAGCAGGTTCTGCGTGTTGGACAGCTTGGGCAATACGGAGCTGCTCGTGTTTCGTGTTGCAGGCAGTCTTGCTCCTTCTGAAGCTGATGTCGCGGCGGCGCTGCTATTCGCCAGGATCTGCCGGAAGGAGCTCAGGGATGTGAAATACAACGCGGACCCGAATCCCGTCCGAAGCGCGGACGGAAGTGTCCCTCGCCATAACCCGGTGATGGGATGAGGACCGGAGAGGATGTTTCGTAGCACTTGACGCAGGGACGAGGACCGAGACTGCTGCACTCGTGTTTTCAGCAAATCGGCCGGCTGCAGCAGCACAGCGCTGGCAACGCCAGAGGTCAAGCCCGCGAAGAAGTGGAAGGTGGGATGGGCCTTTCGGGATTTATGGACGCTGTTGCTGGCGCCATGGGACATGGTCCGGTCGTGCGGACGTTGCGGAAGACTCGGACAGAAAGTCTACAATACAGACGGAATGGAGGTTTGATAAGAAAGTGATAGCAGCCTTGAGAGGCGCATTGTCATCTCCAATGGCATATAGCTCTCCCGGAGCGGAAGACTGGCAAAGGCATGGAGCAGGTAGGAAGCGTGTAAGCAGAGGGTAGAAGAAGGGCGTGCGCATCCAATGTTCGGGGACTGGTTCCAAATATGAAAAATGTCGCGCGCAGCTTCGTGATGAAGTCATTTTGGTAGAAGCCGCGCCGACCGCGGCCGAGTTCTATCATGGCCGCCTATCTACAAATTTACAGGAACAATAATGGATTTCGGCTTGTTAGCCAATGATGCCCTTGGTTGCAATGGAAAGCAACTCTCCTCAGTGACAGTATGTAATACCCCCTCGGACTCAGCATGCCGTGTGATTTTCTCTTCTGAGCGATAGAGAAACACAAATCGACGACAGAACCTCCTTGTTACAGGGGTTTTTATAGTTCGACTTTGACACGTTTCTCATCATAGTCCATAGGTAGTTACGACTTCTCTGATACTAGCCAGTTGCGACTATCAGTAGTAGAAGAACACCGAGGGATGGTTTGCGCAAAGCCTGGTTTATATACTTTCGTTGTTGAACGCCGAAGTCGAGAACGCGCAACTTGAACGACTGGCACTCACTGTACCTTACTGACTCATCTACTGCTGTTAGGCTTTCGTCGGATGGAATCGACACAGGTACTAGTAAGGTAGTATCAGCAACACTTTTAGGATTGCGCTCCTCGCTCCGCGTCGATGCCGGAGTGAGCCATGACTCGGATCATTTATTGCAAAACACATCGTGACTGGCAACAATAAAGGTGAATTTGGAGTGTATCCACCGATCTCCGCAGTCCGAGTCCAGCCTCGTACTAGCACCATCGGACGCTACAGTTGTAGTACTTTATAAGCAACCTAATTAGTGGCATCATCGCAGTCCGTTCACGGCACCTTCACACCCTCCGCAAGTCGTCTGCGCTATACTTGCTTCTCGCCGTCTCTGATAGATTATCACTGCAATTCCGCCAATACCTCGAACATGGTAAGACTCACAACAAACCTCAAGAATACCGGACTTCCCAACTGACGACATTGATCCAAGGCTTCCGAAACACCAGCATACATCCTCTCTGCACTCACCTCCATCGGAGGAGTGACCGGCTACGTGCGAACGGGCTCAGTACCCAGTATCGCCGCAGGTTTGACAGTGGGCGCGCTTGTACGTTATACCTACCTTACTCCCTCCGAGTCCCTCCTTGGACATCTACATCCGCCCGACGCAGTTACCTACAGTATGGTCCGGCTAACAATTTACTTCTTGCCATATATAGTACGGACTGGGCGGTTATCGCATTGCCAATCGTCAATCCTGGGGCGTTGAGCTCGCTCTGCTCGCTTCGGTCATCCTCGCTGGCAGCAGCATTCCCCGCGCGATCAAGACGGGCAAACCTCTGCCCGCGGGCTTGAGTGTCCTGGCTGCGACCGGATTGTTTGTATATGGCAGGGCGTTTCTGGCAAAAGCTTGATTGATGCGGGAACTGGACCTCGAACCCAAGCATCAGTGATGACTCAAAGAAATGTGTGAACGCAGACAATAATCTCAATTCTTTTACACACTGGGTATCTTTTTGGGTGCTATGGTGTTGGTGTTCGGTTGCCGGAGCACAGACTGGTCATTATAGGACTATCCCACTGCTTCTGAGGCCGGGGCAGACGTCGAAGCGTGACTGTTCGACGGCCTTCCTGCATCATCCGCCGTGGCGGACTGCTGCTTTGCCCCGGCGTGTCTCCTCTTCCGCTTCCGCTTTGACTGTGATTGTTGGCCATCTTGCCCTTGGTTTTTGGTGTCTCCGCCATTCTCTCCCGACTGAGAAGTAGTGGGTTGTTTGACCTTTTTCTTCTTAACACTTAGTGGGTTCGGACCTTTGGCCTTTTTCAGTCCACGAATCCTTGGCCCACTGGATTGTCCTCCAATCTCTGAATCCTCATCATCACTGCTGCCCTCCTCACTGTCGGCTCTCTTCCTCTTTCTGTCCCCCACGCTCAAGAGACCTTGTGCAAGTTTCTCCCTCTCGCCCTTCCGCCGGACACTCTCGCTAGCCCCGCTCAGCTCTTCAAGAATCATGACACTGCGCTTAACATAGACAATCGGCACCCCAGGGATCATGCGCGCGCGCTCCCGCACATCGAGGTACCCTTTGGATTTTCGATCTCTGTCGTCCGCATCGGCCGTGGCCAGGATATAATGTTGCTTGTTTTTGGCCAACTCGTTTCCATGCGGCTGACCTGCCAGCAGGTCCAGTAGACACCGCCCTTCGCTGACTACTCCCAATTCCTCGCCTTCATCGTTCTTGTGTTTGCAATGTCGTAGCGGGACTTCGGTCGGCGGGGGTAAAAATTCAGGCCTACCGGGGCCCCTGGGTCGTCTGACGCCGCCACTGCCTTGTTCCTTTTCTTTACTCTTCTCCTCTTTCTGCTTCTGCTTTTCCCAGTCCCCCATGATTTTAGCCAATGTGCATTTCGTCACGAATAATCGGCATTCTCCATGAAGCGTGTTCTCGAGATATTTCTGTAAAGGCATGTGGAAATGATGGCAGGCTTTGAGGAAATTCGAGTCCAGCAGGACTTGATATGGTTCTCGGAAAGAAAATGTCATCTGATATTGAGACATGATCTTGCGATACTTTTTGCTGCGTTTCGCCCTCATTTCGGCGGTTTAACCCCGAAAGAGTGTGTATCGGTGCGGTAGGTTTAGTTCAGGGTGTCAGAGGAGCCGGCGGGCTCAAGGCTGTCGTGAGAGTGATTGAAGCGTAGGGCTGATTGTGTGTACAATGCATTCGCTATTACTGTAGAATCGTGCATCAGGTTTCTCTCGCAGACAGCGATTATTTTGCACAATGTCGTGGCAGAAACCGTTTCCACATTTTCACCGCTTCCATTTTTAGATGACAAGGGCCCCGCTACATTGGTTGCCGCTTTTGATGGGCGTCGCTACTAAACTCGATTAGGACTTTGGTGGGCTTCATCTTGAGCCTGGAATTTAATCGCATCTAACTTGCAAACTCTCACAACTGACCTCGAGTATATACTGGGGCAGACGCGCTACATACTCAGAGCATGCAATGTTGTCTCAGACGGCTACCCCTGCCACCAGACGGCAACGACCAGCTTTGTTCTGTCCATTCACGGGAGCCACCTATCCCATCTTCCGGCAATGCAGCTCGCAAGGGAGGGGCTCGGGAGTCAGTCCTGGATGACAAATCGACTATCGCAATACTTTGTGGTGATAGCACAATCCTTGGACGAAAGCCCGTGAGGTGCCGCCGGCTTCTGTATAAGTACTCAAAAAGCATGGCTGGACTGCCAGCTTGAACAATGTATCTTATAGTTGCAACCGGCGTCACCTCCATTGTGGAAAGTTGAATGAGACTTTGCCTTGACCCAAGAGTACTGTATCATCCCTCTGACCACCGCTCAGTTGCAGCATTGCCTTATCCTTGTTGGACTCTGATACAAGCGGCTATCCCCATACTTGGTTGTTTCCACAATGTCCTCGAACGGCGCTGACGGCACCTCCACTAATGGTGGTGGTGACTCCAAACCAGAGATCATTCTATATACCAACCACCAATGCCCATGGGCACATCGGGCTCACATAGCCTTGAAAGAGTTGGGTCTTCCATACAAGGAAGTGATTATTGACTTGGACAAGCCTCGTGAGCCATGGTATTTGGAAATCAACCCGGTATGTTTGTTGTTCGTTGTTTAGTACCTGGTTGTGGTGTGACATGATACTACATTGATTTGAGGATTGGTCCTTGGGGCTATTCCGAACCATGACATGTCATTTTCTCAAAGCAGCTTGGGATTGATAGCTCTTCCTTGGGCTCCCCTTCGTATGGTCATCAATAATGACATTGAACCTCTGATCCCTCTCTGCTCCACAGCGCGGTCTTGTCCCCAGCATCAAATACAACAACCACATCATCACCGAGTCCGCCATCGTCACTCAATTCCTGGCCGACGCCCATCCCGCCCAGTTACTCCCACCGACAACATCGCCATCAAACGCGCTGGTCCGTGCGCGCGTCGCCTTTTTCGTCGATGCCTTCATCTCCAAAGTCCTCCCGAAAATCTTTGCCGCTCAGATTCAGCGCGCCGAGGACAAAGACGCCGACACCGCTGCCCGAGACATTGTGGCAGCTGTGGCCAAGGAGCTCGAACCGCTGTTCACGTGGGACATTTCTAGCAGCAGTCCTTTTTTCGGCGGTTCGAACCGTTTGACTTTGGCTGAGGTGAGTTGACTTCAAAGAACCACCAAAGGCCGCAGGACGTAACGTCTGCGAGCGGGAGGTGGAGGAGGATGGATCGCTGTTCTGGGGTTTCTAACATCTCCTCCATCGTGTTCTATCTAGGTCCAAACCGCCTCATTTCTCATCCGTCTACTATCCTTCTCCAAACCGGAACATAACCTCCTCAGCCCACACCTCAACACCCTGTTGGCCGAGCAGACTCCCAAGTTCACGGCCTGGGCCCGTCAAGTCGTTCAGCAGCCTAGCGTCACGGATATCTGGGATGAACGGACCGTCGTTGAGAGGACGAAGGCGAGGATTGCGAAGCTTGCTGCTGCGGCGGAAGCGGAAGAAGCGAAGAAGTAGCTTACTCTACTAGTAGTAGTACATACAGTACAACCTTGTTTACTGAGATGACTATCTAGTATTCCTATTCCACAACTGATATTGGAACTGCGGCCATGTTGTGCCTCCATCCTAAACTTGAAAGTCAGAGGTGACACCTTTACTTTTGACTTGACCCTTGTCTGCTGTGCTTTACTGTGCATGTCATTCAGGGCGTGAATCAACCAGTCAGAAAAATAAGTCAATCAATCACCATCTCATTGCGAGTATGAACTTGAAAAGCGTCAATCTAGAATAATGTCTATTGGATAGTGCATCTCCGAAACAAGTCCAGTCCGAGTCCGCCATATTATATCCAGCAGCACTGCATCTTTCTCCAGCTTCATTCTAGATGTCCTCCGCCATTTAGCAGGTATGCAAACTTTTTATTTTTCCCTCCATTCCAGCCTCGCTCGTACGCACATGCTGGAAAGAAGAAAAAAAGGAAAAGAAAGGTCTTCCAACCAGCAATCCATACCTTGTGCTAATGCACCCCATGAAACGATTGTATTCAGACCCAGAACACCGAGATGAACCAGCAAAAAGGAAAGCGATTTTGCTAACGCAACTCATTCGTCGTCAGATTCGTCGTCGGCACCCGCAAGGTTGCCACGGCTTTCATGATTCTCCTCCTCGTCCTCCATGCCGCCAAAATCCATGTCAGCGTCTTCTTCGGAATCGGTATCGTCCGCTTCGTCTCCCGGTATGCCTTTCCACTCGACATAGTCTCCTTCGATCCAGTGCTTGCTGAGGGGCAAATGGTAAGGATCGTAAGGGAAATAACCCTCCAGCATGCCATTGTCACCGACCCAACTCAAGTCCCGGTCCGGGTTACTGATGTCCAGATCTGAAATGCTCCGCCAATGGCTCGTCACACGTACGTGTCTGTTTTCCTCCAGCTTCGGATAAACGTAAAAGAGCTGCAAAGCGTGCGTAAGCTTTGCAAACTGGTCGACAATCACTGGTGTGCAGACACGCAGAGGGTTGAGGGGCGAATAGATGGCCGCTCGGAGGGCCTCGCGCAAAGTCTCGGAGAAGTGATAGGTCTCAACCTCGTCCTCGTCCACGTCAAAATCGGAGTCGTCGTCGGAACTCGCTGATGCAATGTCCCTCCAACGAAAGCAGAATATGTAGAGGATTGCTTGGAACGCCGCATAGAAGTCACCATATCGCTTAATGTCGGGTCCACGACAGCCTGGCTCGTAGGATTTGCGTAGAATGGTCAGGTGGTCACACAACAGATTGAGACAGTCTTGGACGACTTGTGGAGACACATGCGCACCACGACCAACGAAGCCTGAGAAGTAGGCTGCTGCACTGTGGCGGAGAAGATGAGGCTGTCTCTTGTCCACGAGCACGGCAACACAAGAAGTGACGAAGCGGTCGACGATGATGGGATCCGATTGGGCAAAATGGAACACCAGGAACTGAGGATGACGGGCGCGGTAGGTCGGGAGGATGTGAGTGTGGAATTGCGAGATAAGTTGCTCGACGGCAGTATCCCGATCTTGAAGCGGTCCCGACGTGGTCAACTTGGCGTAATATTGGAAAAGAATGTCCATAATCATGTCGACTTGCTTGATGTCATCCTTGAGTTTTTGTCGACGAGCTGTGGCCGGGTCGACATCTTCATCTTCATCAATGTCAGATTCATCGGTAGTGCTCATGTCGTCGTTGTCTTCATCGTCCAGATCACCCTTGAACATATCCTGGGACGGGACTAAGGTTTGAGAAGATGACATATGGTTTAGGATGTCGTCCTCAGCGTCATCCTCCTCTTCGTCCAGGTCGACTTGCACGGATACATCGAGCTTGATGAGCTCCCTGAGAACGCAGTTTAGGATCTCGGAGGTGAGTTCAGGGACATAGTTGATCATCTCCATGAAGTTTCGGATGTAAGTCATGCGCTCTTCAGATTTCTGGAAGTCGAATTCCAGACGAGATGAGACTCGATCGGCAAGCGCCGCAGGGGAGGACGGAACGTTGACGGTGATGTGCTGAATGGCCTGCAATGCTCTCCGATGTATGGTCCGTTGTCTGACTGGAGATGACCCAGCTATCCTTCTCGTCTTTTGAGGCCCAAGCAATTCCACCAAGACCGACATAATCTTATGCTGATACCCCCGCTGTGCAGCGGCTAGATTGTTGAGGAACCGGACGAAGAGCGCATAGTACGCCTCATCTCTTCCAACCCATTCGCTGTATAAGATCGAATTGACTAGTCCGCTGCAGTCTTTTGTGAGGGCGGTAACATTTGCCAAAACGGCTTGCAGGTGTATTCTCAACGCTTTCGTTGAAGGAGCATTAGGCTTCTCGTGCGAGGTTGTGAAGTAACCTTTGATCCGTTCGTATCCTTCATCGTCCTTGAGCCGATGTCGTTCAATGGCTCTGCGCACTTGTTCCTTGACGACAAGGGGATCCAATTCTTCGTCATCATCGGCCGACACGATTTCCACATCTGAGTCGAAGGTCACTCTCGATCGCTTGGAAGGACTGGAAGGGGCATCCATGAATCCGGTCTCGTCAATGGAACGCTTGAGGGTCGATCTCCGTTGTACCACCTGAGGTCTAACAGTTTTTGAAGGAAGAGAAGGCCTGCTGATGGTTGCCGGCAAGGCAGGCCGACGATGTGGCAGGGCTAGCATGGCCGGGGAGGCAAATGGTACAACAGGTCATGAAGAGAGAAGCGAGAGCCGGCAGATCCTATGCAGATGGCAGATAACAGTCTCAACAATCTATTAACAGCTTCAATTAATACCAGGTAACGAGGGTGCCAGCCTGCGCAAATTGAACACAGAGCGATTATTCTGGGGTCTGGCAAAAATGTTCTGTGAAAATTGTCCACTGGTGGGTGCAGGCGCTATACCATAATTGGATGGTGTCTGACAAACCGAAGCAACGGCCATTTGTGCAGCAATTTGTGGGGAAATCAGCTGTCAGACAGCAGACACGCTTTCTACTATACTATTGTGAGTATCGAGTCACGAGCGCGTCACGAGCACATCTGCCAGATCGGAAAAGATGAAGTTCGATGCCTTATTTTGCAAGGAGTATTGAATTACAGGCCAAAGGCTTTCAGTCCCAGTGAGCTACAGATAAGCGCGTTGGCTTTTTTCCTCCGTTCCCTTGATTCTGTCATAATCGTATGCATCTTTGCCATAGAGGGCAATACGATGGCCCAGCGCTCGTCTGATGATCCAATCCTTACTGTTGATCTCTTCCTCAACTTCATCCTCCGCCAAAGGAGGGATCTTGTCGCTTCCCTTGAGTCTCTTCAGCATCACATCGTCTTCGGGCCGGTTGAAGTATACAAGGGAGTATCTCGTGTAGTCCGCTTGTTTCCCTGGTGGCGCCACGACGCGATGGATGTTTGACCTCAAAAGCCCATTGGTAAATTTGACCATCGCATCTCCCAGGTTGATAATCGCATGGTTCGGCAGTGGCTTGACATAGCACCATTGCGCATCGCGTCCTGGAGGCAACACTTGCAAGCCACCCAGACGGTTGAACAGGACTGTGACACTTCCGAAGTCGGTGTGTTCGCCGAGGGCAGTTTTGCGATCATTCATTGGCTGCGGAGGTGCTTTGATAAATCGAACTTGATCGCCAGAGTGACCTTCCAAGCGATGCATATCTTGGAGTGTGTTTGGTGGGAGTTTCAGGTGGTCATTGAGCAACTCGAGCACTAGATCGACGATTCCATGTGCCGAACTAATGAAGGACTTCAGCAATGGACGCTGGGAATTAAGCACTTCTGGGGCCGGCCATGGGTCGGAAATTCCCATGATGTCGTCCTTCGAAACCTGTTGTCTGTCATCAGCAACATTTCATGGCACCAACGACAAGCTTACATTGTAGAATTCATTTCGGTCCAAGTTGCCTTCTCTATCGGCAACATTGGCGCCCAGGCCTTTGTACCCGAAGTAAGAGTTCTTGTGCATGAAGTCGTACTTCTTCTTCTCCTCAAGGGGCAGCTCAAACAATTCGGCGCCTACCCCAAACAAATGATCTGCATCGGCCAATAACGAGTCTCCTGGACCGGACAGGTCGAGGTAGAAGAAGCCAAGATCTTCACAAGCCCTGGCGAACCGGTTGACCTCTTCAGGGTCGCGGTCGATCAGTTTGGCCAACGACAGACGGAGGAGGGGAGCTGTCGGGACATCATCCGGAAAGGGAGGAGAGTTCTGGAACGCTTGTGTCGGCGCAGTCAGGGCCTCCGGGATAGCCTCTGTAGACATATTGTTCTTTCTGTGTTGTCGTATGATTAGACATATGAAGGCCCGGGATACCGGCAACCAGGTTGACTTTATATGCCAATTCCCCGGCCATTGACCGAGGCGGGCCCCTGCATCTCCACGTTTCCTCCTCGCATGACGAATGGCCCGAACCACTCGATGCGGGGAATGAAATTGTCTCGACACAAACAACAGCCTCTCGATTGGGTCCGAATGGAAAGAGTCTCGGGCGACTCTCGGGAACATCAAAATCAGATGTCCTCGTTCCGACAATAATAAGAGCCGGTCGCGCTAACTAGGGCTAGCCGTATGCTGATCCTCGACTGTTTGAAGTTTATTGACGGTGTACGAGACCGAGTATGGCGTCCAGAGCGCCAGTAACTGTGAATTTTCCCTCACAAGCAGCAGGAAAACTCCAGAAGTATTAGGTGTCTCCGTCTCGCCTAACCACTGCATTCCTCCACCGGATGGCCCTCGCTTGTTCAACAATGAAAGGCTGGTCTAGGACTTTGTAGCAGATCTCCCAGTCTAGCAGTGGACATTGTATTGAGACTGTCCCGGGATCTCGGGTTGACAAGTCTGGGACCAGCACGTTCAAGGTAGGAAACAACAACAATCTGTTTTGGTATGTGAGCACTGGCAGCGTGTATCTCAACTTCCCAGGACCAGCCTCTGCCAGGATTTTTCGTAACATGATCGAGTCTTCTTTGTTCAAAGCACTGAACACGTACGGTGCATCGGATTGTCGGTACGGGCGAACATGGACCTCGGGAACGCTTGTGGTATCTGGAACCCTTACGCGCATCCAGTATCGATGGTCCCACAGAATCCAATCCGACCATACGCCTCCAACTGTGTCCAGATCCATTTGCGATGTGCCAGTTGTCTCTTCTCCAGAGAACCCGTCCACTTTTGGACGAAAGTGCTGCTCAGCAGACTTCACCTCGGAGGAACGCATGGGCGGCCGCGACAGCTTCCATCTGACTTGATTATCCTCCGAGTTTACTGTGTCATTGTCCGGCTTCTCAAGGAGCACCTTCTGTATAGTAAGAGAGCGCGACCTCGGAGACCGACAAGCTTCCAAAAATTCCAAGACTCGCTCTTTTGGCACAAGCGTCGGGACATCGTCCCTCGACTGGTAGCTGATTGCGCTTGTCAGCCGCGCCAAAGCGTTTGCACCAGCGGCTAAATCGGTCTCGCAAGCAGCGACGAAATTCTTTGGAACAGTCATTGTCATTGAACCGCACCGGAGGTCGAAGATGTCAATCTTGATCATTCTGAGAACTTCTGTTCCTCGCGCCATCAATGACGAGGTGGATTTACGGGCATGCTCACAGAGCTGTAAGATAGAGTGCGCCTGCAGTGCTCTAGGGAGATGTTGTTCGTTGTTCGAACCATGGCGATCCTTCCTTAAGTCACGTACCGCATTTCGTAGTGTTAGGGTGGGGTCATCGTTAGTCTTGTCTTTCTGGTAAATAACCCCGTTGTCCTTGCAGGTCTGAATGAGTCGGCTTTTAGGAAACTGTAGCAGTGGGCGATGCATCCGAAGGCCCCCCTTGTGGGACACCGTCACTTGCTTCGCGAAATTGATGCCCCTTTTGCTCTCCGATACATTGGAGACGGTGCCGTTGATATGAAAAAGCCAGTCTGGAAGAGGCTCGTATTGTTCCACTTCATGTGCGCCTCGGATGTCCTCGCAACATGGTATCGCACTTTCCTCTGCCATGCCTTGTAATCCCAAGAAGGAAGTGCTCGGGTTCCTAATCAGCCTCATCAGTATAGTCTCGACTTGATCGTCTTGGTGGTGACCTAAAAAGAGGTCGCGAATATTTCTCTGCAAGGCTGCTGTCGCAACTAGTCGATAGCGTGCTTGTCGAGCCTGCATTTCGAAATCAGGCAAAGTTGCAGGGTCAACGCCATTGCCCCAGTCAATATCCAGGACGAGACTTTCAATGTCTTGAACATCAGCTCTGACAGCAGGATTAATATGAATGAAGCTTACCAAGTTTCTCCAGGTAGCGAGAGACAAAATCAGCCTCTTTGCGACTTTCCGCTCTAGCATTATGGTTCACAATAAAAGCAAGCGGCTTGATTCGCAAAGATGGGTCGATCTCAGGAACACGTCTAAGCAGGTAAGCCAAAGCCATAGAGTCAGGCCCGCCGCTGACACAGACACCTGGATGAGGTGAGCACAGGACGCAGAAGAATTTGCCTGCCTACCTATCCGGCTTGATTTGAGGCGCGCTTCATTCGACAGCTTATTGCGCCAGATCCGTGACACTATAGGCACGAGGCTCTCGGCTGTTACAGCTGTACTCATGTTTGACTACTGTACCAGCAAGAACAATGCTGCCTCCGAACCAAGAGAGCTGAATCCAGCAGGGGTCTCAGCCATGCCTGAATGATTCTCAATCGCAGGTCAGCTCGCTGCCAGTTTTTGCATGATAATAAAAAAGCCGGATTCTTCTTCCGCTAATCTTTGTAGCAGACTTAATGACCAAATGGGAAAGATTCGAAGGCAGGCTTCTGGAGGTACATGATCTGGGCTTACAATGCACCGTGTGTCATGGTTGATCCCCGGCATAGCATCACGGAATTGCGTTGCAGGGGTCTAGATGTGGTGGTACTGGGCTGGCCAGCAAAAGACTTCGGGCCCAGTAACCCTGCACAGCTGGACCTTGGCGCTTAGTCATGCGACATGATTGCTGCGCAGCTGGAACACATGTGCTGCAGTGTGGAAGATACCTGGTTCCCGTACGCACCTGGATGCTGGTCAGGAAGGAAAGATGATGCCGTTGGTCGAAAGCACAAGAGGTAAGGTCGAAGCGCTCATGGGTTCATGAGGCTGCTTGCTTATAAGAGTTTCGGGGTCCGACCACAGACAGTCTACCTACACAGTATGGCTGGAGGTGGCTGAAAAATGCCATTGGTCCAGAGCCACCGACGGCCCGGGAGGTTAGAGTCCAGGGACTGCTCCTGCAGGATGAGGGTGACACAGCTTAGAACTACCTATATGTAATGTGGGCAGTATGTGCCAATATCCCAGGAGGGAAGTGTAAGGATGTACATTGTACACAGTATTACAACTGTAGTATATTGCACGCCATGGGTCACCACCTGTCCGATTCGATTGCGGCAGCGTGATGTCAAGCTGCGCAGTGGCGCTGGGAGTCCAATATTATTGTAACACTGATGCGCTCATATCTCTTGGCAGAGATGTCTGTTGAACTTGAAGTTGTGAGGGTTTCTCACCGATTGCTGCCCACTTGTGTCGATTCAAGCTCAAAACCAAGATTTATCTCTGACGTCGCAGCAGGGGAGCAGACACACTCAAGCCTGGCCAAGACCATCTAAGAGTGCCTAAGAGTGCCGAAGAGTGCCTAAGCAACTGTCCAAATAGTATTCCCACTGCTAATCGCAACTACCGAAGCATTGGACTGCACCTGCTACTGGAAGGATTAATAGCTTGCAGGTTTGTAGCTTTGGAGATCAAGCTGTGGGAGCCACCATGCCACTACCCAGGTTGGGTTCTACCAGTGTATACCTGGTACCACTGGCAGTCCGGCATATGATGTAGTAGGTATTCTCAGCCCAATCAACACGTGTTCAGCCACGTATGCGTCGATATTGGCTTGTGGCGCCCGATTCCCTACTACAATGTGGTACAGTGCTGTAAGTGCCTACGGCGGCTGCAGTGCAATACCTAGGTACTATGTACTACTGCTGGGGCTGTGTCGGTGACAAGGGCCCGGGGGCCCCAGAGTTGGAAATTCTCCGCCCGGATAGTACGTTGTAGGTAAGCTTGAACTTAATTGGAAGCGAGATCCCAATGTCATCATACGCAATCGTAGTAATAGTGAAACAGCGCGGATTGTTGGTGCCCCTGCTCAACGGAGTCTGCACCCGTCCCGGAATATCAACAACAGGATTCTCCCTTCACTCACAAATCATACTCCTATCCAAACTCCCAGCCTTCAGACGCCTGCCACCGCTCCAACTTCAAGTTTGGGGTTTTAATTCCCTGCATGCGCCACAGTCACTGCAGACCGCCAGTCCTGTTTGCATCCTGAACCTTCCTCGTCTAAATAGACGCGACCTCCTTTGAGTTCTTTCTTTGACCTGGTCCTCATCTGCCACCGCCCCTTGATTGTTTACTTGCGCAGCCAAACTTCCACCACTGGGAAACTCTGCTCCCTGCCATCTCCCAGAAGAACCTTCATAATATGCGTACGTCGCCCTCCCATTTTGAAAATATGCCAGTAGGCTAACATATCGACAACAGACAAATACCGCCGGCAGGCGAAGTATGCCGCCTGGTATGACGACCGAAACGAGGGCTCACGTTCCAGCAAACTCAACCCTTTTGCGAAATGGAGGCCTCCCAATCCTCGAGCCAACACGGTGAGCGCAATCGAAAATGGCCACGGACCCGGACCGAGAACAAGCGCGGGCGAAGGTGGTGGTTCTCCTCTACAGCAAACTGTCACGGATCACCCGTACGATTATACATCGTCAACGGCCGAACGAAACCGTGAGACAGATGCACACACTTCGCCACGGCATGCGGTGACAGACCCAAATGTTCGGTCAGGCACAAGATCGTACCCACCAGGAGATGCCCTCAAAATCCCGCGGTCTAACAGTCCCGTTTCAGCCATCCAAGAAGATTCTCCGCAAGAGAAGAAGGTCGAAGATGGCAAGAGTAGTGAAACTTTCACGAATGGCACGCACGTCAACTCACATGATAGCAATCCTGTTCGGAATCGGGCCAACGGCGAGAAGCCGGAGAAACATGGGCTGGGCAAGCTCTTTGGCAAGAAAACTGAGGACCTGGACGACAACAATGGCAAGAACAAGACCAAATTTACTGCTTGGAGTCAGCTCCACGCCACGCTATTCAATTCATGGATCAACGTCCTTCTCATCTTCTCTCCTGTCGGTATCGCTGTATACTACGCTGGAGTCAATAAAGTGGCTGTTTTCGTCATCAACTTTATCGCCATCATTCCTCTGGCAGCTATGTTGAGCTATGCGACCGAAGAAATCGCGCTTCGAACGGGGGAAGTTATTGGTGGCTTACTCAATGCATCCTTTGGTAACGCCGTTGAGTTGATTGTCTCGATCATTGCCCTGGCAAAAGACCAAGTTCTAATCGTCCAAACATCTCTCATTGGCAGTATGCTGTCCAACCTGTTGCTGGTCATGGGCATGTGCTTCTTCTTTGGTGGCATCAACCGCATCGAGCAGGCCTTCAATATGACTGTTGCGCAGACAGCGTCTAGTCTGCTTTTCCTGGCTGTGAGCAGTCTGATTATTCCAACTGCCTTCGAGCAGTGGGCCAGAACGGGTTCCAGCAACAACAGCACCGAAAATCCAAAGCCGGGCGTGGCCGATTTGAGCAGAGGAACAGCCATACTTCTCCTGGTCGTCTACGCCTGCTACCTTTTCTTTCAACTCAAGAGTCACGCCAAGATGTATAACAAACCAAGCGAGAAGAACGAGACTCGGGATGTTGGTGCAAGGTTCAAGAATGCCGTTCTGCCGGAAAGATTTCGTCGGCAGACCCCCGAAGAACGAGAAGCGGCCTCTCCCGAGCCAGTTGATGAAGGGCCAGAGGAGCCTCAGCTCTCCATTATGGTTGCCCTTCTGACCTTGGCCATATCCACGGTTCTAGTAGCATTGAATGCCGAGTATCTGGTTGACTCGATCGACTCCATCACCTGCGGTGGCGGCATTTCCAAGAACTTTGTCGGTCTCATTTTATTGCCCATCGTTGGCAATGCCGCGGAGCACGCAACGGCCGTCACAGTGGCGGTCAAGGACAAAATGGACCTGGCGATCGGCGTGGCCGTAGGATCCAGCATGCAGATTGCCCTTCTCGTCTTGCCTCTGGTCGTGGTTCTTGGCTGGATCATCGGTAAAGACGACATGACATTGTTCTTCGATGGATTCCAGATTGCGGTCTTGTTCGTCGCCGTTTTGCTCGTCAACTATCTCATTCAGGATGGCAAGTCTCATTGGCTGGAAGGCGTCTTATTGATGATCTTGTACATCATCATTGCAGTGGCTGCTTGGTTCTACCCGACTGCTCCAGGTTTGAGCGACTGCCCTGGTGCATAAAACCGAACCGGGCCTCTTTTTTGAAGGTGCAAAGAAACGACAACAATCCTCGATGGACTTTTGCGACTTTGCTTCGCAATGGCGCAGAACAGAGGTCAAACAACACCACCGTCATTCATGTTCCATTCCGTCAGCTTCAGCGTTTTCTGGTCAACATACATTAGTGGTTACTTCTTGGGGTCTTTAGGGTTTAATTTTGTTTCCAGAGCGCTCCTAGGTATTACTTTACACATGGTTTGGGGCTGCTAAGGGGGCTGTGCTGCCCTTGCAATAAACGAGTGCAGAAAATAAGATCTGTCCAGAATAACCAATACTGGAAATACTACTACTCGCCGATAAACGTGACACGATTCCTGTGTGTTGGACCTTGACTATCTCACGTCCACTGTATTCTATGCGTATGGGTGCACCGCAGAACCCACATCATAGTGCGCATACTAGTACAGTATCTTGCTCCGGCGACCGAAGTCGTGTTCTGGATTCGGACAGAAAATAAAACAACAAAAATCTTATCGTAAGGTACCTGGTATTTAGGTAGGTACCTAGTAGGTAGTGGTACAGTAGGTACTAGAACTCCCACATGGCAGGGCAGGTCCTTTCATGGCTTAGCCTGACCTGCATCACACACTCACACACACAACACATTCGTTTCCCTTTCAAGCTGTGGACCGCCGTAACAACATCGAAACAGACATTGAAAACCTCCCATGGCATGAGAAAAAAAAGACAAGAAACGAGTCTGACCTTGTCTTCATCATTCCGAAAAGTACCGTACCACCGAGACCGTTCTATCGAGATTCGTTCACCCCCAGCCGGGACCGTTTTCGTCTCCGTTTCCAAAAACCAAAAATGTTTCCTTTTCGTCTAAGAATAAGCATCAGAAACTTCTTCCTCGCCATCATCGCCTCTTCTCCTGGCAGCTTGATTCTGGTCAAGGTCAAGGAGGTCGACGTCATCACCATTTCCACCAGCAGCGGTAGTCTCATTCATGATGCCGTCATCATACGTTTCTTCCACGCGATGCGGAATGATACTTTCTTCAATGTCGAAAGTGGCAACAATATCCTCCCAGACGTCAAAGTCCAATGTGAAGACAGCCTGGTTCTTGGGCCGTTCCTGCCTCTCGGCGACAGTGCGCGTTGCCGCAATGCCCAGGGTGGGCTGGCCAGTGCTATCGAAGTCGAGACCGACTTTGCCTTCCTTGATGAGGAAACTGACATAGAACAGATTCTCGACGGATTGGCCGAACGAGCGCGGGTTGATGCAGAAGTCGAATAGCGGCACACATCCGTTGTCTGCCATGCGGTGCCGCTTGAGGATGGCGCGGATTTGGTCTTCGGACAATTCTGCATCTTCGTCATCGCCATTGTTGGTATTGTATTCGTCGTATTCCTTCTCGACATTCGCCATCCCCGTTTCCTGAGTGTGTTGCAGCAGCCGCGCAATCGCCGTACAGATGACGGTCAAGTTGACCGATTCCTGTTTCTCCAGGTCTTCGTCGCCGAGCTCCACGGGTCGGACTGCCTGGGTCGCGTCGGTGCGGGCCTCGCGGGCTTTGCGCTGTGTCTGTTGTCGTGTCTTTTTCTGTACCGATAGTGGACCGAGAAGGAAGCCCGTCAAGCATGGTCGTGAGTTGTAGAGAAAGCACGCGTTTCGGCCTAGATACTCCCAGTTTAAGGTATCGCCTATTTCGTCCTCGACATCTTCCAAGTCTGCGGCCGGTGCGTGTCGCGACCGCCGCCTCCGCTGAGTTTGTGTCAAGGATTGAGTGCCTGATGGCGGCTGCTGGCTTTGCGCTACCGAGTCGGCCTCATCGCCCAGTCTCATGAAGCCAATACATTTGGTGACAAAGTCATCCACATCGATACCAAGACTTCCGTCCCCCAGAGTCAAGTTGTTGATCTTGCGGTACGACAGGTCCGCTGTCTCCACGAGCAACCGCGAGTCGATCGTCGCCTCCGAGGTCTGCTTGACATTCTTGTACAGCTCGTCTGCCTCGCGCAGCGTCTCTTCAAGCCCTTTGGAATCTGGCCGCAAATACTCCGTCTTCGAGTCGTGAAGTCTGGCAAATAAACTTCGAAGCCCTTTCCGCACGAGTCGGCGCTCTTCCGGGTTCTGTTCAGGGTCGTAGAATTGTTTCTGCGTGTGACTGACATCTTCGCCGCTGCTCACTCTTCTTCGCTTGGACGTATGCTGGCTGCTTGAGTGGGCGCCGGTCCCTGCTCGTCGTTCCGACTCTGGCATAATCGCCGCGGCTGCACTGGTGCGCTTGCCTTTGCCTTTGCTCGTTAAAGAAAGACCCCGGTTCTGGTTCTCTTTATCCGAGTCCGAGGCCAAGGTCGGCGATGGAGGGGTTTCGGACGTACGAGGAACCGCGGCGCGACTGGGTGAGCTCGATAATCTCTGACTCTCTGTTTCACTCTCTGACGATGCGATTTGGGTGTTTAGACGCGCCATGGCCAAGGCATCGCCTTGCAGGAGAGGTCACTGCACTAACTCTGCACAGCAAAGTGCGTTGGCGCCCGAGTTCGCGTGAATCTATTCTAGAGAACACAAGCCAGAACGTGCCGCTTTCTGCTCTCTTCCAGCAGAGGTTGGCGGGGGGGTTGTTCTGTGCAGACTGACAGGCAGTGGAACGTTGAAAGAAGCGTGTTGAGCGCGAACAATTGACGCGCTGCTCCGCGCCCGCTAATTACAGTCTTCTACCACTGTAGTCGCAACTTTAGTGTGGAGAATAGGCCTAGTTCAGTAGCGTTTGGTTAGGGCTGTTTCCCCGCTGTTACAGAGGTGTTAGTGCTCCTGGGGCGATACTAGCGTTGCTTTTTGTACGGGGAAGTGTTATATTGCCAGCGTAAAACAGGGCTACAGAGGATCATAACACACTCGAGTGGCAACCGGTATATACCTAGGTACACTATCAACTTCAGCCTGAAGTACTGGCGGCGCGCCATCAGGCTTCTTTGTGCCTAGCAAAGGCCTCGTGGTAAACCACCATTAGCATCAGGTTCCCTCATCAATCTCTGAATTTAGTCACCCTTTCATTGGGTACCCACTGGGCCAGACGATGGGATACCCTTGGGTCTTACACCGAGAATGGACACATACACCTTTGCAACGTCGCGTCAGATAGACTTCCCCGTGTGTATACGAATGTAGGTTGGATCCACTCACAACTACTTCAGCCGCTTGGTCCTTACAGTCTCTTTTCTATCCTTTATAAAGAAGACTCGGTGTTCCAAGAAGGCACTACTGACTTGGTGCTAGAAACAACCTAGAGGGCAAACAAACACAGGTTCCTCAATCTGTCCTGCTCAAACACCCTGAAATCCGCCACGTTGGATCCGTTCAGAGTCCTACTTCAGAGCTGTATGTGACGGCGCAACTATGGGCAGAATCGAAGCCGCTGGGGGTGTCCACACAGACTCCTCATATGTTCTTCAAGAACAGCCGCACGTGGAATAAATGGCTGGAACTGCCCGTACTAGTCAAGGACTGCCCTATATCGTCACAGGTTGCTATTACAATCTGGGACCTCTGCCCATGCCCTACAGATGGCAGTCTTGACCACGCAGTGCCATTCGGAGGCACAACCATTCCCCTTTTCGACAATGACGGTGCACTGAGAAAAGGCCGCCAGAAATGTCGCGTCCATCGCCACAAAGCCGCTGACGGCCAGACACCGTCAAGCACACCACACATCCCTCGCCCCAAACGGCGAAGGCGCAATCGTGACCCGCCTCCGCCAATCCCTGAAGAAGAAGAGCTTGAAAGGCTTGAACAGCTTTTCAAGAAGCATGAAATGAACGAAATCCCTCAAAATGACTGGCTGGACCAGCTGGTCTTCCAGTGCGTCGGCAAGAAGGCGCGAGAAGTGGAAGAAGCTGCGAGGAAGCGCTCCACTCTGCACAAGGCATCAAAACGCAAATCTGTTGCCACATCGGCACCAAATGGTACTCCCAACGGCGGCACCGGTTCCGATGACGAAAGCGAGTCCGAAGGGGAGCTTGACGATGACGAGCGTTTCACTCTTTACGTCGACTTCGCACGGTGGGATTTCCCAGTCGTCTTTGAGGACCATGAGTACCAGCCTCCGAAAATGATGAGGGAGTTCCAGTACACCTTATCCTCGTCAGCAATCGGCAATATCAAACCTCCCCCGGAAGTTAGGTACGGCCCGGGTATTGCCGCCGGCAACTCGATCGTCGACGACGAGGACTACCCTGTCATCCAGATCTTTGATCCCGAACAATTCCAAAAGGAGAATCCTTGCGAGACAAAGCATCGTAGGCTGGTACGAAGCGACAGGAATGCGTACTCGGACGCTGATCAGAAACCGAACGCCAAATTGCGAGACGAGCTCAATGAGATCCTTTCGTATGGACCGACACAAGAACTCAGCCCTCAAGAAAAGGATGTTGTTTGGACATTCCGGCGCTACCTCAGTCGTGACAAACGGGCGCTTACCAAGGTCGTTAAGGCTACCGACTGGACAAACCCAGGTGAGGTGAGACAACTGACAGAGCTGATTCCAAAATGGGCCAAAATAGACGTCGACTCGGCTCTGGAGCTACTAGGCCCCACGTACGACAGTCCTGTGGTGCGTGCCTACGCGGTAGACCGACTTCGACAAGCCGACGATGACGAGTTGCTTTTGTATCTCCTCCAGCTTGTGCAGGCTTTGAAATTTGAAAAATATGAAACCAAGCAAGAGGGTCTCCCTTCTTCCTCGTTGGCCAGGTTTCTCATTGACCGGGCCAGTAACAACTTCATTTTGGGAAATTACCTGCATTGGTTTTTGATGGTCGAGTGCGACGACAAAGGCCCTGATACCAATGCTGCAAATCGAAAGTTGTTTGCCAGAGTGGAGTATCATTTCATGCTCGAGTTGGAAAAGCGTGACCCCGACCAGCGCAAGACATTGCTACGACAAGCTGAAATGATTGCTATTTTGTCAAGGATTAGTAAAGAAATCCGGTTCAGCAGGAGCAACCGCATCTCGAAGATTGAATCTCTCAAGAAATATCTGGCAGACCCAAAGAACGAACTCGTCAAAATTGATCCGCCGATCCCGCTACCACTGGATCCGGAAGTCGAGGTCAGCGGAGTCTATCCTGAGGAAGCCAATGTATTCAAGTCATCATTATCACCGCTCCTTATACACTTCAAGGTGGCCAGCTCGCCCAACAGCTCCGCGACATCGACGCAGCCAAGGTCACAATTCCAGGGGAGGTACCCTATTATATTCAAGACAGGCGACGACCTCCGACAGGATCAACTGGTGATTCAGATCATCACCTTGATGAACAACCTCCTGCTCAAAGAAAACCTTGACCTCAAACTCACCCCGTACCGCATCCTTGCAACGTCGCCATCAGCAGGTGCCGTCCAATTCATTCCCTCCACTCCCATCTCCGCCATATCCACGAAATACAGAGGTTCTGTACTCGCATATCTGCGCGCCAATAACCCGGACAGCTCCGGGCCCTTGGGCGTTCGCAAGGAGACCATGGATACGTACATCCGATCGTGTGCTGGCTATTGCGTTATTACATACATTCTGGGTGTCGGCGATCGTCATCTGGACAACCTGCTGCTTCAACCCTCTGGGCATTTCTTCCACATCGACTTCGGCTTCATTCTCGGGCGCGACCCAAAGCCGTTTGCCCCTCTAATCAAACTGTGCAAGGAAATGGTGGAAGGACTGGGTGGAACGACGTCTCCCCAGTACGCCCAATTCAAGCAATATTGCTTTACCGCGTACACCACGCTACGAAAGTCCAGTTCTTTGGTACTGAATTTGTTCAGCCTAATGGTCCAAAGTTCGGTGCAGGATATCCGGCTGGTGGAGGAGCAATTAGGTACAGTCGGCGGTGCTGTCGGTAAAGTGAGGGAACGGTTTCACCTGGATGTGAGTGAAGAAGAGGCTGTCCGAATGCTAGATCAGGTGTTGGCTGACAGCGTCAACGCGGTCTTTGGCGTGGTGATCGATCGTCTACATGAATTTGTGCAGGGCTGGCGAGCCTAAGGTCAAGTATATCTAGAATTAATCCATAGTAGTGACCCGCCACAATTTCATGGGTACATGTATTGGGTATCTCCTTGCATTTGCACGTTAAGTCTTCCGACAAAATATACAGTAGTCAGCTTTCCGACAGATAGACAAGGCTGAGCAGACAAGGCTGTGGGGACCTAGCGTCTTCCCCGCAGAACCGCGTTACTTCAGCACCTACAATAATACACTCTTCTTCATCTTCCACGCAAACACGTTACAAGTAACGGAACAGAGAGCCATTAGTGCCACTCGTAGTAGTCAGCTTGGAGCAATTGTCCGCGGTCCGTGGGTATCATTCGTCCATATTCGACAGCTCTTTTTATGCGAAATGTCGTCGGAATCTCAACCCATCTCAGCAGAGCGGTTTGCCCTGGCCATACAGGATCTACCCGTCGAAAACTTGTACTCGAAGGCCAAAGAGATATCGAACTCGGTCTCTCACCTCGAACGTTCAAATCAGCAGTTACAGGAGTACATCGACAGCATCCGTACGGACACTACTTTACCAGAAAGTACGAGGCAAGAAGGAGACAGGGACTGCGCCGAGGCGATTCAAGAGAACAACGTTGTGATCGAGCGGCAGAAAGAGAGGATCGATCTCTTGAAGCGTGAGGTTGAAAGAAGAGGCGGAAGATGGCACGAAGCGGATGATGCCAAGGAAACAAATGGCAGTACTGTGCAAACTACCACGGAGGAGGCTGCTCCGGAAGCACGCAGAAGCACAGGAGGTACGCTCACAGATGAGGAGTTACGCAGACAAATGATGGAACGACTCGGGGAGGGAGACGACGATGAGGAGGGAATGCACCTATGATGAGTCGGAATTGAGACCTCATTGTCCTCGGCTGGAAATCACAATCAACGCCGGGCAACGATTACTAGCTGGATCTACTGGCTTCCAAATTCCAGCGGTCTCGGCCCTCACCTGTCCTTCCATCCCTGCGCGCAAGACGGCTTCACCTACTAGTACTACACCACATGAGGATCTGACATGGGCTCGTTCGGCTGCTTCTGAGACTACGAGCGGAATTTAAAATGTCGTGTACGACTTGGCGTCAGCTTCGAGTGATGGATTCATAATCTGTAAGCCTTCTTCAGGCTCCCAATACATGCACCGCCGCTCGATGGGTACTAGGACTGGGGCATGAGCCGGTTGCTTACTGACCATGTCGCTAGGGCCAACAGTCAAGACGGCGAATCTCTGCGCAGATTGGCGAAGTCCTACGAGGGCTGGACCTCTACCCAGAGTAGTTAAACCGGGAGGCCATACATCCGCCTGCTTCGATTATTAATTGAATACCCTGCCGGAAGAGCCTTCAAGGTGTGATACGAACTCTATCGGAACGAAAACATACCGAGTCACGTGCAAGGCTGAGGTGGAACGCTGACATGATCCACTGAGCGTCATAGACTTTGCGTCTCCTTTATCACGACTGGCCCTTCTTTGTCCTGCGTATTCGGGAACTATATGCTCGAGGTTTAAGATTTTCAGGCCATCCATGTTTTTCGTGGATCGGTACGACCTATGATCCGATATCCCAGCATATCCGGCCCACCCGAAGCCTCGTCTATGACCATGATGTTGGGCCATGACGTTGGGGATTCCATTCCTATGGAATCCTTTGGCTATATTATCACCATGGCGTACAGAAATTTGTGTATGGTGGTTCGGTTAATGAGTTCTGAGAATCAAATCCAGCCTAATCCCATCTTCCCCGTCTGTCTTGCCGTATCATGGCGGAACTATTTCGTGATACCGTCGCTGGACAGACTTTGCGGCTGATCACACGAAGAAGAATCTTACAGTACCCTGAAGAACGAGATCCGACGCTATGGCAGAAGTACATTAACCGCGAGAAATCAGCTAACGTTGCCACCCATGGTACTACTGCGCCGGTTTCGCCGGAGGAGCAGAAAGATGCTGAGATACGTCCCTGGAATGATGGAAATGAGCTTGCCACCCCACAAAGTTCACCTTCCTCAGGCTCATCATCAACAACACTGGAGGATGATGAACAGATTGTCAATATTGCCAGTAACCAGAAGGTCGACCCCGAGAAAGGCCGAGATGCAGATATTGTTGACTGGTATGGACCGGATGATTCAGAAAATCCACGAAACTGGGGCAGAATCAAAAAGTTTTGGGTTACGTTTGAAATCTGCCTACTCACTTTCTCGGTCTATGTCGGTTCAGCTATCTACACCGCGGGAATTCTCGACATCAGCAAAACTTTCGGTGTCAGTGAGGTCGCTGCTACTCTGGGTCTCACTCTCTTCGTTCTGGGATACGCAATAGGCCCGATGCTTTGGTCTCCAATGTCAGAGGTCCCGCAAATCGGACGTGGCCCTGTCTACATAGGGACATTGGCACTATTCGTCGTCCTTCAAGTTCCCACCGCCTTGGCGACCAATTTTGGAATGCTCTTAGCGTTCCGCTTCCTCACCGGTTTCGTGGGCTCTCCATCCCTGGCGACCGGCGGAGCTTCCATCGGAGACATGTATTCGCCGTCGAAGCGGACTTATGGCTTAGCCGTGTGGGGTGTGGGCGCGGTGTGCGGTCCGGTTCTGGGTCCACTCTTGGGCGGATTCGCTGCAGAAGCGGAAGGGTGGACGTGGACGATCTGGGAACTGATGTGGCTGTCCGGGTTCACGTTGGTTCTCCTAACCTTTCTCATGCCGGAAACCTCATCTGCCAACATTCTCTATCGACGGACCATGCGTCTCCGCAGGCTTACTGGCAATGACAAATTGATCTGCGAACCACAGCTTATTGGAGAGCAAATGAGCGGAAAGGATATTGTCATGATGATTCTTGTCCGTCCTTTCACCCTATCGTTTACTGAGCCCATGGTTTTTCTACTCAATATGTACATCGCGCTCATCTACGGCTTGCTTTACATCTGGTTCGAGAGTTTTCCGATTGTCTTCAACGGCATATACGGGTTCAGTCTCGGCATGGAAGGGCTTGCGTTCATGGGAATATTCGTCGGGGTGCTCATAACACTTCCTCCTTTTGTCTGGTACCAGATGAAGTATATCGAACCCAAATTCAACGACAAGGGAGACCTCATACCGGAGTGGCGGCTCCCACCGGCGTTTGTGGGCGCGTTCGCCATTCCCATATGCTTGTTTTGGTTCGGTTGGTCTGCAAGACCCGACATCCATTGGATCATGCCGATCATTGGGACCGCCTTCTTCAGCATTGGCGCCTTTTTGATGTTCAACAGTGTCCTCAACTATCTGGCTGACGCTTATCCGGATTATGCGGCGAGTGTTCTGGCTGGCAACGACTTGTTTCGTTCTTCAGTCGGTGCTGGCTTTCCACTTTTTGCAACGGCAATGTACAACAATCTGGGCGTCAACTGGGCCAGTTCTACGCTTGCATTTTTGTCGATTGCGTTTATTCCTATTCCATTCCTGCTGTTCAAGGTAAGTACCACCCCCGACATTTACAATTTCCAGCCGAAAACTAATCAGCTGCAGTATGGTGAGCGGTTGAGAATGCTCAGCAAATATGCTAAGAATGATTATTAGCTGGCGGCATGTTTAGTGCCACTGGCATGGTTCATGGCGAGTTCAGGGTTGATTAGCTGGGAGCATGCTGTGAAGTACATAGTAGCATGGGATGAAGTTGTGCAGGTATCGGCGTCACAGTCGTTATCTGACACTTACAACCAAATCACTTCTTGAACGTACTGCCAGTGTACCTTTGCATCTTCATAACAGTAGTAGCTCAGGTGTGCTCTCAAAGTTGCAGCGGAGAGAGTCCAGGCACTCCGCGCCGGGCGGGATTCATACCGCCGCGGTTTGTAGTGTTACGTTGTAAGCGGCCCGGCAGCGATGATGTCATTCTCCGCTCCGCGGTTCGTGTCGTCAGGGTCCACGGGAGCTTAACCCAACCTGGAACGTCAACAGGCACCCCCAAGATACATCTAGTCCATCATCCGCGTGATCATCATCGTCGTTACTCTTGTCTCAGTAGTACATACAGTACACCTGCGCACCTGGAGTCCCGACAGGCAATGGCGTGCTCGTCAGAATGACCTTCGCGACATAATATCAGTGTAGCAGCGTCGCGGACAATTGGGACACAGCCCGATTCCTCTCCCTCCGCCGCCCTTGAGTCAACCATTGAATTGGCGAAGTTCGCCTGGCTGCCAGTGGCTGGCTCAATGGACGATCCCCGATGCGAAGAAATCGCGCGCGTCAGCTACACCAACTTCGGCCTCAGTCTATTCATCCTCGTTGGCATTCTAGTATCCTACCTTCCCCAACACATCCGAATCATTCGCCTACGCTCGTCATTCGGGCTGTCGCCATGGTTTGTCCTACTGGGCACGACGAGCGGCACATGCGCCTTTGCAAACATATTGGTGCTGCCGAAAAGCCGCGCGGACATTGCGTGCTGTCGCGTCGTTGACGAGTTTGCATGTCTGGCTGGTCTGTTGGGAGTGGCGCAGGTCGGGGTCCAATGGAGTTGTTTTACTGTCATGTAAGTTGCGGACGGAAATAGCGCGCAAGCGCTATTTTTGGCCCTGAGAAGGATCAACCCATCCATATGCTGACCGCCTTTGGTACCAATCCAGTCTCTTACTCTTCCTCATCTTCTTCCCACGACCCAATAATCCCCATCCGAATCGCGATCTCGATCATCTCGATGCTGCTACCACCAGCGCAAACCTCGTACCAAATCACGACGTCTACGAATACAACGACGAGACGGAATCGCTCAAGGCAGCAGAAGAAGAACTCGCCCCATCATACCGCACCGCATTGGCCGTAACGGGCATTTCGGTGGTGCACGCAGTGATCATTGCAATTCTTAGTTTCTACTTCGTTTACATGCGTCCGACGCATGCGCAAGGATGGGCGAACTTCTTGGGCATTTTCTCCACGGTGCTCGCGTCGATCCAGTATTTCCCTCAGATCTACACGACCTTCATGCTCAAAAGAGTTGGCAGTCTGAGTATCCCCATGATGTGTATCCAGACACCAGGCAGTTTTGTCTGGGCGGCCAGCCTGGCCGCGCGGCTGGGGAGCGAGGGTTGGAGCGCGTGGGGGGTCTATGTTGTCACGGGCTGTCTGCAGGGCACGTTGCTGGTCATGGGGATTTATTTCGAGATTATGCATCGGAGGAGAGAGAGGAATGAATTGCAGGCTAGAATGGCCCAGGCCAACAGTAGTACGGAGAGTCAGGCGGAATTATTGGAGGATGATCTTGCGGATGAAACTGGTGGTCAACCTCCTCCATACCCTCCTCCGTCGGAGGAGACTCCGCTGTTGGCAGTAGAGGACTGATGAGTCCAAAACAATCGATGCACAATGTGATGATATACTGTATTTCTCCTCGTTTGGCTGTTCGGTCATACTGTACAAAAAGCACGCACGCTCGTGTTCTTGTTCTTCATTCACCGTTTTATCAGACGGGTGTTCCATTCGTCAGGTCGTAACAGCGACCAAGACATGATGGCGGGTGCAAACGTACAACGGAAGTCCTTCAAGTCATACTCGGTACAGGCGTCGGCACGGACGGCGGCTCCTCAGGAGCATGATGCTTGCCGTCCGCCATCGCCGTCATCTCCTCGAGGGCTTTATCGGTGGTAGCACTGGCAGCAGCAGCAGCGGTGGCTTGGTTGTGGGCACTCTCAGCCGCGGCGTCGAACTCAATACCATATTTTGCGAAATCAAAGTCCTCGAGCGTGGTCAACAACTCGGCCCAGCCGTCGCCAATCTCCCCGACTTGGCCGGGACTTCCAGCAATAGGAATGCCTTCGGCATGATCTAAATCGTCTTCTTTGTGTTCTCCCGTCCGGCCAGCAAGCACTTCCTCTTCTCTGCCTTTGTAGACTTCCAGCAACTGCGGGTGCGGACACCAGACGACTCTCATGCCAGCTCTTCGACCCGCCTCGACACCAGGTACACTATCCTCAAAGACCAGACATTCATGCGGTTCGATCGGTCTAATTTGTTCACCGTTCTCGGAGTTCTGGTTCTGCGCCATGACCGTGTCGTTGATGGCTTGGAGTGCTAATAAATAAATGTCTGGCAACGGCTTGCCTCGCCCAGTGGGTATTCGAGGGTCGTCGCCTAGAATCTTGTGAGTGTCTGGGAAAACGTCAAACAAGTGTCGCAGCTTGACGGTTTTGATCTCGTAGTTGCGCGAATGGGAGCTGGTCGCTAGGGCCAGGTGGACTTTTTCTCTTTGTTGCTGTTGTTCGGATTTTGAGTTGTTGTCGGATTTCACATATGTATTTTGTAGTCGCCGCAACAGGTCCTCTACCCCCGGAAGCGGCTTGCAGTGCTGAAAGGCCTCGGCCTGCAACTCGACCAGCCGTTGCATGAACTGTTCGCGTGAAATCGGTAGTTGTGCCCACTCGTGGAAGATTTTGCCGGCTGCTGGGCCCGGGCGGCCTTGCAGTTGCGCCTTGATGTGCCATGGTAATGGGGGTCGGTTGTTCTCGCGCAGAATCGTGTTGGTTACTTCGGTGTATTTGTCTTCCGAGTCGATGAGGAGGCCGTCCATGTCGAATATGCATGCTCGTATGGGAGGGAATCTGTGTTGCCCAGTCATTGTTGGTTAGCGGCCTGGTCTGCAATATAACACAGCAAGGGTATGTGAATAAAGCTAAGGACGGTGCAACACTGCACCGCAAGGGAAGAGGTGGAATAAACGTACTCTCGCCGCTGCGTTGGAAGGGGATTGGAGGAGCCCATCTTGAATGTGCTCAGTGAGGGTCGGACTCCGGTATGGAAGTAATTGTGGGCGACTGCGACGGACCCGAAGCAACTCTCGAGCTACCAGTCTATCTGCGGTAGACGCAGTATTGAGATTTTCAAGTCGCAGGTGTCGGGTTGAGGTATGGAAATCTGAAAATCAGATTGTACTGTACAACTTGGTATAATGAGGGGCACGAAAGTTGTAGTACTGTACTTTTGTACCTTGCAGGATTTACCGATGGGGATTCCCTGCCATGGCGCCCTGTTACTGGTGCAGTGCTTCCGACGTCAAACGGTGGTAATTCCCGCCAACCCAAATCTTGGATTTTGAGTTATTGCACAGATTAGCGAATGGCGAGGCCCCTGACTGGGTATGACGACTCTAATCTCGGGGTAAAGAGCACTAACTTTTGAAGAAGGAAAGGCAGCAGTTGCTTTGATTACTGTAACACCAACATGATTCTCTATGTTCGCAAGGCTGTGTGACCCTTGCAATATATCTATCAATTTAGCTTTTAATCCAAGGCCAAAACCAACTTCGGTCATGCCGTGCATGCGGTGCGGAGCATCGTTCAGGGAGGTCGTCCTCCCCATAACATTGATGCTCGACCGCTCAATCCACACGGAGGCCGGCCTCCTTGAGCAGTGGTAGGATCTTCTTCGCAAAGTGATCAAAGTCGACCTTCCAGTCATAGAAACCCAGCTGCACGCCATCAATGCCGACCTTGTGCAGAGCGGCCAGCTGGTCAACGACCTGTTCAGGAGAGCCAATGACCTCGACATTGCCCCCGAGTTTGAATCCTTGCTTACTGGGATCACCTTTCCTAGCGCGCCACGCGTGGGCGTCGCTGTCATATTTTAAAAATCCAGCGGCTGATTTCTCATCCGACGTGTTGTTCTTCATGCCGCCGACGATGGCGTTCAGGTACTCCTCGGTCTCTTCTGGAGTGTCGCGGGAGACGACGACCGGGTTGATCAGAACCTTGACCTTGCGACCCAAAGCCTTTGCGGCGTCTTTGATGCTGGCAATATGGTCCGGCAGAGATTCAAGGGCATCTTTGATATTGACTCCACCTGGCGATGTGATGAAGACCAGGTCGGAGTAACGAGCCGCAAAATCAATGCCCGCCGCAGAGCCTGTGGCGTTGACGAGGACTGGACGGCCATAGATGGGTTTGGGGGTGATCCACGCATTCTCGAGTTTCCAAGGAGACACTTTACCTTCGTACGTGAGGTTCTCCGTCTCCGCCCACAGGCTGTTGACCACGTCGAACAGCTCCCCAGCCATTTCGTACCGCTTGTCGTGCTCAATGCGGTTCCAGCCAAACATCTGATGCTCAATGGCCCGATGGCCCGTCACAATGTTGATGCCCCATCGTCCTTTGGAGATATGGTCCAATGTCGCGCCATACTTGGCAATATGCAAGGGATGCAAGGGTCCGTACAACACGTGGATGGTCGATATGAGCATGATATTCTTCGTTACCGGCGCCATGGCGCCCAGTGCGATGAATGCGTCCAACGACGCCTCGCCATCGTATCCTCCTTTGGGCAGCCATTGCGTCCGACTAAATGCCAGCTCAAACCCCAGATCATCCGCCTTGCGGACAATGTCGAGGTTGTAGTCGAACGTCCAACTGTTGCTGGTTGGGTAGTCGGAAATATGTCGGTCCTGCAGGTCCAAAAAGACTCCCAGCATCAGCGGTTGCCGCGCTGCCTTGCTGAGAGGACTGTCTTCGAAGTCCCATTGTCCTTTGAGCTCCGGGCCGCCTGGCCTTACTGAATGAGTTGCCATGTTTCACCACGTGAGAGAAAGGGGCCAGGGACTGTACGTCTGAACCTGCTACAAACAAACCTATCTGTACGTACCCTATCCTTTTATCATAATTCCACTTGTTTTTACTCTGGGAAGCATGGCCGGGGGTTGGCAACAGCACGCGCGCCAGATCTGTCAACGGTATCTGCTGAAGGGATATGATTGGTGTGGGGCAGATGGCGTGCGAATGGATGCGGATGGCGACAATGTGTACACCATGTATATCATGCCGAGATACTGTACAATGGTACAGTAACAAGTAGTAGCTCTCGAGGTCTCTCAACCTGGGAGCTGCCCTCGCTAAGGAAATGCCTGCCATCCCTGTATATGAATAAGATGTTCCAATTGGTGGTGGTCAGTTGGTTTCACACTTTCCCCTCAGACTTCAATCATTGTATGAAGTCTCAAAGCATTTCCTTCCAGTACAGATAGTACGCTGTACGTTTCATGGCCTGACCACCACACTGCGGGACGGGCCAGCTCCTTTTGATTGGTGGTGTGGATGTGTTGTGAATCCATTGTACAGTTGTACTGCCGCCGACGCGTAAGAGTTGTCGTGGTACCACGTAGTAGTATCCCTACTGATGGTATCCGCAGTCCGTAATGAAGACTTTATGGTATGACTTACCGTCTATCACCAAGCAGAGCAATTCTTTCAATGCGGTGATATCAGCTTGTAGACTTTACTCGCTAGATCGTGGTCGGTTGCAGACACGGAAGAATGTTCAAGGGTCAACAACACCGTGATTGAACCACTGAGTATGGGTTCGAAGAGAAACTGCTGCAGACTGAAGAATATACAAAGAACCATGAAAGGGCGCCATCTTTGATTGCAGTCCTATATCACAAAGAGATGGACAACTTGAAGGTGTCGACTGGAATCGGGCCTGTTCCATTTTGCAATCTCTGGCCTGAGAGAAAATATTCTGCCAGACGTATTCAATTTATAGGTGGCTGATGACTTCACGTGGGTACAGGGTCGTGTACGCAGCAAGAGAGCAATTCTGGTCAGACAGAACCGTTCTCGTGGGTCACTACATTGCACAACTTATGTCCAGTGCCTCCAATGCTTCTACGATAGTGCCACTACGCATGTCTTTCAAAGCCTGATAGTATACGGGTTTCCCGGCCTCCAGACCATGTCGTTCAGTATCAAAGAATCCGGGCCGAAAATACGTCCCGAACGTGTAAAGCCAGCGGCCAGCGCACCAGATTCAGAACCCACAAACACGACTCCGCTCCCACCATCATGGTCGCAATCACGCCGGTCCTCGAGCTCGTCGACAGCCTCGTTCCACTCGGCCCGGTTCCCACCCGACGAGGAGAGCCAGATGGTCGCCTCGTCACACGAGCTCAAAGCCCAAGCCAACAAACAGTTCACAGGGCAGGACTACTCGTCCGCCATTAGCACTTATGGCCGGGCGTTGGCAGAGTTGCCCAACTATCTCGACTATGAAATGGCCGTGCTGCACAGTAACATTGCCGCATGCCATCTAAAGCTGGAACAGTGGAAGGAAGCGGTGGAAAGTTGTGAGAAAGGACTGGAAGGCTTGGAGAGGGAACTGCCCACGAAACCAAAGGAAAAGGCGAAATCGAAGTCGAAGAAGGATGCGAGCGCAAAGACAAGAGCAAGAACAAAGAGCACATCAGACTCGGATTCTGATTCCGAGTCTGAGCAAGAATCCACCTCTCGGAATGGTGTATCTGCTGCACAAGGGAAACCCTCGGTATCAGATCAAGACGACACTGTAGTGGAACTACCGTCCGACGCCGATGAGACCGCCACGCTTGCTGCACTGGAGTCACTCAAGATCTCCGATGAACGCAAAGCCGACATCCATCGGATCCGCACGAAACTGCTGCTCCGTCGTGCTCGGGCGCGCTCACTCCTCGAGCCGCAGAATTGGACGAATCTGTCCGGCGCGCTGGAGGACTACAAAACCCTCTCGGCTCCAGAGTACTTCAGCACACTGCCGGTGTCGGATCAAAAGACCATTCGGCAGGCGTTGGTGTCGTTGCCGGCCCGCGTCAACGAGGCCAAGGAGAAAGAAGTCAGCGAAATGATGGGCAAGCTAAAGGAGTTGGGGAATGGCATTTTGAAGCCATTTGGCTTGAGTACGGAAAACTTCAAGGTCGTCCAGGGTGAAGGGGGCGGGTATAGTCTCAGCTTTGATGGTGGCGCGGGGAAGAAGTAGATCCTGTTGCTGCCGCTGGACATCATTTTGTTCTCGGACAGATGAACTGGGGCTCTGACATGCTCGCATCTTCAGGAAGAGGTCCAACTGATTTGGCTCGTCACAAGAATTGAATGGTACGAAGTTTCAGAGATCTGTTAGATATGACGGATGTCTTGATGAATGTATAATCGTCGCCATTGTCACTGGCTGTGCTTGTCCCTTCAGTTCTTTGTGTCCTCGCCCATGTCTTGTCCGTTTTTGATTATTTTCTGTGTCGTCTGTATCTTGCCCACTTTATCCTCGTCCTTTTCTTACTTGTCCTGCTGTTTGTCCCTGCTCTGTTATCACCCCTGTTCTTCCTTTTGTTCTGTTCCCTGTGTCATGATTTCCTTTTCCTTTCTCTTGCTCTATCCCCCTTGTTTGCCGTGCATTCAAGCCGCGAGTTGTTGTCGGTACCAGAGTTGAGGTAGTAGGAAAGGTACGGTGTGGACGTCGCCAGGAGGATAAGGAGGAGCCACTGAGAAATGTTCCAATCGTTTCGGGATGAATTGGAACATCAATTTCTGGGACACGCGGATAACAGGCGCGACAGGGATAAGGGCAATAACAGGCTGCCGACATAGTTCACGGTAGTGTAGATGCCTAGATAGATCCTATCTCGTTACAGGGTTCAAAGGTAGAAAAGAACTTGGATCGAGTCTGACTCCAAGCAAGTTTTGTTAATGGGCTTCTTCCTGCGGGCGCACTGCATCTACAAAGTCGCCTGGGCTGAGGAACATTTCACTTCGATGTATCTTTCCAGCAGTGTCGAGGGGAAGTAAGGGGAATTTTCAAGCTTACCTGTTAGCTGTTCATCCGCAGCAAGTCGATACGGCTGGGTCAATGCCTACAAGCACGAAAAACTGTACCAGAAGATAGAAAAGAAGCAAGCAGTCATCATGTGTTTCAAACATCCATTATGGCAGGCTGCAGCTCGAGTCCTATCACTGACTCCCTTGAGCTAATTCTGGGGCTGGGATCTCACAATTCCAATTTCCTCCTAGACCAGAAACTCCAAGCCAAAACCCAGTTCCCATGTCGTAACCAAAGCCCATCGCTGATTCCGTGGTTCTGTCTACCACTTTTGCCGGAACTCCATGCCGATGTCAATGATAATGTCCAAACGCCTGACCATAACCGTAACCAACCAAACCAAACCGATTCGTAGTGTCGAATAAAGAAGAAAAAAAGAGCAACCGATCGCCGTGGGGGTATCATGAAGCCGACAAACATGCTGATTCTGGGTATCAAGAGGTCGTAATAATCGTAACAATGCTGATGCTGGTGTCAAGCAAGAGTCGTATGCATAATCCGTTGTTGGATTCGACTTTCTGGTGCTGTGTGCCCACGGAGAAAAATGTGCTGTGTGCCGAAGGAGAGAAGAAAAGCAAAGAGGCAGAGGATGCCGTGCCATCGAGCCTTTAGTTGGCCTCGTGGTCGCTGGAGTTTGCCGACTGAGTTGAGCCCGTCAGAGCGAGGTGACTGGGCTGGGGAGAGGCTGCATATGGTTGTTGTCTACCATATGCGCCCTGGCCATAGGCCTGCTGGATTGGCGGCTGATTGGCCCATGGTGCAGGTTCGACTGGCTGGTAGTTCAGGTTTGGGTCCATCAGGGACTCCGAACCTCCGAACTGCTCAGCATACGACGCGCCTCCGTGGTCTTGGATGGCGGAGTGCGTCGCGGGGCGTCTAGAGGCGGCCCCCAGTCCTTGTCGGGCATCTTGCTGCTCTGGCCGGCGGAATCGAGGCTGCTGGGTCGGGGTGACAGGCATGTTGGCATTGTATGGCGGATAGGAGTTGTACGTCGCTTGCTGTTGTCCAGGAGCTGCGAACGGCCCACCATATGGCATCGCCTGGTAGCCGCCGCCAGCGAAAAATGCTGGCATGTTGTCATTGCCACCGTATGCAGACCGAGTCTGCATCGGATAGGAGGCCCTGCTTGGATCTGCAGGACCAGACAACGAAGACGGCACCGGGTATCCAGTCGCTGGAGGATATTGGGAGAGAATTGGTTGCTGCAGCTGCTGCTGGTGCTGCTGCTGGTGTCCTTGACCGGCCAGGTTGTTGTCTACCTGTGCCGCCGTGGCAACCTCTCTCTTGAGGCGTTTTGCCTCCTTTTCATCCTCCTTGGCAGCCTCTCTGCCCCTCTTCAACGCTTCCGCCTTTTTCAGGTTCAATGCCCGGTTCGACGCAACTCTTTTCGAGCTGCGGAGCGGGTCATCGACCAACTTGACGCGGAAGGGGACGTCGAAGAGGTGCTTGCAGATCGACTTGGACTCCGCCAACGCCTGGACCAAATGGTCGAAGCGGTCGGCGAAAGTCCAGTCGTCTGTTTTGCCCTTGGCCTTTCCTGGCTCGTAGGCTTCGGTGAGGTGCACAGGCGTCTTTGCCCGTCGAATGCAGTCTTCCAACAACTCCCAGCACACAGCCTCCACCAGGGCGTTGTCATGTTCTTCGTTCACGAACTTCTCCTTGATCTTGTCGCCTTCCCCACTGTCTCGAGGAACAGACTTGAACGCGCGAAACAAGACGTTCACGTGGGCACGCTTCTGGTCCGCGGTCTGAGGGATCGTCCCGTCCTGTTGCGCCGCGGACGGCAACAGGACCTCACGGTACTTGCGTGCCGTGAGCTCGTCGTTGAAGATTGATGTCCGGCCAGAATCCTGACCGGCCATCAACCCCGCCGACGAGGGGAGATCCTCAGCTCTGTCGTTGACACAGCCGGCAACGCCGCGCTGGTCCAGAGCGACCTGCTGGACGACGGCAAGAACGTTCCTCGCTTGTTGAAGAGCTGCCTCCTTACGGAAGAGCTCTGGGCAGCTGTCTGGGTTGTGTTGACTTGCCATTGCTGCTGTTGATTGTGTTAAAGGAGGTTTGAGGAAGTAGAGGATGAGAGGAGAGAAGAAGAGAAGGTATGAAGAGAAGAGAAGAGGTGATGAAGACAAGAGAAGTTCGTACCAGAGGAAGAAGACTTGAAGTTGTCTGGTGACGAAGAAAGATCGAGGTCTCAGAGTGAAATCGAGACCTAAGTACCCTGAGTCTCGCCAAGCGCGCAGGTATTTTTTTATATATTAGTGTGCAATGTGAAGTAGTTGTGCCGAATGCAAAGTGAAGGCTGTCGCAGTGTCGCTGTGCCGTAAACACTGCCTCACTGCTTCACTCACTGCTGCACTCACATGTGAATAGCGGCACAATGGGCGACTGTCGCAGTCAACGAAGACTTCACTTGCTCCATTGTGACCGCTCACTCCTCAAGTGACAAGATCCGGCTTCACGTGTATTCGGTCATGTGTGAAGCGCCCTCAGGTCCCGAAGCTGGCGATTGAGACAGGCCGAAGTTGTTCCAGGATTGTACCGCTCGATCCATGCGGCGCTGTTGGCCTGGCCGTCCGGTTCCGTGTCGTGCGAGCTGCTGTTGCCAATTGGACCTTCCTTGCTTGGTACAGATCAAATGCTTGCATTCAGTACACGCCTCCTGCTGGAGGATAAACAGTTGAGACTTCGTCCAAATGTACAAACGGCGCCGCGGGGCCTGGCATCGTGGCACGATGACTGCGGTCCACGATCCGCAAGTGCAAAGACCCTACCTGGTCCATCGACAAGCCTGAGGTCCCACCTGTTGCTGGCAAGCAACGAAAAGATAAGCCTTTCCCACTTACTGTTACTTTTCCCAGAGGGTGCAGGGCTATTTCTCGAAGCTCGGTCTGAGTTTGCGACGCGTCATCGAGATTCCAACTTCAGTCGGCGAAAGATGATAAATCGCTGCCATCAAGGCCTCAAGGTCTTTTGGGACCTTGAGGCCTTGATAAATGCTTGCATGTGGCTTCGCCGATGCTGTCTCGATGTTGTTGAGTTGAGAACGAGTTGGGTAACGATAAGAGAGGGAGAAGAAAGATTCGAGGATGGTCGTGGATTTTAAAGCAGAGATTTCACAGACTTTCCCCTCGTTGGGCCGTCGACTAAGCGGGAATCGGGGTAGAAGGTGCTAGTGACCTGTTTGGGCGTTGAATCCAGGACAAGAGAAGACGAGGGAAATACGGCTTACACCATTCACCAGCACGGTAAGTTGGAATGCACACGTTGTGTCTTAACATTGTCAGCCACATTGTCAGCCCCTTGGAAGACATGGCATTGTCCGGGACCGCGAACGGTCCACGGCGAGAGGATGGCCCAACAACAGACAGACGCAAAAGGAGGCAAGAGGATCTGCAAATGGATGCCTGTGACACCAGGCATTGCCGACAGCAGAGCACCCAAAAAAAAAGCACGGAGCATTGGCGCGAGGGGCCAGGGGTCCGGGGCTCAAATCTTCTATGGAGCAGAAAACAGGCAAGCAAGGGATTCAAGGGAGTGAACTTGGGGAAGGAAGCAGATTGATTGACTTGCTTGCTGATTGAGGTTTGGCATTCAACCGCCAGGCCACCGCCCTCACACTACCGGATTCACACTCGGTAACATTGCAGAATTCAAGAGAACTGATGCGTAAACATGAATAGCAAGGTCAAGTTCTCCAGATTCCCTCTACAAGACATGGGACGACGTTGAAGTAGAGCCAACCAATGTTTGTAGCGCTAGACTGAATGAGGTATGGTGTCAGCACCCAATCCACCCTAGACACTCTTACTAAGCAGTGTTCTACGTTCAGGCACGAGGCTGTCCTTACAGTGAGCTAGAGACATTATGATCCGAACATGGCGGACAGCAGAATTAATCATTTCCATCATTGGAAACACGGGGCTTATAGCTAGTCGTGAATTGTACTCCGGACACAAAGCAAACTTCTGCAGCTTGACCTCCTAACTTCTGTCCTAGGGATGCACTTTCATTTCACAACTCCCAGATCTTCAAGCTATTGTCATGAACTTGTGCTGCGACCTTGTTTTCATCAGAGTCAAAGTCAAAATGGCGTTGACCGGAAGAAGTGGCAATAACACCGCCGCTAGGATGGACGACTGTCCCTGATACTGCATCTTCGCACAAATCAGTCAGATTTCCCACCCAAGTTGTGTCCATATTCTTACCGTCGTGTGCTTTGAACTCGAAAGTCGGTGCAACAGCACCTTCGCTCAGCTGGGCATCCTTCCACATTCTTACAGCACCATCGAGGCCCCCTGCCCAAACCTCAATGGTGCCCGAAGCGTCCGGGCTTGCCAGATCAACCCCTAACCTTTGATTCGTTTGAGCCTTTCGCCCTTCCACCCATGCCAGCAGTTGCCCAGTCTTGCGAATATCGTAAATGATAACTCCATCACTTTTCCTCTCAGCGATGTGCAAATACCTACCACAACGGCTCCACGCCACTTGCGTGATACCACCACCACCAATATGACTGTCGGCATCCGTGCCTCTAACGGAGAAGATGCCGATGCACTCGCCTTGGCCCATAGCATCGTACAACCCAATATGGCGGCTATACGTGCCGGCGGCGAGCACTCCTGTGGTAGCATCAACCGCCAGAGCGGACACAATCCCCCTCATACTCATGACGGCGTCGTAACTTGTTGCATTCCCGGTCTTGGGACCAGTCGGGATCGATGACACAGGCTCTTGCCCAGGCCGCGAGACATCAAAAACCGAGATCAGCGATTCCGACCCAGCAATGAAACGATCACCCTGAGGGCTAAACACCAGCGAATGCGGGCTAATAAAAGCTTCTGTCATGGGATTGATGAGTGGATAAGACGCTCCCAACTGACCCGTAAGGGCCGAGTGCAACCGTATCGGATGGTCTCTCATTGACGACAGGACGAGGGTGGTGGCAGGGTCTCCCAGATTAAAGAACGGATATCCTACCACGGCGTTCACCGGGTCACTTGATTGAATCGTGCAGTATGGTGCAAGAGTATGTGGGTTTGCAGCCTCTTCCAGGAGGTCTGGAGGACTGTCACCATGTCAGCGAGGGTCCAATGTAAACAAGCACAAGTCCTTACACAATATAGGTCCTGATTGAGTGATCAGAAGGACTGGCTAGCAGACTTGTCCCATCGGCGCTCCTAACACTCGCATTAGCTTCTGCTCGAAGGCGCTTTTTCCAGTCGTAATCACATACCATTGCACGCTTCTAAAGAAAATTTCCGAGGCTATGGGCTGTCGCCCAGGTGCCTCGTCTAACTGTTCGACATTCGAGAGTGTTGATGATCGTGCCACACACTTAGGCTGGAACATGTTTCTTGAGAGGGCTCGAGTTTTTCACATTCCATTCTTGATGTTGAGTATCACGCTGCCTACTCGACAACGAGTTCAGCGCTCAGCTCAACCAAGACCAAGATGACCGGACGGATTCCCACATTGCTCCTCCGTGCCGAACACTCCTGTGGCTGCCGAGAGATTGATCCATATCGCCAGACCAAACTCCGGTCGAACCGTGAGCGGTCAACTGCGCTTGTAGTGAAATAGGCCGCCGTACTGAATAGTACGGCGATACTTTAGTGAATAAACGCATTATCACGGAGCGCGTTGCATCTGTTGAATACTGGTACAACAATTCCTCGAACCTCCATTCATGAACTGCTGAGCGCCCTATCTTCCTACCGCAGTATCACATAGCACGAGGTCGACAGCATGTCTTTCAATTTCGGCACCTCTACTAACAAACCGACGCTCAACCTCGGGCTCAGCACAACCACGCCCGCACCCACGAATACAGGATCTTCTTTGTTGTGAGTTCTCCAATGCTTCCTTCTGGGTTTATCGTGTGCTGGCAGAGACGCGCCGTTGGGTAGCGCGCCCCACAACTCCTGCTCATGGAAGCGCATACTCTCTTATTCCAGTATTCCGCTGCTAACTGTCTCGTTCGTATAGCGGCGGCCAAAACACCAACCAGCCAGCGACATCCACCACCACCAACCCAGTAGCCGGAGCGTCCTCCCAGGCCGCGATAGACATCAACCACCTGCGATCTACGACGAAATTCGACCAGCTGACGCCCGACTTACAAAAAGAGATTGAAAATGTCGACACCATGATCTTCAACCAGATCAGACTGGCCTCAGAGGTAGCCGACCTAATTCCCACCGTCATAGCAGCAGGAGAAACACTACCGCACAGCGTGGACTTTGTCAGCCAGAAACTGGAAGAAGTGGAGACGGGACTAGGGAACGACGCGGAAGCGATCGTGGCAGTCAAAGATGGGGAGCTGAAGAAAGGAGAACTGGAAGCCAAATGCGTTTTCCGCGCCGTCGATCGGTTGAAAATGCCCCGACAATACCAAGTCATAAGCCATACGCAGCCCGAGAACCTGGCCGGCAGTGGGATCTATGGCGGAGCCGGACTTAGTGGATGGTGGAACAACCCGCAGACGTTGAAGGGCAGCGTTCGCGGAACAACTGCCCAAGGACATACCATCCAGCTTCCGGGCGAAGACACAGAAGACATCCAAGGTCCCAAGAGCTTGATTGAACTGTTCAACACTCGGGCCGACGAAATGGCAGAGAACATTCAGAGCGCACGCCAATTGTTGGGTGACATTGAAGAATTCGTCCAGGGATTGGAAGGAAAAGTCATTGTGAAAGAGCGGGAGCTGCACGAACGCCTGAGCTATGGCGATCGGAAAGAGAACGGCATGAGCGAAAAAGATCACCAGATCCAGTTGCTGAGATATGTCTTTGGCGAAGTCCAGAGAAGTCTCTACGATGTGGCCGACAAGGTGGGCGCCACGAGGGACGAGGTTGCACAGTTGACATTCGGAAGATGAAGAAGGGCGACTGTTCAAATTCAGGTTGTGGGATTACAAAATTATGACACTCTACGTGGGCGACAAACCGCTTTGGTCTGAGTAATGTCCGGAGGGCCATGTTGTTTGTTCTCCATTACTTCCGGCGCAATCGAAATACTGCGAGCTCAGGCCAGGACCGCACATTGTCGGCCGGGATCTTCAAGAGGATCTCTCACGGAGGAGACACAGCTTAACTTCACGCTGCTTCGGGAATCAGTTCCGCCTGGATTTTCAAACTGTGAAGAGTTGAGTCAGCGTGCCAGCGTGGCTGGGATGATTGTACCAGTCAGGCCCCTCAGTGTGTAATGATGAACAGCTCAAGCCGTCAATCAGGGCGTTGTGCCAGCCATGTGGGATGAGCCGTCACTGCCAGAATTGCGCGGCGTCAAGGACGTCCACTCGCCTGATCACTCTGAAGATTGGCCAGCGAAGACATTCTGTAATGTCAAGGAAGTCGATGTCGTCTTGAATGTGCTACGATTGGTATGATCATGATGGATCTAATGGGCTCTCCCGTCACCAGCTTTGTTGGAGACGGATCTTTGATGTGTTTTATCTAGGTACTCAAACATCTTTGAAGGGTACCGGACTCGAAAAATGCATTCAGCAAGGGCAAGTTGATAATCTCACCTCCAGTTCTGTCTCTCCCTTTATTGAGGGCTGAATTGCCTTCACGACTTGGTTGTTCCGAAAAGCCACAATTCCAACAACAATCAGCTGCGCATTACAGCGAGCGGTGCGACACATGTCCAGGGCTACATGGTAGTTCTTCTGGGCCGGCAAAGGCAATGTAAGGATAAAGCAACACTGGCCTTTTAATGCACTCCGTCCGGCAAGGATGGGGAGAGGAAGCAAGTCTACTAGTACCAATACTAATCAACGACGACAACCAAGGCTCAATCGATTTAAAGAGTGCTCTCCACTAGGCGGTGATGAAGTGTTAGATGCTAAGTAGCATTCGTCTGTAAAATTGCAGTGGTAGACTCGATACTATACTTTGTTTTGGTCCTCTGGAGCTGTCCAGATCGTTTCTCTCTCTGCTCATAATGATACATATCCACTCCCACAACGCGTTGCATGGTCCATGTTGGAATCCTTTCAATCATCTGCTTCACCTCCGACCACGTCCATTTTCTGATTCAGTTCAGTTCTTCTTCCCCGCTACATCTCCCGTACCTCCCTTCCCCGCCCCTCCCGAAGCCGCATCTTTCTTCTTCAAAATCTCCGCCTCTTCATCCTGAATCTCCTTATCGATCTGGGCGCCACGCGACGGTTCATTCCCATGCTGTCTGGCAGGCAAAGTAGGGTCGATTTCGTTGGCTTTCTTTTCATGCACGCTTCCCGAAGTCTCGTTTTGCGGGCCTGATGCGGCTAGACGGTTGGCGATGCTGCGTTGGTCCTCTAGACATGACATGTTAGTAACATACCCCGGGTCGCGTGACACCATCACAAAGCACATCCCCAGGGTATATGCTTACTTGAATCATTGTTGTTATGAGAATGCGGTTTGCCCTCGTTATACGGGTGTGCCTGGTTCTCTGGCTTTTGAGAGTCAGGAGGCACGCGTTGGTCGCCTGCTTCGTAGATTTGGGGCCCGCCGACGTTGGATTGGGATGTGGTGGACATGGTTGTGACTGGGTAGTCAAGTGTGTTTGGTTTCGTTTGTCGAATCAAGATAAACAGGGTCTCAATATTTTCTTGTTGAGTGTTATGTGGTAAGAAGATAAGAAAGGAGAGAACGGGAAAATATAGTAAGAAATATCTCACTCCCTTGCGCCGTAACTTTGTACCATTGCTACTACTATGATGTTGGGTTTGCAGGCGACATGACATCATGGCGGGTGCAGTGGGCCGGTGAAGTCATAGTAAAAGAGGTATCCATAAGCCTGAGGTACAATACGACATACACTGGCAGTGCACAACACAGACGGGCTTAGAGTTGTATGGAACCTTTTGAAGCCAACAGACTCAAGAGGCTCCTGAAGGCTGTACGTTTCTAATGATAAATTCCTGCAGCGGCGTGGCGGTGTGGCTGGAGTGCCGCTGACTTAGCTACTGTACTTTGTACAACGCACATTAAGCCTCGCCCCAGTATACACGGGCAGTCAAGACACACTGGCACTACAATGTTGTAGGTACCTACCAACCTAGGTACTCCGATAATATATGATGGTTGTATATCTGTCGTATGTTTTGTGTACTCGTATATATCTTGTTATCCTGCAGGTCGACAATACTGCTCAGCAGAGCTTCCTGCTTCGTCGCTCTGCAGTTCAATCCTTTTGGTATAATGTACAGTCCAACCCACTACCACTTACCAAACAGTCATCAGCGGCCAGTGGAATCCGAACTTCGACTCTGCTCTGTCCTCTGCAACTCCTTCTTGACCAAGTTCACACATTCATCCATAACGTCGCTGCCGACTCTCCAGCTTCGGAGCACCACTCCGCGCTGGCGCATGATTTCCTCGGACCGCGCCCATCGGCGCTTCCATATTTCCAATTTCTTGTCGTACGATGCGCCAGGATAGCCAGCATCTCCGCCAGCGGCAGGGTCTCCTCCAGTGGCACCCGTTGCCCAGCGGGCGGCTGCGGCAGGATACGACGACAGGCCTCGCCGAGGCGGAATCGGCGGGGCCGGTCGATTGTCGCTGCTGATGCCCGTTTGATCGGCCGGTCGGGATGGCGAGGACGATCGGATCGCAGGTAATGCATTGTACGCCGATGCTATCTGGCGCCGGGCTGATGCAACGTAGCCGTCGTCAGTCCGGGAGTGTGAACTTGAGACTGTGCTCGTGGATGTGTTCGTCCGTGAAACTGGCGGCGGCGGGGCCGTCGGATTGTCATTAGACGGCGGTTGCCCCTGATTCTGGCGTGTCGACGAGAATGGAGCTCGAGGAGGCGGCGGCACCGGAGGAGTAGAAGTTGTGTCTGTAGTCTTTTCTCCACCGGCAGCGGTACCAGACCGACGGGGTTTCGGTGGTGGAGGGGCCTTTTTCTTCGACTCCTCCTGCTCTTGTGTCTCGGTGTCGGATGCGACTGATCGATCTTGCTTACGGAATGCCAATGACTGAGTCGAAAAGTTTCGCAAACTCGAAGGCTTGTTAGGCTTATTCGGTGCAGCGGGCTTCCCGTTCTGCTCCAGTTGACGCATGTCATCCGAATGCGAGGTCTCATCCTTGGCACCTTTCGTATCTGGCTCGTCGCTGAAGTCGATCAGGTCCACCTCTCTGGTCTTCGCTTCTGGGTCCGATTTGGGCCTCGCCGGCAATGGTGGTCTATCATCGTGATTGTTGACCTCCAGCCGACTGCCATTTTTGGACGAGACAGAAACAGTGGAGGCAGCATTCGATGGAGTCTGGTCAAAGAAAGCCTTTTTGACTGGCGTTGTCACATCTCTGATGAAGACCCCCAGGACCTGGCCAGGATGTTCAAGCACGACATCGGTGTAGACTTCTAAATCAGCCTCACCGCTGTCCCCGACCAAAATGAACTTTCGCTCGGGGAAATCGTTCATGATTCTTTCCAATGAACCGCGCTTTCTTTCAGCAGCAGGTTCAAAAATTCCTTGAAGCATGCCTGAATACTGTTTCAGGTGGAACGATCCAGGAGGCAGCCCAGCAAGAGCAAAATAGCTGCGCAAGAGAGGATACAACTGCCACGGAGAATTCGAGACATAGTGTAATTTGACTCCCATGTTCGCCAAAGTGGTATACCATTCTCGGACGCCTTCAATCGTCATCGACGCAAGCTCCCGCACGAATGTATTCTTGAAAATCTCTCTAGCTCCAGCTGCTATGCCCGAGTGTTTGATGGTGTCGTCAATGTCACTGATCAGACTGACTCCTCTGCTATCCGTGATTGTGACATCTTGTGTTGCGGACAACTTTTCCGAGACCAGCACCCGGACTTGTGTAGGGACGAAGTCGAGAGCCGCACGAAGGTTGAAATGTCCCGAGTCGTCCGTAGTTATGGACTTGGAGGCCGACCTTTGTTCATTGAAGAAGAAGATCGTAATCGGGGTATTAGCCACAGGATTCGACATGAATGGTCTCAACCTGGTCAGCAGCATTTCGTTTGCGGCCGCCATTTCCTCCCTGCTCATCTTTGTCGGCTCATTCCAGGACTGTCGTTTCTGTATGCCCTGCTGAACTGGATCGTCATCTCCGGCCTCGGTTCCGCGCCTAGACAGGGCAGCCGAGGGCGCAGGGGATCCTGAGCGACTGCCAGCAGGACTGTCATTGTCAAAGCTGCTCCTCGGGAGTTGAGTGTAACTGCCTCGAAGAGCAGCCTCTGCCTCCAACTGTCCACGTCGAGCAATATTTTCGGCCTCTCTTGCTGCAATTTCGTCCTCATGTCTCGAAGGACTTTCATCAAGCTCTTCCTGACTACTGGGAGGGAGGCTAGACGGACGTGATGACACTGTCGGTGCTGGAGGTGGAGCATAGACGCCGCTCAGGCGTCTGGCCACAGCAAGCAGAAGCCGGTTTCTCCTATTCAAAGGCCCGCGTTGGGGCGAGTATATCCACCCGCGGACGTCCACGTCGACAATCGCGTTGGCATCTTCATACTTCTCCCATTCCCTTCTCCAGTATTCCGCGTCTCCGGTGCTGTGCGGTGTTTCCACAGACTCATGCGTTCCTGGGGGATACCTGGCCGTGTCATCCGAGTCCGTCTTTTTCTTGGTGTGCTTCCTGGCATAGCTGGGGAACAATATCATTTCCTCATCTCCACCTCGAATGATCTCCACGTCGGGGAAATCCCCTGGCATGCCTCCATTTGTTTCGCTCTCTTGTAGTCTGTGTTGTAACTGTTCCTGATACGTCTGCCTCAACTCGTTCGCAGCGCGAATGATTCCGCGAAGCTTCTCCCTCCGCGACCCTGGCACCCGTCCGCCAGGCTGGCCATAGCTTGTCATCTGATCGGTTGATCTTGTGCCTCGCAATTGTCGAACCCCAGCATGGTGCTTCCCGTTCAATGCCTGTAGGATACGACTCTTTCTCCACCGCTGTAAAAATGGGATGAAGCCTTTCCCTGCCGCTCGCTTTTCCTGCTTCTTTTGCTGCCGACGGACTATAGCACGGTAGATTCGAGACTGTGCTCGTAGACGGAGTTGAGGAATATGTTCGTGTCGGAGAGCAAGAAACTTCTCACGCGCGCGGCGATGGGTATTGGGAAATAGGTAGCGGAAAAGTGCTAGGGTGTTTTGGAACTTGGACAGTCCGCGAAAAGGAGGAGCCAGGGTGGAAAGGACGCTGAGGCTGGTGCTGAGGCCGGGACAGCCACAGCTATCTCTAGCCAACAGAAAAGAGGGTAAACGAGAGTCTGATAGGGAGAAACCGAAGTGTCGAGTTCTGGATGTGAATCTGGTCACTGAGAACAAGAGTGGCCATGTTTGTATCCGAATCTCGCTCGCTTTGCGTCAATGCCAGACTTTACGTCATTCGTCAGCCTTGCGGCTCGACCATCCACGCGACACCGCCAGGAACGATACTACTGTGTACACGGACTACAATTGTTCATATCCTCGACCTCGTTAATATGGTGTACGCCGGCTCAAGGGTTCATCAGTCCCGGGGATATAGGTGGCTTAGCTGTCATCATGCACCGCCGACAGCGTATCAGACGTGGAAGAGCACCACACATTGTCCAGTAATCTTGCCAACCATCCTCGGATCAGGGGTGCTGCTTATCAAGAGCGGCATTCAGCCTTTCCGTCACTTTTCTCCCCAATAACTCCGCAAACATATCAATCCTCGCCTCCGGGCTCATCTGTACCAAATTCCTCAAACTCGGACGTTGGTCGACGTCCGGGACAGAAGAGACCGGACCGTTTAGCATACTAAGTACTACCTGTGCAGCCAGAGCATTCAGGCCCGCTCTCCTCAAGAAGAGCTCCCAGAGTGTTTCATCGTGGATCAGGCTACTACAAACCTGTTGACCTTGTGCTGGCGGTGTCGTGGGAAAGGCATGCCGTGCTATCAATTGCCATACTATGCTGTTCATCGTTGGATTGTCTGGTCCGGAGCGATGTTGTGACAATACCCAAACAGGATACACAGTCTGATTGCCGTGAGTACTAATGCTCGAACAGAAGCCAGAGAATTGGTTGATCGTGTTGCATGCCGCTTGGGGGAAAGTTGCGTTATGACTCTCGAGCGTCACCAGGACAAAGACGTTGTCAAACTCTTGCAGCAACCTGAGGATCTTCCCCTGAATAATACTGCGGTCTCCGGCCTCACCCTGTCCCGGCAGACCTTTCTGAGTCAAGTCCTGGAAGTGAGTGAAGGTGATGGCAGCTCGAAGATTGAAGATAATATCAGGCACAGGAGAATGTAACTTTTGGTCCCTTCTTCGGGTGGAGGTGAGATCTCGGTATATTATGGTGAGTTGGTCCGCACCCTGTCTTGTCATGTAAGTCGTCAAAGTGCGGTGGGTTTGGAGCAGAGCCGTGTCGACTATCACAGTCCTCTGCCATTCTAAAATGCTTGGGGTTGGAAGCTGTGAATTGATTGCTGTGTTGGGTAAAAGTGGTGTTGCGGGGACTAATACCCTCGGAGTGTGGAATTGTTCATTCTGCTCTGCAAGACTTGGGGCAAGTGGACCTATTTCTTGCTGTCGCCTAGGCTGTGTTGACTCGATAGGGTCATCCGGGAGCTCGTCCATACTCGGTCGACTTGGTTGTCCCGACGAATTGAACTTACTGCCCCTCAAGTCCAGGAAGCTTTCTAGTGCGCTGGAGACTGAAAATACGCTGGCCGATTCTGTGACGTTGCGCTTGAGGGCCGGCTTTTTAGGCATTTCGGATTCGTTGTTTCCAACTAAAGCCTTCATCGGTGCTGACGGGGAAGACCTGGCACCTCCCGCTCTTTTTTGTGGTATGAGTGATTGTGTTGGATTCGATACGAGCGCAGCTAGGTCTGTATCTTCCTGCAGCTCATCGTCGCTGCTCTCATCATCGTCCAGTATACGAAGTCCAGGCTGTTTCCATAACAATTGCTCGCTTCGGATGACATCGCCTGAGGCTCCTCCCGCCTCCGGAAAATATTGGCAATCATCAACTGTTTCTTCGAGACTGAGGTAGGTATAATCCGGAGGAATGACTGACTGGTCCACTGTCTTATCGTTCTGGGGTACCGGCGGGTCTGACGTACCCAGGCAGACTAAGTCAAGATGACGGGCGAGAAATTCAGACTTCGAAGGGACATGAACTACTCCTTCCGGGCTGGAGTCAATTGACGGGGTAGGGATTTTTGTGCAGGCCTGCGAAAGACCATTTATCCCTCGGTTGAGCCTAGACTCCATTTCTTCGTTGGCTTGTTCCGCCATTATGAGAAAAACAGAGTCAATATCATCGTCAGAGTCCCCTTTCAATCCCGCACTCTGACAGTCTAGCCAATTTGGCGAAGGCTGCCTGCTTGCATCATGCTTGCTCTCGAAAAGGAAGTGTGACCTGCTGCAGTCTGCCGTCACAGTCGTTGACGCAGGTTCTTTTGGCGATGAGAGCCCTTGTTGGAAGAACTCTGATTGATGGTCAACCATGGGACGGCCAGGACTCCCGTCTGTAGGGTCTGCCTGGGTCGACCGAGGATTGAGCCTTGCATCTTGCACACTCAGTGGTGACGAATCCATCAGAGTGAGGTCGATTTCGATTCTCGCGCTGGGCGTATTGCCATGACCAGCCCTGGTAGGCTCCGAGTCATTCGAAAGCAGATCATCACTGGAGGCCTCAGAAAATGCCAACACTTGTTCCTCGGTCGCTTCTTCTACTGCTAGGGGATGCTCGTCAACGCCAGTTTCGTCGGCGGGCGGCAAATCGATGTTAGGCTCGGTTGCCGGAGGGGAAAAGCCTTCCGGCAAACTCTCTTCAATAGCCAACACCGGACTTAATGGAGGCAGCTGTGGCTTCTGGCGAGCTGTTAGCTTCGCATGACCCTGACAAGGCAAGGGATTCGCACTCTGGGCGCCTCTGCATTCGCAAGGGCTTCTCTTTCATCCTTCGTAGCTTTTGGGTACCTGGCTTCAGCCAGAATCTTCAAGGTTTCCCGCGTCACCTGTAATCTTTCGTTCTTGAGCCTTCGTTGTATGTCATTGAGGCTCTGATCGCCGTCTATATCGGTCCACTCATCATTGAACTGCCCGTCAGGTGGAGAAAGCAGTGACACGCTGTTATTCAGCAAAACTCGTGGGTCGAAGCGCCTTGCTGCATCGCGTCTGAACGCTGCAACTTCCAGGTCATGATCCGTGGCAAGCAGTGGCTCTTCGATTCTCAACTTCCGCCACCTGTAAGGATCGGGCAGAATGACATCCCAATCGATGGCTGGACGGACGTCATTGATGCTTTCAGATAGCAGTCTCGTTTCTCGATGGCCCAGCTGCAGCCTGGGCTCGTCAACAGGACTGGCTAGGGTGCCGAGAACGGTATCAAGAAGCAGGGCGTGGTCAGCTGTCGTCTCTTGTTCAGGCGAGAGGGAGACGTGGCGTAGATGTACCAGGAGATTTTCGGATCTGTGATCAGTTGCGAGGCCGTGGAAACGAGCATATTCGAGGACAGATGGAACTGACATACTAGTGGAGGTACTGGATTAGCAGAACTGGAAGCACAGGGGACAATGCGGAGGGAGAGGATTTGCAGCTTTCAATGGGATACACCTCAACCACGCTCCGTGGCGCCAAGCTTGAAGTGTAAATGCACTTGGAACGAAACAACTTGAAGCCAAGTCAAGAAAGAGAAAGGACACTACCTTCGTCTTGGCCAGCCCGCTCTCACTGGTCTGCGCATGGAAGAATAGCAAACATGTAAATTTCATAGCGCAGGCTTAGAATGAATGCTCTTCTCTGGAGAATAAGTGGAAAATAAAATCATATCATGCATTAGTATGGCATTTCCCCAGTTTCTCACTCCTGGATCATTCAACATTCAATCATTATAGTTGGATTTCAGCGAACCATCCTTGTTCGTCTGTGGCAATCCCCATTTCTTGTTGTACTCTTCTTCCTGGGACTTTCCCTTTGGATCGAAGTATGGCTTTTCAGCGGTTGCAGCCACTCGAACTGCATGGCGCCTGTGAGGCGTGAACCCATACGATGCCGAGTGGTTGGTCACTCGGTTATCCCAGAAAGCAACATCATGCTTTCCCCACTGGAACCGCACATGAGCCTCTTGAGTGGTGGCAATAAGCTCGTTGAGATATTTAATAATAGCATCACTTTCGGCCTTGGGAACTCCCACGATTTTGGTCACGAAGCCAGGGTTGAAGAAGACAGACTTCCATCCGGTGACTGGATTCACCCGAATGAGTGGGTGTTCCGTCGTAACGGGCTCCCTCCGCACTGGTCTCCCTCCAGCCCGAGAGTCTTGAGCTTGCATATCGGCTGAATGCAAGGCTGTCAATCCTTCGAGGTACTTCTGCATATGGGTTGAAAGCACATCATAGATTGCATATTGAGAGCACCACAGGGTGTCGCCTCCACCGCCTCGCGGAGGCCCTGTGAGCACCTTCAAAGAAGTATATGACGGTGGTTGAACTTCGTAGCTCACCTAGACATTCGTCAGTACCACCGTGAAAGAGGCGCAACAGCGCAGAACTTACGTCGGAATGCCACAAGAACGTGGGAGTGAACAGAGCTCGCTGATCAAGGGACTTGTCGGTTGTGTAGACAACGTGGACGTCTTCCAGACCTTCCTGTCGTGGAACGGCCGTTGTGGCATGTTTATGCAGCTGGCCGAAGAACCTGCCTAGTTCCCGTTGAGCCTCGATATCGAAGTCGTGCTGATTTCGGAAGAAAACAACCCCGCGGGTTGCGATCAGCCTGGCCAGATCGCACTTCTGAGCATCGGTAAGGTGAGCTAGCCTGACTCCGGTGATTTCAGTTCCAATTTTTGGAACGTAGTCGAACACATCGTCGGCAGCGTCCAGCAGATTTCGAAATCGAGGGTCTCCGCGCAGCCCTTTGTCTTCGTATGGGATTTCCTTCAACCCATCCCAATGAACGTCCGGGAAGCGGGGGAGTAGATAGTCGAATTCGTAGCGATCATGATTCTCCACGGGTGTCCTCCCCGGTTCGTATGTGTCTGCTAGACTTCGCTTTTCGTGAGCGGGCTTGTCCTTGGGAACCACTTCAGTTCCATTCACTTCTTTCGTGCCAGCCCAGGAACTTGGACGATATTCCACCTGGATTGGATCTTCGGCATGAGGAGCCATGTTGACTTGGAGATGTGTCGACGACGATGGAATATCAATTCAGCCCTGGATCGTTTATACCAGGAAGAAGTGCGTGGTTGTGTTCACCTGGCGGTGTGAATACGAACATGGGACAACAACTGACCTTATATGAGCTTGGTCAGCAGTGGGTGCTTACAAGGTAAGATTGCACAATATCGTGGCAAACAATCAGATACCATGCATTCCGCGCGTCCACATCAGCCGATTGGAAACATATCTCTCCACATCTTCTAAGAATACATGCATGGTATGACTCTCGGATTCTGGGGTTGGAGCACAGTTTCTGCTATTTCTTCCACTTGTGGTTAGTATTCGATCAAGCACGCTGCCGATTGTGTCGTTAATGCACGATAAACACAACTCTGGCGTATCAGCGGTGGTCCACCAGTGCAATAATATGAGCAGATTTGATTTCCTCATTGCGGTCATGCTCATTCTGATTTTGTCGGTGGAAATCATAGAGTCATCCTCCCGAGTCCGGAACTGACCCAGATCCAGGCAGTTGATTGGCCAATGGCTGTTATCCGGGGTCCACCAGGACGAAGCACGCAAGATATGAGGCTGTTGGCGTCAGCGAGCTTTGGCGCGCTCGGGGAGCACTCTGCACAACGTTGCAAGGTGTAGCTGGGTGCGAAGAGAGAAGACGAGACAGGGACGAGACAGGCGGGGTGTTTACATCCCAAGCTGTCATCGTGATGGCAGACAACGCGCCGGCTGCGGCACGGTCTTTGTTTAGGAGACACGTCGCGCCCCAAGTGGTATGGTATGCCAACTGGTGCTTTGGATCTGCGCAAAGCTAATCCCGGCACTCCGGTAAATCTGGAGAAGAAAGAAACTTGATTTGGACATGAAGTCTACACGAAGCCAGTCAGTCAACGCCAGAAGGGCGTCACGTTGCTCGCTCTTTGCCCGGTCCAAAAGCTGGGATTGGATGAACCGGCGAATTCTCCCAGGTGAATTGTTTGCTTCGCCAGAGCAAGCGGTACGGCCGACCAAGGCGCAGAACGTGCAATATCAGGAGCCGGCGCGGAGACGCAAGGCTGTGAGATCTAGCTTTCTCCTTAAAACCTCCCTACCAATCGCTTTCTTCGAGAGTCTGGCAGAATCGAGGTTGGGAAAAAGGACGAGGTAGGATAAGGAATCGTGTCTTATCCGAATGAATTAAATGGACTGAACAAGCATCCTGCAAATTTGATGATTCGCCCCTGAATAAATAGGACTGGACCCTTGCTGGCGACCTCTATCTATCTACATGTGGTATCTTTCTTGAATGTCCTCTACAGCCCGACCTCTAATCCTCATATAGACGCCATCAATGCTCAACTCCAATGCTGCACCTTTTCTAAACAACCCAATATGATGGACGAACCATCTACTCCATCTCAATAGTGCCCGGGGGCTTGCTGGTGACATCGTATAGAACCCGACAGACGCCGTCAACCTCATTGACAATCCTCCTGCTCACCCTCTTCAGGAACTCGCCATCAAAGGGAAACCAATCAGCGGTCATGAAGTCAGTTGTCTCCACCGCTCGCAAGGCGATCACCTGTGCGTGCACTCTCTTGTCTCCCATGACACCGACGGCCTTGACTGGTAGGAGTGCTGCGAAGGCTTGCGAGATCTTTCTGTAGAGACCGGCGGCCACGATTTCATCAATAAAGATCTTGTCAGCATGACGGGCAATCTTAAGCTGCTCTTCGTTGACTTCTCCGAGAATTCGAATAGCAAGACCGGGTCCTGGGAAAGGGTGTCGCCACACAAGGTCCTCGGGAATGCCAAGGTTTGTCCCCAAGGCTCTCACTTCATCCTTGAAAAGTTCACGGAGAGGCTCAATCAGCTTGAGATGCATGTCTTTCAAGAGTCCACCGACGTTGTGGTGGGTTTTAATGGTGGCAGACGGTCCTTTGAATGATATGCTTTCGATCACGTCTGGGTATAAGGTTCCCTGGAGCAACCACTCAATCTCACCAGCTCTTGTTGAGTTTGCTGCAGCCGCAGCGATCGCCTTGGCCTTGTCCTGGAACACCTCAATGAAGGTGTTCCCGATAATCTTGCGCTTCGTTTCGGGATCCGAGACGCCCTTTAGCCTTCCAAGGAATAATTCGGAGGCATCAATGACGGTGAGATTGATTCCAAGGTGCTTGGTGAGCGTCTCCTTCACAGTTTGGGCCTCATTCAGCCGAAGGACACCGTTGTCGACAAGAACGGCATGAAACCGGTCTCCGATCGCCTCTTGCATGAGTTTTGCCGCGACAGTTGAATCAACACCACCGCTCACGGCGCCAATCACCTGACCTTTGGGTCCGACCAAAGCTCGAATGCGCTCGATTTCCTTGTCCACGAACTTCTCCATGGTCCAATCTTGCCGGGCTTTGCAAATCTTGACCGCAAAGTTGCCGAGAACCTGGGTGCCTCGTGGGGTATGCGTGACTTCTGGGTGAAATTGAATGCCGAAATACGGCTTCTCTGTGCTGGCGATACCGGCAAACGGGGCATTGGCGGTGCTCGCAATGGGACGGAAGCCCTCTGGCAGCTTTGATAGCTTGTCGCCGTGGCTCATCCATACTTCAATATCGTCCTCAATGCCTTCAAAGAGACGGTCGATATGCTCTTCCTTGCCCGTGTGTCTTTCAATCTTCAGGTATGCATGTCCGTACTCCTTCTTGTCGCCTGCTGCGACATTCTTGCCGAAATGCCAGGCCAGCTCTTGTAAGCCATAGCAGATTCCCAGAATTGGGACATCGAGATCAAAGACCGCGGGATCGACGTGAGGCGCGCCGTCTTCGTAGACTGAGTATGGGCTACCTGAGAGGATGATACCCTTGGGGTGAAAATGCAAGTCCGCAACTTTCTGCGTACATGGCAACATCTCCGAGTAGACATTTAGTTCACGCAGACGCCGTGTTATAAGGTGGGAGTATTGTGACCCAAAGTCAAGGACCAGGATGGTATCGAAGGTCTGGGCCGGCACATTGACCGAGTCCTCAATCTCGCCATTGGTAGCCATGGCGAATATAGTGTTAAAATGAGAACCTGCTGAAGTTGTACGAGTGGGCGCACGTAATGGTAAAAAAGAAGATGACTGCGCGATAAAGAGGGACAAGAAATTTTGCGGAGCGGAGAGGAATTTCTCCCCGCAAAAAAAGTGACGGAGCGCATTGACAAGTTGAACTGATCTTTTTAACGCATGAGTATATTCGGTCAACGTCGAAGGCTATTCACCACGGAATCAACTCAGTTTTTCGCTCAATCGCTTCTACAAGATGAGTAAGAGAAAGCAGGACCTCGGCGAAAAGGTCCCCAACAATAATCCCAATACCGACGACGACAGCGGTGACGATGAGGTTGGTTTGAATTGCCCGGTTTCACCGCAGGCGGTCGCTGACTGCAGCCCAAGGACTTTGACATGCTCAACGTCGACTTTGAGTGGTTCGATCCTCAACCGGATTTTGACTACCATGGCATAAAGACGTTGCTACAGCAGTTGTTCGATGTCGACGCTCAGATGTTCGACTTGGTCGGGTTGACCGACTTGATTTTGGCGCAGAAGACCCTGGGTTCAACTGTGAAGGTTGACGGAAACGAAACCGATCCATACGCGTTTCTTTCTGTCGTCAATCTCCAAGAGCATAAGGTAAAGGCAATACCAAGACTTTGCGCGAATATGACTGACGGCGTGCAGGACAAACCCTTCGTAGGGAAACTTATCCAATACATCCAATCCAAAGCCAAGTCGAACCCTGATCTTGCTCCTCTGGCGGACCTCCTATCTCAACCTTCGATACCTGCCATCGGCCTGATCCTGACAGAACGCCTAATTAACGTTCCTTCCGAAGTCGTCCCGCCGATGTACACGATGCTGCTCGAAGAGATAGAGTGGGCGCTCCAAGACGGGGAGCCATACAATTTCTCACATTACCTCATTCTCTCCAAGACCTACACCGAAGTTGCTTCAAAACTGGACGCAGAGGAAGACCGACCGAAAAAGAAGCAGAAAGCTGGCGGTTCTTTCGAGACTATGTACTTCCATCCCGAGGACGAAGTGCTGCAAAGGCATGCCATTTGCCACGGCGGGTACGAGTATTCCATCAAGCAAGACGAAGGGCATTCGGATTCGAAGCGAGCATTCCAGGAGCTTGGAATCAAACCGCAGGGACGCGCCATTCTTATCTCGGCCGATAAGTTCAAGGGGGCTGTTCAAAACGTTGAAGAATATTTGAAGCCACAATGAGCGTAAGCACGGCATTGTCGCATGCAAGGGAGAGGGCGCCGAAAAACTGGCTTCTCTTCCACATTAACAACGTCACATTCATTCCCATTCGGTGCCCTTGAGTCTTTGCATGAGGTATTCAACCTCGACGACCTTGGTCAAGGGAATGACTACTTGGGCATACATCTTCACGACTGCCTCGACATCAATCTTGCCCTCGCCGTTAACAGTCCCACTGCTGCCTGTAGAAGGATCCTGGCCATAAGTTCTGGCCTTCAGGCGCAGTCTCTCCAGAACCTGTTGCTCAACCTTTGCGTTGGTGATGGCGGCGTCGATCCCTGCGCGGTCCTCGGCCTTGATAAGTTTCACGAATCTCTCCGTTTCCGCCTGGAACTTGCTTTCGGCCACAAACTTTCCGAAGTGTATCCGTCGGCTCAACGCTTGCAAGCAGGCAACGTCACAGGTTGCAGCACTCCCATAGTTCTCTTTGGTCTCGCCTCGATCTTCCCGTCCAAACTTCCGGCAGGCCTCAGGTAACACCTCTTTGATGTATTTCTCCTTGATGACATCATTGACATTGACGTCGTTGTCGTGCAAAAGCTTGGGATACTTTATGGGTTGAAGTATGGGACGTTGCAACACCTGAGGGAAGAAAGGATATTCGTCTGGCGCATCATAGCGGCGCACCGTCGAATGTAGGCGCTCGGTCTCGGAGAGGAGGTAGTCGGCCAACGAGATGTTCGGAGGTAGCGCCAGATTGCTTGTGGGCACTGGCAGAGCCACAGGGTCGTAGATGCTAGCGTTCAGCGGGAATTGTACTCGTTCTATCAAGTGGAAAATGATTGTGTCCTCCAGGCGACTTGACCAAAGTTAATTTCTGCTTGCGAGCGGTAATGACTAGGAATACATACATCAACTGAAACCGGATATTGTCCAAATCCAACGCTTTTGAAGCATCGGACAAGTCAATGGCGGTATCCATGTCCGAGTCGCTCGGGTTATGTGCGCTCAGCTTGCTCATGTACACGAACGCCTCTCCAACCGGGTTAGGAATTGAGAAAAGAGCGAACGGATGGTTTCCAGGCCATGTGCGTCCCTCCTGATCAAAGTTGAAACGGTGACACAAAAGTAAAAGAAAGGTAGCAATTGTCAAGCAAAGCAGTTCTTAGTGGGCTGGTAGTAGTGGCAGTCAGAATTGGGTCCGAGGTGTTGTACGTCAGATGCACGGATTGTCCGAGTCGTGCACGTATCGCCCGCGTCTCCAACTTTGCAACTTCAATTCGTATCTGCATTGTAGAAAACCCTCTACATCTTCTTGCACGTACGAGCTTTGCCGCAAGTAAAGTGCAACTCCTCCATCAGACCCTCCAAACGAAAAGCACACACATCCTCCGACTAGACGCGGGCCGCAGCGAGCAGTCGCTGAAGACGCCTGACAGCGCAAAAAGCAGGGTCATATGGCCAGCTCGCGCTCCCACAGCCGAAATGCCTCCCAAACACGAAGACCGCAGGGAGAGGGGGAGGATACCGTTCTGGGTGCGGTTTTAGATGTATGGAAGAGTCTGTTATCTCTAAAGCAATCCGCTGACGTTCTGGTAGACGCGACAGTTGGAAGCCTTTGGACGTAAGGTGACGGCAACGGCAAGCCATCTTATGGGCGACACCAGTTCGACGCACTACCCGACTGCAATGACCAGCATCTCTCGACAGATGCGTCGCCCTGCAGTACAACGGGCTGTGTTCTCCTTCTCGCAGCAAGCTCCCTCCGAACTCGTGAGAGCAAAGCTCTCGACAAGCGAAATAGCCCATCGAGCCCTGACCTACATTCCCGACGAACAATTAGAAAATATACCGGAGGTTGACAACAGTTATTCCTTATTCCAAGGCTTTCAAGCCTCTCTTCCCGAAGGCGAAAGCGAGCATCGTAAGGGACACCGGCGGCGGAGTTCAAAGCAGCACAAGCTGTTAGGTGCTGGAGATGTCGAAGAAGATGGCCCTCCAACTATCCAGAACCTGAAGAAGAATCGGAATGCTGTCAACCATAGATTAGAAATGATGGCTGTGAGGAAGAACATGTGCACGACCGAAATCCGAGACATAGACAATAAGATCGCCAACCTCCAAAATGTCCGCCGGACCGTCCTTGATCGACTCGCCGCACTCGAAAACGACGAAGCCGAGGTCGAGCATGAATTACTTGAACTCGACAACAAAATCGAAGAAATGCAGGAAGAACTCGAGGAACAGGGTGCAATGGACCAATCTACGAGCAGTCCCAATGCTCCGCGTCCGGTGACACCCGAATCAGAGTCAATGGATGCCTCCTTTATGTCGCAGTCCATCTACGAAAAGCTTCCCTCATCTGCATCACCAAAATCCAAGCGACGGCCGACTTACGCAAAAAGAAAATCCATGCCAGTTCTACACGAGCACCTTGAACCCGGATCACATATCAGAACAATCCCGGCGCACAATGATATAATATCTGCGTTGGACTTTGACCAACCCTTTGGTACCATGGTTACAGCTGCGTTAGACGACACCGTGCGTGTCTGGGACTTGAATCTGGGTCGTTGCATGGGATTTCTGGAAGGCCATACTGCTTCCGTCAAGTGTCTTCAGGTTGAAGATAACATTGTGGCAACAGGTAGTCTAGATGCAACCATCAGGTTGTGGGATCTCAGCCGTGCCAAGTACGAGCCTTATGAACATAAGATACCAGAAAATGGGGAGGAAGATAAAGAGGATGAGGAAGACGACGGACTTGGATTTGGAAACGAACATGAAGACGAGCCTCCGCCACCGCCTCCTGGCGCAATGTCCGAATGTCCTCTCTTCATCCTTGAGGCTCATGTCGACGAAGTGACGGCGCTGCATTTCCGCGGCGACACACTTGTGTCTGGTTCGGCTGATAAGACCATTCGCCAATGGGATTTGGTCAAGGGACGATGTGTGCAGACGTTGGATGTATTATGGGCGGCTGCTCAGGCCAGTTCGACTATCAACAGCACGGAACCACAATGGCGGCCTACTGGACGAGCCACCGATGCCGGAGCAGACTTTGTGGGTGCTTTGCAATGCTTTGATGCTGCGTTGGCCTGTGGCACCGCTGACGGGATGGTCCGATTATGGGATTTGAGAAGTGGACAAGTCCACAGGAGCCTGGTGGGACATACAGGACCTGTGACTTGTTTGCAGTTTGATGATGTGCATCTGGTAACTGGCAGTTTAGACAGGAGTGTTCGGGTAAGTAAAGTCCTTAAGTTGAGTTGTGCATTTATTGACTGGGAAACAGATTTGGGATCTCCGGATGGGAACCATTTTCGATGCCTACGCCTACGATGCGCCGATCACAAGCATGATGTTTGACGCTCGACATATCGTCTGTGCCGCGGGTGAAGACGTTGTCAAAGTGTATGACAAGACCGATGGCAAACACTGGGACTGCGGAGCAGGGGCAAGCTTGACCGTCGAAGACCGCATGGCCGGTGCAAAGACCAGTATTGTTGAGAAAGTTCGCCTGAAGGACGGGTACCTGATCGAAGGGCGACGAGACGGTGAAGTCGGTATCTGGACCTGTTGAGCTATGACAGGACCCGACCAGGGTAAAAACAGCACGAGTGCTTACCAACGAGACGTGAAGAATGTTGACTAACCTTTGTGGTAGCACGGTCTTTTGGCATAGCTGGTACTGCAACAAGTGTTCGCAGCTTCGATACGAAAGAAAAATCAATATAAGAAGTGTATCACCATTCATCTTTTGCGTTCCGCTCACTGTTCAGATGATGCTAGTACGTACGGCTCATTCAGCCTAGCCTGATGACGATAATCCTTCAAAGCGTTACCAAACCAAAGTTGGACATCTCAGACCCCCTCTTTCCTTCAGCAATATTGTCTGGTCCAACATGTCAATCTATTCCACTCCTCGTTCCTTCACTGCCTCAGCTAAGGCTGGAATCCGTTCAACTCCTTCTCCTCCCTCTTCAATGCCCGCGAAATCTGGTTCCCAGGAAGTGCAACTGCACAGTGAGGTCCTCAATCAGCTGCCTCGTATCCTCCACGTTCCGAGGACATGATTCATCCTTCATCCACCGCTTGATATATTGCCGGACGAACTCTGTGTCCTTGTCGTCGTCAGTCCGATGTGCCAATTGAGATTTGGGAGCATTGGCGAAGATCGATGCCTTGGGAGAGGCCACCAGATTCATCTCTTTCAGCAGAGTGGTGATCTGATCGGCACGCTCCTCGTATCTCATCTGCGGGGATAGGCTTGCCAATGAGGACGCCGGCGTGCTCCCGGACGATTCTGATTCTGGTGCTCCCCGGACATTTGATTCCGGGAAGTTGTTGGGGAATCTGCCATCCGTCCCAGGTGCAGGTGAGTGAATAGCCTGGTACAGCATGTCTGTCTGGCGGCGTGGGGAGATTTGCTTCTCTCCTAGGATTATTGCGAGGTCTGCCTTTGCCTCTCGTGCTGTGAGCCCTTGAGGCGGTCCGGCCAGGTTGACTGGGCAAGGGGGGCCGATAAGTCCTTGTTGTTGTTGTCCATGAGCCATTTTGATGATGGTATGTTTGTTGTGGTTCTGGTGGTGTTCGTCGATGTGTTGTCGGTAGTGGTAGTGTTGTGATTGCCCTGAAGGGGCGTGAAGCAGTGAGCAAGCAAATGCAGTGGGGATGTGTCTGCTTGGTCTGGCTGACCAAACTATGTAAGTGTTGCTTGGTTGTTGCTGATGTTGTGCTTGCGGCTGTTATGTTGCTCTTCTTGTTGGTGTCGTTGATTCACTGCCTTGTTTCGAAGTCGAGCAGTGTTAACCAATTGATTGTTTGAGGGATACAGGGAAGAAACACGAAAGACATTTGATATATGTACCTCCTGCCCTCTACCCCCAGGCTTGTGGAAAACCCTGGAGCATGAACCAAACAATCACAATGAGAACCCCTGCTGCTGATCATCGGACATTCAACCAACATTGCACTGCCTTGCTCGAAACCATCCTCAACTACCAATTGATCTCTGAACCCCTCGACCCCGACCGGTCATGGCTACCGGCCTACCACTAAGACGGGGAGCAGAGGGTAGAGGGCAGAAGGAGTCCATCTGTATCATGTGTTACCCAAGTGTTCGAACAGATCCATTGGTGAATGCAAAATGCATTAACCATTGGTACGTGTTCAATTCACCTTCAAAAAAAAGAAACCGCCTAACCTAAGGTAGGCAACCGTCCAGTTCAAACACAAAAAATAAAAGCAAAAGACCATTTAGACTTTACGAAGGGCCACTTGCGAGATATCCGGGTTGTGTGCAACCAAATGGGGAAGGGAGAGGAACCTTTGGCTCAGCCGGCCCAGTCTGTTCCGCCCTGTCCTTTCCGCCCAATCCTTGTACGGTGGCAGGCGGACTGGTCTTGTGGTCTTTAGGCTTTGCTAGATTGGATTGGATTGAAACGGATCGGATACCGCGTCCTTTTCCTTCAAACTCAGCCGAGGCAGGGCACCTAGGAGTCTGCTACACGGCGCTTACCTTTGCTTACACTGTACTGTGTACCTAAGGTGAATCTACAACTACGGTTACTGCCCTTTCCCTTATGGGATTGGAATTGGAGGTACACCGGACCGGATCATACCAACATCCTCACAGACTGGAAAAAGGTGCTTGGGACTGATGTGACCCGGAGGACGGGGAACCGGGAGTGGTGGGAGGGTGTTTGTGGTGGTGGTGCTTCAGTGGTCGACGGCAATGTGTTCAGTCCAGTCGAACCAGAAAAACTCAATCCAGGATAGGTAATTGTCTAGCCAGAAGTATCATGGGAATAGTATGGGTACCATAGGAATGAATAAGTGGAACAATCCCTGCAGTTCAGGCAGCCAGGACGCAAGAAACCTTACTGTTTCTCTCCCTCCCTCTTTCTTCGACGTAGCAAGCTAGCAGCAAATTGGATCGGTCTTCAGTTGTTCTCGGTCAAGAACCAAATCAGAACCAAAGCAATGCCACTTCACTTAGTAAAGATCGGCTAAATGGCCTGACAGGATCATGGAAAAGTGCCCCGCTGCCCTCCGCGTACTGCACACCTGGACTGCCATGAGTTGAGCCTCATTGCCATTGTGACCTCGAACTTTAAAATCATTACAAGTATCCGACCACTGGCACTGTACCTAGATAGAGTTCGGAGACTTCGGTTCGGTCCACTGCAGATGACGCGCAGCATGCCAGTATGTTGTGGACCACCAATGACTGATTGAGTGGATCCGAGCCATAAGATGACCATGAGGATCTGATAATCAAGTATTCATTTTTGGGGCGTTTGTAGGTTGCAGGAATGTACTGCCACTGCAGGGTAGGACGGAGATCCATTATTCGGTGTTGCTAATGCCTGAACTTACTCTACCGGTACCTACCTGAGTTGATCCACTCCACCTTACGTGGGCTGGTCACATTGCACGTCCGGGGCCAGGACAGTGCTTCCTCTGAACAGAGATTAACATACACTTACAATACCTAGGTATTCACCGTTGAGAGCTAGGTGTATGTGGGGCGAAAGGAAATGGTCTTCTACAATGCAGGGATCCCAAACATTGCATTCATCCTATTACGTCCAGCTCGATCATGCACAGCTTCTCAACTCTGCTCCACTCGAGGTGGCAAGGTACTGTACCAGGACATGCAGAAAGAACTCGTCAGGGTGAGTACCACTGGGATCTCGACGGCTGGTTTGGTACGTCCAGCCGAGTCCACCGTCCAAGGAAACCTTGTTCCAAGGCTGAACTGAAAAAGGGGTGATCGACACGCGCGCCGTTGAACTACCTTACCTAATTACCCAGATTGAACTCAAAATCCAGGTATTCCATAGATGCGGCCATTCTGAAAGTGTAACGGTGGCCTCATCTAGAAATCCATCGTAGCAGGGTAATCAGATTTATTGTACACAGTATGTGCTGGACCCCCAGCAATACCGCCACCAATCTCACAGCCCTCTCAGTATCCATCAACGCCATTGCTGGGAAAACCTTCGCTGCAAACCCATGGAAAATGTGCACAATCCAAACCCAAACCCAAACCCAAGCAAATAGAGCCAACCTATCCAACACCGCGCTAGTATGGCCGATAATGACCAATTCCTTCGTTTCCTTCGTTTCCTTCGTGGGTCGTCGAACCGAGTGCTTTCTGAAGCGTGTACCGACTACTATCGGCCCCACCCCAGGATCATTCATCCTCTCCGCCGCTCTCCTCGCTCTCTTCGGGGTAGATGTCCGTGAGGAGTTCCAGGACATCATGGTGGACCAGCGCCGGTGACTTTCTCGCCCTCTTCCGCCGGAGCTGGGAGGCCACCGCCTGAATCTCCCGCAGACTCAGCGGTTCCGCGGGGAGTTGCGAGGCCGGAGGCCACCCGTGCTCGACGATATGGTCGAGTTCCAGTTGGAATACCACTTTGAAGTGGCAGCTGGTGAGAGCCCGGGCGCTGGTGCCCCAGATCTCCAACCGTATTGCCCCGAGTCCCTGGATGGACTTTTCCACAACTAATGGGAAGGACTGCACTGAGTTCAGCAGCCCTTCTGCAAAAGAGCCAAAGTTGCTCCGTGGGATGTCGCCGGCGTCAAAGACGGTTATGTGGCATTTGCAGCCGGGGCTTTCGTGGTAGTCTCTGTGTTGTTGGAGCATCCACCCGAGGGATGGGTGGGCGTCGTCGGCAATAGAAGAGGAAGAGGTAGAAGGTGTGGTGGTGGTGGTGTCCCCGGAGTCGGTGTTCAGGTAAGGCATTGTTGGGTTTGTGGCGTAGGTTGAGAGAAGAGGGAGAGTGAGAGGTGAGAAGAGATGGAAGGAAAGTGAAGATCGCGAATGGAGTGGAGGAAATCGCGAGATAGAAAGATATGAGATGGAAAGGTTTGAGGTGAAAGATGTGAGTTGTTTGAGGTAACTTGGGAGAAAGAGAAGAGAATATATGTCTTCGCGAAGAAAAGGCAGCAATAGCTCAAGAGTGGCGATGAGCACTCCCAGGTGCACCAGAAGCACCATTGTCCAGGGAACAGAATGATTCACTTCAAGTTCCTCTGGTTCATTCACTGTAACGCCGGGGTAGGTCCTCCTGAACTCTCGGTACATAAGAAGCTCACAACCCAGCACAAACCTTATCGTCGCTATCTGACAAACACCTAGCACACTATTAGCACTTCTCAGCCACTGGCGGGAATGTGAGAGACTTATAAAAAGACCGTGAGGACTGTCCGTGAACCATACAAGTATCCAGGAACAGTCCTCTGGACAGCCCGTCTAACTTTTGTCATCCCAAACGCAGTAAAATTGCATCCTGCGAACTTCCGCCTCCGACCAACTCCCGCTTCTGAACCGTCACTTCAAGTGAGCCTAGAGTCATCCTTGTTGTGTTCAAAGAACGTCATTGGCGCCAGCTACCATAGGCAAAAATTCCTACAAAGCATCTTCCATAACGTCAAGGAGACAACCAAAACAATGAGCCCAGAAGGCAAGCTTCAAGAACAGACAAGCCAAAGCTTTGATCCTCACTCGAGAGAGGTCCCGTCTTGAAGACTTGACGTATCCTTCTGCGTCCATTGTCTTAGCCATCTCAAGTCCCATGAAAGCTACCGTAGGAAATCTTCTGCCCGAGATTGAGGAAACTGGCGTTAAATAGTCCGAAATAAAACAACTAGACTTCGGAACTCGTCGCGACAGATTTGAACCCTGGTTCTAGGCGAAGGATGGCGTAATGCGACAAGAGCAGTCCGCTTTGCACGTTTTTGGGCGGGTTATAGTAAAGACGGTAGGTGGCAGGCGAATTCTCCGTGCGTGTGGTCGAGCTCCAATCCTCCGGCAGTCATCCCTTCGCCCATTTTGTGGTCCACGACATCCTCAATGATTTTCTTCCCATTGTAGCAGAATCCTCCCGCGGATCCAATGTCCAAGCCCTGTAAACAGGATAGATGCCTCTCTCATGTGTGATACAGTAACCTCAGAGACAAGATTTTGATTTCCTCTTCTCTTGCTGCAATGGCTGCGGTCGAAGGGCGTTTGCCATATTCCAGGCAGGGCGCACAAAGAACATCTTCAAAAATCGCCCTCTTCCCACCGTAATGGGGTTCATCATGTTCCCAGATCCGAAGATCAAGGGCCCACTGAATCGGCGCTCTCCATCTCACCGTGCTGAACACGATGCGGATGATTGACGCGGCTGATCGGGATCTTCTGCAGGCAGAAGTACGCATCTGATAGCGGTTGCTCTGATACGCGGTGGTTGAATGAGCTGCCGCTCGAAAGCGGTGCATGCACAAACTCGAGGTGGAGAGGAGTGGCAGGCTGTGCTAGAATCATGTCGGAAGGATTGTGCTAGTACTGCCGGCCGGAACAGGCAAAGGGCCAAGTTGAAGATGCATCGTACGAAAGTCCCGAAGGAATCTCTGAGACCTGGCTACAAGCAACATGAGCCTGATTCCGACCAGTGGATCTCATCAATTCCCACGAGGGCCTTCCAGCAGTCTTGTGTGTAGGCTAGACGTCTTTGCGTTCTAGGCAAGATACAGGCACCTCCCAAGACAACGATTCATCTCCGCTCTCTCAGAGTCTGCTCCGCGCTCATATCATCCAGGCCATCCCATATATGATCACGTATAATGCCCAGCTTAGGATGCCGACGCGCGATCCTTCAGGACGCTTACCAATTGACGCATGGCGAAACCGTCTTTCACTGCCCCGTGCGAGGCTCTGGACGTCTAATATCCTTTGACTCTGCCACTCCATTCTGCCGTTCTTCGCGGGGCAAATAATAGGCAGGTGGCACGGGGCAGAGCTAGTCAGATACCGACAACTGGACCGCGAAACTTCTTTTGAACCGATAATTGGCTTAGGGTTACGTTCCGATACATATCCACCAGTATCTGGGTCCTTCCCGGTTGCTCTTGTAGACCATGCTCTGAGGCTCAAGCGGTGAGAAGGGCAGATAAAGGAGACTCGAGGAGCGAGATATGTAAAGGGAAACTCGGTGGAGATTGAACTGTATAGGGTGCCTTGTAGGCGAAAGGGTGGTGGACATGGACCTCGAGGGAGGATGTGGTTCTGCGACAGAGGTTCGAAAGGTACGGAGGACTCGGGTTCGGACATCAAAGAGGAGGACTGAAGGTCGAGAGAGAGGATTGGATTTTGAAAAGCTGGAAGACTCTACAAGCCGTCGAGAATACGCCGAGTTGCCAGGCATGCCCATTGGGACTGCCAGTGAGTGGACGTGGACGAGAAGTTGTAGCATGGACGTTGAAGTCGTTTCGACGCGTCGCGCGCCGGTTGGTCAACGTCCATTTCCAGTTAGACACAAACGCAGCCACTTTCCCGGCAGAGTCAACGTCGGAACACATTTCAGGGATTCTATCTTATGATCTCGCAGGTGGAGAAGACAATGTGTCTAGTTCAGTCTCGACTGGATTGGAACTCTACTGTATGCGTCGGGTAGTCTCAGATATCCGCATACTGCAGCAATCAAGTGGCAGTTCAGCCAGGAATATTGTTCGTTGTGACTTCAAGAAGTGAGTGGAGAAATATTCATGATTATGCAAAAAAAATATTCGATCAAATTCAACATTCAAGAGATCCAACAATATATGTGCACCATCTGATACCCGCCCATTTGCCGTCAAGCATGCCTTTAGTGTACCTTTCAATCATCCTCTTGTTCATATTGAGCTATAAATCGTTCGTCTGCTATTATTGCTGGGGCTGTAAAAAGATCGTGTCTAACACAACACACATGGCTCAGCTGTACATTGTATGGGGACACTCAGCCTTGTGCGGAGTTGTGGAGACCCACCATCATCAGGACGACCCAGTTGAAGAATGACTAAAGGCGCCCTGTAACTGTGGTCGAGGACAAGGCGAAAGACTAGAAGTAAGGATGTGGACGGAGGAATTTCTTGGTTGGTGATTTCATGTCTCATTGCTATTATCGTGACTGCGGCATAGCAGCAAAAGAAGTTTCATTCCTCAAGCAAAACAGCCATTGCCCACCATGGCAGCGCACAGTCTTCACAATGTTCATACCAGAAGCAGCCCATCTGTGTCCATATCTTCTTATGGTGCCTAGTGTCCCTCAGGCCCTGAGAAGACAACGATCTTGCCATCAACATCTCAGTTCACGCTTGGGTCGGCTCTGCTGTCAACGTTTTCACCATCGCCGTTGTCATCATCATCATCATCATCATTATCATCATCATTATCTTGAATCTCGACACCGCCGTCCTCGCTCTCATCCTCATGATTAGTGTCGTTGTCGTTGTTGTTGTGATTGTTACGCTCCTCATAGCCATCGTCCTTGTCAACTTGGCGCCATCGTTTCTGTAGCCTTCTGCGAGGCCTTCAATCTCAACCTGGTCCAGTGCCCTCTCCAACCGCACCGACGGGCAGCTTGCGCATGGGACGGACATCTCAATGGCCCGGTACCCCAGCGGGCGCTGATTGCGGGCGTGGCATGGCGAGTTGGCCGCACACCCGGCACCGGCCCGGAAGAACAAGCATCCAGCACATTTTGGAGTTGAGAAGTAAATGAGGAGCGCTTGTTAGACGTGTCACTGGCTTGGTGATTTTGCGCTACAAGCTCAGACGTTGTGACGTGCAGTCTAGAGATGAGACGAGGCTGAAAGTCAAAGTAGGAGAGAAGCTGTTTGAGTGCGTGTTCTGTCGGCTGTCTTTTCAAGGAACTGGAAGTCAATGGGGTTCGAAACTTTATGTGAACTGGATGCTTTTAGATAAGGCATGAGCAAAGACGGGGAAATCGATCAAAAGATCATTTGTGTGGTCTGCTGCCGGTTCAGGGCGCCGATTCGGCATGCCGAGTGCAGGCACGTAGGCGATCGCATAATGCGCGAAATTGCTGATATCATGGCAAACGAGGCTGTGATTCGTGTCAAAATGCGCGAGAGGGAGAGCAAGAGCAGATGCAACTGCTGGGTTAGCCAGACAGGGAGAAAATGACTGTTTGGTTTGCACGAATCCAGAAAGAAACTTTGGAACGTTGACGAAGTTGTTGCCGGCCGCCACCAATGAAAATATCATGGACCGTGGTACTCAACTTTGATTGACTGAAAAAAATCTGTGGGCTGGATGCTGGATATCTGAAGGCCGATTCAGCTAGGGTTGCAATTGCCAACTCTTGATATGAAGAGCCATCGAGGGCTGCTCGGTAGACCAGTCGGTATTTCTTCGCAAGGCCATCATGAAAATGAATGCGCCGTGTCCGGAACCAAGCGTACACAGCGGAGAGCGTCTAGGGCGGCAAACAACCTCGACAGATTCCAGGTTGCTCATACCAAGACCAACTATTCCCTCAAGTAGAGACCGTCGTATCCTGCCTGGCACAACGAGTGGAAATGCCACTGGCATTCTGAAGAATAGACCGGCAATTCTTCGGAAGCAGTAAGACTACCTTTCAGAACCACCTCTTAACGACTGGAAAGATGGACAGGAACCTGCTGTACGATCTGGCTGCGGAACATGAGCATCCAGATTAATTTGGCATAGGCATCGATGTCCATTTCCAGTTTCAAAGTGCTTCAAACCACGTGGGCACAATCTCCAAGCCATTTCGTCAGTAATGAAAATCCGCCCCTTTCTCAGGAAGCGTGCAATTTCGAAGGCGCAAATCATTCGGCAGCTGTCCAACATAGATTATATAGAATTGGAGCATCACATATCCATTAGCAACGAAAAACGGGCGGATTCGAACAGGAAATGAACAGTGTGTGCTCGAGGGGGGCCACGATGCTGGAAGTCAGCGCTAGACGCCTGTCGCGTTCGACGTTGAAGGCACGCCGTGCAGTGCAAGTGCTAGCTACCTGGTAGGTAGTAGTAGTACCTAGGTAGTAGGTCGAGGAGAGGTGGACAGGCGGACAGGTGGGCTGACCGAGATGATGCCAAGAAAAGGCTTCCCGAATCTGGACAGACCCACAGACGCCACGCAGATTGGCCGCCGGTGAGATTGCGTTGCTTGGCAGGCCCCATGATTGGCTGTCACCTGTTCAACCCCTTTTCCAGTTTCAACCTCCGGCGTCCTCAATCCAACCCCTGACCCTCAACATGGGGCCCTGCTTTGGGCCCTGCTTTGTGTGTCTCGCTTGCTCCCGGTAAAATGGGCAATGACATATTGTCTTGCTGAGCCCTACCATGAGAAACGAGAAGAGAAAAAGAAAGGCTCAGAGCCGCATCGCTTTGCAGAAGGCGAGATCTTCGCCAAACCCAACAAAGGATGAATGTCAGAAACGAAAGTCACCTCACGAACACTTGCAGCTGTCTACATCGGGCGGACACGATCCAGCCATATCTGTCACCATTCAAAAGTCCCGCCACAGCCCCAGCGCTATACTCCCCAGCAGCCTTGAGTGGACAGAAGGATTGACAGCTGATTTCCTGGCTGGTTCAGGCGACCCGAGACTTTAATCTCACGATGCCACTGACATCAAAGTCGGTTACGGCAAAGCTTGCTGAGCGTATCTAGAATGGTACCACGTACCCCATACTGGTCCGGCACTCGCTCCATGTAGCATAGACAGCGCCTTACCGTCGGCATCCTCGGCGGTTCCCACCAGCTCGAAAAAATCTGGAGAACGAATGAACGCGTCCAGCAGGTCCATCCACCATGCTGCATCAAGGCTCCATCAACCGTGAGTGGTCCGGTTTTTGTTTACCATGCAGACGCTTTTAGTTTTTACTTTGATTAGGGTGCCCCGTGCCACGGCCGGAAACACATGTATAACCCCCGTACTCCTCCCCTTCTTATCTTCTGGTTTTTTTCTTTCTCTTCCCAACATCAGTTCATCAATCGACCATTTGCTCGACCTTTGTGTCCCGACGTTCGTTACGCCCTCAACACACCGGTTCCTCCAGAGTCTCTATCGAGCCTCTAGTCGTTCTTTCGAACCAAACAACAAACCAAAATCAAAATGATGGTCAAATCTTCCACGGCCGTTCTGGCCTCTGCCCTCCTGGCATCCGGCGCCATGGCCTGGGCCAACGAGCCAGTCTGCAAGGTCGTCACCGTCACCGAGACCGGCACCCCTGTCTGGGTTCCTGTCGCCACCTGGGCCGACTGGGAGAAGTCCTCGTCCTCTGAGACCACCCCTCCTCCGGCTCCCAAGACCACCACTGTCTACACTGAGCACTGGGATGACTGGACCAAGACCGTCCCGCAAGCCCTGACTGTCACCACCTACACCACCATCCCGGTCGTGCCAACCTCCTCCGCCGCGCCAACCCACACCGGCAGCTGGGGTAACTCGACCGTCAGCACCGGCGCTTCTTCCACCACCGCCGCACCATCCTCCACCAGCAGCGTTGCCCCCGCCGCCGCTACCTGCCCTGCCTCCAACGGCCAGACTGTTCAACCTGGCGGCTCGTGCGGCTGCTCGTTCGCCGTTCACTGCGGTGTCCAGGCTACCCCCGACGCGAGCTCGAAGTTCTGGGAGCAGGGTGGACTTGTCGACACACTTGCTGAGTGCCTCGCTCTCTGTGACAGCAATGACAAGTGCGAGGCTGCTCTGTGGGTTGATGAACCTTCGTCCGGCGACTACCACCACTGCTGGCAGATCAGCGGCCTCGGCCAGCCAACCGGCACTGGTATTGCCCAGATCTCCTACAAGGGCACCTGCTCTGGCACCTGCGCCTCGTCGTACGGATCTGCCTAAGTTAGTCTCGACTCTTAAGAGGCTCTCCTACTGGGCATCGGCGATCTGATTCCCCTTCTTCTTTCACCTGGTACCCTGTCAACAGGGGATAGCTTGTGATGTGTGTGCGTGTTCAGGCAGGGCAAGGTGCCATCTCACCGGGGGCTCTTGGCACAACCCTACAATGTGTTCATTGTAATGTATTTAGCATGGATGGTAGGGGTTTCACGTTCATAGCTGCGCCGGGCACCTAGGCACAATGATATCAAGACTGGACAGCACAATTTGACTGTTGTTTCCGATGCGCAATTATTACTCTGTCCCAAGGAGCTGACTGCTGATACCTGTTCCAACTACTACCTGAATCGTAATCGATATCTTGGTTTCGCTACCAGTAGGGGTGATACCTGGTATACGGCGCCGCACTTTACCCGCGCTCCACTTCCCCCACCAGCACAACGGTGACCGCCTCTGGCTATATACTGGGAGGACTCGTTGTTTTTACACTCGGATGTGGGAATCACTTCAATAAGATTCTCAATATTCGGCAAGGTACGGCAGCAGCTTTGAACCCCAGTGAAGAAGTATTGATGGCTAAGGATATGGGAATCTGGGGCTTCTTCGAGAGTCCATCCGTCTGAACATTGAAGGCACATACAAACTTCCGGGTACACGATGTGCCCTCTCAGGGGGCGCGAGAAGAGTCAGCATCACCCGAAAACGGATTTTACCCCGGACCATACTCGCCGGAAAATGCGTTCTATGGCTCTGGTTCGGATGTGCAGACGTCACCAGTGAGGACCAAACGGGAGAAGAAAGCAAGGTATCAGCCATATGAACCTTTGCCTCCTCGTAAAAGCAACCTGAGACTCGCCGGCAAAAGCAAACGTGAGAAACACGCTCAATTCGGTGTGGGTCAAGAAAACATGCAACCACGATCTCCTTATCAATTTCGACGCGGAAAAAGAGTCGTCGGATCGTCGGTCGATGGCGGCGAATCCGAACAATTGAGGAAGGATCCTTTCAAAATTTACAGAAATACGGTTTCAACAAAACGGACAGCGGGCCTCCAGAGAATATTCGACAAAGAATGTTCTCTTACATGCATTCCCGCCGATCCAACAGGGTCATTGCGGATCGCTTGAACCGAGCAACCATCTCAAGCTTAATAAGGAACTTGGGCTGCGATCGTGGACCTGTTCGTGACAATGAAACTCGTCGCTTGAAGACAGGCAGCGCAGCATAGTCCTGATCAGCGTGATACATATTGGTAGCTATCTATCATCATCGAAGCTACAAGCATTCAGTAGTAAGCGTTGTACTACACTAAAGTGGACATTACAACTTCCCCCTGGCGAGGAACTTGACAGGAATATCGACGTGCCGGGCCCTCAGATACTCGGCGACATTCTTTCCCAGCCAGTCGACTGTCGAGGTACTGGTAGCGCCGCGATCCAACAGATTGCGGAATAAGAAATGCACCGCGCGCAGGTTGGGCAACTCGAACCGATCAATTTCGATCTTGGGCACCCGCGTTGGATCGTACTCCTTGCCGAGCAGCACCTTGATCGATTCGACGGACAGCAGATTCTTGAGCCAGGCGAATTCCTCCTGCGACCGGACCCAAAAGCCGCAATTGCAATCAGACCCTTTGTCGCCTGACCGGGCGTGGACGATCGTACCCAGGGGCAGACGCTGCGTGGGGCCGAACTTGGCCAAGTCGATAGGCAATGCCGTGGTAGGCTGGCTGGGTTGCCGTTCAGGAAACACCTTTGTAAGATACTTCGGGGCCGGCGGGATGATGGTGTCCCTGCCGTCAAAATGGAGCACATGCTCAACTTCGGATTGGTCAAGCAGTGTCACGTAGTACTCGAAATAGGGCTTGGGTATGCCCAGGCGGAAGTCGAGATGGAACGTGCCTCCGGGATAGGACTGCATGATATTGTCCATGAACGGACGAAGGAATTTATTGGGAGCGATGTCGTTGGAGTCTCTGGCTTGCGCAAAGACTCTGAACACGGCCGTGGCGGCAGCTTGGTTATCCGCGTCAACGGCCGGCGTGCCCAACACGCTGAAGGACAAGACTGTGAATTTGTCCGAATACGGCTTCAGCGACTTGCGCAGCTGGGCCTCGGTCATGCGTGCCTTTTCGGCCACATCCAGCCCTGTGATGAAGTACATGGCCTCAGCTTGGTAGCCACCGCGGGCCGTGATGCCAACCTTGGTAGTCGGAGGAGGTGGAAGGGCTTTGACGCCGTGCAGGGCGACGCGGTCAGGGCCGACCTGCTCAAACCAGATCTGGTCCACCACAGCCGTCACATCGCTGTTGAAGTACCAGGGGCCCTGGATTTCATACAACAATTGCGCCGAGCAAGTGTCCACCGTTACCATGCCGCCAGCACCTTTTTGTTTCGTGATGACGACCTTGCCGTCCCTCGAGATCTCAGCGATCGGGTACCCGATATCATCCCATCCAGCAGCCGTGTCCGCGAGAGCCTTGAACCCGCTAAAGTTACCGCCCGTAACATAGCAGCTGCACTCGATCAAATGGCCCGCAATGAACGAGTTGGCTAGCTCCTCCAGCTGCGTCCGCTTCCACTGGTGATACCACACGGCCGAGCCGATGACGGGAGACGCGTCCGCGACCCGTCCACACACGACAATCTGGGCGCCCTGGGCAAGTGCCTCTGCGATCCCCAGGCCGCCCAGGTACGCCTGAGCATACATAGGCTTGAACTGCCAGCTCGACAACACCTCGCCAGTATAGATGTTTTTGAACCGGGACTTGCCGGCCTCCAATGCCCTACGGACAGCCGGCAGTACCTCGTCCCCAGAGATCCACGCCACTTTGATCCTCAAGTTCTTCTTCCGGATGAGTTCGCAGACTACCTTGTACAGGGCCTCGGTGTCGGTGTTCCCCGCATTCGCAACCACTTTGATTCCGTACTTGGCCAGGTCGTCCAACGCCGGCTCCAGGGCTTCCAGAAAAGGTGCTTCGTACGCCGGCCCTGCCCCGACAAAGGGGACTCCGCCATGATCGGGTCCCAGGCCCTTGGCGTCTAGTTTCCGCGCTGCTCCACTCGTCATGTTGACTTCGGACATGTAGTCGGATATGATCACGTCCACGGGGTCGCTGGGGTATGCTTTTGCAAATGCGGCCATGGCATGGCGTCGGTCTGATGCCGAGCCAGAGGCACCTGAGAACAAGGTCAGGCTGGGTTTGTGCATTTACATATATAAGACAACAATGGCAAAAAAGCAATCATACCTGCGATTCGAATCGGTCTGGACGCCATGGCAGTAGTGGTATGTATTGTACCTCACACAGGCGTAAGCAGATACTGGTACCGGTGTGTAGTGGTATATCAATACAGTAATAGGTTGTCCTGTTAGGGACTATTTCTCGACAAAAGGTAGAAGAGATGAATATGACCTCGGCGTGGTAGCCTCGGGAAAGACAAGAGTCTACATTTTTGGAACTGATGAATAGCCGGCTCCTGGCACCGCTGCCACCAGTCTACCTACCTTACCGTAAGCCATCCAAGGCTGAGACTTGATCTCTCGATCGAACCGAGAAAACGTTGGAGAAGTGCCCAAGATCCCGAGGTCTGGGGATGCTTGGCGCGGGGAGGACGTGATGCATGAACGCGAAAGCCAGCCTCGCTAGCCTCATTGTAAGGCCGGCAAGGCTATGGTTTGCAAGTTTCCTGAAGGCATCACTTCAATTTCAAGTTGTAAGGATTGAGATTGAAACCCCGGTGCATGGTAAGACATGATGAGGCTCAACTGTCTATAGAAAATATACCTACTGGAGCCAGCTTAAATACCCCAATATAAGTCGCCCTACGTGGCGAAGCCATAACCTAAATGAGTGTTTCACCATTCATGCCCGAATCAGACGAGTAACAGGACGCTCATGGGGACGCTCATGAGGACGTTCAACATGGCGCTCGAAAGGACGACCGAGTAGGTTCACGCTCGTTTGCAGCTTATACTGGTTTGCTTCGCTCCTTAAGGCAAAACCCGGGCACAATAGCCAAGGCACGCACGCATGATGCTCAATATCAGTTTCATTCAGTATCTGATGGTTTCTCGTATGCTGTGGCCTCTACCGGCTGGATTCCTGCTGGCCATGTTGAAAGAGTCGTAGCCATTTCAGAGCTCCAAGACTTAATCGTCAAGTTAAAGATGCCAATGAAAACCATCACCGTCGCTCGCCAGTTCATGCTCCATCCTCCACCGTTACATCTTCCAAGCACCTGCTGATCTCGTTGATATCGTCACGGTCGAGCAAAAGACGAAAAGCCATGATTGTTGTTGTACACAGCCAACAGACCGTTCTCGCAATAAGGGGGCAAGGGGTCATCGCGCGCGCAAATGAATGAAAGAACTTTTGTTGCACAGACATCCTCCCATACCGGCGGTGACGCTAAATTTCGATTGCTGCGTTGCTTCCAATGACAAAAGAAAACGTGATCGTGATTGTGATTTCCGTCCCTACAGAAGAGCAAGACCATGCGGTAACTCGCCTGCTACGCTGTGGATAGATCATGACAACATCACTGTTATATCGAGTTAGAAAGAGTTACCACATAGGCTGGGTATAGACTGACCTTCATCGGGGCATAACTGCCGTATGAGTGAGCCGGGGGCAAGCCCATGGATGGGTAGATCGGTGGAGGAGGGGCAGGGCGGTAAGGAGTGCCAGCGGGACCAGAGTTGTTCTGGCTTCGGCCCCAGCTCAGACGGACGCGCGAATTGCCAATAGGATATCCCTGCATCTGGTTGATGGCCATTTCCGCCGCATGTCGTTGGACGAACTGGACGAAACCGCAGCCCTTGCCAGGTGGAATCTTAACATAGGTGATCTCGCCAAATCCTTGGAAGAAGGAACGCAACTCATCCTCGGTGACATATCCAGACAGGCCACCGACAAAAACAGTGGTATTGTTTGGGTCGGTGAACTGGTTCATTGGCTGAGGAGTCTGTTGCTGCCCGTAGTACGGCATTGGTGGCCCTCCCATTGGTGGGTATCCCATGGGACCAGCAGGACCTGGCATACCCATGTTGGCACCTTGCATCGGCAAGCCCTTGTTCTTGGGGGTGGCGGTGGAAATGCGCATGGGACGGTTACCGCAGTAAACTCCCTGCATTTCGGTCAAGGCACGCTGCTGGTCACCCTCGTCGGAAAAGCGGACGAAACCATAGCCACGCGACATGCCAGAAAGGGGATCGGTCATGATCTTGGCCGACTTGCAAGATGGGAAGCGGCTCTGGAAGAGAGACACGAGGACGTATTCGTTGACCTCTGGGCCCAAGTCGCCAACAAAAATGGAGTATTCGGGACCACGGTCATCGCGACGATCGGCCAGACCACCACCGGTAGCCCAGTTGAGCTTGAAAGGGCGGGTAGAGTTTGGCATCGGCTGGCCACTGAGCTGGAGAGCCTTGGCAGCTGCTTGAGGAGAGGAGAAATCGACGAAACAGTAACCGGCATTGCTACTGCTATGAGTTCAGAGACGCGAATGTGAGAGTAATCCGGAGATGGCTTACCCAGAAAACTTGTCACGGATCATTTTGACGCTAACTTGCTCACCCATCTGGAACCACAGGTTGCGGACGAAGTTCTCATCAATCCATGGCTCGAGTTCACCCATCCTGTCAATTTATGTTAGATGTCGAGAGACAAAAGGATATCACCCGGCTCACCAGAGAGTGGTCTTCTGCTCGCCTCCTGAACCAGGCTGGGGTGCTGCATTCACGTTCGGGTCGGGGGATTGGAAGGCCATCTGCTGTTGAGCAGAAGGATCCGTTGGCTGGCCTGGAGCAGCGCCATCTTGAGGAGGAGGAATTTGTCCCGGCGCAGCCTCCTGCTGAGCGTTCGGGAACTGGCCGTATTCGAAAGACATACTGACAGAAGAGATAACGAGGAGGTTTCGCAGATTAGGTCTGGTTCTGAAGAGATGAGTCAGTCAGTATCACAGCAGTAATGACAAGGAAGCTATCTTGGGAGTCTGTAACGCTGGGTTCTCCGATAGGAAACTCACCTGAGATTGATTTGATGAAAGCTCTTTCACACGGAATTCGCTGTGAAGGAACGTTCGAAGATTATGATAGTTGGGCGCCCTAAGAACACTTGACCAACTTTTGCAACGAAAGAATATTCGAAGGTTGAAGTTTTCAAAGGCTGCAAGGTGCAACAATAGCAAAGCGTCTGGGAGAACTGAAGTTGATTTCGAAGTCTAAATTTCAAGAATGTCAGCACAAAAGAGCCCCTCCTAGAAGCGTCGCGGACATGTGAAGACAGTGTTGTGGTGCTAAGAACAGGACAGTGAAGCTCCGTCAAAGCATCCAACTATTCATTGGCCCAGTTGCGGTCTTGCCTTGTACAGGTAGCCTTCATACGTCCTATACATGCGCAGCCCTGCTGTCTCTCATCGCGCTGGGAGCTTTTTCCATCGCATAGAACTGCGCCCGCATTTTGCTTCACGGCCATATAATTGTTTTATCCCTCGCATATAATATCAGGCAGCCATAACAGTCCTCCTCTTGACTTGTACTTTGCTTCTTGGTGCTGGGGTGGGCGCGGAAGAGTTTTCGCACATACCGGATCAAAATGCGCGGTGGTAGATGGGCCCAAATGACAGCCAAAGCCACAGATCAGACGGCAAACTCGAGCAACTCCGAGAAGCAGGGCGCCAATTGATGTAAAGCAGGAAAGCAAGTAGCACTGCAAGACTAAGAGGGACGCGCAGACGAACAAGCAGGTCACAATATGAGAGAAGGAGGAGTGGGAAGAAGAGAAGAAGAAGAGGGATGATGGATGGGGCGCGGCGGGCGAGTGGGAAAGACAGCACTAGGAAAAGAGGCCGAGCAGCGCAGCGGTTCACTGATCAGTCGTGGGTGAGGCAGAGGCAGCTCATCACTGGCAGGTACCAGGTGAGAAGGTTTGGAGCCCTGGAAGAAGAGCTACGGGCGCCAGAGCGGCAGGCAAAGGCGACGGTTACTGCTGTTGTCCGCCGGACGCCAGTGTCCACTGCTACCATCTACTATCATCCTACTCGCTGCGCTTTACAATGGACGAGCGTGCACGCTCTCCAGACACGGGATGCCAGACAGCCACAGCTGAATGGTGATTCGATGGCCGCGGGCGTTGAAGGGAGCCTGCTGGAGTCCCGGTGGCTCTTGAGTTGCTCTAGGTTCGCCGGGTGGGATGGAGACTACGACGACAGCTGGACAGACAGCGATCAGGCATGGACAGGCATTATTGTTCAATTTGTTTGCACACCACGCGCTGGCCGTCGGTTTCGTGAATTGCTACAAGTCAATGCAGATTGTCGCGGAAGTTGTAGGAGCTTTAATAACAGCTAAACAGACATTACAACGCTGTACGTCTGTTAGAATAACGGCATCTTCCAGTTGATCGTGCTGGGGTGAGAACTTCTGGAGGAGTTGGTGATAGCTCCGGGCGCAGGCACAGGGATGCCAGTGCCAGTGTCTGCCCTCGAAGTGCCTGCGCCTTCCGCCGTTTGAAACTCATGCTTCAAGCCGTTTTCATTGCAGTGCTGATAATAATACTTGAACATCCATTTGAACCTCACATCCTTTTGGATATTCCAGATCTATCACAGCTGAACCGCCTCATGCTTTGCTATCTTGCCAAACGGCCCCCTTGAGCTCGAGATCGATCATCCGATGTTTGTACACGCGAACCGAACTATCACCCCCTCCATTCCTGATCTGCATCCTGCACTAACGAAAGCCTCCCGCCAGTTGCCTGTCGTCCTTCCGACTCTTTACTACACCACACGAGGCCCAGATCGGCTCTCCATGGTGTACGCGAGCCGTGACCCTCGACTCGCACACTCTCTGCCATCATTAGTGAATCGAACCCCTGTCGAGCGAGCCCTGTCCTGCATATCCCATTTGCTGCCGCTCCTACTGGGCCTCTGAAGCCGGCCTCGAAAGAGTGTCTACTTGACTCGTCCAGGAACTACTCCTTGCCAGAAGGATAGAAGAGATAGCATGTGCCTTTTCGTTGCTAAATCCGGATTCGGTCTGAGCGGCTAGGACTGAGGATGTCGTTTGCTCATTGTTACAAGACTTCTCTACTGGCTGAGAGTTGGGCACTTTCGGAGTCAGCAGTAGTCGACCAGATACACACAACGGTAGGTGAGAATGGCCATAACAGCCACCCTAGCAACGTCGGCGAAGTGTTCGGTCAACAATAAAACAAACACCTGGACGACATCCACAGCTTTCTGCACTCTACTGTGTCTGACGGACTTGGTTAGGCGTGTGGCTAGCCTGCCTGACAACTGTATGTCTGACACCTGTCGCTTCCCTTTTCGAGCTTCCCCTAAAGTCCATGGTGATAGCGCAGGCAGACCGGGTCAACCGAAAACTGGAGTTGGGGAGCTGCAAGCGGAAGCCAGCTACTACGACTACTAGCACCAAGTCAATTTGTCCAAGGAACCCCTGTGAACACGATGACCTGCAGGCCGGCTATCAATTCTTATCATCCAAGCCCTTTCGATGGGCTGATAGACTCCGGCGGCGCCTCGCCTATCGTGGGAACGCCTTTTGCGATTCGGTCACCCAAAACGACAAGCCTTTCGAAAGCATTGCAATAGTGTGAACGCCAAGGCAGCAGCTGATGCTTTGCTCTCAGCTTGGAGCTATCATTATTATTGATCACTCCGAGTCCCTTACCTACCTATGGAACGGCATTTGGTTAGGCGCAGCGCTGATTATTGCGTAGACTGCAGCACGGGTCTGACCGTTGCTGCCCAAAAGCAAACGTCGGACTTGCAGTGGAGGTCGTGACCGGATCTGGGTCGGATCCATACGCGCTCTAGAGATGGTGACCAGGATTCAGCTCATTAATCAACTTCATCAGCCACAGTCACCTGCACGAGAGGCCAAGAAGTCCCTCGCACCCTCAGTAGTAGACCAATTCGAATCAGTTCTGGAGCATATGCAGAAGATGCTTGCGGAGAGCAGTAATGGTACTATGCCAGTGTTGGGGATTGATCAATCGACTTCCACCCCGCCCCATTACTACGATTCATCAATGAGGTAACCTTCGCCTGTTCCAATGCGCTGGGATCAGATACAGTACCTTAGGTAGATGCAAGTCATCGCCCCGTCAAACCTTTGCTCTTGGCGCACATACGACCAGATGCAGTGTGGCTTGATTGTTTCTTACTGGCTGGTGCAGGTAGGTGGCTTGCAACTTGAACCCCCCTAGACCCTTCAGCCCTGAGCGCGCGTTGTGCGACGCATGCAAACTACTACTTACGCGTTCCTCGCTACAGTAGTTTGTACAGTAGTATTTTGCACATGCAAGCCTTTGACGGGGTTCCGTAACGGGGATCGACAGCAATGAAGTGCGGCTGCTTCGTTTTGGACATATCGTGATATCCTTACTATCCCAGTATTAGAGAAGAAATGTCCCTGGGAGGGTGTGTGGGTGCGGGTGCGGGCAACTTTTGCTCATCAGGAAATACCGGTGAACCATCCCCACGACTCGGAGGACGGAATACTATACTCTCTACTAGAGCCTCATGGGAAAAAGAAAGAGATAAAAAAAGAAGAAAACAAATCGAGCCAGGGTGCTTTCAATATCGCTAGCTACTCGTACTAGTATCTAGAAGCATTGCCAGAAGCATTGCTCAAGTCTATCTTCTGCTTCTGTGCTTTGGAAGTTGCAACACTGCAATGGCCCGCTAGAACTACTCCTGCAATGCATCTCTCGTCAGTGAGGAATGAAGCCCAGAACTTGAACCAGTGCAGCTCAAATCGCCCGACTATAGGCTATGCGCTCATGCTCATGCTCATGCTCATGCCCGTTGCAGTGCCCGTTGCGTTCACCCGGCTATGACTGTATGCTAGTGCCATGTCCCATGATCATGATCAGCATGAAACCCGTAGTCGATAGTCAGTTCTTTGCTCTCCTGCAGTGCAGCCACTGCACATGAATACTACACGGTCCATTCAAACCCCGGACGCCTGCCTTGTGACCACCACCCACTGCATGTTGCGATGCGCTGTCTCGCTGAAGCTCTCGCACGATTCCCCCACACCAAATCACATCCATGCAATCGACGCCAGTAGAACCATGCATTGATCTGGCCTCGGTGTGATCAAGTGACCGATCGAATGGTCCGTGTTTAAACGCCGAACCGAACGCCTTTTTGCGGAATTGAAGGAGAAAAAACAAAAGGCCGAAGAGAAGTAAAAGAAAGAAGCTCCGTAAAATGCAATGCTGGCTCGCTGCTTGAATCATTCGAGTGCCGTTCCGTTGCAGAAACGCGTGACGAGACGAGATCCAGGCTGCAGTGGAATAGGTATCACTAGAAGAGGGTGGGTAGCAAGTACCTAGGAAAGACCCAAACCCACTGGCTGAGTCTGGGTGAAGGATGATTCTTTTGGATTTCCCAGAGAACGTAACGCCGAAAAGAAGAATAGAATCGAAATGAATTAAGAAAACGCCGATGCCGACGCAAGAGAGTTTTTTTTTATTGTTTTTCTGTCTGTTTTTGGTATCTCGAGGGTTTCAAGGCTCTGGAGACCGATTTTGCACTGAAAGTGGGTGTGGGGTGGAACCGAGGAAGAGACAATAAGAATTGCGATTGCCCTGGTGTAGCACTAGTCGATACTGGCAGAGGTCAAGCCACAATCAGAATCCCCTGGAGAAGTCCTGGATCTTGCCGTCGAGAGGATCAAAGCAGGTCTCGCGGGTGAGGTAGCGCACGTCGACATATCTGCGGTTTCTGGTGCCGATCTTTTTCAGCAACGCCTCTTCTTCGAACCCATATGATTCGAGCCACTCCTTCAGCCAGACAGAGTAGTCGTCTTCGCGATCATTGAGCTTGGCTTCTTTACAGAAGTCTTCCGGATTGGGAGGTGGAGGCACAGCTGGCAGTTTGTGGTCTTCCCACTCATCCCTTCCATTTCTATTCTCCCACTCCCAGCCGCGCCGTGCTGAAAGCATTATGTTGCGATTGTGGCGATACTCCTCTTCTGGAGAAACAGGCTTGTTGTACGAGCGAACCTGGAAAATGATCTTGTGCAGATCGCGATAGCCTCCACCGGTGTAAACGTGCTGGATCTCGGGCGCAACCTGAAAATCGTAGCCTCGTTGAGGATTGTAGCCGCGGTCAGTGGCATAGAGTATTGCGTCCATCAGACAGCGGCCAATGCCCTGCTGACGAAACTCGGCCGCGACATAGATCTCTAGTTCGGCAGTGATGGTTTCGACGTAGTCAGGAGCGCCCCAGTCGGTAGCAGCCGCCCAGCCGACGACGTTTTCATCCTTCACCGCGACGTTCTGAACCGGCTGATTTGAATTATTCATCCGACGTCGAAGTGGCTTCTTGCGAGCATTCTTGCGGGTTCGCTCGACAGCAACGATGACCGGGAGACGGTTAGATGTGCACAGTTCGTGACGACCTGCCATGTCTTGGGTAGTAATCTCCCTGAGCTCGGGAGGACGGATGCCGTTGGTAATGTGCCAGTTGTAGATTTTTGTCATGCCAGGAAAATCCGATGCCACGGCCGGTCGAAGGTAGATGTTTGCTTTGAGAGGCGTGATAGGTTTCACCGGCTCCGACGGTTCAGGTTCAGGTTCAGGTACTGGTCCATCTGCAACGGCTTCTGCTTGTTTTGCTTGTTCTGCCTCTGCCGCTTCTTCTTCCTGCTGCTGTATGGCCTGCAACCTTTCCTCCTCGGCTCGCTTGTTGCTGCGTTCCAGATATGCCATTCTCTTGTCAATGAACATCTGAGCAGTTTCGACTCTTGCTTCCTGGTTCTGATTGTCTTGCAGATCGAGCTGAGTCCGAGCTTGAAAATCGGCAGGAATGGTCAAGTCGATTAAGGCTTCCCCAGGCAAGCGTTTTGGAAAGTGACTCTTATCATAGGGATTAAGAACATAGTCCCTCGGAACAAACCCAATTCCATCCGAATGGTTGTTGAGGTTGCAGACTGACTCTGTGGGAAGAATTGCGATGTCCAGGTCGGGTGACTCTTGTGGTGTAGCTTTTTGTCTAGCTGCGCTCAGTTGCTGCAGAGTAAATATTGCGGTTTGCCCGAGCCAGTTGTCGAAATGCTCAATATATTCAGCATTGTTGTTGTAGAATCGTGGTCGGTCCTCCCAGTCAAGAGGTGGTGGGTGAAAGTTGCCATCCCAACCACGGAGGTCGTACTCGGCGACCTCTGGCTTCGTGCTGCGGATGAGTCTGCCGAAACCCATGGGCCTGGTAGAGTCTCCTTCGCTTTCTTCTTCTTCAGAACCTTCTCCATTGCTATCAGGCTTGGTGATGGGTGCCTTCAGCTCTTTAGAAGTAGCCCAGCGGGTCTTTGCATTCGGTGGGGTAACAGGAGCAGCTGTGTGGTTTCCGGCAACATTTGGTGTACCCCAGCCATCGTCAGCGCTGATTTGATGCGAGGCTTGACCAGAAACTCGTCGACCATCCTGATGTTGTGAAGCTTTCTCCGGCGTTGTTGAGAGTGTACCAACCTGCTTCAATAGACGGCCTTGTTTTACTGGAAGAGCAGCCGCCATAGGGTCCAATTCCAAAGGTAACGGCTCATCTTGTTGGTCCTCGGCTGAAGGCAGCGGCTTTCGGAGGTAGTCTAACATGGCAAGGGCGGTCGTTGTGTTGTTAGCATCGGCCTTGCGTCGTATGCGAAGACCAATCTCACGAGTGCCAGCCTTTTGAAGCCGCGCAATGACCTGTTCCGGCGTCTCACCTGCCAGCTTGAGTGTCTCGTACGTCGCAGGCGGTGGTTTTGGTTTCTCCTCTTTTGTGCCCTTGCGCCCACTAGCACCACCATTGGCCCTAGCCGTACCTGGTTGAGATGCTGAGCTGGCATGGTCGGCTGCCTCCATCTTCTCTTTCAAGACCACTTGCCTTGGCTTGTACGGGAGGCCGTTTGGTAGCTTTTCAGTGGTCTTGATTGCCGTGCCCTGAGCTTCTTGGCCGGTAATGACTTTCAATTTATTTTCGGATGAAGCACTCGAATCGTTTTTGGGGGCTGCCACATGGTGGTTCGACTTGTCTGCCGGGAGATCTTCGTTCACCGCAAGGGCTTCTGTAACATTGTTCCTAGTGTCAGGCAAAGTCTTTATCTCATTCACAGGGTTGATGCTAGGCTGTGCAGGAGACTGAGACAGGGCCGACTTCTTACCAGGAACCCAGCCCTGAACGGAGCGGATTGCGCCTGGATGTCCGTAGGCATAAGGATTGAAGACGGGTGGTGTGAATGCTGCAGGCATCGCTGCACCTGCTGAGCGGTCTCCGTCCGTGGATGATGTTTGAAGGGTCTTTGCCTGTGAAATCACGGGGTCCTGTGAAGTCACTGGGGTCTCTGAAGGAACTGGGTTCGTTGTTTCATTAACATGGTTTGTTGACGGCACTTCTGTGTCCACAGGTTGGATAGCCGGCTGCCGACCTTTAGAAGGTGTGTTGGACTTTGATTTGGCGGTGGGATCGCCATAAGCTTTCGGATCGAAGACCATCATCCCGGCGGCTGATGAAGACTACATAAGATGAAGTGTTAGAATGCGAACACGGAATTAATAGTTGAGGGGTTCTTCACCTCTTGTGCCTCACTTTTGGAATTACCTCTTGGCATGGAGATGTCACATCCATGTGAAGACCATTTTCCAGATAGTGAAGACGTCCCAGGGGAGGACGGCTGGCAGCCTATGGGGCTCTGGTCCATAGTGACTGTAAAGTGACTACCCCTCCGCTAGCTTCGTTGGAAATGAATGCTGGGGTTTCAGAATCAGAAATCTTGATCAACTTGTTTGTCTGCTTCAAGGACTGAGTGATGTTATGAAAAATGTCTTAGATGAGAAATGGACGGAGATAGTTCTATAGTATAGACTGCCATCGTCCTATTCAGGTCGACCCAAAGAGGACAAGGCTCGGCGGCCGGGGGGTGATTGTGTTTGAACCAGTGGTTAGACATCTAGCGGGGCAAAATCAGAAGAGAGCAGGGGTACAGGCAAGGACAAACTGAATCAGATGTGAACCAGAACACAGAACTTTACGTAGAGACTCATTGTTGCTCTCAAGGTTTGGATGAGCCAGTGGAAGTCTAATTCTGGCCTGGAAATCCGATGTTCAACGACTATTGTTGCCTGCCTGACGTTGGTTTCCTTATTGATGAACACTGACCGCTGCTTTACAGACACAGTTGCCGCCCTAGTCCCTGTGTTTACCGCCGCCATTTCTGCACAACTGAAGCCTTGTATCAAAGCCGTTCGAGCAGGTACTACAATGGCTGATTGACTGCCTGATACGACCATTATACTTTCCTTCGGGATTGATGGGAGCCCGGGAATAAGACTCGATGTTCTAGCATCTGGCACACTGGCCAGCTCAGCCCACAATGCTTTCCATCCTTCGCAAGGCCCGACTGAAGGACAAGGAAATGCGCATTCTCATGTTGTAGGATAGGAGCGCTCGTTGCCATTGGCCCCTCGAATACTGATCACAGTTGCAGAGGACTTGATAATGCCGGCAAGACTACCATAGTTAAAAAGATTATGAACGAAGATGTCAATACTGTTAGTCCGACGCTGGGCTTTATCATCAAAACAATCGACTTTGGCGGGTGAGGCGAGTTCGTTGAGAACCACATTTGTCTGTTGCTGAGGCTCTTTCTGCAGTTACAAGCTCAATATCTGGGATGTCGGAGGCCAAAAAACAATAAGATCATACTGGCGCAACTACTTTGAAAAGACCGATGCATTAATCTGGGTGGTCGACGCGACAGACCGCCTACGAATAGAAGACTGCAAGGAGGAATTGAAAGGGCTGCTGGTGGAAGAGGTATGTAGAGTGCTTTTCGAAAGGTCCTTCTGCTGACTTGCCGCTTCAAGCGTCTTGCTGGGGCAAGTCTGCTGGTATTTCTCAACAAGATCGACGTGAGCGGGTGCATGGACGTGGCAGAAGTCACCAAAGCACTAGAACTCGAAAAGATCCGGACTCATCATTGGACTGTTGTGCCTTGTAGCGCCATGACAGGAGAAAATCTGGAGAAAGGGTTGGAGTGGGTGGTGCAGGATGCAAAGGATCGTTTGTTCCTGTACTAGAGCATTGCATTATTGTACATCACTCACAAGGAACCTTCTGAAGCACTCGATCTGCTTGTGTTTATGCGTCGAGATTCGAAACAAGCGCCGTCGAATAGAAGCGACCAGGGTCCATGCAAAACACAGGCACAGGCCACAAATTGGCCGTAGGCGAGCTGGGCCGCCGCGCCAGCAGCAGACCACAGGGTCGGCCTAGCCGCGGTGTCTAAGATCGCTTCTCCAGATGCTGCGAAATACAGGTTCATCGCAGAAGGGCGAAGGGAATTATAGATCTTGTAGGAAGTGCAGCTCGGGGAGAGGGAGTCGAAGTTGTCAGTCCTGCGGGAAGACGCGCGCTCCCGTCTTTGCCTCTCGCAACCAACGCAACTGGCACATCCAGAACTGGCGCTGCATCAACATCAACAAAAGCTTCCGAAGACGCCCACTGGCACTACAACACTGTACTAGATCCTTGTTGTCCCATTCCACCACACCTTTCTATCCTTCTAGCCCACTATTGGGACTTTCTCTGATACAGCCAAAACTCTCTCTCTTTTCTGCCTGTCCGTGAAGCGCTCAGCGTCCGCGTCCCAATTCCCCGAATGGTCGAGCCCATCGAGCAATGACTGCGCCATAGACAATTCACCTACTGCGCCCACCGTCAGCAACTCGGCATTTCCCTTGACCATATTCAGCATGGACGCGTCTAACGATGGTTCCGAGTCGGTTGACCAGTTTCTGGCCCGTATTGCTAGCCTGAATTCCAAACAGGGTCTTGAAGAGGCGGAGCGGTCCAAGAAGATGGAGGAGGAAATGCTGCAAGCGAGACGGGAGAGACAAGCGAGACGAGCTGGTGCGTTATAATCGTTGCGATACTTCATCAATGTTCTTGTACCTCTGACTCTGGTAGAACGTGCCCGTTCCCTCTCCCCATCCAAAACCGGGCCTGCACCCTCGCTTCGACACGTAGGAGAAGAGACGCCCAAGCACAATAAACAGATTGAACCCACTGTCGCCCTCACTCCGCCGCTCCAATCGCGAACCCTAGGCCGCGCGGGCTCGATCTCCCCTAAACCAAGGCGACCTTCAGTCTCCGGTGTTGACTTCTCGCGGCCGTTGCCTCCTCTGTCGGCCGATGATCCACGCCCAATTCCCAGTCCTCCTCTAAACGCAACTTCTTTGTCGAGGAGTGGCACACTCTCGTGGAATCAAAGACCATCACCCAGGGGCATCGGCTCAATACGGTCGCGACCGCAGTCTGTGGTCTCGCTTCCCGACGCTAGCGCCGCTCTGAGGTCTCCGACACCAAAACATGAAGAGGACATGTCCAAGAAAGAGATTTCGGCTTCGTTGAGCACAAAAGACCCGTCATGGTTCCGTCAGACTCCAGACCGAGCGGCCATTTCACCTGCATACCGCAAGAATGAAAGTGAAACCAGTGCGTCTCAATTTATGACTCGCAGCATGAGACTTCCCGGGCTCTCTGCAGAAAAGGAGCCTACCGTTGAACGTTGTGAACTGGAAAAAGAGAGAGGAACATTCTCTTCGCCAACTTCACCCGCGAAACATAACCTCTCCATGCTCGATCAGCAACACACGCCTAGTTTCGAGCCCGTGGCCAGGCCACGCCCTGTCTCCATGATCTCGGAAACCCCTTCCAAGTCGCCTGCCCTGGAGCTGCCAGCTTTTAAGCCGTTGGACCTCAACACTCCATTAGACTCAGATGCGGCTACTCTTGGGCGGAATCCTAGCGTTTTATCTCCCTCTGGACGCCCTTTGTCACCAACTAAAGGGTTGGGTGGGTTCGTCCAGAGTGCGATGATGAAGCGGTCGGACAGCGTGAGCAAGAGGTGGAGCGTACAGGCAAATGCTGGCTTGAAGCGGGGAGACTCTATAGCTGCATCGAGGCCTTCGCATCTCTCTGGCGCCTCCGAGTTCAGTCCTGGGCATAGCCGCAATTCATCCAAGGACACACGACCAGGGTGGGACCTCCAGTCATCCCCTCTATCTGGCTCGAGGCCTGTCTCAAGCCACGGAGCGGAGCCCACACTTCCATTCCGGGGCCGGCCTCTTCCAGACCCGGACAATGGGGCATCGAAATCACCCAAGGCCCGGACGGATTATGAACAGCGCGAACGGTCAGATACGCTTGAATCTCTGCGTCGACAGCAAAACATGCGACGAGCGACTCCGCCTCCACCAGAATTACCTCTTGAGCGCAGTCCCTCCAAAACTATGGATCCTCGTCGTTGGAGCCCAACCAAAGCAAGCTGGCTGGAAAGTGCGTTGAATAAACCAGACGTGCCGAAGTTCGCACCAAGCAGACCGGAAACGCCTGCCTGGAAGCTCAACTTGCAGCGTTCAAAGTTCGAGGAACAGACACGTCCTTCTGCTGTCAAGGATGCACCAACGCCCAAGGTTCTCGGTTCGCCACCTCCGGACGCACACCCGAGCAAAGAGGTATCAACTTCGACAATGAGCCCGCCTACTATTGAATCACAGCCAGCCAACTCGCAGGGGGATACTTCGAAGCCTAAGGCTGCCCACAAAAATGTCGTGGGTCCACCGGCTGATTCACTTACCGTGAAGAAAGAAGGCAAGCCCATTGTGCCCTCTAAGCGGAACATTACGCCGGGAAGCCAGAATATACCCCAGAGAGATTCATCTGAAGAGAAACAGCCATCTACCTCAGCTCAGACCAAAGTGACTGAGCCTTCTGAAGGACCTGAAAAGCCGGCTGGCCTTGAATTGAAAATCGAAAGTGAATTGCCTGTTGTGAAACCAAAACCCCGAGAAGAAATCGACAAGCCTGCCGGCGGTGATCTGAAAATCGAGAGTAAATCGCCCATTGTGAAACCAAAACCACGAAGCACAACGGAGATCGACTTCAGAGCTACCCTCAAATCCCGTCAAGCACCATCCACAACAAGCAACGATACCGAGCCGGAGTTCAAAGCAGTCTTTGGTAAACTGAAAAGGGCACAGACCCAGCATTATGTAGCGCCCGATTTGCTGAAAGATAACATCACCCGAGGCAAAGCAGCATTGAATGCCACCGGAGGGCCTCAGAAAACTCAACATGTTGACGAGTTTAAAGAGAGCATTCTACAGAAGAAGGAAGCCATGAAGGCCGGCGGCAGTGCCACGCGTAAGCGACCTGAATCAACAGATTCGAAGGCAAAGCCTGCAGAGGCTGTCCCAGAAGCACTGGCTCGCCGAATGACTCTGCACAAGGCAACGCCCTCAAAGGAGCAGGTGGAAATCAAGACCCCGGCTGGTGCCCCGAACAAGTCGACTAAACCCACTCTACACTCTGAACACCGGACCGACAAGGGAGTTTCACTAGGCACTGAGAGACCTACACCGGCCGTCCATACCAATGCAGGTACAGAGAGGTCGCAGGCAGTGGAAGCGAAAAAACCTGAGGTCGTTCTCACAGCAGCATCGGTCAACAAGCCTGGAAAAGTGTCTGCGCCCCACAGTGTCGAAACTGCTCCCGCTGCGGCTGCGGTCACAACAGAAGCACCGAAGCGCTCTAGTACAGAGCCACGATCTGGATTCAGAGTTCCTGAGAACAGCAAGATCGCCGCTAGGCTCAATCCGGCACTCGCAGGCCTTCTCTCACGCAACGGCAGTCCAAAGCTGCCAGGCGATTCTCCCTTGCCGGACGGTGGTCGAGGGCAAGTGCGCGAGATGCAGCACACCTCCCAGGGAGGCGGCGGGGAAGAGCCTGCAGAGCTGACGCATATGACAAAGGCTCGAGCCAAAGGGCCGAGAAGAAGGGCCCCAAAGGCTAGCATGTCCAAGTCTACGAGGCAAGAAAGCGCCGCACCAGCTGAGAATCGGACCGAGGCCGGGACAGACGGGCAGCCAACTCCGCCAAAACCTTTACCATTGGCAAAAGAGACAATTTCTGTTGACCTGCCTTTACGTCAATCGCGCAGCTTCGTGACTCGGGAAGCGGCAGGCACTGAAGCAGGGGAGAAGACTGAGAAGACTATCGCCAAGCCTGCGCAGGGCGCAGCACTCATTCACGCGACGTCTGAGCCAAATGGACAACAAGTCAAGCCCATCGACATCCTCAAGACTCGCTCCTATACCCAGCCGGCACCAGCTAATGAAACAGAACCGAGTCCCAAGTCAAAGCCGCCCGTTGCTAGCAAGTCTGCGGAGCTTCGAAAAGTTTCGAGTACTATTGGGGGACGTCAGCCGGCTGAAAAGACGAACTCAATGAAACCATCCACTCCCAGGAGTTTCGATGTTCTGACTGACCGACCTTCGGTCGTCTCGTCTCCTCCTGAATCCGATCTTGAAAGAAAAGCTAATACAACCAGCCCGCCGTTTCCGTCTGTCTTGCCGTTGACCCCCAGCAAGTCCAAGATGAACACTCCCAAAGCTTCGAAGCCGTCTACTGGCCCTGAAAAATCAGCGGCGCTTACATCACCAAGCAAAGTGGGCGGTCTCGGTTTGAAATTTGAGTCTCCAGCAGCCAAGAAGTCAACTACGATGCCAGAACTCACACCACCGCCGGAGCCAGATAGACTCCAGTCTCGTCTAGACCGGTCTCCTGGCCCAAACACCTCAGATTCTGGTCTGGCGTCGCAAATCGAGTCCTTTTTCGGCATGTTACCCCGACCGAGTGAGAAGGCGGAATTCGACACACAACAATTCCTTTGCTCACAAAACAGAGCTGCGGACAAAACGAAAACACTCAGTAATCAAATCTGGGAGGTGACTGGTAACGGCAAGAAGACAGCAATGCCACCTCAGCAGGAGCACATCCTATTTGAAGATTGTATGTACCTGTGTGTCCACACCATGCAATCACGGGGCGGCTCGAATGTGGTGGATGTCTATCTGTGGTGCGGGGATGAAGTTCCAGCAGCGGCCATAGAGGACGCCCAGCTTTTCTGCAGGAAGGTCGCCCGCGAAAACAGCACGAAGCTACAGGTAGTAAAACAAGGTAAAGAAAGCTCCGAATTCTTCCAGGCGCTGGGTGGCATTGTCATCGTGCGCAAGAGCAAATCATCCGCACTGTACATGCTTTGTGGTCGGCGACATCTTGGTCATTTGGCGTTTGATGAGGTCGAGTTTGACCCATCTAGTTTATCCTCTGGCCTGCCTTTCTTGATATCTGCCAAATTTGGAAAGCTCTACCTCTGGAAAGGGGCTGGTAGCGATCCGGAAGATGTGGGATGCGCCAGGTTGATTGGCATGGATCTAGGTCTCACAGGCGAGATTGAGGAGATATCCGAAGGTGAAGAACCTTCCAGCTTCTGGGAATCGTTCCCTACCGGAACAAGCAGACGACAAACCGGGCAAGAATCACACCGAAAGGGGCCGTTCCGGGGCCGTCCATCCAAGTTATATCGTGTGGAGCATGACAGACCCAAGTCTTCAGGAGGATTTTGGGGACTGAGGTCGTTATCGCCTCCGAAGCAGACACCAAAGGCGCTGGTTGAAGAGATTGTGCCATTCACTCAGAACGACGTCGACGCCCATCACATCCATATCTTGGATACCTATGCGGAAGTTTATGTGTAAGTACTGTTGTTTGAACTCTTGAGGCCAGACATGCTAACATCGACGTTAGACTGGTCGGTGCATCCGCGAAAAAGCCCTCTGAATTTGTGACGGCCATCCACATCGCCCAAGAGATGGCCGTTCTCTCGCCGTCTGTGCAAGATAGGCCTGTACTGCCGTCATGTTTCGTTGTTTTCGGCGAACCGCCCCAACATATCAAATCGGTCTTTCGGAAATGGACACCTGCACGGACGAGTCCTCAGGCAGGACAGCTATGTGTACGAGTCGAAGAAGTAATGCAGGAATTGGGAATGACGCTGTAAATGACATGGCTTAACGTGGACATGGAGGCTCAACTTGGTTTCAATTAGTGGCGCTCTACAAGCTTGCGTGGCGGAGTCTGCCCGCGTACTTTCAGATCAATCTGTACATCTTGGCTCGTCAGATTTTACGGCAGAAAGCTCGGTCTGGGTTACGATCACGAAAGGAGTTGGTCTCTCACAAAGGATGAGGGGGCATTTGTGGCATTAGATATCACGGTTGACATGGACATGTTGTTTCGCATAACAAGGCGCGATGGCCCTGAGCAGGTACCAGGTCAGCAAACACAAGATTCTTTCCAAGTGAGCCAGCGGGCAGGGTTTGAAGTTCAGCTGTGCCGACAGTCTTGTCGCCCATGCACACAGAGTACTGTGCACATATCTGTTCCAGTAGATTGCCATGTCGTTAATTCGAGGCCAATCAAAGGAGGCCGTATTATGTAATCCAGCCTCGGCAAAGCGCGTCATGATTTTCGTTCGATTCAAGTTGCGAAATCCGGACTACAACTACAACTACATGTATTCCTTGTTCCACCGCTTCATCCATTCCCTCTTCCCTCACGGCGGAAAGCATGTACTGATCATATCACCGAATTTTGGATAGCACCTACGACATGGATTGGGCGGCCCCAAATCTTCCGCAAACCAAACCCAACACCTCGGCCGTATCCGACGGCCCCACCGGCAATATCCATCTTGACCCTCAAGTACAGCGAGAATTGGCCCGTCTGGCCGATTCGATTCCATTCCGGCCGAAAGCGCGGTATTTGCATCATACATGGGCTCAGACCTTCTTCTCCCGGCCAGAACTATACTTCCAACCGGCATCTGTACCAGAGCTGCAGAAGATAGTCACGCTCGCACGAAGGTGCCGCAGACGCCTATGTGTGACCGGGTTCGGACATTCACCCTCTGATCTGACATGCACATCTTCTTGGCTCATCAACCTCGACAATCTCAGCGAGGTGCTAGAAGTTGATGTCGACAATACACCTGGACTTACTCGCTTCCAGGCCGGCATCTCGCTACATAACCTCAACCTTGCACTCGCCAAGCATGGCTATACTCTACCGAACTTGGGCTCCATCGACGTCCAGTCCGTGGCGGGAGTAATATCGACGGGGACGCATGGCTCGAGTCTCAAGCACGGGTTGATATCCGAATCCATCACCTCGTTGACGATTCTGCTATCAAACTCCCAATTAGTCACGTGTTCCGCGACTAAGAACCCGCAACTCTTCAGGGCAGCGCTCCTTTCGCTGGGCTCGCTGGGTGTTATCGTCGAGATTACATTGCAGGCCGTGCCGGACTTCAATGTGTCATGGTCGCAGTCTCTTCATTCCCTTGCATCCGTGCTGGACTCGTGGGACAAAGATCTCTGGACTTCCGAAGAATTCACCCGTGTCTGGTGGCTGCCTTATCTTCGCCGTGCAGTCGTCTGGCGTGGCTCCAAAACCGATGCTCCCACTCGGCCACCAAATACCACCTTTTACGGCGGCGCGGTCGGATATTACGTCTACCACAACCTGCTGTATCTGTCCAACATGGTCCCACGCATTCTTCCCTGGATTGAATGGTTTGTGTTTGGCATGCAGTATGGCTTCAAGCCGGGCAGGTTTGTCATGTCGGCCGTCCAACCTGCCCGGGAAGGGTTGTTGATGGATTGCCTGTACTCGCAGTTTGTGAATGAGTGGGCTCTCCCGCTGTCCAAGGGACCTGAGGCCATTAAGAGACTCTCTGCCTGGATCAACCATGAAGACGAATCTAAACACGGTATCCCAGTTTCCAGTAAAGGAATCTGGGTCCACTGTCCCGTCGAAGTGCGCGTCACCCACACCGCTAGGACCGTGCCTAATGCCTCTGGTGTCAGACCGTATCTCGATCCTACGGTCAAGGATGAACCTACATTGTATCTGAATGCAACCTTGTATCGACCTTATGGTCGTGACCCGCCTTGTCACGAGAGATACTATCAGGCCTTTGAGTACTTGATGGAAGAACTGGGTGGTCGACCTCATTGGGCCAAGAACTTTTTGGCCACCAAGGAGCAGATCGGCGGTATGTACGGTCAAGACATGGTGGAGTTCCTCAAAGTTCGCGACGAGAGTGATCCCGAAGGCATGTTTTTGGGAGAATGGCATAAGAGAACTCTCCCGTTGAGTTTGGGGTCTTGGGAGGGCAACAAAGAGAAACCCAAATTCAGCTTGATGGAAGAGGAAGTTCGTCGATCCAAGAAAGGTCTTGGTTGGGGTTTTGGTGATGGCTTGCTGTGGGAAGGGCGTGTTGTGGATGGATTGAGTGTTCCAAAGGATGATGAGGGTGTCTTTGAAGATAACGCAAAGGCGAGCGATGATGCCCCGAGCCCTCCTGTTACAACGACGAGCGAGGAATCGTTCGATTACATGGCCAAGGGTGAGGCTAGCGTTTACGCGGAAAAATAGGATTGTTGGTCAGGGTCGAATGTCGAGGTGAATATTTGAAGAGTTCGGATGCTCTAAGAGACATGTTGCAGAATTACTGGTCTATGAAAGGTCCGTCTCACGACACTTTATTTCCGGTTCCCTTCTTGGCGTTTCGTTTTGGGATCCATTCCACGGCCAACCCGAACTGGACAACTCGACTCTCGTTTCTTTTCTCCTTTGGCTGTGCAGTGTATCGGGTGGTCATCTGTCTAGACTATGCCTGCGAATCTAGGATGTCGAGTCTCCACTAGGCACCACCATTGAAAATGTCACTGAGTACCAATGAAATTTAACTTCAAATATTAATTAAAGCAATGTATCCAGTGTTTACTAATCCGGCAACTTGCTTCGTACTGACCATCCGGCACCGGCACTACTGGTCTCAATGCCCGCGCAATATCCTTCCGTTCATCTCTGCGAGGATAATAATACTCTGACTGTGCAGTGGTCGAGTGACAAGGCTGTCACCCCTTGAAGTCGAACGTCACGTGATTGATCGGTTTGTCCACGGGGGTGAGATTCTTTACATCTATGTAGCTCGACTGGACTGGTAGACAGGGGCAGTGTGAGTGTAAGTCTGGCTGTGGATATGATTGTATGGTCATCAATACCTAGGTAGTGGAGTTGGGAGCCTGGTTAAAGTATTGTCCCTGGATGGCAGGCAGGGTCGATGGGCGCCACATCCGGGACTTGGGGTTACGACCAAGAGAGGCTGTGACACGGAAGAGCAAAAAAGTCAAGTGGGAACAAACATTTCTAGCGAGAGAGATTTTGAGGAAGTCCAACTGAGTTGAATTACTTGAATCTCAATTGATTCTCTGCAAAGAGGCTAATTCAACCTGTGCATTAGGGCGGGTTGGTCACCTGTCTCTGCAACCACCACACCCAGTCTCCAAGAGTACATCTCCTCCCTTTCTGCAATCATCACCAGCGCCAATCCGAGTCACACATTGGAGCCCCTGCTCGCTTAACTCTCAATCCTTTCGAGAAGAAATGTTCTTCGTCCAGTCGAAGGGTGCGATTGCGGGTGTTTGCCCTCAGACACGGCTGCGGCGGTACCAGCGGCGGCGAGGATATCTAGATGTTTTCTCCGTCAGTTTCAATCATTCATGAATGACAGAAGTGAGGAGGAGAGGTTCCATCTTACGCTGCATCATTCGCCGCAATTGGTGCGGTAGGATCTCCGTGTGCGGTGCCACGTGCAGCCTTGCGACTCTCACGATGAATGTACCAGAGGCCCAGCAATGCACTCAGCATCCAGAAGATTGCAGACAGGAACGAAAAAGCCTCATTTGCCTTCCAACGATTACAGACGCCGCCGCGAGTGATTCCACCCCAGTTGAAAGTATGGCCGCCGCAAGAGGTTCGATCGACATAGTTGACCAGTAGGGCAAATGCCGCGAACCAGGCAAACGACAATAACAGATCGACGGGCCAGTGGATGAAACCGGCTGAGAAGGGAAGAAGCCAGAGAAGCGCAAGAAGAATGGAGATCCCGGCCACAATTTCGATGTAGATGAAGCGTGCGAGAGGTAGGCCGCTGCCGTGGCGGTAGCCGTGGAGGTAGGATCCGACGATGCCAGCGACGACCTGTAGTATACTTTGTTAGATAATGTAGGGGAAAGGAGGGGAACAGCGCCAAACTTACAGCCGCAAAGGCGAGCTGGCCGATGCGCAGCGCAATGGATAGGATTCGTGAGATGACGGGCATCTTGAAGGTTTGGCTTGCTTTCAAGTTGCTTGATGCGTGAAGAGGAGATTGGTCTCGAGAAGAGACGACGGAGAGGGATGAGATGAGATGAATGGGTAGGTGATGAGGGAAGTTGAGGTTGGAAAACAGATCAAGACCAGGGATGACTGACGAACTGATGGTTTTGGGCACTGTGGATGAAATGAATCCAAAGTGAGGCAGGACAGTACTATTAGAGTGACACTGCGCAGACATGGATGCGATCAAGGAAAAGGCGAATCCGACGATTTTCGTCGTTTGCCTACCGGGCGGCCGCCAGCCACCATCACTTACATCTTCCCTGGCACGGCGGTTGATGCTGCCCTGGCACAGCTGTCCTACCTCGATCGCCATATAACGGGTATTTGCTTTCCTCACCGGCTTTTCATTTGTGGATACATATCCGACTGCCTTGTCACGCGGGCAACAGACGCAAACCTGAGCAACATGGCAGAGCATCATTGGAGATGTTGGCGGACGGCCGCGACACTTGCATTTCTGCCCACGAACGAGCCAGCCAACAGCCCAGGGCAGCAATACTAGTACGCGTAGGTATACACATACAATGTCCTTCTTGGAGGCGGAAGACGAAGCTACCTCCTACAAATTGAAGTTGAGGATCTGGCATCTTCTGACGTCATCGCGAGGCTGAGGACGCTACGGTCTCCCAGTCGCGTTGCTCCTTCATTTCGGTGCCTTGTTTCATGTCCAAGCCTTGCCAACTTTACGAATCATTCAATCTTGAAGCGAGTAAATGGAAAAGGAAGCAGAGACGACTGCCGCTCAATGAAGACTCTAATACGCCATAACGCAATGATCATGTGATATTTTGGTAATCGAAAACCCGGATTCATAGTATATGCACCGTCCTGCAGTAGCTGCTCCCCATCGTGTCATTTCCCTGGTAAGTTGTACTCATACATTATTTTTGGTAGAAAAGACAACATAGTCTTTCTTTCTTTTCCTGCCCTGTCCTGCCCTGGCCAGCATTCAGGTTAACGCCCTAGCCGCAGCCTCAACCTCATCCCCAAAATCAAACGACCCCCCAAACAACATCTGCTTATTCTTATCCAGAATAATAGACGAAATCATAAACCCTCGACTCGTGGCATCGATCCATTTCTGCCTCATGCCCCCGCCCGACATGCGGGGATACAGGTCATCGGCGAGCTTGTCCATGTTTTCTGGCCCCGTCGGACCACCCGGCTGAAACGATAAAGCGTGACAGTTTTCGTGCGCATTTTCTGGAAGTAAAGGTAAAATGTACTTTGTGTAGGTTGACATTTCGAAATCGGTCACGTTGAACAGGGTCGGATGGATCTTGGTTCTGTCCGGCGATCCGTCGGGTTTGTAGACCATGGCTGGGTGTGAAAGCAGCGCTCGGAGGAGGGCCGCGTGCTTTTTGCCTTGGTCGAATCTTTCTTGAGGTGATGTAGGGGCCATGGCTTAGGTAGCTTAGCGTTTAAGGACTGGATTTGGTATCGTGAGAGACGAAAGAACCGGAGGTTATGTTGTCGTTTGTATGTGTACTGCAGTAAACTGTGGTACTAGTACAGGATGTTATGTTCGTGAAGTGATAGAAATCTAGGAAAAGAAAGAGGATGCAAACAGACGCAGATAGATGCAGCTGAATAAGAGCGGGCTTTTGGTGGGGTTCAAGGTTGCTTAAAGGGTCCCTCTGTAAGTTTGACACATTCTGAGGACGCATGTTCCTGAAACACGACGCGGTACGCGTAGACGCGTCAAAGTGCGGAGGTGCGCGGACGAAGTTCTACGGCGGAGTTTTAAGTGCCTTACGTTGTTTCTCCGGAGATGCACTGAGTCCGCAAACACATTTGACAAAACTTGCCGAAATGACAACAATACTTCCGAGACGAAGGCCAAAACTGGACCCAAAGGTCACATCCAGGAGAACTTGAATGACTTATTGAGTATATGGTCTCTCCCAACATGATCCCAAATGTAACAATGCTGCCAGGAACCTTCTAAATCTATCTCTAGAAACTCCTTTAAACCACTTCAATTCCGGTCATTCTCGCCGGCAATGACTCCGACCCTGAACCAGACGGCACGGTTTGTCTCTGCTGTTGCTGTTGCTGTGCCTGTTGATTTTGCGTCGTATATCCGCCAGCCTGAGCAGCGACTCCAGTCCCAGCACCGGCACTATCCAAATTCACAGGCTGCTCTGAATCAGGACTATCCACGCTTTGCACGACCAAATCACAGTCCACAATTTTCCTCCGAATAAGATCACCATTGATCCCATCATTCCTATCGAATCTCTCATGGCCTTTCTCGAGAGTCGGCTCAATTCCCGCGGCAACATGCCTCTTTGCGACCCTTTCCCTAGCAACTTCCGGCTCGACATTGACAAAGATCCTAAGATCCAACATACCACTAATATCCCGCCATTTATCCTCGTCTAGAAGCAAGTAATTGCCGTCGAGAAGAACGATCGAGGTATCCGGGGAGATCTCGACATCGTCAGCCTTGGGATCTTTCACGGCATGGTCGAACGACGGCGCGAGGATCGTGGGTCTCCTCGATGGTGGTAACTTTGCAGATTCCGCGAGATGCCTAACAAATTTCAGGATCGCGTCCACGTCGAATGTCCACGGCGCCCCGCGGCGGATATATGCTTCTTCGCGGTTGGGCAGGGTGTCCAGATACGCCCGCGTATAGTGGAATCCATCCATCGGCACGGCTTGTGCTCGACAGCGGTAGGATTCTTTGTTGTGGGAAGCAGAAGAATGTATTCCGTACGTGCCGTTGTTGTCCCCGTTGATCAGTCGGACCACATGGTTGGCAATCGTCGTCTTCCCACATCCAGGTGGCCCAGCGATGCCCACGAGTAGTCTGCCTGGATGCTTTGCGGCGGCTGCTTCACAGATTCGCTCGGCCAGCTGAGCGTATGTTGCGTCCATGCTTGGTAATGTGCTGTAGATAGCGAATGTTGGCGGCTCAAGAGTTTAAGTACTCAGTTTGCTGTTGTAATAAGTCGTGGTCGCGGTGACCGATGTTGTATACCTTTCCTTATTGTCCTGTCGCTTTTCTTGTCGGCTTCTTCTTGAGCACGATATTATAACACCGGATATGAGGGGATCCGGCTTCCCCACGAATTCACCCTCTCTCTATAGATGCAAAGACCGCCGTGCCGAATTTGCCAGCCTTGCTTCAACAAAAAATTCCTCGATTCCTCTTTACTGAAGTGTTTCTTGAAGGCAGCCACGATGTCGACTTTTAAAAGATCTGTATCCTCCCGTCTAGACTTCTTATTGTGTGCCACTGGCAGTACAGTCGATCGCAGCCCACGCTGAGCTGTGGTGGGTCTTGAGCATCATCCCCGGACGACTGTCGCCCGGTCCGGTGATTTTCCGAGTCATTCTCCGCCACCTGGGTTTGTCCCAAACTGTGTGTACCTACATTGCAATAACACTTGGGCAAGCTCCCTTTCGGTATCCTTGGATCACATGGCTCCGAAGATGATGCACGCACCAAACATACTAGTAGACTATATGCTGTAAGTCGACCAGTTTGAAGGTGGTGCATGTGGGGAGATTCAATTTATGCCGGGGTTCGGCATCGCAAGGCTGAATAAATTATTCGTAGGGCTGCGCATTCTGCGAAGACCGGCCAGATTCAGTCCGGTCAGTCACATTGGGCCATCTTGACGTCCCACGAACCAGGGATATATACTAAAATAAATATGGGATAATCCATACGTGCCTTTGGGTCCTTCAGACAGACTGTGACCATTCGCCATTTCACCAAATAATGCCACCAGGACATCTGTTCCGGGCAAAAGTCCCATGCAAAGCCGCAATCGACCGGCCTTTAGCGACATGCAGCTCAACGAGCGTAGTTGGCCAACCAAGCCAGATTTTGGGAAAGTGCCCGACGGTGGGACCGCCGCTGTTGCAACCATGATGCCGATTCTCATGAGAACATGGCAACCGACCTTGAACCGAAAACAGTCATCGCTGATTCTGCAATAACATACATCGCCGGTGGATCATCCCCTCATGTGCGCTGATATGGGCACAGCTTAAGCCATGCTCCGATGGCAGCAATGGCACAATGACAAATCTTCTTTCTCACGGTCATCGCAGCGGGTTGTGCAATGCATGACGAGATCTGACACAAGTGCATGTCCCTAAAACCCATGGGAGAGTGCGAACACCATCTCTCAACCATTCCGACCACTACCCGATTATGACTGCTTGTTCTGCCAATTTTCATCCTCTGGTTGTATGTCCGCGGGCATATGTCGGATCGCACCCGAAAGTCCAGAGAGATACAGGATCGCTGGACCCCGACAATGCCATGCACCTTCCGAGAGATGACTTTCTGTTGGCGATGAGTTTGGCTTGAACACCTGCAAAAATGCTTCCCCTTGCGGCCACGTCGTACTCCAACCAGGTCACATGTGCCGCCCCCTCCCTCACTCTCGAATTTCTCGCTACAATCACTGCTTACTTTCAACAAACCAAGCAGTGGCCTGCTCCATAATGCTCTTGCCGCCCGTTTCAATCACATCCCCATGGCACGGAATGATCCTGTCATAATCCCAGCGTCGGATCCTCTTCGCTGATTCGGCGAACCCTGGCCTATCTTTCCCGCCCGCTGCATACCACAGGAATCTCTTCTGCCATATCAAATTCCCTTGAGTATTCATCAGGCTTGCAAACAGCTTAGTCAAGATACCTGAGCGAGGATCTTCTGCCGCTTTCGAGTATTGCTCAGTAGCTGGGAGATTGAACAACATGTCGGCCTCAATCAACGTTCGACTGGGCTTGTGCAGGAAGACAAGCTCTTTGTTGGAATGAGAGTGGAAATACTCGTAATCAAACTCCTCGTCGAATTCCGGGCTGATGCGCATATCGCGTTTGTTCTTGGCTGTGAAAATATGATGGAACCTGATTCCCTTTGTGTCTGGATTTCCCTCTCTCTTTTCGGGCAAGCCCTCCACGCCGACGACTTCTGCTTCAGGATATTCTTTTGCCCAGGGAGTGACGAAGATGTGATGTTCGATATCAGGGGCAACAATGTATTTTATTGGGCCCATGGTCCTGACTTTAGACTTTACATCGGAGGTGAGGGCTACCGGCGAGAAGACTGCAATGTTTCCAGTTTGCAGCTTGACCAGGGTGGCGCGGCCGCCAACCTTGATGAGCCCGAATCGAGCGAAAGGAACACTGAGAGTGGTGATGTTAGGGGTTATGTCGCGAATCACCATCACCTTCGCAGGGTCAGAAGGGGTGGTCATTGCGAAGGTCCCAAGCGCCTGCAAGAACAAAGAGAAGGACACTGTGGACTGAGGATAGTGTGTGACTATAAAGGTCGATGGAGTAATCAAAACTGCTTTGTGGAAGTATGAAGGTTGCACCGAAGGGCTGCGTGAACGGTGGTTATATATGGACGCCTTGCTTGGTCACCTAGACGGTATCTCAAATTATTCCTCACCTCTCCGAGTGGCTTGCACATGAAACCCATACAATGGGCCTCTTGATTCGGGACGAGTGCCACGCGCAATTCAAGTTATGCACAATCGTCACGACCCGAGATATCGAGACAAGTGCATTCAGAGTGACGTCCCGCGACATGGCGAATCGCCGGGTCCACAACTGCCTGCGCTAATTCTTTTGCCAATCGCGGCGTCGTGTTGTAAGGAGCTTTGGCCCTCGAACTGTCATGATCCTTGCCGCGAGGTGAGCATCCACCCCGGGACAAACCCGACGCCTAGTGCCCGACGTTTCTCGTCCTGTAACTCAGCAAGCTGCCAAACTTCATGGGGGCTGTAGTCTGGATCGCTGTGTCTGTGGTCGATGGGAGATGCTTGCAGATGGCTCGTTGCCCGGAAGGGTCACGAAGTGTCCAGCTAACCAGGTAGGTAAGGTAGGGCTCTGATGGGAGGATAGGGGACCAAGGAGTAACGACAGCGAATGCTCTCCGCCTGCGCCAGTCAGGTATATATGCATAAAGGGGCAACCTTTCGCTCAATAATGCCTTGATTGCAGCAATCTGGGCAGGGCTTCGAGATCAATCAAGAAGACCGAATGGTAAGAAAATGGAAGCCGTTGTGTAACGAGACCGCGCAGGCTTGAGCTGCAGTGGAGGGATATGATGCACTGGCAGTGTGTGAGTGGCAGCGTTCAAGTTGCAGGCTCCCAAGCGAACTTGAAGTGCAGTGATCAAAAAGTGACGCTGCCACTCGACCACTGCAACTGAACGTCTTCAAGGCAGCAATTGCGCTTGTTTTCCTGTGCAACCTGCAGGCAGCCATTCCTCGACGTATAAGAACGCACCGCAATCCTCAATGCGCATCCTTATTTCCATCACGTCCAAGCCTGGTCTTCTACGTACAAGCATCACCATGGCCGCGGACACTGAAGCTGAAACTGACACAATCCCCGTCCTTCCTCATGATGCCGAATGCCGACCGATTGTCACCGTGAAAGAGGAACCTGCCGACCAGCAAGACAAGCAGAGCCATCAGGTACCAGTACGACAAACAAGTCCCGGTCTGTTCAATTTCACACTGGCCTTTGCTAACTTCCCACAGAACTCGAATACAATGGCAGACTCTCCCGCCCAGTCTTCGAAGGCCAAACTCAAACCATGGGATGCAATAGATCTCGAGCACGTCAAGAAATGGGCTTCGACCTACGGAGTCCCTATTGGCCTTCAACTCCTCTCCCTGCTATGTTTCTTTGCGATCCTCCTTCCGTACGCCGCCTACGCCTCGAAGAAGAAGAAAGACAAGCACCAAACCTGCACGACCATTGCTCAACGTCTCTACGAGACCAATCTCGCCCGATGTGATGCCAATGCCGCAGGAAGTTTCAGCCTTCCTGGTGGTACCGTTGGATTCAACTGGTTGGAGATCACGGGGATAGCGGCTGCGAGTGCAATCTGGCACTTCTTGACTTGGTACCTCCAACGAGAAGTGGCTGCTGGTAGAATCCATTTCTCCAAGAACAGAGGTCAGAAGTGATCGTATGAGAAATGAAATGGGGTGCTATCTGCAAGGGGCAGACCAGCAAATGTTGTGTTCAAGTTCTTCCGGCGGTCAATAAAGCGACCGCAATGCAACGCCAGAACGCTTGCATCTGAAGTATGGCTCTATGTATCAATGGTTCCCAAAATCCAACCATGATCAGTCATTATCTTTACGCCTGTAGAAACAATTTTCATCGTAGATCGCCCGCGACTGTTCCGTCATAATTCCCACGACGAGTTGTCATCCAGTAACCCACTGCCAGCACAAACGGATCTTCGTCCTTCCTCAAATCGACGTACGAGGTTTCGATACACTTCGTCATCTGGCCCAGGACGGGCTAGATCCTCCTCTTCAAAGATCACATATGCAGCATTTCCCGAGGAAATTTCGGCATTGGGCCCTTCTTCTGGTTCTGCACGACCAGCAGTAGCAGTCATAGCCAACCTTCTCATCTCTTTCCGAGGGCTGTGGAGGGCCTTCTTGGTCAGCAGCAGAACATCCGGGTTGCCGCCAGATGCCGGATTGAGCGGGGCCCAAGGATCTCTGGGGTTGCTGGACCCCAAGGCACCATCTAGTGCCGCCCCGTCGAGCATTAGTCCAGGGGTCCGCAGGTATAATGCCTGTTCATAATCCCATCGTTTCCACTGCAGCTCACCCAGAAGCTGCGCTCTTACATCCAATCCTGGACGGATGTGGACAGGACGATATACGAGATCGTACAAGTCTTGCACGTCACGCATGAAGCTCAGCGCAGACGTTTGAAGGGATGAGGTGCCTGATTCCCAGGTGGATGGATATAAAAGCACGATCGAAGGTTGGGTCGGCAATTGAGAGGAAGATCTGTGTTGTTTGGCAAACAGAAGTGCGGCACATAGGTCGGATGGTTCAAGAAGTGCAAAAATGTAAGCGAGACGTTGAGGAGGACCAGCAGAGTCCGTTCTCTGATCAGACTCTTTGGAAGCTGGCGCAACGTCACTTGGTTCGGCAAGGAGAACTTGGTCGGGTCTCTCAAGAATGGGAACTTGTATGGATTCCCCGACGTTTCCAGTTCCGTCTGGGCTTTGAGCGTCTAACACTGGGAGAGTCGTCTCATCTTCTTTGTCCTCGAAGATCCCGAACGTTGTCTGGTTGTCCGGGGTTCGGAATTGGGGTGGTAGCGTCGGCACAGGTTTTGGTTCGGGAGGTTGGCGTATTGCTTCTCGCAATGCTGTAACGGTTTGTTGTTGCAGGACATATCCGGACAAAAAAAGCAAAAACGTAAATAGACACACGATACTGCTCGATATTACAACCGAGACTGCAGATGAAGTGAGGAGCACCATGTCGGCGCAAGGATCAGGCCGTGACCCAAGTGCCGATGCGGCGGTGCTCAGTGGTCCGGACGAGGGCGCGGTCACGGACAGCCCTCTCTGGGATTCGGATATTGGTACAAGGTATGGTACAGTATATTAGAGTTTTGACTCTCCTCTGGTACTGCAGAAGATAGATCGACCTGGTGTATCCAAGACTCTGTATAGGGTTCGTGGTTGGTCAACAGCCGGAGTTGAGTATCGTCCTGCAGCACTTGTCCGGATGTTTACATTTCCGTTGCAGCGGGCAACCGTCGGACTTGGCGCCATGACGTCGCGGAGAAATTGAACTTTTGTTGCGCGCAGAGGAACACGAGAACACTACACGAGATAATCATGATGAAAGGCAACATCCTCGACGAGTAAGACAGAACAACTTGTATCTGTCGCGAAGAGTCCCTCATAGGACGCGCCAAAATGACTCACCGCGCCGATGCATCCAACACCCTCGACAATCGGGGCTATTCAGGGCCGCTGATTCGAGGGCAAAACCCGGCCCTGCTCTTCGAGACACCCATGCGAGATCGGATCACGGATTCTCTGTATTGGAAAGAGCAGTGCTTCGGTCTCAACGCCGCCACCCTATGCGATCGAGCAGTCGAACTCACATACATTGGTGGTACATATGGCGTCGCAATGAAACCAACCCCGTTCATCTGCCTGGCTTTCAAGTTGTTGACGCTGGTCCCGGACAAGGAGATTGTTTTGGAATATCTGAAAAACGGAGGAGAGGAATGGAAATACCTGCGAGCACTTGCCGCCTTTTACATCAGGTTGACCTTCGATCCGGCCGACGTATACAAAACTTTAGAGCCGCTGCTGGAGGACTACCGGAAATTGAGATATCGTCGAAAGGAAACATACGAGCTGATACACATGGATGAGTTTGTGGACAATCTCTTGACGAAAGAGCGGGTGTGCGGAACAAGCTTATGGAAACTGCCGGCGAGACAATTGTTGGAGGATCTGGACCAGCTTGAGGAACGCGTCAGTCCGCTTCAGGCCGAGCTGGATGCTATGGAAGAGGAGGATGACGATGTGGTCGAAACGGCCGGTAGAAATGGAACGGCGAGTGAGAATGGTGGCAGCCCAAGCCCTACGAGCAGGAGCAGGAGTAGAAGCAGAAGTGAAAGCGGCTCTATTAATGGGTGAACATGCCCAAGAGATCGGCACAGCCCTAACATATAACAACACTGGAAAGCACCCTCATCATCACACGACAACAAATTCGTCCTCGACAAGGCTGTCGCTTTTTGCGAGGCAGCCCTCGCTGACCGGCTCAGGCTCTCCTTGCGATGTGCTATCGGCCTTGGTCGAGGGTGATAACGTCGAAGCCTGGGCCTTGATCAAGTCAACCAAGGAGATGCTATCGTCATGACGATCCCAAGTGGGATGGTGGACATTTTTGTCTGGCGTTTTCACCTCGTGAAGGTCGGGACTCTCCTGTTGCGGCGATTCACGCGCCTCCGAGGCATTGTCGGCCGAGACTGAAATCTCGCGATCTAGAATTTCGACTGGCGCGACAGAGCTATCGACATCATCAACTCCAGCTTGCCTTTGAGGAGAAGCAGATGTTGCATCGTGCCGATGCGCTGTTGCAGGCTCTTCACCCACCGACGCATCATCAAGGCTTGCAGATGGCCGATTCAAAACGTCAACGTCCTCCTCAACGTTTCCCTCGGAGACTGCGCTTGCAGGCTCTCCTTGGTCACGATACAGCAAGTCCCTTTCCCTCCAAGCCTCCCTTCTGGTGAAAGAACACCATTCAGGAGCATCACACGGCTCATCAAGCAACTGCACCATACTCGGACCGCCAATGTCCGTATTCACCACATTCAGCAATGTAATGCAGTACCCATCATCGTCAGCCTCCATTTCAACAAGCGCGCCGCCATACACGCGAACGGGCCAGACGTTCCATTGATGCTGCAACTGACTGACTGTCTCGTCGACCACACGACTGAACGTATTTCGATCTAATCGGCTTGACTGATTGATCAACACGACCGGTTCGTTGGAGTTCATTTGCACCGTGCGAGAGCGAGAACGAGAAGTCTTTCTGTCCAATAGTCCCTGCAGAAGCAAGCCAACTGCTCGCGCAGGTTCGTCTAGTAGCTCACTCTTGAGACTGTCACTGTTCTCGACGAGGCTTGGATCGTCCACGGGGCGAACCTGGGTTGATGAGGCTGTCATCATATTGTCCGTAACCAGCTTGGCTACTTTGCGTACGTTGGTTACGTCGTAGCCCACTTTTATCAATGCATCGCAAATCTTTGCGACCAGTATCATGCCAGGATTTTGACTTGAATCTGTTGCTTCTTGTTCTTTGGCTGAGTCACCAGTCTTGTTCGGGTGGTCCGAGACGGTCTCGCCTTGATGGAAATCGACAAAGTCCCCGACTTCGATGTTGGGTTGCTGGGGTAAATCCAGGAACCCTTCCCCTCCAAATCCAGGCTTATTGGAACTCCCCATTGCAGGGATAGTCGATAGATACTAGATAGTAAATACTTTGTCAATGGTGTGAGCGACGGCGCCTCCGAAATGCCCAACTGCAAAACAACGGCTACCGGTCTAGTATACTCTTCGCTCCCTTGCGAGCACTAAGAGTGAGATTGATGTACTGTGATGAGAATGAGAAATTATAAGAGACACAGTCATAGATAACAGTACGGTAGATAGTTACCCCAGATCCCTAGGTACAGTATTTCATCACATGTCAACGGAATAGATGTGACACGTCCAAGTCCGAAGCGAATCAATGGTAAGTCTGAGTGGCAGGCAGTCAATTGTCAACAACAGGGTTCTTCGTCTCTTCAAACTTGAACACCCCTGTTCAAGTGCAAGCAGAGATGACGCCATTATCCATCAGCATACCAGGAAAGGACTGCTCATTCTCCATCGTGCACAAACAACAAAAAGCAAAGATTGCTCCTCGCCGAGAGGATACAATACACAAGAGGAAATGAAATTGTCTCTCTGTTCCAACAGCTATAAATGATACCAGGCTGATGGTATGCTATTGTCAACTAGATGTCACGCCCAGTCTTGTTGATTTTTCACTTTGAATGTTCAAACATGGACGGGCACCCATCCAATATCTCGCTAACCCTAACCTGATCTGCCCCGATCATAATCGGATGTAACTCCCTACTAAGTCTCGACAGAGATAGGAATCGGACCATCAACCCCAGCAGGGCTCGACCCAGGTCCACCATACCCCTGCTGTCTAAGCCATTTGTCCCGCCATCCAGGAAAATAAGGACTTTCATCCAACGTATGATGCTGCCAATCCTTCTCGACGAGCCCCTTTGCAATCTGTTCGCGCTCAAACTCTTCCAGCGTGGGAATGACGACATGTTCCACATGCCATGTGTTCTTGTACTTCATGAGATTTTCCTTGCCCTCACGCATCACTTTGAGCACCAAACTCGGAATGTACGGCTCGTCGCGGAATTCGGACAGTGGTGTGAACAGCGCTTTGAAGTTGAACACCACCGCGCCAGACAGCGGTAGCCGACGCAGCGTCTGCCAGTCGACGCGGAGATGGACACGAGACGGGTCGAGGTCGGGACACTGGAAGTCGCGGTACTTTTCGTGCGGGTCGCCGGGTGGCATGTAGAGAGGTTTGTCGACTTCCAGACCCCAAGAGCCGCGTTGAATGGGTTTCTGGGCGGGCATTTTGGTGAAGAATCTAAATAACAAAAACCAACCAGGGCATATTAGATACCAATTTTCGTAATGCCAGCCAGCCAGGCAGGCAGTAATCATAATCACAAACAAATAGTAACTTACCGATCCATACTGAATTGCATCTTCTCCTTGTAATCCGGAATCGGGGCGTGGATCTCATGCAGCTGGAGGCCAATCTTAGTGCCCACGTTCCAACCCAGCGCCGAGCAGATCATCCCCGCCCGCAAATGGTAATACCCGGTCTCCGGGTTCCGCAGCATCAGGGCGAAATCTTCGGGTATGTTGTCCAGCATGACAAGTAAAGGATGTTTGACGCTGACATCCTGCTTCGTGCCGAGGATTCGGTTTTCAAACGTCTTGTTGTCGTCATGTAGGACAAAATATTGCGGGTACCGAGCGCACAGGAATTGCAACGACATCTCCATCAGTTCTTTGCACGCAAGTTCCGAGCCCGGAAGCCAGGCTAGGATGGATTCGCCGTGTTCGGCATACAGTCGTTTGCGTTCTGCGATTCGTTCGACGTACGTATTCTCGAGTTCGAGCCACCAGTCAGGTTCCATTTTGGTCAAAGCTGAATCGGAAAATTAACTGGTCAGTTCTGGAGCAATCAAACATTTCGTGCCTTTTCTGTCGCCAACTTACACATTGTCTGATGATAGGCCCAGCGAAACGGCCGATATGGCCGTGGCAGCGCCTTGTTGATGTCATGCTCGAGGTATGGTTTAGGGAGAGGTACTCCGCTTAGAACAGAGTAGTCCGGAAAGTCTCCTAGAGCCCGCACCTCCTGGACCTTCACTCCCGTGTAGATGTATTTGTTGGGGTCACATGTTCGGAAGTCCTCTTCAAACCCGAGGATGGACTTTGACCAATTTTTTTCGTCGAATTCGAGATCACCGAGGGCATTGCGTCTGCCATCGGGAAGTTTGTTGATGACCTCGGCCAGGTTGTCCCGGATCAGTGGTGGAAAGCTGTTGACATATTCAGAGGCCTTGAGAGGAGTGTTGGTCGGTTGTTTCTTGTCCGGCGAGAGTGAGCGTGGTGGTGTGTTGGCACTAGATGCACGACGTCCTCTGAGTCTCAACCGCTCGAATACAACTTGTTTCTGCCGCTGACTGAGGCTCAGATATGTAATTGCACTTAGGCAAATGGCGAGGCCCAAGTAGAGCCATACATTCGCGTTCGTGATTGAGACCATTGCTATCTGTCCTTCGTAGAGCAGTATATAATGATTCGATGGCTCAGACTTTTTGAGAGGAGCAATGGCGTCTTTAAATAGCAACCTGTCGTTGGGAGAGCAGCTGCTGAGTCCGAAGAGTCACCGGTTCGTTGGAAAAGCGACCGCCTTTCGGAGGAGCAGCGCTTCGTTCGATAGCAAGGCTGTCCCGAGTCAACTAAAATGAACGTTCAGATAGCCGATATAGAGCGGAAGTGAAGAGCCTCGTGCGCGGGCAGATATGGCTATCGATGCGTAGATGTGTGAAACAGAGAGACTCCAAACAAAACAACAGACAATGGGCTAGACTACACCACCGGGGTGCGAATAATAGTCAAAATAGTGAGTCCAATGTTTCGTTGTTGATGAAACTTCACAAAATCAGCGAGTAGGGTGCTAGATATAAAGCCTGGCCAGAGCTGGGCTGGCAAGCGAGGCATCGAGGGACACAAGTACTGGGTCAGGGACCGGGGAGATATGAGCTCAAAGAGGCGTAGAAAAGAAGCCAGGGCCCACGTTGTGCATGGCCAACAGCCGGTCCCCACACTTGGTTGTACCAGGAGGGAAATCATATACCATGGCCCATTGTTCTCTGGGTCCAAGTTCCAGAGGACAGGTGACATAGTGACCTGGGCCAGAGTGGCAGTCTGGCAGGGTGATCGCAGTCGTTCATGTCGGATAGTCGGCCACCGGCAGTGATTTGACGCAGACAAGCTGCCAGAGGGGCATTGGGGCGAACAAAAGCATGGCCGCCCTTCGCCTTTGGCAGCGGGGAAGGACGCAGACGATATGCCAGGCCGAGGCGAGGATGAGAGCGCTGGTGGCCGATTGCGATGGAGGCCAGAGCGAGGCGGTTGGCTGCACGGACAGCCTTGCCAAACCGGGTTTAGGGCCGGCCGATAAGGCGATAACGATAACAATCCGCCGGCGAGTCGTGATTGGCTCGAGAAGCACCGCACGACCCGGCGAAGATGGGCCCTGCTTCTGCCCCTTTCGGGCAAATCTATCCTGCCGGCATGGCATGGCTTTCGCTTGCTGTGGCCTTGGCCTTCTCGGTCTTCTTCGCTGCTACCTCTGTGCGTCCGTGTATTCTTTTGTTTTGCTTTGTAGTAGTAGTGTGTTGCATCGGGCGATCAGGTTGTGGACGCAAACACTCTGGATATGCAGGGCCACGGAAGGAAGGGAGGGATTGGTGCTATGTGCAACATATCACCAGCTGCGCCCGGCCGTTCAAAGCCAACCATCATGATTTCCCCTAATTTGCTTCTTGTACAACACAACCAGCTGCATCTCTGTTGGGTCAGGAGGCGCATTTTCATTCTCGAAGCAACTACCTTGCGTTCGGGATGGCGCTCTGTGTCACTTCGCCCTGTCGCAGTGGCTCAACGATCTTGCCCGGGGCACACGTGGTCGGGCTGAGTTACGGCTTCATGCAGATTTGCCTCGAACTTGCTCACAAGATGCTCCATTGAATTGACCGCGGATCAGAGGGGACGTAACAAACTCGACCCCACGCAACCAGACGTCCTGTGCGCCCGGATTTATCGTTTTCCGTGGGTGAATCCTCATGAGGTGGCGGGCATGGGACAGACCACAGTGTCCTACTGATATCAGCGCCCTTCCAACTCTGTGGTTCAACGCTCATGTGGCTGGAGGGCGTCCCACCTCACTTTTTCCAGCCATGACCTGATTTTGCACCCAATGATGCTGTTCTCTGGGAAGCCTTTTCCATAGTTACCGTTTCATTGCCTCTGAATATTGTTGTCGCCGAACTAGATACTTGTTCCTCTGCACGTGCTTCCCAGCACTCGTCGGCGTTGTCGGACGGGGTTGGCTCACCTAGGACAGAGCTTCAGTCATGACCAAGCCGACGGACAGGCGGCAAGAATGTCGGCCAAATGCTCCATCATATGCCACCAGTGTGACGAGTGCGAGTAGGACCCGATCCAACATTCGATGATAGTGTAACCGTCCCATGGTGACGAGACTGTTTCGACTGTGTCTAAACGTCGAGGCCGGCAGGATTGAACATCCAGGGAGCGGTGAGGAGGATCTGCCCGAGTAGGGAGTTTGGGGTAACAACAAGTCTGAGACAGGGCAATGAAGGGGACTCGGGTTGATCAAGGAACAAGCGTCAAACAATTTTGACAAACAATATTCCTCTGTCGAAGCACTCGAATCGCAGCCGATGCTAAATCAGAAAGTTCAAAGACCGCGTGATGAAGCCACCATACCTTCACCATTTGCTGCTTGGTTTAGAACAATCAAAAGATTTGTAGAATTGTCGGTCTAGTTGGTCCAGTACACGGTTGTGACGCGGTTGTGACGCGGTTGTCCCACGTTGTAGAGCCAGAGAGTTAGGTTCCAGTTATTGCAACTGTCCATCTCGTTGCAACTTACCTAGTTATTGCATGTCCGACATTCTGGCCTAACAGAAAAATAGCACAATGGATGACCAGGGACATGATAGCAGGAGCTATGTACATCGAGGCCCAGCTTCCTGATTGTTCGTCTAGAAGACTTTTCGGCTGGTGGTAGTGTTGCGGCGATGATGCACATCTTGTACGCCTGCTCCGCCATAAAATTTTCGAATGCTCTCACGAGTCCGAAATGCCTGCGCTCATGTCGGATCCAGCAAACACTGGCCTTCATCATTGATTTCTTTTCTTGTCTGGGATTTTATGAGTCAGACGGCCTCCGACTAGAAATAGCATGGCTGTTGAGGCGACTGTTTACTTCCCCATTACCTCTTCAACACCAATATGGGGTCATTCGTGCCTCGACATGTCTATCCGCATCTGTCCTCGATACCCAGGTCCTACTATCTAGGACATCATGCAGCCGGGCTGGCGAAGATGAAGTCGATGGTCTCGCAGATCGACCTTGTGATTGAATGCCGCGACTATCGAACGCCTATTGTCTCCCGCAATCCCCTGTTCGAAGCCAATCTGGGCGAACGTCCGAGACTGATTGTCTACACGAAGCAAGACCTGGGGAGTAACTATACTGGCGAAGATAAGAAAGTAAGGGAGCTTGGCCTGCCGTATCTTGGATGTTGATGCTAACATATCATGCCAGCGAGAAGCCATTGTACAGAAATGGGATGCCCCCTCGACCTCTTTGTTCGCCGACGTAAAGTCTCGATCCGCCATAAACCGAGTGCTTGACTTCGCTCGGGCCCATGCGAATGAGTCGACGTCTCTCTTCGGAACTCGCCTCATGGTCGTCGGTATGCCCAATGTTGGCAAATCTTCCCTTCTGAACGCATTACGGAACGTCAGTCTGGGGAAGAAGAAGGCTGCCAGAACAGGAGATCAACCAGGCGTTACGCGCAAGATCGGAACCAGTGTAAAGATAATTGACGGAGAGGACGGCAAGGAGGGGGTCTATGTTCTCGACACCCCTGGTGTGTTCGTGCCGTACGTCCCGGACGCCGAAAGTATGCTCAAGCTCGCACTCTGTGGGAATGTCAAGGACACCATCATTCCCCCGACCACGATCGCCGACTATCTGCTGTTCCATTTGAATTTGCGTGATCCAAGGTCATATGAAATGTTCTCGGAGCCAACCAACGATGTATTTGTTGTGCTGGAGGGTCTTGCAAGGAAGCAAGGGCGATTGAAGAAAGGTGGTGCTCCGGATTTCGAGTCTTCTGCCTTGCAATTTGTCCAACGTTGGCGAAGTGGTCAGATGGGCCGGTTTGTGCTGGATGACGTTACCGACGACGCACTGTTCCGAAGAAATGAACAGCTCAACTTGTATGGTGGGAGCATGAACCAAGCCCGCAAAGCAGCGAAGCAGCTGCGAAAAGAGGCATATCTCGGTGCAGGATGAACGGAGCTCAGATGACCAACACATCCATCTCCACTCTCAGCATTCCAGCTTTACAAGTCGGCGGCCACCATGAACATACTAGTTCCAGTGCTGGTCATGCATCTGTAGGTTTGAGGTGCCTTCTCCAGCCAAGGACGGATCTCCATGTCATCTTCCCAGGACAACGCTGCCATCCGAGTGTCTCCCATCGCACGTCGCCCGAGCCTCCCGCTCGCTATCACGACAACACACGCCACCTGCAAAAACTCAAAGTGACAAAAACTCACACAAGAGAAACCGGTGATCCCAGGGTTCGAAACCAGTTCGGAAGTTAGGGGCCAGTTTTTTATTTCGTGGTTAACCACCACACCCATCTCTCCGACTTCATACCGTGATCAAGGTCAGGTAAGAGAGGTCGAATACTGGAAGACGGATGATATTAAGATGATCCCACACAATCTAGAGTGGTCGCTTGCCGAAGCGATCAACTTCGGCCATCAGCTCCCCAGAGGCGTTACCAGCTCCTGAGATTGTTGAAGGGAATTTGGAATATCAAATCTATTACCCTTGAATTTCTGCCGGCGCAGTGAAGTACGGGTGGGGATAGCCATACCCCAGTGAAGGGGCAGTGAAGCGAGAGAGAGCATACACGTGAGTGGTCTCTTACCCTGAGGGACAAGGCTACATACGAGCATGTCCTCAAAGACTAAGCTACGGCAATGAAGAACTCAAAATTCAATATCTCTACCCTGCTTGAAGGATAGTCTACACTGGGTTGGGTCGATCCAACAGGTAGAAGAGGGCAATCATTGTTTTGCCCGGTCCGGCGATTTGACCTCGAACGACAGAAGTATAGAGAATACTTCAGCAGAATGTGTACAATATTTGCATTGCCGGACATGGTTAGAACTAATGTGGTCAATGGAAGGCTTGGAAAGGATTCGAAGAAGGGCTTTGAGTTCCAAGTCCGAGTAGATAGATACATATCTAAGTGGCATTCAGGACCGAGGTCATGCGTGATCAACTTCAGCTGCCAACGCCGTCCGACAAATATCTTTTGGGATTGGTATCTTTCATGCCAAATCAGGAACTATTGATCCTCTCCACCGTCCTGGCGGTATAATAGGATAGGGATAAGCAAGCAAGGTCCAGACTGCCCGAATAGATCGTCTAAACCACTGGGTACTAGTATTCCATTCTCTCTCAACCACCTCTAGTCGAAAAAGCATCGCGCCAAACATACCCGCAACACAGATTCCGCGAGAGGAATAACTCCGGCAAACTCAGCGTCAAAATCAACATCACAGACCACTCAAATTGGAAGCTCACAGATCTCTCTGCACTTCCCTTGCCAAATCGTCAGGCAAAGTCCAAACGCGGACATCGCCCTCATCACCCGTGGACACAATGACCTCCTCTTCGTCAAAACGCCGGTCCTTGTCGCGCCGCAGGGCCCAACAGACGTGATTGATCTCGTACTCATCATGCGCGCCCTCCATCAGGGCCACGAGAGTCCATTTCATCTGGTGTAGTTTATACGGACATGATTCGTCATGACCATGACCGCTACCACTTTCCCCGTTATTCAACATAACGACATCATCGGTGTTCTGTTGTTGTTGTTGTTGCTGCTGCTGGCCACCATTTGTAGTTGCTGCTGCTGTTTTGCCCACATGACCCGCATCGGTATCGGTATTGTCCGCAACATCCGGAATCTCCTTATACACAGCAATCGTGCCGTCTCCACCACAGCTGACAACCAAACCCGACCGTCTCGACCAGTCCACAGCATAGACGCTGCGAACATGAACTTGAGGCAAAGCGGCATCCTGGACCCAGCGCTCCATACTGCTCTGTGGCCGAATGACGCTCGGGAGACGGGTACTAGCAAACCCCGTCTGAGGACCAGCACTTTGGGATTGTTGAGAGCGTCGTTTGGCTTTTTCCGCCTCGCTCAGTTCGCGCCGCCACACCCGCACCGTCAAGTCGTCGGAACAGGACACAAGGCGGGGGGACCAATCTGCTTCGAAGTCGGCGATGACCACATCTTGTTGCTGCTGAGAAGACAAAGAGGATAAATCCAGTTGCGCATAATTGATATATCCCTCCCATTTGACATCCCACACCGTCCCCGAATGGCCGTCAATGACAGCCACGCAAATCCAGTCGCCTTCCTCTTCCACGTCACGCCATAGTCGAATCGTATCGTCGTAGGATCCACTAGCTAGGATTTCGCGGGATCCTATGACGACCTCGTCGTCTTCTTCTTCTTCGTCATTAGAATTCCCATTTCCATTTCCGTTTCTCCCAGTACCATCCCCTTGGGTAGTATTATTCGTCATGGCGACATCTCCCTCATGCGTAGTGTCTACCACCTTCCGCCTCTTTCTCCGCACAGCACCCGTACACCAGCTCACACACTTGACATCACCAGTATGTTCGCTCAGCACCGCAATCGTCTCCCACTCCTCGGGCTCGACCTCCTCCCAGATCCAGACCGATTTGTCCCGCGAACACGTCGCCAGCAGATTCGCAGAGTAATGCGGCGGCGAGAAATCAATAGACTTGATCTCCGAATCTGGTCCCGTTAACAGAGTCGAGAAATGCCATTCTTCATCTTCATCGTCATCGTCTTGTCCTCCCATATCCACCTCAACCTCGTTGTCGCCCTCTGGTTTCTTCATAACATCATCTCCACCACTTGTATTCTCCTCTTGATCTCTCCGAAACCTCGCCCATCGTCGATCATCATTCCATATCCAAATACCCACATTAGCATCGAAACTGCCCGTGCCCAACACCACCGGCTTGGAGTTTTGTTTTTTCAGTTGCTTCGAGCTGCTCCGACCACCAAAATCCTTCCATGCCACGGTCCGGACGCTGCGCTTGTGGCCCCCGCTGATTGTCGAAATGAGTGAAAAGTCACGTAAGCTCCAGATGTTGACTGTTTTGTCGGCGGACGCTGTGGCCAGTAGTGGTGTAAATGGGTCTGGATGTGGTGTCGATTGCCATGATCGAGATGGGCCTGGGGCCGGCGAATGTAGAATCCGTAGGAGTGAGAGTTCCGACGTCGCAGGAATCTGTGGAGGGCCAGTGGTTTGTGGTGGTTGTGGTTCCGTCATTTTGGCCGGCTCAGCTGAGTAGTAGTGCGTTAGGGGAAATTGAAACCGACGGCGCTACGAGTAGAACCAGGAGTAGAAACCACAGAAGATGGCTGTTACGGGACTGGCGACGTAGAAGAGAGGATGGTGAGATTGGCCCTCCAGTGTTCAGTTCATATGGCGGCAATCATCACAGAAAGCTCAATAATGCAGTGTATTGCATGGCGCAATGATTAAATTTCACCAAGTTTTCCGCCGCGGGAGAAACTGACGTCGGCGGGGCGGACGCCGATATTCCGCTCCGTCTGCCACTACTATCAACTTAACTCCGCAGAACTCGACTTTTGGTAATATCGACAACACGAGGCATCGGATTCCAGGAGCTCGGAAATCAACTAAGCTAGATTTTACAGCAATCCTCGCGTATCCTTGAGGACATGTGGTGAGCATGGTCATATTTCTACAAGCGTAAAATTACAAGCCGACACGGCTGGCGGAGGAGGGTCTGCCCAGTCCACCGGTTCAAATACAATGGTATATTGATTTTCCATTCCCTCTCTCATGTGCTCCTCTCTCTATTTTGAGCCGACGATACTCTGCCACCATGGAGCGTTCCTTTTCCTTTGCTCCCTCTCTTTTTCTCTATTGGTCCTCCACCACCAAGCAGCGACGACTCCGCTCACGAGCCCACCCAGGTGGTCAACGTAATCGATCCTTTTCACTGGGCCCAAGGCCCGAATGATATGATACCCGGTAATAGCTGCCAGAACAGCGCCTCCAGTGAATGAAAACTTTTCCGCCAGATCAGGCGGCAAAAACAAAATCGAAAATCGAGAACTGTCATGTCCAAGTTAGCAGGTCTATCACATTGAAATTGAAGGAGGATCATACTCAGCATGAAGATACAAGTATGCAGCAACGATGCCATAAGTGCATCCACTGGCCCCGAGAGATGTCGTCAGCCAGTTACATTGAACGGCATGACGAGCAAGACTCGCAAAGCTTCCGATCAGGCCAGAGCAGAGGTAGATGGCCACAAAGGTTCCACGGCCGACTTCTTCATGTAGAGGAAGACCAAAGAGGACCAGAGTAAGCATGTTGGCCAAGAGGTGGGTAAATTTCTGATGGCTGAAGAGGCTCCCTAGCATGCTGAACGCGTAAGGGTAAGCCGGTGCAATGATGAAATACTTGTTTAGAGAGTTCCATAAGGGCGGCATCCTCCAAGCTGCAAAAATAGCCACGTTCAGCGCCACCAGGGTGCCTATTGTGGCAACAGAAAGTGAGACGTCGGGAAAGAACCGGTCTGCATGTCTCGGTCGCGTCCAATATTGAGAGTAGAGGTAGCTCGCGCCACATAGCACGGATACTAGGAGGAAGGACGGGAACAGCCGCTGAAACAAAGTCTTCTGGGTGACCTCGGGGGATTCGAGCGTCAGCTTTGACTGAGCTCGATTTTGTGCTTTGAGGACCCATTTTTCGAAGCTGTTGGGAGGTCTGAATTCCTCTGCTGCCTCGAGACCCTGTTCCGGTCGTTGCGCAAGGGATTGGGTTCGCTCCGCTTGGATTTGTGCCATGCGCTTGTCAACCTGTGCCTGTATTTCCTCCTCTTCTCTGCGGGCGGCGGCTTCGTTTTCTAATCGCAGTCGATCAAGTTCGCTGACGCCAAACACATCTCCTTCCTTGTCGCTCAATTTTTGATGGTAGTATCCGCTCTGAGGTCCTTTATATAGTCCGAGGTCCTGCCCTCTCTGTATGAGCTCGGCTGGGCTGTCCAGTTCTGAAGCATGCTCTTCTCTTTCAATCCTCGCCATAATAGCGGCGTCCTCATCGATGGGATATGTCTGTCTGAGCCAATGCAGACCATCGTCGAAAGCGTGAGGGTATTTGTGCAGCTCGGACTGCACATCCTCGGGGAGCGGGAGATCCAGGGTGCCATCATGACGGCGTCCATGAAGCACTCGAAGAAGCCGATTTGCAAAGGGTACGGGCGGTGCCCTCGGTCCAAAAATGTCTATGACCTCTCGACTAGTCAGTTCGCCCTTCTGAAACCTCAACCCTTTCTCTGGTTTATCATCTCTGTCGTAAGGTTTGAGCTTGTATGCCACGAGCGACGGGCGGAAGGCGCACCGGGTCACTTGTGAAAAGCATCGCTGTTGTCCTTCGCATCGCGAACGTACAGAGGTCCAAGCTTGACTAGAAAAGGTGTGTCTAGTCAGAGGAGAGTTGAGGAGAGGGCGAGCATTGGACTCCGCATTGAGCGAGTGTCGACATGTCGAGGCGTGTTGCAAGCATTTTCTTGCCAGGCGCAGTGCTAAAGTCCCAGCATTGCTCATTGCCGCCAGCGCGTATCAAGTCGCCCTTTCCGTGACGACCGGAGCCGCAGTACGTGGAGGGAATCGCAGTTGTATTGAGTTGCTACAGCTGAGCGTCAAGGCCTCGGAGCAGCCATATCCAATGCGCACTCACACACCACATTTATTTCCGATCATATTATGTAAGCAATCATATCACGTGTTCTCCCTACTCGGGTGACTATGTGTCTGATCTGGGTTCCGGCCATGTAACTGCGGTGGCAGAATAGTTCAAAGGCACCTCCGCTCATATGTGTAAAGTAGTAGCTCATGCTGCGACTTGTGATTTGAACAGGATCACTGAAGTATGGGTAGAATATGCCTGAGCACAATTGGTGTTGAGGGTCAGTTCTCCATAGCAGTGGAGCCAATAACTTGAGTGTCTCTAGGCCCTCAGCCTTGCGCGGCCCCGCCCAATAATATCCATTTCCTCTGAGATTGCAGAGAAGGATAAAGCACGTCCACCTTCCCACCTGGTAGGACTGCAATCCTGCACGAGGCTGAAGAACGCGACACTTGTGAGCTGTTCGTATTCCGGCTGGACTGTCGTCGTGACGCTTCAAGTTGTCATAATGCACTGTAGAAAACCCCGGACCCCGAGTCCAGGGGCCGGTGATGTCAACAATGACGTACAGAACTGCTTCCAAAGAGATGCACTACAAGTTGAACTTCGATGCTCTTGGATCCCTTTTCGACTTTGCTATTGAAGCCCATCATTAACGTACTTGTCCAGAATCCCACAACGCCCATTGCTATAATATCCACAATGACTGCAGCAGTAACGAGAATTCTTCGGGTTCAACCCGCAGCACGCTTGGTACGACCATGCTGTCGCTCAACCAGATTCAATCGAGGTATGTTCAGATACAATAGCCGACTTACACCTCGGAGTGCCATGTACAAGCCTGTAAGAGCTGACCATTTTCAATTTGCAGTTCCTCCCTTCGCTCGATCTCTTACCACCACTACCAAGGGCGACACCCAGAATGCAACCAACATTGCCAAAGACAATCCTCAGTCCGGCTCCGCACAAGAACAGGGAGTTAAATCTTCTCGAGCGACAGAGGGTGGTATCCAAGACTCAGCGAGCGTAGCAAAGCCCACGAGCCAAGTCGGTACTGGAGGTGGCCAGGATGAAGAAGGATCAGCCCCTGGAACGAAAGACCCAAACAAGCCTGCTGGTCAGAAGAGGGCCGAAGTGCAAAAGGAAGGCATGAAGCCTTTGGATGCTGCTGATAAATAGGTAGTCAAAACAAAAAGAAGTGCGCATCAGACCTGATCCGACTTCATTCACCCAGACCAGAGTCCAAATTCTTGCACCGCAGATGAAGGAGTGTCCCTTGAATGTGTCTCGATAGTACTCACTCTTGCCAGGGCGTGCCGCAAGAGTTTGCAATACATCAAATGCCCTCTGCAAAGATTATGAACCGCAAAGCGCCCCGTTTGATGGTTCTAACCACTGTTGTACTGCCGGATCTGCTAAACGTTCATACCCAGGCATCTTGAACCAGCTGCTGAACGGTACCACTGGTCTGCTCTGGGCTTCTGAGCAGAACAGAGTGAACTGTGATTATTCGGCATTTTAAGTTTGGGAATGCTACAAGTTGAAAGAATAACCTCCTGGGCCGATTTTGGATCGCAATGCTGGTCGCAGCGTCTCGAGTAATTACTCAGCCCGGTCTTAGTAAGTCGACAGTCGGAGAGAAACCTAGGTAGGTACTCAAGACCGCAAACTTTGCTCTCCAACACCAACAACTCCCATCAGACAGGACAGATGATTGACTACTAACTACCACTGCAGATCTGCTCAATGCTCGGTTATACCACCGGCTCCCCCGCATGATATACATTCCCGGATGCAGCAAACGAGGAGACGGCTGAGGTCAACCCCACAAACAGGAAGTGGAGGACTACCTTAAGCGATTTCAAGGTACCGGATGTATGGTACTTATTACTCGATACCTAGGTAGGTCCCTTTGCCGTGTTCGTCCCTCAGAAGACTGTCACATATAACGAGCGTTGCCATCCTGAAGCCTAGCAACCCCATTCTTTCGCTTTCATCCCACAACGCTTCTCGATCTCTGAAACACATCGAGTCCGACAGAGAAGAACATTGAAAATGACAGAAACTCGACAAGTCGTTGTCTCTCGCGGCATATGCCATGGCCTACCGACATACCCTGAGACGCCTGAATTGACCGGCCTCACAGCAATCATCACTGGCGCCAACGGCATTTCGGGCTATCATATGCTGAAGGCTCTGGTGGCCGCTCCTCAACGTTGGAAAAAGATCTATTGCCTTTCACGACGCCCTCCGCCGGACTACTTTTTCTCTGACCTAGGAGACGGGGCCAGTCGTGTCGAACATATATCTTCTGACTTTTTAGCGGAGCCTGCAGAAGTTGCAAAGTCATTGACCAAGATCTCGAACGTGTGAGTAGCCAGGTCTGGCAACAGCTAATGAGCATGGTCTGAATTCAATTCACCTCCCCTGGCATGCCATGCCGGACAAACCCATATGTGTCCTCCGATGCGGGCGTGCAGACCTTTCGAATATCTGACCTCTCGTTGACCCTGACAGGGACTACGTCTTTTTCTTTTCATACATGCAGCCATCACAAAAAGGAAACATCCTGGGGATGTGGTCGAACGCCGAGGCGCTCGCGGAAGTCAATTGTAAGCTTATACTCTACTTCCCTTCCATAGAACTTAGTGGCCACATATTTCCCTTCCCAAACCACGCAGTGGTTCAACATTGGATATATCTCTCTCTAACCTAACCTAACCTAACCAGCCGCCCTACTACGCAACTTCCTCGCCGGTCTAGAGCTCGCCTCGCTACAGCCACGACGAGTTCTCCTCCAAACCGGAGCCAAACACTACGGTTTCCACATCGGCCCCGCCACCAGCCCATCATTCGAATCCGACCCGCGCGTCACCCTCGAAGCAAACTTCTACTACCCCCAAGAAGACCTATTACAGTCCTACTGCCAGCGCACAGGCGCAAAATGGAACGTCGTCCGTCCATCCTACATCATCGGCGCCGTCCGCGACAACCTTCTCAACCATATGGTCGGCCTGGCCGTCTACGGCGCTGTCCAGGCGTACTTGGGCCAGCCACTCGCGTTTCCAGGCGACTATGTAGCCTGGGACCGCGAATACTGCCAGAGCACGGCGCTACTTAATGCCTACCTGGAGGAATGGGCCGTGCTGACTCCCGAAGCGGCAAACGAGGCTTTCAATGCTCAGGACGGTTTGCCGTTTACCTGGGGTCGGTTTTGGCCGTACCTTGCGAAATGGTACGGGACGACCTTTACGCCGCCGGAAATGGATGAGAAGAAGTATAGGGTTTATGTGGCGAGACATGATCAGAATCCTAGAGGGTAAGTCAGATCCAACCTGAGGGGTTCTGCATTTGCTTACTCTGGTGTCAGATATGGTCCACCAGCAATTACTCGCTCCACTTTCTCCCTCCTCGAATGGTCCGAATCGCCTGCGGTCGTGAATGCGTGGAAGGAATTGACCGCAAAACACGGCCTGTTGCTCGACCCGTTCAAGGACCGCGCGCAGATTTTTGGGATGACGGATAGTGCTGTTATCGGAGGCTGGCCTTTGTCTCTGAGCGTGCGGAAGGCGAGGAAAATGGGCTTTTTGGGGACGGTCGATTCGTATGAGTCGGCGTTCCATTGCCTGAAGGATCTGGCGAGGTTGAAGGTCGCGGTGCCGTTGGCGGTGGGGGAATATGAGGATGTGATTTGATCAGTTGACATTGATAATGGGGATCTGGAAGTCAGACTCGGAAGAGAGACGACGGAAGTCCTCGGGGGTAGGTGATGTTCCCTGGAAAGTATTATGATTCTTCGACTATACTTGGGAATGAACCCGGTCATTTACCGGAGACCTTTGCAAGATATGGTGAAAAGATGAGATTATGCTCCTCTACTTCCTTTCGTACTGTCCGCGAACTCTTGGACTTAGGCTTTAGTCCGGTTTAAATTGAGTCGATTGTCCTCTTGTACAATGGGGTTGCCGTTTGCCGTTGTCTTCGAAGTCGGACGATCGTGACTATTGAGTTGGTCTACCTCAGTTCGATGGAAATCAGACGCAAAGGTTAACGTTGTACATCTCAAGCCCTATCGAGCTCCCCTTTTTCAAGTCGTGAGTGCTTCAGCCTGGATATCTTGTTCCGGTAGGAAAACGCTCCCCGATTTTCTGTTGACAAAGAGGACGGTTCGACCATTGACCAGATATACCTTGTATCAATTAGTATAGATAACAGAAACGCCGACGAGGGACGCCAGCCACTTAACCCTAAGCCATCATATTAATTCAAACCTTTAAAACTCCAGCCCATCCGGCCCACACGCCGAAACCTCATTAAAATAAAACAAATGATCATCCACACTCCCGCCCAATTGGCCCTCATTTCCCGCAAGATCAACAACCCCAGAACTAGTCTGTACATCCTCCGCCGTGACCGCGACCCCCGTGGCCGAAGTGATCCAATATTCCGGCGAAACATGCGCATACCCCAACAGATACCCAGGCAACTTGGGGACCAGGTCATTGGCATGCGTGACGCGGAAGTTTTGGCCCGTTTGCCCCGTCACAAAGGTTGCGAGCGCCACATTCCCAACCATCGGCGAGCCGTATGTATACTTCGTACACCTTAACGTCAGTCTAACCGGGTACTCGATCGAACGGCGTTTGCGAAAGCAGAACCAGCAAGACTAGTCTAGACCATCCGTACTTACCAAAGATACACCATATCCCGCAGTCCTCAGACCAGCAGCCGCCAGCGTCGCAATTGCTCCACCAAGACTATGTCCCGTAGAAACAATCGCGTAATTCGGATACGCTGCACGGGCACCATCGACAGCATTTTGAATCAGGGGTTTCACACTGGTCCACGAGTCCAAAAAGCCAGAGTGGACAGTACACCCAGGACATATTGACGACCATGAAACCAGGCCAAAGTCCGCGTCACTGAGGAAGTTCTGCACGGATCTGCTGCCCCGGAAGGAGATGATGATTTGGTTGTGCGTGTGGTCGATGGCGACGAAGCCTGTCGCGTCGGAGAGACCGACACTGAACGCGGGTTAGTATGTACCTAGTGGTAGAGATGCTCACGTTGGGGTTGGTGCGGTAATGGTGATTGGGGGTTTGGAGTGGTCACTTCTGAAACTCGGCAATGGATTCTGCGCCGGCCGATTGGACCAGTGGACAGTTTCCCGCGCTGCAAGTTATGAGAGTGGAAGAATCGGGTTCGTTGTTCTCGGGACAGTAGGCGGCTGCGGAGTATTGTTCGAACAGGGACAATGTATCGAGTAGGTCTTGTGATATAGCTGAAGGTTGATTTGAGCATTAGATTTCTTTCCGTTGTATCCAAGGATCCGAGAGCGAGATCAGGGATGTTGAAATTCACCTCTTTTTTTGATCGATAGTGGTAGAGCGTCGACCGCGAACACCAGGAAAGAAATGACCACGAAGAAAAAGAGACCGGGGATGGCAATCATATTGAAAGAGTATATGTGTATATCGAATGGGAACGGGACGTGGGTAAAGAGGAAAGGAAGATGAACGGCGTGCTGTGGGGGATAAGATAGTCAGTTAGTATACGCCTATACCTCCAGAATGGTCACTCGGAGGAGTGGTTAACATTGAAACTTTGCGGGCGGCTGCTGGTTCATTTGTATCCGTTCCTGTGCACGGCCTCATGCTCCAATGCAACTGTTGCAGATGAGGAGGTGTGTCAACAGATCCGGGGTCTACCGTCTCCGTTAGCTTTGATGGTTCATGCGCACTGGCACTTGAGTTCCAAGACACGTAGACGTGATATGGTATAAAAGGTATATCTTGTGGGGCGTGCCGAAGATCTCAATCTCCAGACTCGAAAGGTTAAAGCCTAACGGCATAGTGGGAGAGCATGTTGATGGTATGCACAGCAGCCATTTCCCAAAAAGAGCAATTGCGCCGTGGTGATGGCTTGTGACAGCGTTTGAGCCTCGGTCAACGAGACTGCTGATGCTGTGTATCTGGGGATCTGAGCATATGATCATGGCAGCCGTCCGCCGGTGTTGAACTCGAAAGAGGAAGAAGAGAGGACGCGTGATCGGATCGAGGCGCGAAGTGAAATGAGCTCCGGGGTTCCAGGGCACCAATCAGATCCGGCATGAACGTTGGATCAAGCAATGAACGCTTTGCCTGGAGAAGGCTAGCTTGCTACGGTACAACGGCCCAATGACGGTGGTTAAGAAGACGAAGGAGATTTGAAAAGGAACGTCGAAAAGTAGCACAGCAAATGTTCTGGAGAGAAAAAGGTTTACGCTATCCGTGGATCTCAAAGGCTTTTTGTAGATGACAAGGCTCCTACAGGCGTGTTCCATTTCAGGTCATGCAACTGTATGGTTTTATCAAAACGTGCATATGGAGAGACGTTAGTAGATGTAGTAAGTGCTTCGGCGAATAAGCGCCACCCTCATGCTCCGAGTGACCTGTTTGTCCACTGTCGGTAAATGGGGGCAAATATCAAACGGAAACGGATAGGACTTTCGCAGTAACTTGAACAAAGCGGCACAAGCCAATGCATCGATTCTTCACAACTGTCGTTTGTGTACATAGCTGACATTGCACTAAACGCTGATGGTCTTGAAAACGCTGAGACCGCTACCACCCGTGACCATGACTGTGCCCGGCATCTGTGGGTGCCAGTGCAACTCCTTTCCATCTTCCACGTGGTGAATGAACAACAACTGCGGCGGGACTTTCTCTGCACCCTCACCAAGTCCCAGACCGGCTTCCTTGCCGTATTCTTCGTCGTCCAATTCCACGGCCAGGTCCCACAAAGTCAAAGTGTTATCGGCACAAGCGACGGCCACGACACTGTCGTCTGTAGGATGCCACTCGATCGAAGTGATTGGTTTCTTGTGGAAGTTGAAGTCGGCGACAGGGCTCGGCTTGAGTTGCGAGTCTCCCGCCACACCCGGTGCCTGAGGTTTCCATTGACGCAAATCCCAAACTGCCCACTGGCCATCGTCCGCACCAGTGGCGAGCAGATGGAAAGTCTGGCGCGACCAAGACATGACATTGACATCGGTATTGCTGATTTTGACATCGACCGCTGGCTTGCGGCTCTTACTTCGAATGTCCCACACTTTCACCGTGCCGTCCGAGCTGGCCGAAGCAAACACAAATTTCTCGTTGGGTGACCATTGGAGCTCTTCCACGGCATCAGTGTGCCCAACAAAGGGTCGAGTGTCAGTGACCCAGCCGCCTCCCTCGGTTCTCTGCGTGCTGAAGATCTGGCCTGCATTGTCCCCGGAAAGAAGTCTGCCGTTGGGATGGAGAGAAGATGGCGCCCAGTCGAGTGCGTAGCCTTCGGTTTTGTGCATTCGCAGAGTGCTGAGCGGTTTGGATGCAGTGGGAGGAATAGTGTAGCCTGGGGTGGACAAGGAGTGCAGGTAAGGAGTGACGTCGTGGATAAGAATTTGGCCGTTTTCCATTGTTGTGGCCGTCAGTGTTTGCGCTATCTGTGTAGGGTCGGACGACCCGGTTGCTGGCTGGAACGCGCGTATCCTGTTTGTGGTGCTCGGAAGCGGAATCGATCTCGACTCCAGGATGGGATCTGAGGCCCCTTCATCGTCGTCATCGTCGCTGTCGCTTTCAGAGTCTGTCTGGTTCCCCCGGTCCATCTTCGACAGACTGCTCAAGCGCAAAATGTACAGTTCGTTCTCTTTCGCCCTTGCCGAATCCGCTTGTGTCCCGGCCACGGCGTACAGCGTCCGCGGGTACTGTTTGCGATTATCGCCTAGGTTGTCACGCACGACGTCGAAGGACAGACACGGCCACGTTGTTGACATGGTGTGAAGCATCTCGTAGGTCGAAGGGTCCGGAGTCAACGACATTCCTGGCTGAAGTATCGATCGCCCGGGGATGAATGTCTGCTCCTTGGTGTCCACATCCATGGCATCTTGTGTCTGTTCTGCTTCTCTTTCTGCGTCGGGCCGCCCATCCACTCCCGCCTCCATCAACTCGTCTTCGGACTCATACTCATCTTCGAATTCATCCTCGAACTCGAGTGTTGCCTCTCCATTGGCGCCCAAGTCCGGTCGCTGGCCGGCCTTTAACGGCTCAGGGTTCTCCTGATCATCGGCTGTTCGTTTCGACATCTTTGTTTGTAAGGGAATGAGACAGATGTGCGCAGCTTACAACAAAACGGCTCACGCTGCTGTGCTGGTCGCGACCAGATTTTGTCAGGTTTGATCCTCATGCACTTTACTCAAAATATTTTTCTTGATAAGAGTTGCTTATGTCACTATCTGCACGTGATGTTGCTATCACGTGAGCCCCCCTCAACGCGTCGCCTGAACACCTCGAAGGATAAACATTGTAACTCCGATCAAATTGTGGGTGAAAGACCGCCTGTTTAGGGTCCCGAGGTGCAAGGATCTATCGCCAAATTGTTTATACCGCAATCACTACGACTCAATGCGTGTTACAGTATAGCCGCTCTGTTGCCGGTCGTCCAAGAATACAAGTGATTTGGGCGAGTTTAGCGTGTTTGCTCGGTTTGCTCGACATTGACGTACCACTTGTTGTACCCCGGACTTCAGCCCCAAGCATTTGATTTAGCCTCGGCTACTTTCTGGGTGCGGCTCATTGAGTTCGATTTCCGAGAGGGATGCTTCAAACGGATTCAGATTATTCGGAATGTAGAGGTTGTACTTGCATTGTGAACTGTTAGACTTCTCGTTTCTACTTAATCTTGAAACTTGCCAATTGACAACAAGAAACTCAGCTCCGCGTCGACCTCTCTACCGGCGGGCTGCGAACTGAACACCACCTCTGAAGACGACAGACAATCATCGCCGCGAAACTTGTTATACAATGACGGCCGCTCCTAAACGACGCTTGGCCGCGTTGTCAAGGCAGCTTGTGGAGGGCATCCCCTCCGAGGGCACGTTCGAGGATATCCCGCGTATCAGACATGTTGCAGAGTCGTCTACTGGACCGAGGGTAAAGGGAAAAGTCGTCATTGTGACTGGTATGTTCTGTTGGGCCTGGAACAGTTGCAGGCGACAGCGGTGGATATAGTCTGTGCAGCCACATACTGACAACTGTCTCTGATTGTAGGTTGTAACTCACCCCTCGGAATCGGCCGCGCTGCAGCACATCAATATGCCCAAAATGGCGCAAAGGCGGTGTTCATCTGCGACTGGGCAGATCAATACCTGGAGACGCACAAGCGGGAAATGGAGTCGCTCTACCCTGAATGCAAAGTTCATCCTGTGAAACTGGACGTTGGCGATGAAGAGCAGGTGAAAGCAGTGGTGGATGATGCCATAGCGAAATACGGCCGATTGGACATCATGTTTGCCAACGCTGGGGTGGTGGGAGTGCCCAACACATTCGAGCACATCACGGCCGACAAGTTTATGGCTACAATGCGTGTTAACACTCTGGGCGTGTTCCTCTGTGCCAAATACGCTGCTATCGCCATGCAGAAGACGGGTCCTGAAAAGAAGTATTCCGGAGGAAGCATTATCGGAACAGCATCTGTCGCTGGACTGAGGTCCAACGCTGGCGGAACCGATTATTCGGCAAGCAAGGCTGCTGTGGTTTCCCTGGCGCAGACCATGGCTTATCAGCTGGCTGGTACGGGGGTGAGGGTCAATGCTTTGTGTCCTGGAGTGATAGAGACGGGAATGACCAAGCCAATGTATGACCAGGCTCGCAGCCGAGGTACTGAGAGGAAGATCGGTCAGCTAAATCCTTTGCAACGAGGCGCCGTGCCAGATGAGGTGGCTCGCGCCGCTCTCTTTTTGGGTAGTGATGAGGCGAGTTATGTTAACGGCCAAGCCTGGGCTGTGTGTGGCGGTCTCAGCGCTGGTCATCCTTTTGTGCCAGGCAAACTGGCGTGAGGAATTTGATAGAAATTCAGTGTTCAGCCTGCAAGATCTTTCTGAAGCACTTCTAACACTGTCTTCTCGTCGATATTGGGAAGAGACGACACTTTTTCAGTTTCGTCCAGGTTATCAGGAGGAGCGTACGTCGGAAGATTAGCAGTAACTTCGGATCCATAGACCTGGTCGTATTTCTCTTCGGTGATGAAGGGCTCGGGCAGGTTCTCAGGTGCCTCTTGCCGGATGTAGAAAGTTGGGAATTCCAGTATGGTCTTGTCGCGAAGTACGTCTTGAAGGGTCGATGTCGGGGAGACGGGTATCAAGCATTTGTGTTTCGAGACGGTATTGGGCTTGAGCAGGTAGAAATGTAGGTCCTGGCATAGCTGAGAGACCTCTGGTACCTGTGCTGCGGCATTATCAGACGTGACGGCTGACTTCACGACTCCCTGCCCATCCTCAGCAGGATTGTCGTCCTTAGATTCGGCCTGCAGTCCCTCATCTTTCGCTTCAGAGGTAGCTGACCCTTGCACAGCGTCTGTAGGAGCGTGTTCATTGTGCGCTTCCGCTGGTAAAACGGGCGCAGCGGTGCTTTGAGCATCACTCCTTTTGCGCTTTTTGCGGATTGTATTCTTGCCAAATATGTTCACGAAGGCCTCCCCGACTGTTCGCAGCTCGGTGACATTGTGAATCCTCTTTTCACCATCAAAGTAGAGCCACTCAGTTGTCCACATGAGACACTTGTGTTGACCCGCCCAATGCGACTTGTTCTGCTTGCTCCGGGAGAGTCCCTGAGGAGCCTTGATCAGCCTGATGCCCCTCTCTTCAACCTCGACATCAAATTTTCGCTTAGTGCCATGGCTACCCCGTGCGATGCCACTGGGTGCCAGGTGTATGCCTTTGTCCGAGACTAGCTCATCAGCGCGTTGAAGCGACCTTTCCACGGAAGTGATAAAGTTGAAATCTTGGTCGACCGCACTGGGTGTTGCGAGATCAGAGCGTTTTTTGTAGGCAGCAGGATCGCGGATTCCGGAGCATTGAGCCCAGGCTTTATGACGCTTGACACAGGGAAGCGAGCAGGTATGAATCCCGCATCGTGGACACGTATATTTGATAGGGTCTGTATGACTGAGACCGAATTGTTAACACATGCTATCTTCTCCCAAGTGTTCCTGAGAGCTTACCATATTGCACACAAATCAGTTAGGAGGGGGCTATTGTTACTTTCCTGCATAACGATGCAGACCTTCGACGACGATGGCGTCGTGTACCGCGTTCCGAATTCAGGCTGTCGAAAGCGGCACGCCAGCCACATGAACGCAGGTCTCAGTTCGAGTTTCCGGGCAAGTTTTTTTCCTTATCGCTTATCAGCCGCTTCTGGTGCTAGTGGTGCGGAGAAGGCTCAATTCCCCATAATAATTATTGGCGGTCCTGCCACTGGCAGTGGTCGCGGCACTCATCAGGGCTCAGCTGTACAGCGTAGAAGCCAGAGCCAGACACGTGCATCCACTCCTACGGCCGCCGCCAGTTTATCGCCTACAAAGCTTGGTTCGCCGCCCGCGCCTGCCCCTCCCTCGCCCACGCTTCCACCCGTGCCAGTGCCTGAAGCCGCAGAGGGGCGCCGCAGCTTCAATGCTTCTGGCCAGAGTGACCAGAGCTCAAAGATACCTAGGTAGGTACCTGATACTTCAGCCCGCCATCAGCACCACGTTCGTATTCAGGACCACTCCTGCAGCGTGCATCTCGCGTCAGTATCTTCCCACTCCATATTGACATCCCGTTCCCACTGCACAGCAACTCCGTTCCGAGATACTCTGCCGCAGTGAACTGGGAACTCAAATTAACCAAAATCCATGTCTCCATCCTAAGAGCGGACCAGGATTTTCTCGTGTGGATCTCGTGGCAGGTGGGTGTCGAGGGAACCAGATGTCCTGATTATTCCCAAGCCCTCTCGCAGTCTTATAAAGAGGTATGTCTCAGGTTCAATTCGGCGAAATAGATCGAAGAACATCACTGCATGGAGGGACACAGAGCGCGATGAGAGCGTGATGACCTGCCATGAAAGAGTAAAACGTAATGTAGGGATGGTACCACCAACATGGCAGTTTCGCGACATACTGGCCAGTTCGTCTGGCCGAGGACTGCTCCACAGCTCCGTACGCGCAGCGCGCAGCATTACGTGAAGACGCATCTGGGTTAAAAACCCTAAGCAAGCCAAAAGTCAGGAGAAGATGGACTGAGTTTGACTCTCAACATCATGCTGCGGAACGAATGAAAGTGGACAATGACTTCTGTGTATTCGGCCATCCCGAGCCTTGCAGCAAGACTGCATGATGTTTCCGTTGTTTCGATTCTGCCATCGAGTAGTTGCAGCAATTGGCTATGTAGGCAAAAGTCATTGACACCTGTGCGGTCTCTCTGCAGCGAGCGTCGTCATGACAAGAGGAGCTTGGGCGCCGTTGGATACCGCATCACGACCTTCGCACTGAAAGCTTGGGATAAGGAGACCTGTCAAAAGTCTAAGATGTCATGATCGAACCAAGCTCTTGGAGACTTTGCGCACGGTGCCAGTGGGAGATCTTCTGCTAAGGAAATGTCAAGTCTGGGACCGATCAGAGCACGTACAGTATTTCACGTGTGTGGCCACAGGATGCTTTCTAAGGTGGTCAGACCGTCAGGGGTTCCCGACCGAGACTGCCACGATCGTTTCGCCAAACTGTGTGAATTTACCTAGGTACCTTTGCAGAGTGTTTCTCAGTCAAGCCGTGGTAACACATGATCGAAGAGGGGTTGCCCAAAGACGCAGCAGATGCGAAATGAACCCCTGAACTACTTGCAGGGCATAAGCGAAGGGCAGCCACTGTTTCTTAACGATTGGTGAGCAGAGTCAACGCGGGAAAAGCCCGTCAGTTAGTCTCGGAGACGGTCCCAGTGCGAAGTCCGCGGCTGCCCCCGGCCTGCCAAACAAAAAATTGAGTGGACCGATCTCGACGCCGGCCAGGGGCCAAGCGAGCTGACGGGGGCCACATCAGAGATCAGCTTGAAGGTGGATGGATGCACACAGGAACGGGATATGCAGTACTACTACTAGTGCTAAAGGTGTCAGTGATGTGCCGGCCGGCCTGTGAGGCGTGATAGTGATGGTGTTCGTGATGGAGCTGAGGCCTGGCTAGAATCAACGTGGCGGGCAAAATGCCCCGTCGGGTACAGCTTTGCGTTCTCAATGCAAGTGTGTAACACAGCATTTCTACCGAGAGCTGCAACAATTTTATGCAATAAGAGCAAGGTGTACATACCTACAATCTTCTACGTGCGGGAAGTTCAAAACCCTGGGCTTGTTTCCGCAGCCGTGTCTTCTCTAGAACTCTCAACAATCGAGCAAGTAGGACAACTCGAACTGCGCTACTACTTGCACGATCCCAGCCTTCATGCAAACCCATTCACAAGCTGCCACTTGATCCACCCATTTTGTTGCTTTCACAAACCTTGTCGCCTCATCTGGCACGAAGCCTGCAGCTCTGGTGCCTGGATCCCTGCAGATGCTGGCATTTAGCTGCCTCCACCGTCGCCTCCGGTGTCCTTTAGCCTGACGCGGCCGGCTTCGACCTGCAACACAGCGCGCATCCGTTCTCTCGCTTGTGGTATCAGCAGCCTCCTGAATCTTTACTTTTTCTGGGGACATCACATTAATCTCCCCAGGTCCTCCTTCAGCTGTCTGGTGCTATTCCAACTCCTCCTCTTCGACGAGGCTCGTTCTCGATTCCTTCTCTTCTCTTCTCGTGGTCGAAGCATCGCGATAGAACATTGTCAGGAAGCAAGAACTAAACGTTTTGACGCACGGGTACTACTGGCACGTCCCCAACCGCGTGCCATCATAGCCCTGCGCACAGGCGTCTGAAGTCATTGCGGGCGGGTTGACATATTTGACCACGGCAGCTGCACCCACCAAAGCTGTCTTGCTACTGTCAACACATGAACCATGGGTCCATCTCTTAGAGGTCATACCTCTATGACCTCGATGGCTCGACCTCAAACCCGAGATACCAACCGTCCAACTACGAGAGAACAAGTCGACAACACAATCATCCCAAGTCGGACTTCATCTCTGCACTCACGAATTACCCAACCTCTACCGTCCAGTCTGGCGAAGACGAATAATAGACCGACCCCGAAGACCTTGACCCATGCCTACATGGTATGTGGTGTTGGGAGGGAACCGTCACAATGGGTGAAAGCGCCACCTCCACCGCATGGAAAAATCCAACATATGAAAGGCGCTGTCGGTCAATTCTGGCTTCCAGAGATTCTAGGCAGCAGTCCCAGGTTAGAGAGCGACAATGAGATTGCCAGAGCATTGCATAGTGCCATGAGGGTAGGTGTATGCGTGGAACTTTCACTTCCCACTTGCTGACCGTGCTACAGGCTTGCTTTCCTCACGATGTTGAGATCTGCACTGGCCGAAGCCAGCCACATTGTGTCCATCATGCATTTGTCCTCCAACAAGACTCCCAGCATACCCTGTACGGTATCGCTCTCCGAGTCTGGTCCCGAGCAGACGAGAAGCGTGCCGAGACTATTCGTGACCTTCGCCGCAAGACCGAGCCCGACTACAGGGATATTGCCGACGAAACATACTGGATTCCCTACTGCTTGAGTTTCCTTTCCCGATATCCTTTGTACAATCTTCTCGGCGATTACTTACGTGGGATGTGGATTCACTGGAACAAAGCCACGAACCTGTTCCATGCCGAAGAAGTGTCGAGAATCTTGAGTTTCCCGGCACCGAGACTCAACGACCTGGTTCGCATTGACATGAAAGATTATGCTCTCTGCTACCAATTTCCATCGTCCCCTACTGGTTTCCAGAACTTTGCCATGTGGCCTCTATTCACTTGTTTGAGCATTCCGAACATTGTCGGGTTGATCGAAGCCGCAGTCTCACCAACTAGGCGGATCATCCTCACGAGTCATCACCCGGCGATGCTCACCATGGCGGCAGAGACCATCAGGTTCTGCGTCCGTGTCTACGAATGGAGTGGTCTGTACGTCCCCGTCGTTCATGCCCGCAATGCCAGTGAGATGGTTCAAGAGCCCGGCCCCTATATTCTCGGCATAACTACCGAATGTCGGTCCTTGTTCCAGCCACCGAAGGACGCCCTGTTGGTGGACTTGGATCGAAACCTTGTCATCACTGATCACCCTCCCAACATCTTGACGGCCGGTCAACGTACAAAGATGATCAACCGTCTCGCCCAAGCATTGAACAGTGATGTGGAGATTACCGGTGTACCGCAGCACCTGAAATCGGCCTATGGTGGTGGCAAGCTCATCCCTGCCGGTCAGATCATTGTGCTGCGGGGTGAGGTTGAAAGTGTACAAGATCCTTCATGGTGGAACCAAGATGCCGTCATGGCCGTCATGGATCATGTCTGCGAGAAACTTGGCCGTAACACTGGCGTTAAGGCGTGGTTCGGTGGATCGATGAAGAAGCCGCTGATGACCAAGATCTCCATGAGACACATGAATGAGATTGTCCGCGAACGGAATCAGTACTCCCGTGATGCTTTGGAGGCGTGGCAAGACTTCATCAACCTCAAGGGCCGTATGGACACTGAACTTGCCAAGGTTACCAAGCGTAATAACTATCTCGAACAAGAAGTGGAGACTTGGAAGTTGCAATTCCAGAAATTCCAGGCCTTTGTGGAATCGCTCAACAAGGAACTGGCCGAGCTTCGGGTCAAGATCGAATCTCACAAACGGGAGAACCGCCGCCTCACCGGGCTTATTGACCAACAGAAGGACGACGCTGCTCGGCTGGCCCTGCGGTTGGCAGGAACCGAGAGACAGCGAGACAATGCCCTCGAAGCTCTTGCTCTACAGCAGGGGATTGCCGAAGACCTCGAGAAAGAAAGGTCCCGCAACCGGAAGGAAATTGCGGCTTTGCAACATACCAACCAGACTCTGCAGAGGCAACGGGACGAAGCCCAGCGTGTGGTTCTTCATCTGCGTTCACTCATCACAGGCCAGACTCATCATATGGAGCATATCGTCCGTTCTATTGGCTCTGCTTCAGAGCTTGCTGATTATATCCATGAAGGCTACGACGATGCCGAGACCGAAGATGGAGAGCAAGATGAATCTGTGCAGGATGCGGACCGTCTTGGAAACGTCACCAGCCGGGCCAGCAAGCGAGTCTCCCGAGCCGGATCCATCGATGGGCAGGACGTCACGCCAGCCATGGAGAATAAATTACTGGCCAGCAGCAAGAGAGTTAGCAAACGGTATTCTAACCTCAGCATGTCCGATGTGGCTGATCGACATCTCCGCGACAAGACCGATGCCATCGCCGACATCATCCGCAACATCAGTGAACAATGTGCCGCTGCTGTTGAAGGCCTTCAGTTGGCTAACGAGGCCGCTGGAGTCGACGACGAGGATGATGAGGACCAGATTGATGGCGAGGAACACAGTGAAGTGTCTCCTTCAACCATGCATGCCCAGACCGAGAGTGAAAATCTTTCGCCTGCGGACCATCTCAACACCGATTCCCGTACCGATACGGGCCACTTGACCCCACAAAGTGAGCGAAGCTCAATTCCGCCCACCCCTGATTTGGTCCACCAGCGGTCGAGCACTGCGCTCAGTATGGCCAGTTCAGTACCAACCAACTACACGGCTCGTGAATCATTGACCCAGAATCCGAGAGCCGATCGCACCAAGATCGTCGAAGTCGAAGATGAGGATGCTGAGCAGGCTCACGCATCAGCCGGGACCATTGGCAGTGCCAACGTCAAGGGCGAGCCGGTCGAAGAGACCCTCAAAGCGGTGCCAGGGCGAGGTCCGGTTCTCAGCCGGGTGGTAGAAGCATAAGCAGGGACAGGGACACTGCCTTGCCCATGACCTTTTTTTTTCTCCTCAGAATGTCTCAATATGTAGCCACTGATGTTCAACTTGTAAGGAGCTTTTGGCGTCACCTTGGGCGAGCTGGTGGTTGGCTACACACTGCAGTTTGACTTGGGACATTTTGTGCCGATTTGCTGCTTGTTGTTTGGAGCCGGTGTTGTTGGTTTTTATCATGTTCGCTGTTGTAATTTTGATACTAGGGCCACCACTTTTTGTTTTGCTTTGACTGTAAGTCTGTCGAACTCGACTGTAACAGACAATCTGGCATGTCTCAATAACAGATACGAACTTGATCAAAATTTATTTTGTCCAGAGGTGAGGCTTCAAAAGCTTACCCACGCTCAGAGAGATCAACGGGCCGAGGTTCCCGAAGTTGTAGTACCTGGTATAACTGATAATGTCTTTGAGCTCTCCACAGCAAACTGAGAACCATTTTAACTATCATGTCTTCCAAATTGGATCCCTTATTCGGTTGACGGTTCTATTCACGAAGGGGGGTAGAAGACCCGGGCGCACCGACATTAACAGCCGTTTAACGCGTGAGAGCTGTCCATGGTTTCCGACTCGCACTGCCACTGCATGCTAAACCAGTTTTTTGATCTCGTAACAGCTTGAACAGCCAGGACTGATACTACATACACTGTCTTGGAGCACCTCGGTAGCTTACACTGTCAGTACCTTGATATACTATAATGTCAGGCGAAGAAAAGGCAAAGACAAGCGATGCGCCGCTTCCTGCATCAGCATCAGCTCCAGTACGGGCAGCACAGTCAACCGCGGCATCACGTCCCCACGCCAACGAACACATCGCCTTAATCGGACTCGGCGCAATAGGAGTATCATTCCTCGCGCTTCACCTAACATACAGCTCGGCAACGGTATCAGTCTACGACCCACGGCCAGACTTGGAAGACCACATCCGAACCGTGCTACCACTATACCTGCACGATGATCACTTTGCCGAGACTGAGGATGATGCCGAGGGTGATATCGATATCGATATCGTCTCGAGACTTTTGGATTCCCAACGACTGAAACTTGCCACCAGTCTTGAAGCTGCATGTCGCAATGCCACGATCGTGCAGGAACAAGGACCCGAGAATTTATCGTTTAAACAGAAGACGTGGGCGGAAGTGGTGCGTTATGTGTCGTCGTCTTGTCATTTGTGGTCGTCGACGAGTGGGATTCCGGCGAGTAAACAGCTCGAACGGCTCGAGTATAGCGAGAGCAGCAATACGACAGATGAGAGCATTGAGTTTGAGAGGACCGCTGCTGGCGCCCGCCAACGATTACTCGTCGTTCACCCCTTCAATCCACCCCATATCATGCCGCTACTCGAACTGGTTCCCTCACCATCTACAAGCCCAGAAGAGGTCACGTTTGCAAAGTCATACTTTACCGCTCTCAACTCCGGCCACAGACCGATCACAATCCACAGGGAGAGTGCGGGCTTTGTGGCCAATCGGTTGAGTTTTATTTTGTTTCGCGAGGCTTGTCATCTGGTCAATCAGGGCGTGGCGTCGCCTGAGGAAATTGATGAGATTGTCCGTGCTAGTCTGGGACCACGATGGGCCGTCGCAGGGCCATTCAAAATGTATAATTTTGGCGGTGGCAACAGGGGCATGAAAGGGTTCTTGGAGAATATTGGTGAGTCGATTGGGGAGGTGTGGAATGATGCAGGGTTGTTGACTATGGATGGACATGACTCGGAGGAGTGGAAGGAAAAGGTTGTGCAGGAGACGAACAGGGCGTATGGGTTGCCCAAAGCACAGGATGTTAGGGAGAGAGATCGTGGGTTGAAGGCTGTCGTGGGTATTCAGGAGGAGTTGCAGAGAGATACTACATAAGTACAGTGCAACGGCGGACTGAGGGTTTTCAGACGGGAGATGGCAGTCACAGGAGTTGCCTATTGAATGGGTGCCTTCTGGACGGATGACGCTCGATCTGTCTCTCTTGTCTGTCCTTGGGCGCTCACTCGCTGTCTCGTTCATTCTACTCAGGCTGGCGGCGATGAAAGAACACAGAGCCGGGTACTTTGATGACCGGTTCTGAGGTACCTACCGGCCTACCTACCTAGGTACATACCAAGGTATTGGTTATCTTGAAGTACCGGACAGCAGATGCTCTCCTACTACCTACCCAGGCACTATCAGCAAGCAGTACGTTCGGCAGTTGCAGTTGCAGACACAACAACAGTACCTGAACACTGCACACCACGCACTGAAATATCCCCAAATCCTCTCTAAACAATCGCCCTGCAAGCACTGCAGTTGTGGCGCTCAACTGCCGGCGTTGAATGGCACCGAATTACTGTGATATTGCCTCCGGGTGGAGGGTCTGCACCAATCAAGCGGCCGCCGTTAGACCCGCCGTCGGAGATAAACTCCGGGCTTCCAAACCCACGAATGACAGCGGCCGCAACCGCGAATCTTGTCCATTTTGTCTGGATCATCGACATCATCGCAACGTGATGTCATGATGAAAGCAGAAGAACCGATGAAACATCTGTTCATGTGAAGGTAGAGTACTACGTCGCTACAACCTCATCGCCTCGCCATCACACCGCACGGGAAATAAAAGAACCCTTCAACCCACAAAACAACATCCCTGGATCCTTGCCTACATACTGACTGTTCTCTACCTCCACAACAACTCGACAACTCGTACCTCATAGTCCACAAGCCAACCTCAACAGAAAAGGAGTTCACTTTCACAATGGCTCTATCCCAAGCAGCCGCACAGGTCGAAAAGATCATCGGCCATGGCGGCGAGGCCACCACAGAACAAAACCTCTCAAACCCCGCCAACGACCCATCAAAATACGCAGACCCATCCGGTGAGAAGATGAAGGCCCTAGTATGGAACGGCAAAAACTCCGTCAAAGTGATTGAAACGTTCAAACCAGCCAAAATCGAATCCACCGACGTGATTGTCAAAGTCACCGGCTCAACCGTCTGCGGGTCCGATTTGCACTTATACCACGGATCCATCGTCGAACTTCAAAAGGGCGACATTCTAGGCCACGAATTCTGCGGCGTCGTCGAGAGCGTGGGCCCCGAAATCAAAAAAATCAAGCCCGGCGACCGGGTCGTCTGCAGTTTCCAAATCGCCTGCGGCAGCTGCATGTACTGCCAACGCAAGCTGAGCAGCCAATGCGAAAAGACAAACGACAACACGATCGAAAACATCATGTACGGCGGCCGCACGGCCGGAATGTTGGGCTACTCCCATTTCACGGGCGGCTTTGCCGGCGGCCAAGCCGAGTACGTGCGTGTGGCATACGGCGACGTCAATCTGTTGAAATTGCCAGACGATGTCCCCGATGAAAAGGGCCTGTATCTGTCCGATGTGCTGGCCACGTCGTGGAATGCTGTTGTGGACACGGGCGTCAAGGAAGGAGACGTCGTCGCCATCTGGGGCGCGGGACCGATCGGGCAAATGTGTGCCGATTTCGCCTTTCTCAACGGCGCCAAAAGAGTCATCTTGATCGATGGCGGTGCGGGTGCCTGGCGTTTGGATTTCGTGAAATCGAAACTCCCGAAAGTTGAGACCATTGATTTCACAAATCTCCCCAAAGGTGAGAGTATCACTTCTGTCCTGAAGAAGATGGAACATGGTGGTCCAGATGTCGCGATTGAATGTGTCGCTGGTGAATATGCGAAGGGGTGGGCGCATTATTTTGAGATTTTGTTGGGGGCTGAGACGGATACTTCGGAAATCGTCAATGAGATGATCACCTCGGTCAAGAATTTCGGTCGATGTGGTATTACGGGTGTTTATGCGGGGTTTACGAACCATTTCAATATTGGGTCGCTGATGGAGCGTGGCATTCGTCTCATTGGTAATGGACAGGCTCCTGTCCATTTGTATTGGGAGGATCTGTTGAAGAAGATTCAGGATGGGAGTATCGATCCCCTGCGCATGGTCAGTCATCGTGTCTTGCTGGAGGAGCTGGAAGAGGTTTACAAGCGCTACGATGCCCGTGAGAAGGGCATGCAGAAGGTCTTTGTTCAGACGAAATTCTCTGGGCCGCCGTGTCCTGGTGCTCCGGCGTTGACCAAGTATGGGACCGCTGAGTAGGAGCAAAGCTCAGGTTCGGGCTCTCCTGACCTCAAAGTGATGGAATGGTGTGGACTCGGAGGAGACGATGTGAAATGAGATGTGCGGAATAACTTGAACGAGGGGCGAACAGTTCCAAGTTGGTGGATAGGTTAAAAAATGACCCCGGAATACCATGTGTAATGATTAAGTCTTCTTTCCTTATTGCCTCGCCAAGTCCGTCCCTGACAATCGACACTTGTCCTACTACTATTATGTCCGCGTAAGAACGAGTGGGGGACTTGTGTATGAAACATCCATCTACATTAGGGACCTATCCAGTCCATCAACCCACCGGTAGAAATTGATAGCCAGCACTTCAATGTTCGGCGAGAGGAAGTTGTGGGCGAGAGACCAACCTTGGCACCTGCTTGCTGCTCGTGGCATGTAGTAGCACGGCACGATACTAGTATGGCATAGAACACATTCAATCATGGACTCCAAGTTATCTCAATCTGCGATCTGCAACGCCTGTCCAAATAACTGATTCGAACAGGACGACTGTCAAGATTTTGATTTTATCCTTGCCAGGTCAGGTCCCCAAAGACCAAAAGCCAGATGATGTAGATATCCAAATCATAATCAGCACATTACCAGTATGGCATTAGATCTGACCTCAATCCAGATCCAGAAGATGTCTCGCTCTCACACATATCCCATCTCCCGACACTGCAACGCTTGTCTAAATCCTTCTTCTGTAATTGGTACCCCAACAAATATTCTTTCTCTTCCCTCAGATCACAAACATATACCCTTCCAGGAGCCCTTCCACTCCCCTCCCTAGACCGACAGGTCTGTGGCTGCATCACATCACAACCAATTCTGGCCTCTCGTTCTCCTGGCCTCCTTCTCACCCTTATACAAACCCTTCTTACTAGTCGGAATCCCCATGCCCACCAGACTAGCCATCATCATGATACCAGCCTCGACGGGATCAATAATATTGACCGTCCGACGGCCATCTTCGTCACGAACAGCATCCTTAGCAGCGCGCATCATGTCGGCCATTCCAGCCGAACCGAGCAGAATCGTATCTGCACCTTTACCCACCAGCGAGCGCGACGCATGCGCAATGCGCTCAGCCACTTCCTCCCTCGGCCGGGACTCCAGGAGTTCCAAAACACCCAAATGCGTGGATTCGCTACCGACATAGAAATGCGACAGACCATACGACGCCACTTGGTCGTCGTTCATGATTTTGGAACGCTGCGCCGTGGCAACGATGCCGAATCGCCCACCTAACATGCGCGCCACGTACAGGCTGGCCTCCATGATTCCAATCACGGGGACGTCGTAGGATTCGCGCAGCGCATCGATCAATGGATGTTTGGAGAAACAGGCCACGATCATGCCGTCGTAGTTCTGGACTGTTTCGCCATTCGATGCGGCGTGTTTGGCTAGGTCACGTAGTACGGCTTCGGTCGACATGATGGCGTCGGTGGTCGATTCGATGGCCGTCGGCGCCGGGTATGGTGCCGTGTACCCCGTCACTTCGATGCCTGTGGGGATAATGGGCCGGATGGAAGTGAGACATGACTCGGTCAGTGATCGTGTTGAACACGGGTTGATTAGGAGGAGTTGATATGGTCGTTGGCGCGATAGTGCTGTCACGGGCGTGGAGAAGGGGGATCTGGTATTAGTGCTGGGTCCAGGGCGAGAGCTCGGGCCAGCAGCAGCAGCCCCGTTCGACACTACTGGACATCCCAGTCCACCTTGCATCATGGCCATCGGGTTGTTGCTTTGCGCGGAGCGAGATACTGGTCGAGACGACTTGGCGGCTTGGTTGCTGGGACTTCCGCTGTGTTGGGCGAACAAGGGCTGAGGCTGGATGGGTTGTGTTTGTGTTTGAGGCGGCGAGTTGGGCATCGGTGGCTGCAGCGCTACCGGATAGCTTTGGCCGATGGTGCTGCTTCGTGAGCGTGACCGCGATCCTGATTGAGATTGAGATTGTGATTGTGGTTGCACTTGCGAGCTGCTGCCTTCTACGTATGGGTTTCCTGAAGATGACCCGGGTTCATTGGTGGGCGATTGAGGAGGATAGTTTTGGCTGGGAAAGCGGCCACTGTAGTTGTTGGCCATGTTCATGTTCATGTTCATCGTGGCGTCCGGAGGCGACCTTTGGCGCTGTAAGGGCGGTGATTGATATGAAGACATACTGGATTCTCGACTCGGCTCACCACTGAGCAGAGGGTGATCCGGCTGAGGGGGAGAGGGGATGGGAGATGAAGAACGAGATGAGGCGCCGCCGGGACGCAAGGAGAGTGGGTGGTCTAGTTGAAATTCAGATTGAGATCGAGGTTGGAATTGAGATTCAAGATGAGATTGAGTTTGTTCGATCGCTGGAGGTGATGGGTGTAGAGCTGGTGAAGGTGTTTGTGCAAAGTCGACCATGATTGTTGTAGTGTGAGGTAGTGCGGGAATCTTTTTTTGTCGGGTCGGTTTAGCGACGGTTCAGGTTGCAGGGATTATGGTGTTTGGATGTCCGTTTGGTGTGCCCTCAACCGTCGGGCTGGCTAGGGACTCCTGGGGGTTCCCTGGGTCGGCCGGTGTCAAATGCTTGTGGCCGAAGCCTGTTTATTCCTCCCCATCCACTGAGTGGAATGATTTTTTTACGATGGTGACGACACGATAGTGTTGTCGTACTGGTCCCAGTATATGAATAGCTTACAGAAGAGAAAAAAGAGGTTGGTAAGAGGACACAATGTTGGGTCCGATCTGGCCTGGTTCATGTTAGTATAGTCTCCTCTGTCAGACTGCGAAACTCATCCTGCGGTCCATGGTCGGCCGCTAGAGCAACTCGTGGGGACGGCTGATGGCCTGGAGGCTGAGGCGGCCAACACCAGCCAACAGCCAACCCTTGTGCTGCATTGCATTGCTCAGCCTGAGTGTGGTTGGGTTGGAAATGCTATTATTAGAGGTGGTAGTAAGAGGTGCCGGGGCTGCGGGCGGCTGGAGTCTGGTTTGGCACTGGCGGGCACTGACATTGGCACTGGCACCGCGTCCACAGGGGAATCTGGCACCTGGCAGTGATCGATGTCCCACCTAATCCCCGGGCCTGGGAGACAAGTTAGGCGGAACAATATGCCACTCCCTTGGCTCTGGTTCATACAGGACCTGCTACTACTGGGCCGAACAGGGGCCCAAGACACATACTGTACATACGTGTATGTCACAAAAGAGATACTGGTACCTATACGGGTTCAATATTTGCTCTCATATACCTAACGTGTGCAGACCATCATTAGTGAGTGTAGAGGATCACAGTTCCGAAGCAAGACTTCTGGACCATATTCATCGGAGCGACGACAGATGCAGACGCAAGCTCCACGCGTCTTGATACTGTATCTTCTGGCTTCGGGATCCACGGCGGATCTTTATTCAGATCGCTCCATCCGAGTTCTCCAGCCCTTGAGTTTATTTCCTGTGCCTCTGTACTCTCTGCTCTGCTCTTTCGGGTCGTTGTACGTTTGCGTGAAAGTCTGCCCGCCTCTTTCCGCTCACCACCTGCTTGGCTCCGATCACACACTTGTTTCGAGCCGTTTCGTTCAACTGTTGCCCAACCACACAATCCGGCGGCTACTCGCTGCAGACATAAACGAAGGCTCTGTACCCGACAGGGAGGAGCGTATTTCCTTGGTCGAACCACGACAGTATATTCCCACCCCGGCGACAAGGCTGAGGTAAGCAGTCCTATAGTCAGTCCAGTTAGGCCGACAACTTCTTGTCCTCCGACTGGACTGACTGACTGACTGTGAAGAAGTCTGCTCGTCAAAATGTTTGCGCGATGCGTCTTGAGCTGGCTCTCTGTCACTCGCACCCCCCCAACGCTCAACCCGTCACATCAAACTTGAGTACTACCACTTAGGTCGCTGTGCCCCTTATCGCTGTTCGAGATATGGCTGTAATTCTCCGGAAGCTCTGCTATTACTCGAGCTGAGCCCAATTCGTGAACTTGTTGATCGCCGGGTAGCTCCGCTACGTTGGAGGACGCTCTCTTGTGCTGCACTTGCAACATGTCAGGCGCATTGTCAGGTCTCTCCGAGTAGTATGGTGGAACCTGGTCATGCGGCAGTGTCTCAATTTGTCCGTTATTGAGAGCCTTTCTCCGTCGCCAATAAAGGAGTGCTGCACCAACCCCTAGGAAAACCGCTCCAAGCACTGAGGCAATAACCAATCCTGCTATAGCGCCGCCGGAAAGGGCTGGATGTGGAGATGGAATTGGCGATGGAGACTCGGAAACGGAGGATGTTGCTACCGGGGTACTGGTAGCGATGTGTGATGAAGAAGAAGTCTGAATATAATGTGAGCTTCAATCACCGCTCGATATCCCACGCTCATGATGACACCTTACCTGTGTCGCTAGGATTTCCTGATATCCATCGATGGGATGGGCATAGACTTGGGCATTCGTCACAGAAGCGACCCAGGTAAATGTTGCTGTAACGGAAGCTGTATCGTAGCCGGTCACAGTTAACGTCTGGCCGGAACTAAGGTCGCTGTAACATGTGCCGCCGTACGCTGATCGAGTGTTATCAACAAGGACATCAGGGTTGTGCAGTTGATAGGACCTATCGACAAGCAAGTTAGCATACACCTAGGGCGAGAAATGTAAATGTACGTACGAAGGACAACAAGCAATGTAGCTTGAGCTCCAGCTTTCCACCGCCTCCCAGCCTTGCGGACAGATCAGCGGGCTGACTACCGGTACGATCGAAGACGTTCCTCTGCTGCTGTAGTATTCTATCCATTCACTTGGGTAGCATGCCGAAGCCGTCGTAGCCGGGACAGGTACAGGTTCAGCGAACCATATTTGATAGCCTGGGGACGACAGCATGGTAAGGTATGGCGACTGGCACGTCGGAGCGGGAGTGAAAGTCGTTGTTACAGGTATGACGTTCGGAATGGTGTAGAACACGGTTGGTGTTGAAGTCACCGTGGTGATGAAGTAGCTTGGTGTTGAAGTCTCCTCGGTGGTGATGAAGTACACACCGCTTGGTGTTGAAGTCGCCATGGGACTTGAAGTGCAGGCTTAGCAATGACTGTGGGAATAGAGCACTCTGTTAGGGAGGACAGCGGTAGACAATGAGTGAGGCTCCGTGGTGTCCAATATAGGTACAGTACCTATATATTGTACGAGACTTGAAGAGTTTGAGGAGTTCAACCCAGCATGCCTCCCTGGTCGAGGGGCATGCGAGTAATATTGCCTGCCCATCCTCGCAGAATTTGTTGTCTTCATTTCGCCTCAGTAGTAATTAGCTGCATCTGGCCCTTGGACAGCATCTGTAGGAGTGTCCTGAGTGTTGTTGAGTTGGAAATACTGCCGGGTATTTTTATTGGTGCGAAAAGATGCCATGGCTGCCGGCGCCTAAAGCCTGGTCTGGCACTGACTAGGACCGCCAGTGCCAGTGTGATATTCAAGTTGGTACTGTATAGTACATGATATCTGTAACGGGTTTTGGCACCGGCAGTATTCAATGTCGCACCTCGTCGCCCGGTCCTGGGGCCAAGTTTTAGGCGGTGCAATAATGGCGCTCCCTTTGGCTCTGGGGTAGACCGAGGGGAGAGGGAGGACTCAGGGCTGCTAGTGTGGCATAGGGAGCAGACCTGTACATTGTATAGCCCCTTAGGCCCCCGGCTAAGGACTCGTCTCCCCTAACGGCCCTAACGGTGTTCCCACTACTGCACGTTCCAGCCCCTGTCACTGCCACTGAAGATTCCCGAGGTTCCTCCAGCCACAACGCCTCAGCCAGCCTGGGCAGGACTGCAACGCACAGTACCCTACTAGTATTAGGCACGCAGCCCTACGCTGTAGAGGATGCAGTGGCGTTCTTCGGCCTGAAAGCTTTAGCTACCTAGGTACATGTACATAGTACAACGTACAATGCCCCTCCACCAACAACTTGAAATATGACACTGCTCATCTCATCCGCTCCTCTTACACGACAGGTTGGACGATTCGGCCAGCACACACTGCATCGCGTATGTGTCGCTTTTCATTCGGGGGTGCTGACATCCATGTCAAACAGAGGTCTGTTCCATGGCTGACTTTGCCCGCTCAAGCTTCAAGTTCGCACTACAGATGCCGCCCCTTGCCCCGACGGACCATACAGTACATTCCTATACTTTTTTTGACCAATTATCAAGTCGCGACGATCAATTAGCTAGCAATTCCCGGTCTTTCTAGGACGGCTTTTTCAACCATGGCGAATGCAGCAGTCGGCGTGACTGCTGAACATGAGCCCATGCCGGTCAAATTGGTGGAAACAGACCATAGTTCAGGCTGACATGTCCTCTACGGCGAACAGCGACGACTGGGCCATGGCTGTCGAATAAGAAGCAAAAGAATCCGGGGGCGCTGTTGTCCGCCAAACCTGAAGTGCACCACTGGCAGGAGATGGACATCCACGACGACCACTCACAACTGAGTCATTCGCGTTTACACAACTTCACAGTTGTATAGCACTGCCCGTTGACTCAGTGCGATAAGACTAGAGATCTGCTGTACGCCATGCATAACTCGACGGCAACTTGAACTGATAAGACTATGGACTGCGAGGACAAAGCTACAGTGCCTCGATCCCTACAAGTCTATGCCATCCTCCCGTTTTTCTCTCTGTTTGTTCTTCTCATCATCCCTCGCCCACCATGGCCATCTCCACCGTCCTGCTCGCACCCCTGCTCACCCATTCCATTCTCTCACTGATACTCCTGCCCGTCATCTTTCTCGCGTCCCGGACGTTATACCGTATCTCTCGTTTCCACCCACTCGCCCACATTCCCGGTCCCCTTCTTCCCCGCGTGTCATCCCTCTGGCTGACCTACCATGCGTGGATCGGCGATGAAGCATCCATAACAAAGTCACTCCACGACCAATACGGTCCTGTGATCAGGACAGGTCCGAACAGCGTCGACATCAGTGACGGCGCCGCATTAGGCCCAATCTACAATGAGAAAGGCGGTTTCGCAAAGACCGACTTCTATGCCAACTTCGACATTGACGGCCATAAATCCATCTTCTCCGAGACGGACCCGTTGCGACGTGCTCCCCGTGCAAAGGCCGTCGCAGCACTGTTTTCCACCACGAACCTACGTCAAGGCCAGGACATCATCTACAAATGCGTCGACCGGCTGGTAGACAGGCTATCCGAAGGCAAAGGAGCCAAAAAACGCGGCAAACCGCTGAACGTGCTGAACTTGACGCGGGGCTTGGCCGTCGACGCCGTGACATCCTATCTTCTGGGTAACCGGTACGGAGCCCTGGACGAGAGTGTGGTACAAGAAGAAAAGAGAGCCGTCAAGAAAGAAGTGTCAGGCACTCCCGATGGTCACGACGACCGAGAAATGAGCGCCAGCGGCATGGTCAACTGTTTTGTCGCGGTCGGGCGGTTCTGGTATCTCCCGACCTGGGCGTTCAAGCTCGTCGAATCATTCGACCTCTGGTGGAATGCCGAGGCCGAAGTATCACAAAGCTTAAGCCTTGTAGACGAATACGTCGCCAGTGTGGTACGCGATGCCGAAGCCGCCATCCTTGCCTCCAAGTCCCAAGAAAAGCAGCAGTCTTCTATCATTCACCCATTGACTTCGTACCCGGCACGACTCTTGCAGGCCGGATTCACGCCCTCGGAAGTTCGTGCGCAGTGCAAGGATCTCGTCTTTGCCGGCACCGACAGCACCGGCATGAACTTGGCGACCATCTTGTTCCAACTCGCCCGAAACCCAGAATACTACAAGAAGCTGCGCGAAGAGATTCTGGCCGCCGGCCCGTCCTTCGACGATCTACAGTCCCTACCGTATCTTCGCGGTGTTGTCAAAGAAGGTCTTCGACTGTCCATGGCCAATCCGTCCCGTCTTCCGCGAGTGGTTCCCAAGACCGGATGGACATTCAAAGATACTTACTTCCCTCCCGGAACTGTCGTCGGCTGCACGCCATATGTTCTGCACCTGAATGCAGATGTGTTTGAAGAACCTTACGAGTTCAAGCCCGAGAGATGGCTGCAGCCTTCGGACGAAATGACCCGCGATGCCATCCCTTTTGGTTTGGGCTCTCGTCAATGTATTGCCCGCAATTTGGCCAATGTCGAGCTGTTCTGTGCTGTTGAAAAGGTTGTTCGTGCCGATGTTCTCAGTGGGGCCAAAACGGTCAAGGACAAAGTCGAGATTATTGAATGGTTCAATAGTAAAGTTATTGGGGAGAGGATTGATCTGGTTTGGGAATGAAAATGAGTGAGACAAAAGATACTAGTTGCATGGTTGGTCATTTATGCATGTACTGTACATACAAACATATACATATACATATACCTATCTATTTCTGACCTTTGGAAATCCATTCTTCTGTTGTTTGTCTAATGTACATCGGTGATACAGTGCTGCAGCTCACCACATGACCAAGTCGGCACCAGTAACAAGGCCCAATACCAGGCTAGTGGCCACCAGACCTAGATTGCTCCATCTCAGCACCGACAGACTCGGAGCAGCCGATGTTCCAACAGAAATGGAACTGGAACTCGCAGCAGCAGTAGCAGCGCCTGAGGCATTGGAGCCCGGAGTTGAAGCCCCCGTCGCAGCACCAGAGGGAGACGTCGCGTCCGTCGTTGCGACTGTCGCCCCCGTCGCACTCGCAGATGAAGCTGAACCAGCATCACTGGTGGGAGTGGCAGTCGGACTCAGCGTCACAATAGTAAGACTCGGCGTGCCACCATCACCGGTACCTGATGATGCGCCCATTGACGATGCTGCCGAAGATGTCGAAACAATACTGAACGTGAGTTTCGCAGACGATGTCGAGACTGTAGACGCGGTAGTAGCAGTACCAACTCCTCCTTCTCCTCCTCCTCCCGTGGCGGTCGCCGACGCCGCCGATGACGATGATACAGCACCAGTAGTACCAGTACTATCTCCATTCTGAACCCGAAACCAATTCGCCGCCACCGGCTCCCCCAGCCCAGCAGCCTCCGCGAACCCAGCCATATCCCAACCGACCCTCACACTGTTTTTCGTTGCAAAAAAGTCTTGAAACGAGTTCGGAACCTGAAAATCTTGAGGTTGACTATATAGCAACAAAGTATATCTGTGTGGCCCGTCGCCTGCAGGCGGGCTGGGCGGGATATAGCTTGCGGCGGGAACGGAGGTGAAGTTGTCGGCGTCTTGGTCGGCGAAGAGGACTTCGGAGCCGCCGGATAGATTTGGTTGGAAAAAGTGAAGAAGTTGTTGACGACCGTTGGAGTTGTCGGTTGCGACGTCTTGGTCGACCATGAAGAGCATGAATGTTAGGGTGGCGGTGGAGCCTTTGGGGCCTTGGACGGTGGGGGGGTCGAGGAGATCTGATTGATATCAGTCAGTTTCGTTAAGAAGTCGACTTCGTCGACTTACCTTCTCGTTGTAATAGCGCTCCCGCTGGGTCGACGTCCAAGTTACTGGATTGGAAATCGACGCGGAGGTTCTGGGTCGCTTTGACTTGGATGGGGAAGCCGGGTGCAGATTGTGCTCGAACATGGAGGATTGTGGAACATGCGGACAGTAGAGCTGATATTAAGTGGATGGCCTTCATGTTGGAGGTCTTCATGACGATGACGATCAAGGTACCGTCAGCTGGATAGGGAACGACTGTTGGTTCCGTTTGGAAGGTCGGGTTGTGCGCCGTCGTCAGAGGCAGAATGAATGATCTGTTTGATATTGTACACGTTGCGTTGGCCGCGCAAAGAGTGAATGAATTACCACCAAAGAGAAAGGAATGGAAAGACAATATGCTTAGGTACTGAACCTATTGATTGCCTGTAGTAGAGTAAGGGACCTCAGGTACTTACGGGATGTGGCGGGCCCAGTCGAACATGACATCAAACTTCGATGTTAGATGCGCAACACCTACCTGTAGTAGTATAGCTAGGAGTATCAGAGCTTCAGCCTCGTCGGAAGAGGTTAGTTCCGAAGTAGCTGCACTGCCATGCCCTGCAGTGCCACTGAAAAGCTGGCTGAGCAGATCAGAGTTTGAACAAGGCCACGGTCGAGACCTACATGAGATCCGCGGGGATGGACAAGGCTAGAGCATGAGATGCCAGGGTAGATCTGCCACTACCTCCTCATATTTGGCGAGACGTGCCGAGTTTGATCATGCTACTGTGGCGGTCTCGGTTTCAGTAGGATCATCCGGCGGGATGGAACTTGATGGAGAGTGAATGAGTCCGACTCCTTTGCCGGTATGAACAAAAACATCAGCGGTTACTGATGGACGATCATCCACTGGCAGTCGAGTATCACCAAGATGAAACGATACAGGTACCTAGGTAGGAAGAAGGTGTGTTGCAGTCGATGATTGAGTCAGGAGGTTCAGACAGAGGCAAAGGTTTGGCTTGGCTTGGCTGCGACACTGGCTTGACAAGGCTGAGGCTTGCGAAACACGGAGTTGAGGCTGGAATCCCATCACCCCTCAGCCTTGTCGCCGCTGTAGGTGCCAAGCAGCCTTGGGCCCTATCTGCTGACTCAGCAGTTCGCGTCGCGTCTTTGTCATCAACTCCTGGATTCATCGATTGCGCCTACAGACTTTACAGTCTCAACGCTTCCATTGATCCTGACGTTAACACATGTGCCAGGCCTATGTCAGGTTTGTGATGTCTATCATGCTTATCAGGTGAAAGAGAACAACCATATCTATCACTAACATTGTAGTTTGTTTGAAGTGACACGACTGAAAATGCGACCACAAACTGGGCACCAGCACAATCTCTATGGACACCCTTACCCAGGTATTGGTAACCTCAACGACCATTGCCATACCTATAGTACATGCCTTCGAGGTCGGTTAAGGAAGGGAAGTCTACTCACGACCCATGAGACGGCACAAGAACAGGCGAAGCCACCCCTTCTTCTTCATTAATTCTCAATGATACCCTCCCGCTTCCCTCCTCTGCTTCCCCGAAATCAAATACACAGCGGCACGCATATCCAGCAACGGATCATCACTCGGTTCGACGCCTTTGATTCTTGGGACCGGATCAAAAATGATAGTCCTCTGCTTCTCATCATTATCCTCGACAACGCCATCAACTCTAATCGTACCGAGATTGACGACTCTGCGCTCTTCGGGCCACAACACCGTCGCATCATCCGTGGGATCTTCGGGTTCCGCGACCTGCGCAGTCAATGTGAAAGAAGCTCCGCCATCAATGACGCGAGTCTGAATTTCATTGTGCAGAAAAGCCGGGTCTTTGGCCGCGGCCTCGTCGGCGCTGAGATGGGACACCCCAGCGTCCGGGACGATGCGGTAGCGCACAAAAGTGGGTTTACCATCAGCCGCAACGAGCTTGATTGCATTCACGCCGAAGTACTTTTCGGTCGCGAAGCTGGCTGGCGTCGGTTTAGGGGCGTTGACGAACGTTGCGGCTGACGGTGTTTTGCTGAGATACTCTTCAATTGGTGACGGATTTTTAGGTGCATCTGGTTTTGAAGAGGCTCCAATCGCGTGCAGCAGGTCTAGAAACATCTCGCCTGTGCGTACGGGGAAATACGGCGTCGAATGCGCGATGATGTCGGTATGTCTGCGTCGGCCGGTTTGGGCGTCGTCGGACAACAAGAAACGAACGGCCATTCCGTGCGGATTGGCGTCGCTTGCGTTGTCGGGGATCTGTGGTAGACCGGTTGAATTGGAGAATCGCACAATCACACTGGTCGACGGTGCGGTAAAGTGCTCGGCTGAACTGAGCTCGCGAGCTATGGGTGTCGGTGTGAATGTCCCCTGGAGGAGAATGCCTCGTGCGTGAGCTGGTCGGAATTGCGGTGGTGTGCTGAATGCACCTCTCATTGTTTCGACTAGCTCGGAGGCCGTCTTGTTGGTCTGCTCGTTGGTCGAGAGAGGCATTGTATTGTGATACTTGAGCTGATGGTGGACTAGTTGGAGAAGTGGTAGACTGGGCTGCGATGACTCTGGGCGGAGGGTTTTGGGTGCTTTTGTCAATGGTAGATGGATGGATGGATTCAGCTCTGAAGGAGAGACAAGATGATACAAGTATGTTTATATACACATATGTCACTCGCCATCGTAGCTTAGCAGTGTACAGTATGGCGTCGAGGCAGTTCGTCCGCTTCTAAGTCAACAACTACCACCGCCCAAACCCATCTTACACCTTGGTGGAATCAAATCACTTCGCATGCTATTACCCCATATCTGCGCCCGCTGCCAGCCGTGCCAGCCGGTGTGCGCGTCGCTCATGTCCATTCCAGGGCGCGAGTGCAGCGCAATGCATGCTTAATCACAGCAAATCTCAAATACCCTGTTACTAATCGAGCGAGGCAAGATCCCTAACAAATCGCGGGACCCCAAAAATGCTACCAGGTAATCAGTCAGTTCATCATAACCAATGAAGATTGTTCCTCCTCACTCTCACTCGCTCAATCCCCCATGTCAAGAACCTTCCTCCTGCGATGAACAAATACGACCCTTCAGCATGAAGACTGCAGTGCTAAGTGAGTGGGCTTGGAAACCGACATCCAAGTATTGGCTCGTCTCGCAATGAGAAAGGCTAATTAAGCGAGAGAATCAGCCTCAAGTTACAGTACCCCCGTAGGTATTGGTCAATATCGACAAATCTCCAAGCCGACAATTGTAATCAATCTGCTAGCAACACATGCCAGAAGTTCAAACACCGAGCGAACACAACCCAACCAGACCGGACCGGACGAAATCCGAGCACTGACTAAGGTTCTTGCATGGACTTCCACCCATTACGAATACGAGAAAGCCCGGCACTGGCAGTACAGTGAGACGACTGCCCTATGACGCTGAAGACGTTTGAACTCTGATATGCTCGTATTCGAGTCTGAATGGTCTGAAATGTCGAAGAGGCTTGCGCTTGCTGACTACAGACTGAGGTGTTTTCCACCATCCCTTCCCTGGCTCGTTCTTGTTGGCATTCAGGACGTACTACTAGTACGGTTTGTGCAACAGAAACGACCACGGTGGCAGTGCGATCCCTCGAAAACGTTTAGCCGTGCCAAAATATGCTTATCTCCCTAGGTATGTGTATATATATTTACAATGGTACATATGATATCTCTGTCCTGATCTTGTTCACCAAAACAAGCATTGTCCGAGTGGTAACTGTCGGTACGCCGTAAGCATCAGCAGCATAGGCGTTTTCGTCTGATGCAGTAGTCTAGCATGGTCTGAGTTCATTCGTTGTAGTGGTATGAACCAAGCAACAGTTGGGCTGGCGTGAATCCCAATATTCGCGGCGTCCTCGAATTCAGTTGCTGGGTGATTGAAGGCAGCGTCAGGTCCCAGTCGAAGATCTGTCCGGAGGTTGACTGAAGTGCCTTTCGAAGCTGTCCCAAGATCAAGCGTACGGACGTCTCCGCCACCCACACACTGGCGGGGTTTGCGATTGGTAGCAAGGCGAAGTCTAGTAACAGTGCGTATGGTGTTCATTCATTGTGTGTAGGCAACCATAGTTCTCGTGGGATGGACGAGATGGAGAGTTGGATGGTGATTGTCGATCAGATGGTTTTCGAATCGCCGCTACCACTTGATGCAGTAGTGGAGCGTCGTCCTTGACATCTCGTTGAGCCAGTCCTCGAACGTTGATGCTTTACCCTCCTGGTTGTTGTTGGTCTGCTCGTCTGCATCTTGTCCCGTTTCCTGTACTGTACTGCGTATGCCCAAAGCTCTTACCACTTTGCATGTGCTGTAACCATATACGAACCCGTCCAAGGTCGCGATCCATTGGTTATATTGGATTTTCGTCCGAGCCTTCTAACAGGGGCTGCATTGCACAGGTTTTGGACTCTCGAATACTAGGTGGCCAAGTCAAGGCGGCACCATTCGATCATCCGTGTCAACTTGCTTCTTTGCGTAAGGGTCCCTGGTATATATGTCGCTAATATGTGTTCCCCAACCAAGCCGTAGGTCGGTTCACTCAGAGACCTTCCGTACTGCACATGAGGAATCAAAGCCTTCCGTGCTGACACGAGACGAGCGACAACTCCCCCTTCTGGAGTGGACTCTGGCTCTGTTCGACGACATGGCGGAGACGGCAGGCTGCTGTTGATCGAGGTTAGTGCTCATAGTAGGATCATGAGGGACATTGGTATGCCTGACATAGTCGAGAGGCGCTTGCTTTTCAATCGTTAGTGATTCAAGGGCAGGGGAGAGATGGACCAACCGAAAGACTACGCTGGATTTGCTCAAATAGCTTTGAGGCCGTTCTTGCGTCCGAGGTACTCCGAGTCGGAACGAGTAGGTCTCCAGAATCTTGATGGTCCCCCTTCTGGTGTTTTTCTGACCTCGATGCTGTACGTCTCTCGGTAAACGTACACGTCGATCGAGGTGTCAAAGTCCGGAAAAGACTTTGAAAAAGTATAAAGACTGTACCTGCCGGCCAAACGGTGGATGCAACGATGGTAGGAAGAGTACCGGCCGGCCTAATCAGAATTTCCTATCTCTCCCCACAGCGCTAGAGGTCGGAGGAGTACTGTAGTGGGCCCGAGGATAACTTTTGAGTATATTGTCGGCACGTTGAGGCCACAAATGGATGCGCACAGCCCACTATGAAGTGCATCGATCTGTAAAAGACTTGAAAACACCTTCCAGACCCTGTAACACGAACAACACTTGGTACGCACAGGTACCGACGTCTCTCACACCAGAATTGGACTCTAGCTCCAAGAAAAGAGCAAAAGGCTTGACTCGGATTTATCAAAGAGCGATGACATCTCACAAGCGTGTTGAGTCCAGGCGTTCTTTGTCGTAGACCGGTGCGCCAGGCAGTGTAAAGGGATGCTGGTATGATTTGAGTCAACTCGTTGGCCTCTTGTGCGTACAGACGGAGCATACTTTCGATGGTTTCGTCGTTTAACCATCCGCGCTTGTTCCCACGCGCGTTTTTGGGTGATATCACTCTGTAGCGGCGTGTGATAAGAATCGAGGATGGTAATCGTCTTTGAGTGATTGCATGGCTTGCATGCAAACCCAAGCCCCTATCGAGTGCCAGGAAGCATTCAGTGGCAAGAGACAGAACCTTTCCAGAAAGCGGTTCCTGTGTCCTTTTCATAGCGGATTGAGAGAGGCTGTAATTCCTTCTGAGCATAGTCAGTAGCAGGAAGCGCAACAGGGCTGTCAGCCTTGCTCCTGAATTCGTTTGATCCATCTGATAGATCGATTCAGGGCAGTCTTGCGTCTACCGACATGAGGGTGTAATCGAGATCGGCGACCGGCCATCCATGGATAGTCCTCACTAGAAGCCCTGCTTCGTTGATCCGACCAAGCTTTGGTCATGAGCTGTCCGCATTGCCTGGCCCAGCCATTGAGGCATTTCTCCATGTTCGGTTTGTAGATCGGCAAAAGTACCGACGATGTGGTACCCAGACCACAGTCGTTGGCCAGGATATCTTTTTGAAAGGTGATTCCGCTTGATCGATTTGCCATGCCACGCCGAGTACCTGTCACACAATGCCGATATTACCACAGAGCCCTCCGTCGCCTCGTACTGGCGGTTAACAGTGTTGTAAGTGAGCAACAAGGAGGCCTTCGACCAACCAGCAAGTATGAAGGGAGGGATTCTCAACAAAGTGATGAAGGGGATTCTCAAACAGATAACAGTCGGACTAACCGACGACCACACCAAAAAAACACGCTCTTTGCTTCTTGTGACCTTAGTGACAGATTTGTCTTCGGAAATTCGGTCCATCGATCTCTCTTCCCAAGAAATATATACCTTCATATCATTGAGATGGTAAATACCATTCGTTCACCGGTCCTGCCTGACTAATATACCAAGGCGAATGGCCCGGGGATACTTATGGTATATAAGGCCACCAGATCCCGATGGCGGTCGAGTATTTGTCGGTAAGGAGGAGATTCGCCGGTGGGAATGGACTAGAAATTATCGAGGTCAGCTTCATTTTTGACGAGAGACACATCGAAAATACCTTTCCACCACGAAAACGAGACCAACATTTTGTTTTGACGTTTGTCTTTCCGACCCCACGCCAAAAGCGAGCGCTATCCGAAAAAAAGAGTCAGTTCCAGTATCTCGGAGAGAATGAGGGGTGCTTCGAAAGCAACGAAGACTTACTGTAAGAGTTCTTTTTTGGTTGAGTGGGAGTTTGTCAGGGGCCGCTCAACACTTCCAAGGCCGGTCGTTCGCCAAATTTTTGCGCGCTTTCTTTTTTTTTTTCGAGTCAGCTGCGGCCTTTTCTGAGCCCATCTTCGAAACTTACTTGAGAGCTGCAGATGCACTGTCAAGCGGCATAGTCGGAGTCAATTCTTCGCAGTGCGCTTCATTTTTTTTTGGAGGGAGGGCCCTCAGGATTCGAAACTTATTTTGCCGCAGCGGATGCGTGAGGATCTGGCATGTTTGGGGTGAGATTTTTCGATGACCGCTTCCGTTTGTCGAAGAGGGCGTCTCAATATCAGGGTCTGATATCGACTGCGCCGGACTGAGCGGCCAAGACTCGCGTGAGGATGGCAGCTTTTTTTTCGATCCGAGGTTCGAAAACCCTGAGAGTCCAGGTTAGTATATGAATGGCCGGCCCTGACTAGGCTGCAGCCTAAACCCTAAAGCCCTATAACCACTGGTCACATGTGTTGAGGACGCAGACGTGCCAGATCTTCTGAACCTGCGTGTGGCCAATACGATGGACCCGACCGATGATTTGAATGAGCTGGTTGAAGTTATCTGGGGGGTCCAGGATTAAGATCTTGTGATAACCGCGCTGAAGATTCAATCCGAGTGCCGCGCTTCGTATGTTTGCTATCATGATAGGCACCGCGTTGGTTGTGTTATTGAACCGCTCCACTAACCCGTCCTTCTCCGACGTGGAGAGTCGTGGTAGGAGATTTGAACACGGGATGCCCAAATTCTTCATAAAGGATTAGCACTTTGATATTCGAGACCAAAACAGCTTTCTGATCGTCGACCGCAATGAAATGTAGCTTTTCAGATGCGAAGGGGCAGGGCCGTAGTGATTGCAGGGGCGATAGTCGGTTGTCTGTGGATCCATGAGGACAAACCCCGAGAGCCCGATCGTGCTTCAAGTAGTGCCATGGAGTTTATGGTAGTCTCTGTAACCAACTTTGTCTCAAGTTTGGTATTGTCGGAAGAGTTCCTTCAGTCCTTTCATACCGCCAGAACCTGTGATGGGGTCACTAATTCCCGCTTCAAGTATGTCCGTGAGCTGGAGTTCGCGTCAACCAACGGAGACTTGGAAGGATGCCTCAGTAACACAGTATCTTCCTTTTCCGTGTTGTTCGTCCTATTCTTCAAGTTCCTGTGCAAAGGTGGGTGTGAGTTTTTCGCGTGTTTTATGCACCACCAGGCTCATGGTAACGGCTGTATAAGCTCATTTCAACAAGTTGAAGAACCAAAAGCCCCCAGCACATCATTTGTTGGTCGTCTGCTTTTCCCCATCACAGTCACCTCAATGGACCAGCAAGGTCTTGCTACTGAGCGATTCGACCATCAAATACCATGGTTTCTCGTTGTATTTCGGTTTGCATGTGCACATCCTGCAGCTCGGCTTCTGAAAAGAGACTGGAATATCAAAATTGAGCCGGTGAATATGGAGGTCCTACCTTCGCGTTTGACCGGAACGTCATCTTTCCAATGCATTTTCCCCATACCCTATGCATTTGCTGCAAAGATACCTTCGCCTTTTTGGCCTTTCTTCGCTCCTCGTCGAGGTTGTTGATTTTTCCGCGGTCAGGTCGGCCGGGAACTCAT